AAAAAAAAAAAAACAAATAAAAAAAAAAAAAAAAAAAAAAAAAAAAAAAAAAAAAAAACAACGCACGGGGAGGAAAAACAAGAATTGTGCGAGTTGCGATCTTTCATCGTTGTGTTTCTTTTGAATTTGTTCTGCGCATTTTGATGTTTATGCATTCTGTGTCTTCCTTCCTTCAACTCATGTCATTCTTGTCATTCCTGTTACTTTTCCATTCCAACCCACTTACCTTGCAACTGTGTCGTGGCGGGCTTCGGTCTCAGGTCAATCGGCACAGTTTGCTTTGCATCCAGTTCCACGATTCTCGCAAACCAACCCACCGTGGACCATGCTGTGGCGGGCTTCGGCTTCAGGACAACCAGCATGGTCCACATCGTTTCCACCACTCTCCACCATCCAATTTTGCACGCTTGCAGTCCGATCCGACAACCGTGAACTATGCCGTGGCGGGCCTTCGGGCTTCAGGTCAATCGGCATCGTTCACTTCGAATACCAACCTCCTCCACAAACGATCTCCTCCGCATTACGATCCACTTCCAACACTGCAGGCTATGTCGTGGCGGGCTCTCAAGCTTCAGGTCAATCGACATAGCCTGCATCCAATTACAACATCCTCCACCTACTCCCACGGGCAATTCGACAATTGATACCTTCCACCCTACGATCCACTTCCAACATTGCAGGCTATGTCGTGGCGGGCTCTCAAGCTTCAGGTCAATCGACGTAGCCTGCATCCAATTACAACTGTTGATCCTCCACCCACTTCCACGGGCAATTCGACAATTGATACCTTCCACCCTACGATCCACTTCCAACATTGCAGGCTATGTCGTGGCGGGCTTTCGGGCTTCAGGTCAATCGGCATGGTCTGCTTTGAATTTCTACCTTCTCCACGTACTCGCACGAACAATTCCACGAACTATCGATCTTCCCTCCACCCCACGATTTCCACCTTGCAATACTGCGGACTATGTCGTGGCGGGCTCTCATGCTTCAGGTCAATCGACATAGTCCGCATCAACCTACTCGCACGAACTATCGATCATCTCTCCACCCCACAATCTCGATCTTACAACATTGCGGGCTATGTCGTGGCGGGTTTCGACCTCAGGTCAATCGACATAGTTTGCATCGACGTACTCCCACCAACGATTCCACGAATCCCTTCCTCTCCACCTCACGATCTCCACCTTTTGCAACATTGCGGACTATGTCGTGGCGGGCTCTCATGCTTCAGGTCAATCAACATAGTCTGCTTCGAATTTCGACCTTATCCACGTACTTCCACGAGCAATTCTACAATCGGTACCCTCCACCCTACGATCCACTTACAACACTGCAGACTGTGCCGTGGCGGACTTTCGGGCCTCAGGTCAATCGGCATAGTCTGTCTGCTTCGAACAATTACCTCATTGAACGATCTCCTCTTCGTCCCACGATACGAACCCACGAATATTTCCACGAACGATTTTCACTTTCGACCTTACGATACTGCAGGCTATACCGTGGCGGGCCTTTGGGCTTCAGGTCAAGCGGTATAGTCTGCATCGACGTAATCCCACGAAGAATTTCTACGAAAGAGTCCCCCTCCACCTCACGATACTGCGGGCTATACCGTGGCGGGCCTTTGGGCTTCAGGTCAAGCGGTATAGCCTACTTCTATCAACCACCTCCACCATCGATTCCACGAACGATTCCAATCCTACGATATTGCAGGCTATGCAGTGGCGGGCTCTAGGGCTTCAGGTCAATCTGCATAGACTGTTTCGAATTACGACCTTCTCCGCGAATGACTTCCAGAACGATACCTCGAGCGATCTCCACTCTCCACCTTGCGATACTGCAAACTTTGCCGTGGCGGGCCTTCGGGCTTCAGGTCAATCGGTTTAGCTTGCTTCAAACAACCACATTTTCCTCCCACCTCCACGAACAATTTCACGTTACGATACTGTAAGCTATACTGTGGCGGACTTCGGTCTCAGGTCAATCAGTATAGCTTACTACGACTACCACCCCTCTTCCGCGAACCGTTTCCTCGAACAACTTCCGTCATTTGGCCACTCTGTGAACTATGCTGTGGCGGGCTTCGGCTTCAGGACAATCGGCATATTTCACATCGACTCAACCACCTGCCACCTCCATTTGCTCTCCGTGCTTGCATTTCGATTCCACAACTGCGAACCATGCCGTGGCGGGCCTTTCTGGCTTCAGGTCAATCGGCATGGTCTGCTTCGATCCATCACCCCTTCCACGAACGATCTCCACGAACGATCCGCACAACACGATCCTGTGAACTATGCTGTGGCGGGCTTAGGCTTCAGGTCAAGCAGTATAGTTCGCATGGAATCCACCGCATTGATACTACCGTCCTCTTCTCGTCCACGAGCTACCGCAATTGAACAACCAACCTTGCATGAACATACCACAGCGAGGCTCATGGCTCAGGGGCATCCGGCATGCTCCACATCGATAAAATCTCCAATTGAATCTACCTCGACTCTACTCCTTGTTACACCAGCACCAACTTCAAATCAACACTGCACCGGACCTTGGATTCAGCGCAATCGGCATCTTTGTCCATTGAGGGGAGGGGGGAAACGGGTTTGTCTCAACTCCAGGAGCCTGGATTGCAAGTTTTGTGGTAATTGAATTGTGTTCGCTCTTCAGGCTTTGGTATCCTTTCCAGACTCTCAATCTGGCCATGTTGACATACTATTTGTACTTCGAGCTCGAAGGCTTCTAAACCCAAAATGAAGCAACCTCTTCAACTTTCAACCATGTGAACTGCTTCAAGTCCAGCGTAAGATAACACCGGAAGCCCATTTCCATACAGCAGACATGGTATTGTAACAAAGTTTTGTATGACTTTGTGCGGATATCATACGACCACCACTTCTCTAGCACTACACATAGTTGTTTCAAACAGAGTATGTGATGTCACGTGGTTCAGGTCCCGTTAGGAAGCAGAGGCTGATCGAAGATCTCTGCGATTTTGACCTCGATGGGATGGTTTCCCTCGAGTCAAACAGGCAAACGTGCAGGGAGGGGTATATCTCCGTACTGAGCTCCATGCTTCCTTTCTCCCTCTATCTTAGATCCAATGTGACGATCCGTAGGCGCCTTTTAACATATAAAAGGGCGTTACAGTCGAGAATGTAAAAGACAATTTAGACTTAGAGAGAATTTGACGGAGGCAGAGATGAAATCAATCTTGAAAACTAGATCCATAAAAAGGCCGGAGCCGTTGCGGGGCTTGCAAATAAACAGTCAACCTTGGAAACAGATTGATACATGTAGAAAATACACAGAAGACAGATTTAAAAAAGGGCTCAGTTGGCCAGCAAGCGTCCACCAGCCTTCGGGATTATCCAACAATCTTCGCCTTTCAAATTGGGCGATCAGAAACCAGAGCACTTGAGGAATTTGGGCAGATGTCGGAGACCTCTATTTCCCTTTCAGTCGCAAGTGCCTTGAGTTTTTCTCCCTCTTCTTGTCGGCCCTGTTGATGGTAGGTCAAGACGAGCCGTGCTATAATTTCGGGCGTGAGAGAAGAAGTCTTGTCCCTCTCTATGCTGATCTGCACAGCCTGGGCTTGGAGATTTTCCGCCTCTTCCCATCGACCCTGGTGCTGGTATGTCCAACCTAGTAAGCTTTGAATCCATAATCTGCTGGGATGGTGACTGGCGAGCCTCTTTTCGAATTTCTGCATCACATGGACTTGGAGGTCCTCCGCCTCTTTCCAACGGCCCTGGTTCTGGTATGTCTCTGTAAGATGACCAATACTCCGCAGCATATCGTAAAATTCATCGCCCCACATGTCCTTCTGCATCTGTATCACTTTGAGTTGAAGCTCTTCTGCATCCTCCCATCGGTCTTGCTTTTGGTATGTCTCTGCAAGTTCTTCCATACATACAGTCGTTGGCTGGGTGAGCTCACCAAATAGCTTCTTGCTCATGTGAATTGCCTGTATTTGGACTTCCTCCGCTTTCTCCCAAAGACTCTGTTTCAGGTATGTAATACAGAGTCTCCGCAAAACATAGTAGGTAAACTGATGGACCTCTCCGAGGGCTTCCTTGCTTAGTTCCAGCATCTGGATCTCAAGATCTTGCATCTCATTCCATCGGCCCTGGTGCTCGTGTGCCTTGGCGAGTTGATCCATATCCTGTAGCGTCTTGGGAAATTTTTCGCCACGCTCCTCTCTTATTTGGGATTCTTGAGTTTGGAGGTCTTCCGCCTCCTCCCATCGCCCCTGGTACTCGTGGATCCTGCGGAGTCTCTCGAGTTCCGAGAGAATATCGCAATCGTTCTTGCTGAGTAGTTCCTTGCATATCTTGATCTTTCGGGTCTGAAGCTTTTCCGCCTTATCCTCTTGTGCGTTATACATGTACGTCGAAGCGAGGTCGACGATAGCTTTGAGCGTGCTGGCATGATCCTCGCCAAGTCTCTTCTTTCTCATCTCCATTAGCTGCAGACCAAGCTTCTCTGCCTCTCTCAAAAAGTCTTCATGAGAATAGATCGTTGCAAGAGTGCTCCATATGAAGTCTTTACCAACGTCTGGATCTTTGTGCCAACTCAAGTCAACGCTCTCAACATCTGGGAGATGCGCTATCAAATGCCGACGGAATTTTCTTTGACCTCCCTTCGTGGTTTTCGCTGATGCAGCAAGTATGAAGGCTGTGTGAAACCACTGCCAGTTCTCGGATTGGTAGCGACGCGCTGCCCTCCACCGAACTAGACTGTGCATTGTCGTACCGGGCCAATCCCCGCGTACTCGCTGGACAAGGCTGTATCGGATCAAGATCTCGAGGCTTTTGCGGTACATAAAGCTGTCCCATGAATCATCTTTTGCCAGGATAAATCTTCGGAGCTCGCTGAAAAGGATCTCGCCCAGGTTTTCATCGACATCGGATATACCAAGGCTTGCCAGGCGGAACAACTCGTCCTGGAATATAGGACTTTTGGACCACGCCAGGAACGTCAACAGAAGTCCAGGTTGGAATTGGGCATGCTCTCGTTCAATTTTCCTCAGCGTGGTATCCCAAACTGCCCACACATTCAGTTCTGCGGGGGTATCCCAGTTGCTATTGTCCATTTTCAAAAGCTCATCCCGATGCCACTCGAAATCTTCCGAATATTGTATGAGGGCTTCTTCATGTGTGTCTTCGGGACCACTGGCAATGTATGCACCCGCAAGATCAATCGCAAGTGCTAGATACCCAAGCTTCTCGGCAATTTCATCGCACTTCTCTTCCACTGCTGGAAGCATGCTAATGTCTCTCGACAGACGTTGAAGGAGAACATCTCGAGCCTCTTGGGTCGACATGACATCAACCCGAATTGGCTCGCAGCCCCCATAAACCAGTTTTTGACTCTGTTCATCACGACTAGTGATAATGAGTCGCCCTCTGAGACCTCTCGGTATAACATGCTTCAAGTCCGATTTGACATCATCCGCATTGTCCACAATAACCAGCCATTCACGATCCATTTCGTTTCGGTCCTGAAACCACTGAAGTACACTCTGGATAACAGGGTCATCTACGAGAGATGTCCCTTGTCTGTTGTTCTGTTTGCTGGGAAGACCAAGCATTGTCGCAAAACTACCGAATCGGGACCGAATGGTGTCATCGTTGGCTGCATCGATCCAGAATATGGGATCATATTGGGCCTTTTTGCTTTCCGCATACTTCAGCGCCAACATGGATTTGCCGGCACCACCCAGTCCGTAAAGTGTAACTGCATATGGAATGCTGGCATTCTCGTGTTGTATCTCGAGCTTTTCTTGGAGATCCTCCCAAAGTTGATCTCGTTGTATCAAATTCTGCATTTCCTTCACAGGGACATGATAGATGGTTTTCGCAGGCTGAACCAATGGCCACATGAGCTCAACAAGCTTTGATCGAATGATTTCATAGAATTCATTTCTGGACCCAAACTTGTTCAATCCCCTATGACCAACGGGGAGTGCAATTTTGCGGACATTTTTTCCATGATACGTGGCTGAGCTCTCAGCAACAGTCTGTAAGGTCAGATCAAAACGATTGAGAGTAGTTTGCAAAAATTGCTCGACCCAACTCACAAATAACTGCCAGAACACCAAATCAAGCTCTGGTCTCTGCTCGTAAAAGTTGATGACTTTCAAATCATCCTGGGTACTCGCAATAAAGTTCTCATGGAGGTCACTCAGTTCTTGAGAGTCATAATCCATATGGGCGAGGATCATATGATTGGATCCCACAGGTCTCAGGAGCACTGCTCCGAGCCAACCCAACAATCCATAGGTAGACCCCCGATGGGGTGCACCTAGAAACAATATTGCTTTGGTTCGCCCTACTAAATGACTGAACTCGCGTCTCCTTTTGGCTTGAACGAGCGCCTGTAAAACTCTTAGTTCCAAATCAAAGCAGCGGTAGTTAGTTTCTCACCTCTTTGACTACTAGACCCCCATAACTATGGGCCACAAATATCAAGGATCGACTTTGCTCCTAGCGGTCACTGTCAGCAGCGTGCCCAGAAGTGCTAGATCTTCATACTCACACGTTGAGATTGACAGAGTTTTGAGTCAATGTGTTCGAGTAGGCCATTGGCAATAGTTGATAGCCGTGTATGCACAGCATCTCTCATCCAATATGACTCATAATTGTAGAAGAAGATGCGTACATCCTCCCGAATTTCACGAGGTAGATCATGCGGAAGAAAATCGCTGAACCAGTTCACATGCTCATCTTCTGCTGAGTTTGATGTCTTCGTGGTTGATTTTGCTTGCCAGCATGTATCAGGGTTGGACCCAAGGCCATGAACAAATATGATGCTGGTCAAGTTAGAAAAACCACGTCCGGTTATTTTGGGGTTATACTCACTCAACGCCCTGAGCGCGTGCGTTTACATTATGACCACCCGCAGGGACGAGTTCGAATGTCGACTTGGGGGCTTGGTCTGTATCAAGTCGGCTTGCGAGGAATTTGGTGCCCAGGAATTTGATGGCGATGATGTTGACGATGACGATGACGATGAGGGCGACCGCGACGTAGAAAATGTAAAGAAAGATGGAACTGAAGGTAGGTATGAAATCGGTTATACGTGAGTGAGTCCGCGGTAAGAGGGACTCATCCATCGTCGGTCTCAATTTGTTTGGTAACTGATGATTGATCTTGTGTTTGCTGCGGGAACCCATCTCTGGCCGATGAAATCTGGCCGGACGATCTCAGATACGGGTATATTCCCCCTCAAGTGAACGAGCTGCATCTTGAGCACCCGGGTGCACTGGTGCGCAGCTACTGTTCAAGGGCGCTGTAAGCGCCAATCATATCCATGGATAAAGGTGTGCGAATAATAAGATGGGGCATATGCACCTGGGCGGTAACTGAGAGTGAAATTTGAAGTCATTGGCTGCTATTACCACCATCAAACCCCCTAAGATCTTGGCATATGCGAATAGTCATCAACTAAGACGAAGATCAAAATGGGCAAAAGACGATGCTCTGCACACGCACTTCTATCTTATTTTTCTAAAACGTGACATTGAAAGGGGTGCAATGTTTGGATGTGATCTACTCTGTTTGGCTCTTCTCGGCGAGACTAGTAAAATCATCGTCTCATGGAAAGAAAATCGAGCAAAGAAACAACCATCCAGGATGAGTGGTGCAGTGACGGCATCTGCGGCTGAATCACTGGCGAACCACCCGTGCCCACAAGAGGGAGGCAGCTAAGCGCGCTATAGCTATATCTTCAAATTTCCCGCCTCGCCTTGGACAGTTCCGAGACACCAATTTCTTCCATTTTCACGGAATTCGGTCGGTTGTTATGTCCACTCGCACCGGTGCCCCGTTTGAACAGTCGTGTGCCCTGGACAAAACTGCCCTGCAAAATCCACACAGTGCGAATGGCCAATATGCACCTTCAGAGAAAGATGCAATCACTTTGAAACATTTGCTGGGAAATCCTGTCATAGGTCTTTCTCTCGAGGATGTCTATGGCCACCTCTCCAAAGAATTAGCAACCCCACTCTTGGACGAACTATATGAAAGACTGTGGCTGGTTGCAAGAAAGACAGGATCTCATATCGACACATTACATATGCAAAAAGTGAAGGGACGCTCTATCATCCCAACGGAAGATCCGAAACTCCATCTCGTTTGGAAGAAAGGCACGATCTATATCAAGCCTGTGCCTCAATTTTTGCTGAACCATGACTTCTGGGTACATTATCTACAGCCACCAGGGCAAATCTCATCGCCAACAATTCCTCCGCTCATCCACAAGTCGATTGACTCAGGGTTCGATCGCTCAATTGCAATGGGTTTCTTGCGCTCATATGCATATCTTGTAAAATATCCCCTCGACTTTGCAATGGCGAAAGAACATTATCTGGTCCCAGCGGATATTACCTGGATTCAATGGTCAACTTTCATCAACAACTTCCGCTTACTTGGCAATCGAGATGTCGCAAACCGATACCACTACGGGCAGCTACGTCTTTCGCGGTTGAATTGGGCCGTCAGAATCTTTGGTCCACAACATACCCCGACTAGGCTGTTCTACGAGAACAATTACTGGTCTGTAGGCGAGTTCATGGAGAGAGCTACCATTCCTTTACTCTTCTTGTTTGCCAGTATATCCATCGCTCTTTCGGCGATGCAAGTTGCTCTTGCTGTTCCCCTCGAGGGACTTTGGCCTCAGATTTCAAGCAACAATGGGCTCAAGGCGATGGATAGGGCATTTTGGCTTTTTTCCATTGCCATGGTGTTTTTATGGCTTTTCACATGGTTCTTTATCCTCGGTGTCCCATTTCTCATGTTGCTTTTTCAGCTTTTGTTTGCGTGTACTACCAGCCGCAGGAAGTGACTTCCGGACTGGCTATATATCCCTGCTGTCCACGGGTATATATATAATGGGAATTATTCCCTTCAAATCAATGCAACTATACTGACACTCCTAATGTATCGTGGGTAGTCTGCAGCTCCAGTAGCCAACTTGCTATTGCTCCTCTCGCTCTGTATTTCTAGCAGGGCGCTGCTCTGCTCCCCAAACGATATAGAGTGTTTTGAAAATTTTGTTGAAGCAATATGAGCCTGTTTTCTGGTCGCTTATTCATCAACCAGGCGGTTTGGCCGAGTGGTCTAAGGCGATTGAGTATGTTTCACTTCAACCAATTTCCACATGAATTTGCACTAACCATTGCAACAGCTAGAAATCAATTCTCTTCGGAGGCGCATGTTCGAATCATGCAGCCGTCGTGGCATATCTTTTTTGCTCTCAAAACATATTAGTACATCTCATAACTTTTTGCAAGGATGGTGTGCAGAGGTGCGAAGTGTAGCTGAAGGATACAATTAGATGGGCAGGGAGCGATTGGGTAGCATTTCCCTAAGTGTGTGTAATACCCCTTTTTCTTGCTGATGCCCTGATGCAAATTCAATGCCAATGTGTGGAGCTCTGGAGTACTACTCCATACTAAGTAGAGCCAAGGGCTGCTCTAGTTATAGTACATTGAACAGTGACGTTCATGGAATTGTCTTAGTTGGAACATACCGCCCAGGTTGATAGATGTAAGTACAAGATAAAATTTCTTATATTCCATGGATCAAAGCAGAAAACTATACCTTACGCCGTTCACCTGGGCAGGAAAGTTTTTAAGCGTCCTGCAGGAAAACCCAAAGCTGTGGAGCTGTCCAGGGCAGGAAAAGCCCCCAAGTGACTAATCAGGAACGATTATGAAAAAAAGAGCCAATGAAACATGCCAGTCTATTGTAGCCAAATTTCCAGCCGATCGTCAATAACCAGGCGGTTTGGCCGAGTGGTCTAAGGCGATTGAGTATGTTCCACTACTGTAACAGCCACCAGAACCTTCACTAACCAATTCAACAGCTAGAAATCAATTCTCTTCGGAGGCGCATGTTCGAATCATGCAGCCGTCGTGGCAATATCTTTTTGCTCTCCTAGCATAATAACCAACGGGGATGCCTTTGTGAGCGGGATAACCTGTGTGTGGATGTATGGCATGGAGTGCAGTGCAGATCTACAGCGGTAACATTTGTGGGCTACATTTTCATGCCATTTTTTTTTCCGGTTGGCAGAAAACTAACTGGGATTTGGGCAGCTTTACGGAGTACACACTTCTCTTGATGTGAACAACTCAATTGCATACGAGTAAATCTACTCTGTGCTCAGGCTAGCACTAATTTGCACACTTAGTATACCCGTGGACGGAGTACTCCATGGAGAGACTCGAGAGTGAACATAGAAACACTACTCTGTACCCCCTACATGTCCGTCAATAGTTATGCATTTTCTAGGTGTCTTGTAGGGGGAAAAAAACCGAGGCTTGACCTGCTCCATGAGTTTGTCCTGACCCATCCAGAATATTTGCTAGAGGGAGAAACAAGCCGTGGAAACATCTCACCCTGCTGTAGCCAAAAATTTGCCATGGCTTCCATAACCAGGCGGTTTGGCCGAGTGGTCTAAGGCGATTGAGTACGTTTCACCATAAAACATGATCAATCTGAATATTCACTAACCAACGCAACAGCTAGAAATCAATTCTCTTCGGAGGCGCATGTTCGAATCATGCAGCCGTCGTGGCATATCCTTTTTTGCATCTCAGATATTCTCATAGGTTATATTCTTTTTTTGTATTTGTGAACATGGAGAAAAACTTCGTTGTGGGGGTATTAGGGTTGGACGGGAAAGTTTCTTACCGCCCACTACATTTGGCACACCGCCATAATGCACTGGAGAAACACCCCCTCGAATGCAGTTTTGAATGTGAGAGAATGACATACTACGTGTTATGTACTCCGTACTCCATATGATAGTGGTGATTTTAGTTGGCGTTTATATTTTTCTAAGGGCACGGGTGACCGCGTAAGAGCTCTGCATGGTTAGGCATTCAATGGCTTAGCATGATGAGTAGATGAGTAGATGAGTAGATGAGTAGATGAGTAGATGAGTAGATGATATAGCCATCTTCAAGACTGACCGTCAATAACCAAGGCGGTTTGGCCGAGTGGTCTAAGGCGATTGAGTATGTGTCACTAGAAAACATGTTCAATCTGAATTTTCACTAACCAATACAACAGCTCGAAATCAATTCTCTTCGGAGGCGCATGTTCGAATCATGCAGCCGTCGTGGCAATATCTTTTTTGTCTTTTTTTTTGCATTCCATAACAATTTTCTGGGTCTATCGAGGGGAGTGCGATGAGATAATCAAGGCGGTTTGGCCGAGTGGTCTAAGGCGATTGAGTATGTTTCACCATTACAGATGGTCCACCAGAATTTCCACTAACCTTCCTTGCAGCTCGAAATCAATTCTCTTCGGAGGCGCATGTTCGAATCATGCAGCCGTCGTGGTTTTTTTTTTGCATTTCCACCATTCAACAAATTTTTTCGGTTTTGTGTTGCCATGACTCTTCACAACCCAAACCCAAAATGCCGAAGTCACCTACTGCCTACTACGAGTACTTCCACCAGACCACCCTTAGGCCTGGATTTTTTTTTTTACATCGACAGATTAAGTCTTAAATACCTACTCAGCACATTGGGATGAACTTATAGGTTCAAACACTGCAACTCCCAATCTGATTGTGAAAATGGAAAGGTTATTTAGCACAATGGTAAATGATTATATCAGGCCTGCCAAATGTCTAATGGATCAACTGGCTAGTGTGCCTGGACGTTCACAAAGCCATTAAGGGCCAGCCCCTTCAATAACCAAGGCGGTTTGGCCGAGTGGTCTAAGGCGATTGAGTACGTTTCACTTCAACAAATTCCCACCTGAATTTTCACTAACCAATTCAACAGCTAGAAATCAATTCTCTTCGGAGGCGCATGTTCGAATCATGCAGCCGTCGTGGCATATCTTTTTTGCACCCGCGACTCTTGAATCTTTTACTTTTGGGCGAAGGTGGAGACGAAGTACAAGTACGATTGGCGAGAATTTGAAACGAGAATTTGACTCACCAGTGACAGAATGCTCACACATCTGAAGTAAGAAACTCAAATTATGTGTTTCATCGAATCTAGACCTACCATCTCATAGAATAGGTACTCCGTACTGGGTACTGGTATATGCACTAATTGGAGTACGCTCAATCCAAAGATGAGCAAAGCTTTCCGGTTTATTCCCCCAAATCCCCAAAGATCCCCTGAGTTTTACATGACCACACTATGTGCGTTTTGTCGGTGCCAAAACTAGCCCACAATGTGTACGAGTTCTCGTAGAATGGCCCCCTGACAAGGGTACTTACCAGCCCACGTTCCCCAGGTAGGAGTGGATCCTGGTCCAATGATATTACCGAGCCATACCACGCGTCAATGCCGAAACATCAGAAGTGCCTGACAGTGGGGAGCCCTGAATGGCCAGCGGAGCATGTAGAGACTGATCTCATTCTCTGACGGGCAGCCCTAGAACATGATGTCACAGGCAGGGCAAGCCCGAGGATGCATTCGAAGAACAGCACACCTCTGAGACGCATACGAGGTGACTGTGCGAGATATTCGGACAAGTGTCCGCAGAAACCCTGGACAAGAATGGTTTCACATACCTTACCCACATGATTCTAGAGCCGGGCCAAGTACTCGTATCCAATGCCCAATGCATGAGGGATACCATCATATCCAAGACGGAAGAGTTGGTCCGCCAAATGTGAGTGCATTCCCTGGGCCAGTCAAGTCATCACCACCGAGCACAGCCAGAACGGGGACAGTCAGAACCATCACATTCGTGGGCTGGATCCGCTGTTTCGTGGTCGACACATCCCAATTCGCGAATGACGGCGCACCAGCACATAGCGTGCCTGATTTCTGTGTGGGGGCATTACATCAATTCACGATGGTACCCGGAGAGTGTCGGTTATTCGTTGTGTCCTGATCGTCAACGTTTTGCGGCCCTGGAAGGATATCCAACATCCGTTGGCAGACTGTGACTGGATGGCTGTGGAGATGAAGGACTGTCTCCCCTGACGATTGGCACCAAGTGGATGGAGTGATCTCGGCGGTGATGCTTTCAACTGGCAGAATCTGTGCTACGTAAGCGGTCAGCGGACCAATGAGCCGCTCGTCTTCACATTGTAATTCGACAACAGGGCAGACGAGTTGTCCCCCCATCCCCCCACAGTGCGTTTGTTGATTCCCTGTGGAATTTCCTGGGAGAGGAGATTAAAATCTCTGCGTTTGTACTGTGTACAGTCTGATCTCAGGGGCGCACTATAATTAGTTATTATGACTACAGGGTACTCCGTAGCGACCTTGGAAGAAAATTCACCAGGGGGTGAGTCAATGCTTTCCAGGCTCCATTCTAGAATTTCTTTCAAATCAATCTTTGCTGAAAGGAAAAAGAAAGAAAAAAAGCATAGACGAAAAAAACTCTGAGTCAAATTCTTTGAAGTCGTAGAAGAACCTAGAATTCAACCCTTACCCGAGCCACGCATTCTTAATGCAAGGTGTAAAAAGTCAAACTTGCTACCCAAGAAGCCCATGTTTCGGAGTCTGACGAGGCCCTCCGGGACCCTGCATACAAAAGGGTAAAGTCGGACTTCAGTCTTGCCTGATGTGATCGCCGTTCGGTCCGCACGGCAAAGAGCCGGCATCGGCGAGATGGCAGACCCGGGGTGAGCTTTTCGTCATTGGATGTTTCAGTCTTTTTTTTTTTTTTTTACTGTAAAACTATTATTTGTATTTGGTGATATTTTATGCTTATTGGCAATTATGAGGTTGAATTTTCTCAGGTTAGAATCGCCATTATCGCCATCATGTACGAATGGCTAGGAAATCACCTCAATTCATCAATGGGTTTATATTGGCTCGTTCAAGAGGCTCAAATGACGCGAGCAAGGCTCTCATTCGACGGAAGGATCAAAAAGAACCAAAAGATCAGAAAATCTTAGAAAATAAACCAGAAAAATCACGCCTTTGCGACCCAAAGTAGCCTAGTGGGTGTAGCATGCCATTTTTCCCGATCATAAGGTGATGTTCTCTCCAGGCTCCGTAAAAGGATCTGCCAGTGGGGCCTCTTTTTCCTTAGTGACTCACTATGGTCCCCACTGTATAAAGGTACTCACCCCTGCTGCATATCTAGATCCGATTTTTTCTTTCAGTACCTCATCTCGTCCTTTCCAGGAGGTGATGGTCGCTCCTATTTAAGACTCTCTCCGTTCCACTTTTTTATCTTCTTGGGGATCTCCTCCCTCTCCAATTTGACGCATCCTCTTGAGGATGGGCCAGAGGCATAACAGACGTCGAACCCGCCCATCTCACCGCATTGTGCCAGCCTCTCCAGAAACACCTCCCAGCAACTACTGTCAGCTGTCCGAATCTCCATGCAGCTCCCCAGCCACCCTCGCCCCATCATGGCACAATGGGTATATGGCCTGGAAGACCCGTGAACCTTCACGTCTGGAATATGGTCTGGAAAAAGAGCAGCTTCGCCTATTTGGCGGCGAGCCCGGTGACGATGTAACTCTCTGTTACCGAATGCTTGAATACTTCGGCGGACTGGACTATATCGACTCGTGAGTTTCCGACGCCAATCCCAAATTCCTACAACCATCCTAACGGATCCTCCAGCACAAGTGGCCATGCTCTTGGAGATTGAATGTTCGACTTTTATTTTTTTTTCCACACCAAAAAAGTAAACCAACTACATTTTTAACAACGAATTTGCGACGTTTGTGAAATCCGCGTTCGACAAAAAAACACCAAAAAAGCCAATCGAAAAACGGCCGCCAACTGCGTCTGCCGTCTCAATGCGCCAACACCAGAACACCAGATCACACGGGTTTCCCCGGGTCCCTGACTTGCAGCAATGAAGATACCCCCGGTATCGGATTGGTCCCTTTTAACCTGGCCGTGTTGATCATGGTCTGTTGGTTCATCGTACACCTGAGAAAATGAGTCATAGGATGATCGAGTCATCTGCCTACCGGTTAGGTTGAGTTCGCGTTTTTGGACGCTTGAACACCCTTTCTTGGTCGGGTGGGATTCTCATGGCTATGAGCGGTGAGGTGTGCGGTGGATCTGTTCTGTCGAAATCCTCAACCTGATGGGGTTGTTAGGCTGCTAGTGGGGTCGATTGGTTCTTCGATTCTCGTGACTGTCCCCTCTTGGACTGTATCTAGTCACCGTATATATCCATGTGAAGCCTTGAGCTCATTACATATCACAAAAGCAAAAGTTTTTATCATTCCTACATCGAGTTCAGCTTATACTTGTAGTATTCATAGTTGGTGTAGTAGTAAAATTTGGCCCCTTGCGATAAGTTGGAGATGGAGGAGTTGTGGCTATTTTGCCAATAATTCAATAACCTGATGAACTTGAGAACTGATATTTTTGAACCCATAATATTGAAACCCATAAATGGTGATATCCCAAAATCATGTCGTGAGTGTTGACAGTAAGAAAACTGCGAAAGACGCCCAATACTCACCGCCTGCGCCACACAAAGAAACTGCCCATTGATCCCCAAATAGGGCAGGCGGTCAATGGACCCTGCTTGAGGACACGGTCATCACCAGATCAGGAAGTGCGATATTGATTATCCCCCCTTCATCGTTCCTTTGTCTTCTGCCGGACAGGCTCTCAGGCTCTATTCTGGCTTTGATACTACTTACATCTTCACGCGTTCCTCTGACCATCCAAAAGGAGCTCCTGTCAACAGCTCTGTACAACACGCTCTTTAAATTCCGCGGACAGCGGCCACCGCTGTCTGTACCTTGAACCTACCGCAGAATGTCGTCAGACTACACCTACGATGAGCAGGTCAGTATGGAGTCAACCTGGCGAAGAATCAGAAATATTGACATCGCGTGCAGGGTCAATTCTTCCCCTTCTTCATCCTCACCTTGACCGGCTTGGTTACCCTCCCTCTCACCTATAACCTCCTCCGACCTAGCAAAGGTGAGTCCGACACGATGAAATTTCGACTTCCATTCCAGGTATCTAACCAGTTGGTTTTGTTCACAGAACTCGAGAACACCGCCCCCCGCATCAAGTCCGACTTCAAACCGGAACATGCCGATCTCATTGACGCGCAGAAGCGCAAGCGCCTGCGCAAGGAGCGCCGAATCAAGCGCATTGTCACTGTCATTCTTGGATACGCAGTAATGGCATGGATGGTATATTTGATCGTTGTCACGGCCAGAACTGTGGTCAAGGCCTACGACCCTTATGACATTCTGGGCGTCTCGAGGGTGAGTTGTCTCATGTGGTACTTGGCGCAATGCACGAGATCATCAATTGACATCTATCTTCAAATCTAGAGCGCAGATGAGAAAGCTATCTCCAGACACTACAAGCGCATGTCTCTGGTCTACCACCCCGATAAAATCCGCCCCGACCCCGCCAAAAATGAGACCATGGAGACGCTCAACGAACGATTCGTAGAGCTGACCAAGGCCTACAAGGCTCTTACTGACGAGGAGGTGCGCAACAACTACCTCCAATTTGGACACCCCGATGGAAAGCAGAGCTTCAGCATTGGTATCGCTCTTCCCCAATTCATTGTCATGGATGGCAATGGCAAGTATGTTCTGTTGGTTTACGGCGCTCTTTTGGGTGTTCTTCTCCCGTACATTGTTGGCAAGTGGTGGTATGGATCCCAGCGCTACACGAAGGAGCGTGTTCTTGTTGCTAGTGCCGGAAACATCTTCCGCGAGTACAAGGACGACATCACCGAAGGTGGCATCGTCGGTGCTTTGTCGTCCGGCGAAGAATTCAAGGATATGCTGAAAGGTTCCGCGGCCGAATCTGGACTGGCTAAGCTCGAGAAGCGGGTGCTGGCAGATGACAACTCGTTCCTTTCAGCCAAGGACCGTGCCGCCCTGAAGCAATTAGACAGTTCATCGCGCCGCAAGGCTTTGGCTTTGCTCTGGGCTTATCTTGGACGCATCGATCTCGGTGATGCATCTCTCGATGCCGGTAAGAAGGGAATACTGATACCACGTGTAAACACGAGACTAACTTGTAATAGAAAAATACGAGGCCGCACCTGTCGCTCTCTCCCTCACTGAAGCTTTCACTGCCATTGCTCTCGCATTTGGCAACCTCGGACCCATTGTTGGGGCCTTCAAAACCTCCCAGAACCTCATCCAGGCCGTGTCTCCGGGCTCTTCTCCTCTTCTCCAACTTCCCAATTTCACCGACGCTATTGTTAAGTCGGTGGAGGGTGAAGGCACCAAGGAGCACCTCACCATTCAAAAGTATATGGAACTTCCCGAGGCTCAGCGCCGCAGTCTCACCGTTGGTGCTGGCCTTCTATCTGATAAGCAATACACCGACGCCATCACTGTCGCCAAGCAACTCCCCGTTCTCCAACCCGAGAGAATCTTCTTCAAGGTTATGGGCGAGAAGGTCATCACCCCCAGCAGTCTGGTACAGCTGGTTGTCAAGGCACGCTTCATTCCACCAGGCAGCACATCTGTGCCACCTGTGAACCCCTCCGATCTCGAAGACATTGACCCCGATGAGGACGACCTTGAGGCCCTGATGGGTCGCAAGCCGGCCAAGAACCGTACCACCAAGTCCGAGGATGGCAAGAAGGTCGAGTCCAAGATCGAGACCATTCAACCCCCTCTCGCGCACGCCCCGTACCTGGCCCGTGACCACTCCCCTCGCTGGAACATCTTCCTGGCAGACGCCAAGCAGGGCAAGATGGCCGTGCCCCCATTCACATTCACCACATTCGACAAGCCGATCTTCGACGAGGCCGGCAAGCCGACCTACAACGTCCAGACCCTCAAGATGCAGTTCCAGGCTCCCCCACAGGTTGGCGACTTCACTTTCGTCCTCCACATGCTCTGTGATAGCTACATGGGTCTCGACAACACCGCACAGATCACCCTGCACATTGACGATCCCGCCAAGGCCGTGTCTTTGGAGGAAGACGACGACATCAGTGAGCCCGACGAGGGTAAGTCCATTCCACCGAGTAATTTGATCCCTCACACTAACGCACTACAGACTCCATTGCCGGCCAAATGCAAGCCATCAAGACCGGCCAAGCGCCCAAGAAGAAGGCCAAGGATTCCGACGACTCCAGTGAAAGTGACACCGACGGCGACGCAGGCGATACCAGCGATACCGACACAGAGACGGAAGACGAGGATTGATTCCTCTTCCATTGCATGATTGATTGATTGTACTTAGGACTTGTGTGACGTGCGTGGATGTTGGCCTGAGCTTTTCTCGCTTGGACCTACTTCTTGTCAGGACGCTCCAATTGCATCTGTTAATGTCTTTCTACTGTTCATCGGGTAGCTTCGGGGTTTTGTTTTATTCGTTCTATTCCTCTCTGCCTGTTTTTCCCTTATCTCTTTTTTTTTCATGTATCCGCATCTACCGTCCTATGTCCTATGTCCAATGTCTCATGGGTTAGACGGGAACAGACTAGAAAAATGACCAGAAACCTCATCACACAGACTTGTGTACAGACAACCCAAGGGTTCTACCAGACTATTCTAGGTACATCCCTAAGGCAAATACCGCAGATAAACCTGATCAACTCTACCCAGTCCCGGGTACACAACCCAACCAAAAACCAACCCTGGGAGTAGAAAACGGCGTCTCACAACCATCCCCCTCCTGGATCACTGCCAGTCCAAGCTCCTACCTAAGTCACAAACCATAATCTTAAGTCTCACTCCATTTCCTAGCTTAATGCCAGATCAATTCATTACTATGTCGTGATCGGTGCCACTGTATGACCGCACAATCGAGATCTGTTAGCTGATTACTCTCGAGCCCTGCTACATCCAACTTGGAACTTCCGTAAAAAAGCTATGTCATTGCGTGATACGATCAACAAATTAATACCTGGGTATGCGTGTAGATTGTTCCAATGTGGCTCCTGATTGGGGAATAATGTACCATGTACTATGTAAAGATACATCCACATGAAGGGGATACCAATAAGGCAAAGAGACATCTCACGGTCAGGTGGCAAGTATCTTGTCTATGTATCCAAGGATATCGTATCAGAGCCGAAGTAACTGCGTGTAGCTAAGAAGTACCTAGTCTCGTGCTATTTGTACAAAACGAGGGACACGGATGGGTAAGTTTTAATAGTAGATTGATAGGGTTTGCTTTCCAGCTAACTATTAGCCGAAAAGCAGACTCAGCAGACTTTGAACCCGAAACAATGTAATAGGGAATCCAAGTGGACCAATGTGCCAGACATATATCCCAATAAACCCGCAAGTATTCCAGTCCATGCTTCGACTTGGAAGCATGCATCCAAGGGTAAATCCAAATCCAACAGTGATAAAAAAAGGGGGTATAAATGAAACGAAGGGATAGAAAGTAAAATCATCACTCATAGTCCAAAAGCGAGGGAGGATAAAAAAAATGTATAAATCAAGAAGTGAAAGGAAAAGCTGCTCAACAGCCTATGCACGAATCTTGAGTTCAGAAAAAAGAAAAAGCAGGAACTCCCAAGTGTATCGTGTCGGATGCAAAATTGAAAGCTAGGCAGAAGGGAAATTCCAACCAGGTGTAAACCCAGGATAGAATGTCTCGTTCCCTTGGAACTGGAACTCGCCCATCATTTCCGCAGACAAGTTCATGTGGCCATTATGATCGAGAGGCATTCTCGAGACAGGCTTGACATCCGTCTGGTCGCAGCATCCAAGCGCATACGGAAAGGCGTGATCCTGCAGACTGGATGAGGTAGCTAAGTCGACGTGAGGGATATCCGTGATATCAGGGGCTGTCATTGAGCGGGGCAAGGGCATGAGGTCGTGATAGTTATCCTGGTAATAAGATTGGACAGGGAGATCCCACTGCCAATTTGGGGCTGTGGTTGAGCGGGAGAGAGGCGCGGGCATTGGGCGGGAGATGGGGAATGGTTCTGGGGGTGTGCTTGGTTCTGGGGAGGGTTCGGCTGTGACGCTGCATTCGGTGGAGGTGGAGAGGAGGCGCAGATAGCGGAGATCCTCTGTGTCTTCGTCTGGTTCGTCTGCGTTTTCTTCCGCTTGTTTGATGAGCCCTAGACGGTCGAGGATGGCATGTGTGAGTGGGTGGCCGTCTGGTGCTTCGGCGAGAGGATCACCGGGAAAGCCTTCGTTGTTAATGCAGAACTTGTATAATTTTTGCAAAGCCTTGACGACTAGTGAGTGGTGGGATTCGAGCATTTCCACAAATCTATTGCTATCAGCGGGGTTGCTCACGGTATTAGCATGTGAACAGAGAGACTCACCCTCGTGAGTAGACTTTGGTCTGAGTGGCTTTTCGTTCGCGGAAGAGACATGGGTGATTGTATACGGAGCAGCGATTGCAGGGTTGTTTCCCATCGCACTGGTGAAGGTTAGTTGGGTTCGGCGCCAAATTGGAGAGAAAGATCGTACTTTGGTCTTTTTCACGCGACAGCGATCACAGGCTTTGAGGACATGTTTGCGCTTGACCCGAAAGACGCGCTGGTCGCGCTTGTCTTCAGTGCGGGCACGATGTTCCAACTCGGACAGTGATGCCATGGCGGCAAAGTCGTCAATGCTATGCGGGAAGCCCTTGGGGCGAAGCTTTGGCTGCCACGACATGGATATCATATTGAAAACTACACCAAGCCAGGGAGAGATTGCAATGCAGAGGATAAATAGGGGGAGAGAGAGAGAGGATGCAGGGAAAGTAAAAAAGAAAAGAAAAGGGAAAAAACAAGCAGACAAGAATGAAAACCGATCGAGGCCCCCGCATATAACGAGATACTTCGTCGTGACGTGGAGAGGACAGGCTTGACTGTCGAAAATGTTTTTGTCATACGAGTGCTGACACTGCACGTCAGAGCGAAGGTCTCCCGCTTGACGATGGTAGACGCCGTCTCACCAATCACGGCCCCGGTCGATCTGCAGCGTGCTTTCAATCCTCTGGAGGGTCAAGGCTCGACAACACAGACGTGGGACAGTGTGATATGCCAAAGCATCAACAGAAAGGGGACTTAGTAGAGGGCAAGTATAGCCCCTCGAGTCACTCCCCACTAGTCATCCACTAGTATTCGGGGATTCAAGAGAGACTGAAGCGGGGTCAGACGAAAAGGCACCCCCGGTAAGGCCTGCATTGCACACAAACACGGCGCCTCAGATCCCGAATCGGCCCTGATCTCAACTCAAGATCTGGTGGGTTTGCTTTTGCCATGGGCTGTTTCTGAGTCTGAGTCTGAGAGCCTGAGCCTTGGTATCTGTGAGTCTGTGAGTCGTGAGTCGTGAGTCGTGAGTCTGTGAATCGTGAATCGTGAATCGTGAAATCATGAACCTGTGAATCAGTGAGCTGGGGACTGTGTCTGTACTCAGCTGAGCACAGGGAACAAGGTGGCAGGTCTCCCCGATGGGAGAGCCTCAAGTTACGTCAGGGTATGAACAGGGGGACTATTGATTCATCTATGCATATTTGAAAAAGAAAAAGGGGGAAAAGAAAGGGTAAAAAGAAGGAATAGGCCTATAGGAGGAACAGGTGATGAGAAACCGCATTGAACATGCAGCTATAGTCTCAACATCAGACAGACATCAGATATTGCAATTTCCCAGAGACCACGAGGACAAGGGCCTTGGCAAATAATAAAAAAAAGCAATTACAAGGGGAACAAAAAAAGAGGGAATTGACACCGTTCAGACCCTCTCTGCAAAAAAGTGTACAGCAAGAGAAAGCCCTGGAGAAACCCAACGTCAAAGCCCCCAGTACAGAACCCGATCAGCAGACCAGATTCGGGTCGATGTTTGCTTTAGGAGCCTGATTTTTCAAGCAGAATACTCGCTTCACCCCTGGCAAGCAAATCAAAGCTCTCCTCACTAGTCGCCGTGCCGGGTGAATCAGGCTCTGTGTAAGCCCCCTCCATGGCCAGGGGTAGAGCCTGCCGGCGATCGCCTACCCATTCGACGCCATCCCCGACGCCACACACCCCGGGTCTGCGACGCTCGTGCTCGCGCTCAAGGAGGGGCAGACCGTCATCAGCCAGGGGGAGATTGCGGCGGTGCCATTCGCCCACGAACATGCCCTCCGGATCGACTTCGTTGCGGACCTTCATCCACGCGTCCATTTGCTCGCCGTAGGTGCGCGCCAGCTCTTGTGGGCCCAAGGTATGGAAATTCTTCGCCCAGTGCGGTTTGGCGCCCAGGTCGCGCATCAGCCATTCGAAGGCTTCATAGTATCGGCGGCGGCACGGCGGGTCGCGGAGATAAGGCCGGTAGAGGGTTGCATTGAGGTAGAGGGTTGGGCCGTCGGGGGAGGTCGGGTCGAGGAACGGGCGGGGTTTTTCGTTCAGAGTGGTGTCGGAGACTCGGACTTCGACAGGGCAGTGGACCCAGAGGTCTTTGGAACTGAAGGGGATACCGGTGGTGGGGTCCCCGTTGAGCCAGGCGGAGAGTCGACTGATGGCCTCGGGGCCCTTCTCGAGCGGGAGGGCCCATTCGTTCACGAACTGGGAGTAGAGACAGTTCATCAGGAGACCTTCTCGCGCGGGCTCAACGGCCTCGGTCACCGTGGAGCCGGCGCGGAAGCCATACTGCATGCCGAAGACGAACCATTCCACCCAGGGGAGAATGCGCGGGAAGTAGGAGGAGAGCGCGAGGAGGTTGTGGTAGATGTGGTAGCCAAGGGAGTCGCCGTAGAAGTTTTTGGGAGGTGCGCGCAGGGGCTGGTCGGTTTTATCGGCCCGCCAGACGATAGCACCCTTCTCATATGGCAACCACCAGACACGCACGAATTCATGGGTAGTCCACAAACCGGTCGACCATTCGCTCAGCACGCGGCCGAGCGAATACCGTTCCTGGCGCCATGCGATATTGAACGAGGGCCGGGCCTTGAAGGTGACTTCGACAACGATTCCGAGGGCTCCGAGGGAGACCAGGCCGGCGCGGAAGAGGTCGATGTTATTGGTCGGGCTACAGCGGACGAATTGACCATTGGCGAGCACGAGGCCGAGCGAATCAATGCATTCCGACAGCAGGCCGTGGCGGAGGGAGGAGCCGTGGGTTCCTGTCGCAATGACACCGGCGATGGACTGACTATCAATGCTGCCTAGGTTCGGGAGGGTCAAGCCATGTTTTTCCAGCTGGGCGCCCAGGTTGCCCAATCGAATGCCTGCCTCGACGGTAACAGTGCCGCTTGGGTCAATGTCGAGGATGCGATCGAAGTTGTCGAGATTGACTAGCCAGGACGAGGTGCAGGTGAGATCGGAGGGGGAATGGCCACTGCCGACAGTGACCAGACGACGACGACAGCGCCTGGCAAGTGTCACCAGCTGCTGAATCTCCGGGATAGACTGTGGGCGGATGTACAGCTCCGGACGCGAGAAGAACGTCTTGGCCCACGTGTGATGCAGGTGGTCAGTGGACGAGCGGAACGGTACCGCAGGGTCGAGCTTCGCGAGCTCACGAAGGATGAAAGGATCCATTGAAATTGATGACTCACGGCATCTTGAAATGATTGAAAGGATCGGGGATCGATCGGGGTGGCAGAGATGAATCGGCTAATATAGGATGGCGACATGCCCTTTTTTTATCTCCGTCGTTCCGCTCCGCATCGTACGTTTTGCACATTTACTTTTGCAAACAATATTTATAACAATGGGATCCAGTAAAAACATAGTAAAGTAGTCAATTGAAAGAGCAATGAGAAGACGCCTACAAAGATATACTGAAGCATAGAAAAAACCATGGATGTCTAGTAGAGATATATCCATCAGACCACCTACTCAGACACTGCCCTCAACTTTAGAACATCTTGAGCCCATGAAACTTTAGAAGATACTTGAGTAAAAAACAATCAAAATCAATTCAACCTAATTACACCATAAATGCAAGTCCGCCTATCTACATCCCATGCTCCGTTGTTCTATGAAGTAGATGACCCCCCCGAAATATTCCCCATATCCACACAGGCCGAAGTATGCACAAACAAGAGGAAAATAATAAAAACATACACATCACTCGTTATCCCCGAGCGAGCGAAGCGACTCAATCACCACATCGAGAGGGAACACGAATGGCGCGTGGTGGTTACGCGGGTTCCATTTGCGGAACGCGCTCTGGCACCGATCAGCAACGCCGCCGAGTGCAACATAACTCTTAGGGATGAACGGGCGATCCTGAAGAGAAGTGGCGAGAATGCCGTATTCGTGCGCAAAGACAACGGCTGAGGCGAAATCGGCCGACTTCTGAATGGCTTGTTCGCCGACGATACTGGAGAGAATCAGTGTTAGGGATTGAATGCGAAAGAGAATGGAAGGGGTGAAACTTACACATAAATCTCAAAGAAGGTGTCCAAAATGTAGACGTCCTTTTCGCCAAGGTCACGGTAGCAGAATGGCTCAATCTCCTGCACGCAATCATTGGGCCTCACAACCGGCGAGCCAGAGCCAGGGCGGCGCAGGTTCCAGAACCGAGTAGGTTGGCCGAGCTCGTGGTCGACACGGAGCAGCCGAGTGCGGAAGTGACTGTATTTAGGCTTAAGGCGCCAGTAGTCCTGACACATGTGCGGTGCCGCTTCTCGGGGGCCTGCGAACACATCGAAGAAGTCTTCGGGTTCTTCTCCTTCGGCGACTTCTTCAAACTCGCCCGTCAGACCCAAGTCCATGCCGATGAGTCGGGCAGCACCGGTCTCTTCGGGTCCACTGCCTTTGCCCTTCCATAGGTAAAGCTTGCCAAAGGGAGCTGAGACAACATAGGGGAAACCGGAGCACAGGTTGCGCAGAGAGTAGTCCACCTCGTCGAAGGTCATTTGACCCAAGTGCTTACGACCACAAAGCATGTAAAGAGCCGATGAGTTGTGACGGGAGCTGGATCCGCGACGGGTGATCATGATGCCACCAAGCGCTTGAATGAATCGCGTCGGCTCCTTGCCCTGGCGGATGACTTGCAGCTTTGAGCTGTTTTCGCGGGCGACCTTGCGCGCAAAGGCTTGCTCGCTGTCGACCGCGGTATCAGGGACATCGTCTCCACGCCACAGGTATACCTCTGAAGTTGTGCTTCGTCCAATCTCGAAAATGTGCACGCAAATATACATGCTTCCTTGGTAGAGAATGTACTCCTGGTGAGAAGGGAGTTCTTGCCGTCTACCGTCGCCCGTGAGTTCCCAGATATGACGCTTGACCGTCCGAATTTTGGTGTTGTCCGGCTTGCTCATTAGTGACACCTGGGGATCGATGTCCATCCGGTTCTGAGGATTAGGGAACGTCTTGAAGAAGCCCGAAATGACCTCTCTAGCCTCGCTGGCCTGGGCAACCAATGACGGAGCAGACATTTTCCGGGAAAGTCTGCGGGGGTCAACTGGCTTTGGGGGCGTAGCTTCCTCGTCCTTAGGGGGGACAGGCGGAGAGGCATGGTTGACAGGTTGGCCAAGAGCTTCCCGAGATGAACCAACGGTGATACCGGATGTACTACTATGCTGAGTAGCGGCAGAATCCCTTCGATTCTCATTGTAGTTTGTCCTCAAGGGTGATGGAGAAGGTGACGCATATCGGTTCTGCTGCATCCATCTTGACTTAGGTGTAGAGGGTGACAATGATGAGGGAGAGTTGGACTTCGAAGGAACAGGTGGCCCGCTTGATGGACTTGGTTCCCCGGGGCTCACAGGCCCGCGCGGTGTAGCCTCAGCTGCATGAGAAGGGAATGTGTTGAAATCCGTTGTCAGGGATCGGGGCTCAAGCGGCGACGGATATCTGCGTGGAGGGTCACTTTTGAGAGGAACTGGGGGCGCCACATCCTCTTCTGTGTGTTGCTCAATCGAAGGTTGTTCGATGGTCTTTTGTGTTTCAAGTGGCTCGACAGAAGACTCTTTGACAGGGAGTTGCTCAACGATGGGCTCCTTAACGATCAGGCTCTCAACGGAGGACTGCTTCTTTAAGAATTGCTCAACGGGGAGTTGCTCAGCAATGGACTCTCCAGCACGTAGGCTGTCAACGGAGGACCGCTCCTTCAAGGGTTGCTCAGAAGGGAGTTGCTCAATTGCCGGCTGCTCAACAGACGGCTCCTCAATATGGAGTTGTTCGGCAGAAGCCATGTCGAGAGGCTGCTTTTCAGCACCGAGACCATTAACAGAAGACTCCTCAACAGAAAGCCGTTCGATAGAAGGCTGTACAACAGTTGGCTCCTCGATAGAAAGCTCGTCAGAGGAAAGTTGCCCAACAAGGGATGGGATAACAACAGGATTTTCGGCATGCAAGTCTGCATGAGCAGGAAGCCGCTCATCAAGGGACTCCTCATTATGGATTTTCTCGGCGAGGGAATCTTCAACACTGAAGGCTTCGGACGAAGGTCTTTCATCGTGGGACTTCTCGTGGGTTACCTCGGGAGAAGTTTCTGTGACCGCGGGTTGGTCGGCAACAGTCTCTTCGGCATGGAATTGCTCGGATGCATGTCGCTCAGCAACGAGATTATCGCTTGGAGGTAGATCGAAAGAAAAGTCTCCGAAAGGAGCTGGCTTAGCGATTGCGATAGACTCTTCGGCGTCGGAGGCCTCGGCCGAAGGAGGCTCGTCAATAGATTTCTCACCGGGGACAGCCTGCGTAGATGGCTGCTTTTCGACAGAGATTTTCTCAGTGACAGGCTGCTCAACGTGGAATTCCTCCGATGAAGGCCGCTCATCTAGGAAACTCTCACTACGGAGTAGCTCAGGAGAAGAAGGTGCACCGTTAGATAGTCGCTGGGCGATGCGCTCTTCACCAGGGAATTCTTCAGAGAGAGGGCGCTCATCGACGAATTTCTCATTACGCAGTAACTCCGGAGAAGAGGGTATATCGAAAGATAGCCGCTCAGCGATAGGCTCTTTGGCATGGACTTCTTCAGAGAGAGGGCGCTCATCGATGAACTTATCAGTACGAAGCAGCTCCGGAGAAGAAGGTAGACCGAAAGATAGTCGCTCGGGCATAGGCTCTTCAGCATGGAATTCTTCAGACAAGGGACGCTCATCAACAAATTTGGCACTAGGGAGTAACTCAGGGGAAGAAGGTTCCTCGACAGGAGATTTCTCGACGATAGGCTCTTCGGCGTGTAGAGTTTCGGAGGAAGGTCGCTCATCGCGGGGTTGTTCAACAGGGCATGACTCGGTAGGAAGCTGTTCGGCATGGGTCTCTTCGGCGGAGGAGGACTGTTCGAAGGAAGGTTGCTCGACGGGAAGCTGCTCAGCAGGGAGTTGCACAGCAGGAGGATCTTCGATGGGCAAGTGCTCGGCTACAGGGCTCTCTGGACGAGGGATCTCGGTGTCAGGAACAGAATCATCATTTTGCGAGAGACGGTTCGAATCGTCGTCAAAAGACTCAACAGGGAATGGAGAAGTCTGTGATGGAACGGCATCAGAGCAGGAGATAGCACCAACCTGCTTATTAGAATCCTGAGCGGGCGGAGTCGAAGCCGCAGCCTGGGGAGGACGTCTCTTGGGGCCTCTAGCCCGGCTCTTGGTTGCGTGTTCGAGGGGCGCAGATGGGACTGGGCTGCTTTGCGTAGAGGTGGTCGATAGGTCCTTCTTCGGTCCTTCAGGGGCAGGCGGGCCACGAGAAAGGAGACCTGCGAGGGCAGGGTTGATTCGGCCGGCCAATTTGCTTTTCGCGGCTTGAACTGGGCTTACGGGGGCTTCTGCGACGGGTGTCTGTGAAAGCCTATGGAGCGAGCTTGGTTTCGCGACCACAGGGGACTGATCCTTCTCCACGACGGGCTCAGCGGGCTCGATGACTTCACTGGATTCTTCTTGGCGAGCCGAGTCCAGCTCAGGGACATCCTGGTTGTTGCTGATCGCGTGCGCTGTCTCTGACTTTTCATCAACGAGATCGGTGGCAGGTGATGGAGAGGCCGGTTGCTGATCTTTGGCTGAAGCCGAAGCAGGAACATCAGGTTTCAGAGGCCAGCCTGGTCCGTCCAACCCATCATCGGCAGGGAAGGGCGACAAGGGTTCCTGTTCTTGTGAGGTTCGGGAAGAACCCATGTCCTTGAAAGATGAAGTCGGGGAGAATGGCTTCCTGTCCTGGGATGCCCGCGAGCCAACGCTCTTGGAGGGCGAGATAGGCTCATCCACAATGTTTTGCTTGATGCTGTTGGCCCTGGCCATGCTCTGACGCTTCGTGATTGCCTCCGGTACGGCTTCAGCGGGCTTCGGCGCATCCTTCTCCCCGGCAGTGTTGCGTCTGATAGAGCCTCCACCTGCCTTCATCTCGTCTTTCCGCATGACGAGACTTCTCCTGAACTCGTCAACGCGCTCAGTCTTCTTCGGTCCGCCGGTTTCATTGAGAGCAGCTTTCCCCCGTAGGATATTTCCCTTGAGTTCATCGGGGGCAACATAGTTGCGAGTCTCCGTTTTTTTAAGTCGCCCGAATACATTCTTGAACTCTGGCTCCTTCTCCTGTTCATTATCTTTAACGACCTCACGCTTCCTTAAGTTTGCTCGGAAGTCGGGCTCCTTCTCCTGCTCGGTATCCTTAACGACCTCGCGCTTCCTGAGGTTCGCTCGGAAATCAGTCTCTTTCTCTTTCTCGGCCTCTTTCACAACCTCGCGTTTCTTCAGGTTGGCACGGAAGTCAATGACTGGTGATTGTGCTGGCTTGGGCTTGGGCGAGATTGGGCCCCGCGAGGAGGTATTGATAGAGAAGTTGGGCTTAGGACTGACCAAAGACTTAGGAGGGTCTCTGGGAGTTGGTGTGGCTTCAGGCTCGGGTGTACGTTCAGCCCCGACGGGAGTCTGCGGATCTAGTGAACCAGGTGATTTGATTTCGGCATCATCATGAGGAGCACCGCTGGGTTCTTCCATCGATTCCCCGCCCGACAGGGCCTTCAGGGTATCCTCAATGTGGGATTCAGAGGGGGGTGCATCTTGTGTGGGGTTGGGAGTAGAAGTGTCGAGAGCTAGCGAAGACTCCGGGACATTCTCTTTGGAAGTACCGTCTGGGCTTGCAATTTCCGAGGTACCCGAGACAGATTTTTTGAAATAACTTCCTGACGGAGAAGCAGGTGTCATCTCTGCGGCGTTAACCGTAGGGCTTCCGGAGAGCGATGCCGCCGACAAGCTAGGTTTCCGGAAGGGGAATTCTGCTGGGGACTCAGGAATAGCTTCTGTAGATTTACCCTCGAGGCTTTCGGGGAAAGACTGATCGGGGATGCTAGGCCCCTTCAGAGGAGATGCCAACGGAGAGCCAGGAAGTGCCTCTTTGAGCTTACCGTCAGGGCTTCCAGAGACAGAAGCACCAGAGACACTTGTCTTTTTGAGGGGGAAGCCTATGGGAGACTCTGGAGGATTCTCCTTATCGGGGCTTGATGGAAGCGAAGGGCCCGAAACGCCTGATTTCTTGAGAAGACCTGGTGGAGGGGTGCGCATCAAGCCAACGGGAGTGACTTCTTTGAAACTGTTCACGCGCCCCATATCAACACTCCCACGAGACTGGCGATCTCTGGCCCAGTTGGGCTGTTGCGATGGGGGCCTGGCGGGCTGACGGGGGAGTTCTGGTCGGTTGAGGGCACTTTCCAACCAAGTCGCCTTGCTTGGACTCCAGCGACGGGGATCCATTGTTTTAGAGACGAACGGGCTCGATTGTGCGTCACTACCATCAGCTGTCACGGAACTCGCAGATCGCGAATGACTGGGTCGGAACACTCTGCTTGGACTACCTTCAGCACGGATACTTTCTCTATCTCCAATAGCGGGCGTAGAGGGAGTAGTTGGTCGTTCAGTTGTTTCTGTGTGGGCGTCGCTGTGGCTTGAGTCGGGTCGAGGTGGGAGAGTTGATGAGTCTCCTCGAGGTCGGGACAGAGGAGGAGGGCCCATCTCTCCCAGACTTGGGCCGGTCACACTGCTGCGATTTGAAATAATGGAGTTTGAACGACTAAGCCCTTGTGGAACCTGTGCACTCCATCTTTTTGACACGCTATCCGATCTTCTCATCATGGCACTTTGCACAAAGCCTCCCATTCCCTTTGTTGGCGAAGTGGATCGACTGCGTTCTGGTGACATGCGCCGCTGGCTGGGTGAGGCTGCAGGCTCTTCAACAGAAGCATCAGCCTGTCGAGGCTCCAACTTCTGTGCCTCTGACAAATGTACCGGAGAACCCAAACCAGCTGAGACAGATGATACAGAGAAGCGATGGCTGAAAGTGCTATCCCGAGACCCAGTCCCTGGGGGCGATGATGGTCTCTCTTCTACTGCCTCTAGTTTATCTAGCTTGGCACTTGGTTCCTCGCTCGCCTCTGGTACTTGAGGTGTCACCTGGGGCTCTGCCTGACTCTCCGACCGTTCTTCTTTCTCCCGACTTGGCGAGACCGGCGCCCGCTCCGGTGACCGAGAGAATCCTGCAAAATCTTTCGACAGCCGTGGAAAACCATACTGAGAGCGAGGTCTATCATCTGATGCTGTGGAGTGGTGTCTGAGGTGGCTTGCGCGAGTTGGGGAACGGGTGGGGGAGGTTGAACCGGGGGACATGGAGCCGAATTCCCGCGAAGGTGGCCTTTGCTGCCACGACAGGGTTCCCGCGCGGCTCCGGGACAGCATGGGCGGTTCCCGTGGTTGAGTGTCCATGGGTTCCTGGACTGACCCGCGCCTCGTGTCCGTGGGAGATGTGTCTTCGCTCAAATCCACGCCATTTGCATTCGGCTCTGTGTGTGGTGTGGGTTCGAGGTGCTCTGGAGGGTTGATTGACCCGGGACTAATGGAGGAGGCGCTCAGGCGGGCGATATTCAGTGTGGACGAGTCATCGGTAAGGGCGAGAGATCGGGCTCGCTCTGCATTGAGTCAGAACCCAGAATATCAGCTATGATCCCGCACATTCCAGGTGCACAGTGACAGGGGGGAAGAGGGGCATACCGGCTCTTCGGGCTTGTCTTTCTTTCCGCCCCTGCAAGATCTCTTCTTCTAGTTTCTTGGTGCGCTCGTCGTCTTCTTTGTCGCGACGCTCGCCGAGTTCCCGAATGCGCTGAAGGAAGTCATTGACATCCTCAGAGCTCTCGTTGGACGCCATGATGTGTAAACACCGGTTGAAAACGGGGAGTTGCAAAGTGGAAGAGTCCCCAAGGGCTGTTTTCTCCGCCCTGTTTAAATTAAATCGGGGCGTGATGATCAGCACAATTTTCCCATCCCATCTGCCTCTGCTGTGATAGGCGAGATACCTTAAGTACCTTTAGTACTTTTTAGTGTATTACTTTAAGCACCTTGACGCTGCATTCGACTGTCACACTATGCTGAAACTGGTTTGTTTACGAGTATGTTGTGGATCGGCTATCCGCCCCGCAGTTGTCGCCGCGTTCCATCTGGCGACTTTTGTTCAGGGGTTGACCTCGCTAAGTATTGAGTATCGTGTGGACAGAGTACGGAGGACTATTGAGTGCTGCGTAACCCAGTCTAATGAGTAAAGTAGCTTGGAAATGATATATCACTTGCACCTTGCATGCTCTAGGGGGTGTATTTGAAACGGAAAAGCATAGTCGTAGTCCTTTTGCTATAACGTGTATGGAATCTCGGGTGAGGGTTGTGATCTATACTGCCAGCTGGTCCTGACCTATCGGATGAGGATGAGCTGGTTCCTCTGCAATCTGGTCTCAACGGCGTTGAAGGTCCTTGCGTAGACCGGGATTACGGGAGTACCGAGATGCACGACATGGCTCGTTGTGAGAATATCGCCAGATGAAAACTCGACTGCACAGAAGTTAAAGTTAAATGTCCGTGCCGAGTAAACCGGTATGGCGTCCAAGTCTCGTTAAGCCTGGTCGTGATCGAACGTGGGAGGTTAGCGGTCGAGTCCCCGGGGCCTTAGTAGAGGAAGAGACGGTCTTTGGCATCCTGAACCACCCATTCTAATCCCTCATTAAGATTGTTGCCCGTCATGGCACTGCATGGGAGAATCGTCCATTTGTGCGTTTTGATTGAATCCAAGTCAAGGCGCTGTAAAAATCAGTCAGGTCCACAACCAAGCGGGAAACATGAGAAAATGCCTCAAGAAAATCCCATACCTGTCGAACTTCATGCTCGCTCATGCAATGTTCCACATCTGTTTTATTTAAAAAGACCAAGAGGCTGGCTCCCATCAGTCGCTGAGAAGTGGTCAGTTGGGGAGATTTTGCGGGTGGTGGGACTGTCCGCACCTCTTCCAACAGCAAACCGGAAAGCTCCTGTCGGCAATCATCAACACGGAGGCGATCAGTGGCATCAACTACCCAAACTAGGGTGTCGGTCTTTTCGAAATAGTTTTTCCAATAGGATCGGAGGGTTTTTTGCCCACCGACATCCCCTGTAGCGGTCAGTATGAGGTTGCGCCTTCGGATCACTCGGGCTCACAGATGTTGAGTTTATATCTGCTTCAAGGTTAGCGGAGCCCCGGGCCGGAAGGCGGGAGACTTACCCCATGAAGTCAATGGTTTTGATAATGAAGCCCAATGTTGGGCTGACCGTCGTGACATCCTCGTTCATGATGCGCTTGACAATGGTCGTCTTGCCGGCATTGTCGAGGCCCCTGCGATCATCAGTGTCTCGGCATGAACGCGGCTGGCAGGAACGCATACAACATCAGAATCCGCATCTCCTTGTCCTTTAAACGAGCCTTTCTCAGTATTGACAACATGGTGGATGTGTGAGGGGGAGGTTGGAAAAGGGAAGTTGGTTCCAGGCTTGGAGTTCCGATTGAGGCTCTGAGCCCTATGTTGATCACCACTATACTAAGGTATTGTCCCCGGTCAATGGTCTTGAACAATGTATGGTGCAGACTAACTATAATCAGGCATTTTTGGGGGTTTCCATTTTCTTTTGTTCATGGCCAGGTCAATAAGGTCATTAACTAGGAACAATAACAGCATAGGCCTGTCCGTACAGCTCCCGTCTTTCTATGGCCCGTAGCTTTTTTTGTATGAACTGCCATTATGAATAGATAGACCAATTGCGCCTTTGGGCACACGATCATTGTTATTTCGGCAAAAGTAGAAGTCGTCAACTTGGATATTTAGGTGGTTGTGAGTTACACTTTCGACTCTCCTCCTCCACCTCTCTCACTCTTTCGCTTTCCCGTCACTTTTCCTCCCCATCTTTCACACTCTTTGAATTCTTTACCCCTCATACTCTACCACTTGCGGTGTTGATCCCGTGTTTCTTCTCACAGTCTGATCCGAGTAAGTCCACCCCATAGCTTTCGTCCTGAGTACGCTGGTCGTACCCTCGAAGTGAGCCCTTGAACCTGATCTACTTTTCACACAACCCCACTCCTTCTGAATCACTCTTCTTCCCACAGCAGTTGACTCAAGTTTCTCGACCTTTTGCACTGATCCTTTTGTTTGATAGCACTATTGCAAAATGGAACACGAACCCGTTGAGCGGTTCCCGGACAAGCCGCACCATGTGCGCAAGGAACCAACTCCGCTATTCAACGATCCGAAAATGACCCAAGCGGACAAGACCGCCAAAGCTCGTGCCATAATGGCCTCTCCTGCCTTGTACACTCTCACTCAGAGCGAGATCAACGAGCTCATCGTGAACCTGGGTGACCTCTCCTGGGAGGAAACTCAAGTCATTGCTCGGCGTTACAGAAGCCGGAACCCAATCCCCGCTCCAGTCAAGATTTGGTATCCTGGTATGCCTGGCATGGAGGATGAGAATCACTCTTGTCCTGAGAAGCTTCCCAAGGCCCGGGGTGGACCTGGATCCGACCTCGGAAGCGACATCTACAACCGCCTCGCCCAGCCCCGACTGTCTCCTGGAGTCGAGAAAGCTGAGCCATGGTCGGAGTCGGCTCCCCAAAGTGTACTCCCCGACGCTGCTTATGGAGATGAACGACTGAGCAGATGGTCGTCGACCTATAGGTTTGACGCGGATATTTTCAGATCGCAGTTGGCAGACCAGATCGCGGCTGAACTGAAGGCTTATGAAGATACCAACCCCCTCTTTCCAATCGTGCAAAATGGAAATCTGACTTTCACCACTGAGTCCGACAAGATTGTTTACAACCCCCGGCCCACTTCCTTCGAGGGTTGTGGTTTGACTCTTGAGCCAGGCGAGGTGTGGAGTGACTGGAACATTGAATGCAAGGTTTCGTCATATTCTGTTCCAAACTCAGTTGCCAGGAAGCAGTTTACCAAATGGTTTAACCAGCTGCCAGATGATCCACAAGTGGTCGACATTTTCCGCACTTCCTTTTTTGATGGAAGCGCCATGTCCGATGGAGTCTCTGCAATGTTTTTGCCAGACATCAAGCATCTCCCAACTCCCAGGAACATGAAGGATAAGATGACTAGTCTCCACTGGCATGAGACATCTCAGGGCTACGCTTACAACTGGAGTCCTGCCAACCAAAAGCGTATCAAGGACGAAGAGGAGAGAAAACTTGAGCAGCGCCGCATGGCACCTTTCCAAGCTTGGCTCAACTTGCCCCCAGGCTCAAAGGTTGTGCCCCCTAACATCTTTCTACGTCCAGCTGAGCACTACGATTTGCAAACATGTGAAGAGATCATGCAATGGTATACGGACAACTCATTCGTCAGCGGTGATCTCAGTCCCATGAAAAAGAAGGATTGGGAGCAGCTGCTTTCCACCTGCCGTGATGCGAAACTTCCTTTTGTTGTTGCTGCCCTGCGTCTCCCTTGGAAGTACCACAACGAGCAGATTGATCCCGCCATTGGATTTGCCTATGTCAAGCACCACCGCCCCAACAACGGCGCCGACGCCTCCATGGGCGAGTTGCAGGTTTTCGTCCAGGACCAGCACAAGAAACGTCACATCGGACGGGCTCTTGTTCACAAGATCATCTCCTGTTTTGAGACTGATATCAACGCTGCTGAGACCAAGGATTATGATTTCGACAAAACTGGTACCGTGCAGTACGGTCCCTGCTACAGCGAATCGCCCACCACTCTGATTTGTGTTGTTGCAGACACTCCCGGGCCAAAGAAGGAGAATGCCTGGGTGAAGAAGTGGCTGTCGAAGGACTTCGGATTCAAGGAGATGGGTATTTTCAAGGATGCCAGAACTAAGTTCGGCAAGACGTACGTACATACTCCATGCCCCACTCCTCGATCTTTCTTACTCACACGATCTTTTAGGTTTGACCTTTGCTACATGGCTCACCAAATCAATTATCCCAAGGTGAAGGAGGAGCCGAAGGTGAGAGTCAAGGTGGAAATCAAGGATGAAATCATGCTCGAAACTGTGGAGAAAACCATTGAGGTCTCCGCCGTGTCCCAGCAAGCTGGCGTTGACTGTGCTCCCTTGATCGACCTGTTCGACTAATCCATGCAAATGACGATACGGACGTGGTGAAGAGCATTGCACCAGTCAACCACATCAGCTCTACCAGAGAGAATGATGAAGGAAGCGAAGAAAAATATGAAAAGCCAAAAAAAGGGGAAAATCCGAAAAGTGACATGGGCAAGCAATGGGGATGTCGCTTGCGGCGCGGAGGATAAGTTGCAGCATTGATATGGAGACTCATATTTCAAATGCATATTTTTGGGAAAATCTTCAGCTCTCCTAATAACGTAGTTTTTCCTTATAAGATTGAGATACTCTGAGCTATCTATCACTCAGACCATTGCCTTTGCTTTAGTCAAGATCTATAGACGTCTCTTCGGTGCCGATCTGGCCCGTCTCCGGAGGGCTTATGTCATCCCAAAAAATTCCCCGTCACCGCCCGGGGAACTTTTTTTTTGCATGTTGATCCATTTCTTCTCGACGGAATTGAGTCGCTTGTGAAGTACTCGGGGGCCTTGGAATTTTCATCAAGGTTGCGTGAGAGAGTGCAGAAACTATCAACTTACAATAATTACCCAGCGTTTCGCGCCAGCCTCCAAAATGGCCAGAGACGACGACTTCGTCCTCACACTCTCTGACGACGAGAATGAGCCTCGTTTTGAAGAAGAAGACGACAATGAGATGCAAGATGCTCCGGCCGAAAACAAAAAGCGCAAGCGCGAAGTCGATACCCCCAAGCCCAAGAACAAGAAGCAAAAGCAGCAAGAAAAGCAGCAATTGAAGAACGCCAAAAAGAACAAGAAGAATGCCCAGCCCGAACCTGAGCCCGAATCCGAAGAGGAGGACGAGGAGGAGGATCCTGCTGCTGCTGCGGATGCGACAGAGGATGATGGTGTCTTGAACCCTGAGTTCGAGTTCGATGTTGCCGGCGCGGCCAACCGTGGTGTCACCGAAGGCTTCGATGGTTGGGGTCTTGAGGGCGATGAACAGAAGCGGTCGGGCGATAAGAAGGCTGTCGACATCGATGATATCATTGAGCGGAGACAGGCGAAGAAGGCAGAGGCTGCTGCCAAGAAGCAGAAGAAGAAGGCTGCTCAAGAGGAGAGCGCATCCGAGGATGAGGCTGCATCTGGCGACGAGATGCCCGTGGATTTCCAGGACGACGAACTCATGGCCGACGACGCGTTTGGTATGGGCGCAAACGGCGCAGAGGACAGTGAGGCTAGCGAAGCCGAAGGCCCAGAACCTGGCTCTGAGGCCGAGGACTCCGAGGACGAAGCGGAGGACAACGAAGAAGACTCTGATGACGACGCTGCCTCTGACAACGACTCTGTCGCTACCCCCGTTGGTCACCCCGATGACCATGGGTCAGATGCAGGATCCGACGCGGAGAGTGAGGTGGATGAAGAGGAGGCCGAGAAGCGCAAGGCTTTCTTCGCCCCCGAGGAGAAGGCTGATACCAAGGCCAACTTGGCCAAGATGACTTTCCAAGAGTTCAACCTTTCCCGTCCTATTCTTCGGGGTCTGGCCGCAGTTGGATTCACCGACCCCACACCTATTCAGCGTAAAGCTGTCCCCGTTGCCCTGCTGGGCAAGGATATTGTCGGTAGTGCCGTGACAGGTTCCGGAAAGACCGCAGCCTTCGTCGTTCCCATTCTGGAGCGTCTTCTCTTCCGTCCCCGCAAGACCCCCACCAGTCGTGTCGTTATTCTGATGCCCACTCGTGAATTGGCTGTTCAGTGTTACAACGTTGCCGTCAAGCTAGCAACTTTCACAGATGTCACATTCTGTCAACTGGTTGGTGGTTTCAGTCTGCGTGAGCAGGAAAATGTTCTCAAGAAGCGTCCCGATGTCATTATTGCCACTCCTGGTCGTTTCATTGACCACATGCGCAACTCTCCCAGCTTCACCGTCGATACCCTGGAGATTCTGGTTCTTGATGAAGCCGATCGTATGCTTGAGGATGGTTTCGCCGACGAGTTGAACGAGATTCTCACCACTATTCCCAAGAACCGTCAGACCATGCTGTTCTCCGCTACGATGACTGATTCTATTGACAAGCTTATTCGTGTTGGCATGAACCGTCCCATGCGATTGATGGTTGATGCTAAGAAGAATACCGTGTCAACCCTTGTTCAAGAGTTCGTTCGTCTTCGCCCCGGGCGAGAGGACAAGCGTCTTGGATACCTCCTGCATCTGTGCAAGGAAGTCTACACAAAGCGTGTCATTATCTTCTTCCGACAAAAGAAGGAGGCTCACCGCATCCGTATCATCTTCGGTCTCTTGGGCTTGAAGGCAGCAGAGCTACACGGTAGTCTGAGCCAAGAACAGGTACGATATACAGATCGATGTATTAAGTGTCGCATACTAACTTCTGTTTACAGCGTATCACATCAGTAGAAAACTTCCGAGACGGCAAGGTGGCATTCCTTCTGGCCACCGACGTTGCGTCCCGTGGTTTGGATATCAAGGGTGTTGAAACCGTCATTAACTACGAAGCCCCTCAGAGCCATGAGATCTACCTGCATCGTGTTGGTCGTACAGCTCGTGCCGGTCGTTCTGGTCGTGCCTGCACCATTGCTGCAGAGCCAGACCGCAAGGTCGTCAAGCTCGCCGTCAAGGCTGGTAAAGCCCAAGGTGCCAAGATCGCCAGTCGTGTTATCGAGCAAGCTGTCGCGGACAGCTGGGCCCAAAAGGCCGAGGATCTCGCCGATGAGGTGACCGAGGTCTTGCAGGAGGAGAAGACTGAGAAGCAATTCTCCCAAGCCGAGATGCAATTCACCAAGGGTGAGAACCTAATGAAGCACGGCCACGAGATCATGTCGCGACCCAAGCGAACCTGGTTCGAGACCGAGAAGGACAAGAAGGTTGCTCGCAAGCTGGGTGCTGTGGAATTGAACGGACCTAATGTCAAGAAGAACAATGTCAAGCTCAGCAACAAGGACAAGAAACGTCTTGACGATGCAAATGAGCGTCATGAGGGTAATCTCGGATGGAAGAAGGGCAAGGGAGACGCCGATAATGCGAGAAACCCCAAGGGCAAGGGCGGCAAGCCCAAGCCCAAGGGTAAGGGAAAGAAATGAGTCTGTATACTTTTGAATACCATGCAAATAGCCAATGCAATTGATCATATATCACGGTGTACGAATAAAGAGCAGGTACTCGTAGATCTACGAGTATAGAGTACGAAGTCCTCGTAACGAAGACCAACTTTATACTGGGTGGCGGTGGAGCCGATGGAGCATTCTGCCAAGATCAGCAAATCCCGTCGCTCAACAGAGCCAATGATCTCCTGCTCATCATCGCCTTCATTGGCTACTCGTGGAGATTTCCCTGAACTGGAGTCAGATTCGGACAGCTGGGTCGCTGGGTCGGGTCAATGAGTCGGGCAGAGGTCCAGCCTTTGACTCCAAACGCAAAAATCCTCTAGGGCTCCAACGGATTCAACAAGCTACCTACAGCTGATTCGACGTCAGTTCCATCTCACCCGTTTCAGAAGGCTAATCCCCGCGATCATAGCCCCACGCATTCTTGGGGCCAAAAAGTCTTCTCTCCTATTCTTATTCTTATTCCTATTTTTATCCTCTTTCTACCTTTCTTTTTCTCCTTCCATGGAGGCTTGCTTCTGTTCTTCCGACTGGAATGGCCGAGCCTAAGCCCACACTCCCCAGAAAAAGCGCCTTCTCGTGCGAGGCTTGTCGCAAACGCAAGGTGCGCGCGGATCCCCTCGGATGACGCCCGAGATTGCCGAGCTGACTGGTCAAATCTCGGCAGGTTAAATGTAACGGAGCAAGTCCGTCATGTTCACGTTGTGCTACGAGGGGTGAGCTCTGCGTATACAGCTTGTGAGTCCGGCCCCCGGTTTTCCCCTCTCTCTTGCCCCGCTGATCCTCCCCGAAGAGCCCCAACTTTATCCTACACCAAGCAACTCGAAGCAAGAGTCGCACAGCTGGAGGATGCGCTGTCCAAAGTCCGTCCGGATGGTGACGCGGACCTCCGAAAAGTCAGTACCCCGTCATCGGTGGCTGAGTCTAGCTCGAGCGCGGGCCCCAGGGTCAAGATTGAATCAGAGACAGACGATCTCGCACGCGAATTCGATGGCTTGAATGTCGAAAATGACGGTCGCGTGTCCTTCCATGGACCCACGAGTTTGTTCCATTTGCCGAGTGGGGTAGGCAATGATACAGCGTCGAAATCGCACTATGCGCAGGAAGTCGAAGGTCGCAAGGAGCGACTCATCAACAATGCATGGCGAGAGAGAGCATTCGAGCAGATGGCTGCTATGCCAGTACGTTTCAGCTTTTTGATCAGATGATTAGCAATTTCACGAGTGCTCACACTTTAATCTTCGCAGGAACCTTTCCAATACCTTCTCGACTCTCACTGGTGCTGGATTCAGCCGCTTTGGAATTTCGTCTACCGACCTGCGTTCACTCGTATGTTCCACTCCGCTCCCAAACTACATCGCAGATACTCATATGTGGAACAGGTGATATGAAAATCCACGGAACGTACTACTCGGACGTCTTATTAAACGCCCTCCTTTCCCACTCCGTACGGTGGTGCAAAGCGGAACCTCAGATTGGTCTGATGTTGAACTCCTATGATGGCGGAGCACAATTCTCTCACCGGGCATTGACGGGCGTGTTTGAATCTTTGAAAGTTGGATATGCTGGAATTCCCACCATCCAGACGTTACTTTTGCTCAGCGCGCAAGAATGTGGCCGCGGAAACCGAACCCAAGCATGGCTGTATAGTGGTATGGCGTTTAGGTTGCTGGACGACCTGGGAATTTCCATTGACAGTCGAAAATATTCGGGATCGGCTCAACTCAGTGACGAGGATATTGAAATCCGCAACCGCCTCTTCTGGAGTTGCTACTTCTGGGACAAGGTGGTTTCGTTATACTTTGGCCGGGCGCCGACAATGCAGCACTCCCGCGTCAGTCCACCGCGCATGATTCTCGATGACACCGCTGAGATCGAACCTTGGACACCTCATGGCGTGACATTCCCAGACGGCGCTCACTACCCGCCCACACAGGCGCATTCGACGTCATGCTTCATGAAGATGTGCGGCCTGGCAGAAATTCTCAACCAGATCTTGATTCACATCTATGACCCGATCCGTCGAAGTACGGACTCGGATTTCTATGATTGCGTGCAAGAGCAGGGCAAGGCCCTCAGTGAATGGTGGGAGGAACTACCAGACTTTTTGAAGCTGACAGCATCAAGTCTCCCACCATACTCACCCCCTAGCCACATTGTGATTCTGAAGTTTGTACTCTCCCATTCTGCCTTGAAATGTTGAGCTAACCATGCAATAGCTGTTTATATCACACAATCAATATCCTTCTACATCGGCCAATACTCTGCTCCCGAGAGCTTCACAAAACTCGTCCAGACGCATACGACTCGAGCCATTTAGTACAATGCATGGCATCGGCAACGTCGATTCTTTCACTCTTCGATCTTTACCGCCGCACCTTCGGTGACAGCCATGTGGTTCTTTCTCTCGCATACAGTATTTACACGGCATCATCTATTTTCCTCCTCGAGATCCAAGCCTTGAAGTATGCAGCACCGGGCACACTAGACAAGCTCAAGTTCTGCATCTTCGCTCTGGAGAGGATCAAAATCGCCACCCCAGTCGTTACAACAGCCCTTAATCTCATCTCCTTGGAACTCCAAAAACTACAGATCAACATTCACATCCCAATGTCCACTCAGCCCGAACAAACCCAAGAACACCACCCCCAGCACCATCAAACACCCCAAACACAACACCAACAGCCTCGCCACAGCCAATCACCATCAGTAGGCAGCAATCAATCCCGCCACGTCTCGCCGGGCCAGCACCACCGCCAAATCCCAACATCCATGTCAGCGCATGCCCAAGGCCCGGCATCTGAAACCCCACCCTTGATGCAAGGATTCAGCAACTTCCAACACCCGGGAGCAGTTTTCAACGCCCCTCATTCCACCGACATGCCTCAAATGCCACCTACTCATCTACTGGGCGGGATGCCCAACGCCGTTATGACGATGGATGACCCCGGATCTTATGAGATCACACCTGAGGTCTATGAGGCATTCTCATATGCGCAACCCATTCCAGCGAATATGACGCCTGCTTTTGAGCAGGGATGGGGGAGACCTGCTCATTGAGCTTGCCAACAAAGTTGGCATGGTGGCTTTAGTGTTCCGTGCCTCAAGATTTAGATTTGTCCTTATGATTCCCGTATATAGCTCTAGCGTTCTTAAATTCTTAGAAGGGGAAAAAAGTCAAATAATCCATTTCAGTGTTTGATATGTATGGTATTTTATAATGCTCAATTCCTGGACTTCGAAGTATGAACACAAGCCAGGAACTAGGTGAAATTAGAAGTATGTAATTGAAGACTATCCGAGCAGAGTATACAAGAAATATACAAACCAGGGATGTGTCGATTGTGACACAATCTTGGAATGAGGGTATCGAGTGATGAATATATGGCTGCATATGTAAAAGGAGATACCCACCTGGGCATGATATACAAAACAGCAGCCTGCGGATCTAATCATGAGCTTTGTGCGCACGATCATCCGTAGAGGAAACCGTATCTTCCGCCGAAGGCGAGACATCCACACGGCCTTTGGGCTTTGCGTTCCAACGCAAGTACCACGGCCCATCAAACAGATCACCCATCTGTTCAATAGGCACACCCTTAGTCTCTGGCATCCAAACACCAAGGATAATCAGTCCGAAGAAACAGATCAGTGCCCAGAAGAGATAAGCGCCCCAAACATGCAAGGAAACGAACATGTTCGGCGTAACGCGCACAACGGCAAACTGGAAGAACCAATGTAGCGACATACTACTGGCATAACTGACATTTCGGATGCGCGTGGGGAAGATTTCTGTGCCGTATAGATAGGGGACTGTGCACAGACCGATGGACCAGCCGGTGGCATAGATGAAGACTGAGGCGACGGCTGCGTTTGATGCGTTGTGGTTATCAGCTGAGCCGGGCTGCAGACCCATGTAAATGCCCATGTAGATGTGTGCTGCTAGTTGGAGGGCAAGGCCGGTGATGGTACAGCGTCGTCGGCCAAATAAGTCAATTAATCCCCACGTGAAGGCCATGGTGAAGACAAGTTTCACGACTCCGTAGGCGCCAGAGCCGACGAGGGATTCTGCATCGCCTGTGAGGCCAGCGTACTGTGGTGCATGTTAATAACCAATACGATAAAAAAGAAAGAAAGGGAGGGAACGGAAAGAAAAAAGATGAAAATATTCCGTTTCGCTCGCGCTGACATACCTGGAAAATGCTCGTCACATAGTATGTGATACCATTCCCACCAGTCCATTGACCGATAGTTTGCATGACCATGATAAGCCAAAAGCGCTGTCGGTAATTGGGGTTCGTTTGAGTCTCCTTGAACATAGCCCAATGCGACACGGACTCAAGGTCCGCCGAGCGCTCGCGCACCTGCGCGTCGATAGCCTCGAACTCGGTCACGACATCTGGGTCGTTGTGAGGCTTTCCGCGCAAGCGCGCTAGCGCGTTCAGCCCTTCGCTGTGGTGCTTCTTTGAGACAAGGTATCGGGGGGTTTCCGGACAAAAGTACGACAGGATGAACGCGATCCCCGTTGGGATTAACGGGACAGCCTGGACTAGGCGGTATTGGGTACGGTCGACCGCCATGTGAGTTCTGGCGCCGTAATTGACAAAGAACCCTTTCAAATAGCGATGAAGCTAGTCAGAATGTGGCTTAAGATGCGATTCAGTCAGGGGGGGCTTGAGCTCACCTGTTGTCAAGAAGGCCAGTAATAGGACCATGTACAACCCTACCACCAGACCTCGTGTTTTTGCCGGGGCTATCTCACTAAGGTACAGGGGTGCTGTGACGGTGAGAGCGCCAGCCCCCAGTCCTCCCCATATCCGACTAAAGAGTAGTAGCCCGTAGATGCCGGAGGCGAATATTTGGATCAGAGTGCCCATTGCCCACACGATACACCCGAGGCGCCATGCCCGCAAGCGCCCTAGTCTGTCATTGAGATCAAGCACAAGCAGAGCCCCGATCGCAGCCCCCAGCACGTTGAAGGACGTGATGTTTGCCTTCCGATTGGCTAGCCCTGTGGCGTTGTTCTCCCAATGTGACGGGTCGAGGTTGTAGTCCGCCTTAAATGCGGGGAGAGACACGCTGGCGCTATAGCCACCCTCATCGTAACCTGGGTAAAACGTCAGCTAATCACGTTTCCAGTCAGCTTAATCTATTGGGGGATCCATACCCTTGGGAATTCCACCACAAGCTATGACCGTAATCACCAGGGCATAATAGGGATTGGTTGACCAGCGCGACGAGTCCCATCGCATGATAAGCGAACTGTGGAGGCTGTACTCCGTAGTGTTAAATCCGGGGAAAGGAGGTGTCGGAGATACACAGTCGGCAAAAGGGCAGTGGATGTGAGAGGAAGTTTGGGTGGTCGGCATCCCGGCCTAAAAGAGTTTCCTCTCGGTCAACGTCCGAGCTTTCTCTTTTGCGCTTCTGCATCTTCCCCCTCGGACCTCTGTGATTGACAGAGGCTTGAGCGCAACATCTCTCGACTACTGTTACGAGTATACCAGACTATCCTTTTGGTGTAGTCTATGACCTGCAAGTCTTACGAGCATTGCTTCAATGTCGGTCCCTCCCGACTTATCCACTCTGGGCTCCGCTTGACGGCTCGCCTGTTCGTCGCTAGATCCCAATGGCGGGTTCATCAATTTATACGGATACCCTCACGGACGACTTCCGCGCTCCTTTGACTTTTCACTTACTGCATCAGGTCACAAGAGTGTGGGTGCCGAGGCAGTGGGGTCGCGTTATATTTGCTGTCGTGCTCGGAGACGGCCGACTGTGGTTAATTGAAAAAAATCCTGCAGAGTAGGGATCTGAAGGGGATCTGAATTGATACCGGACCTTGGCCGACAAACCTGGAATGGGAGTTTTTAGATATGGGAAAAGGGTCGCTCTCCCCGGAGCCTACTCATACTACTCCGTGAGTATTTCCTAGGGCAGCAATCTTTCACCTCGCTTTTCTCCCCCCTTGAATCGCTGTCTATCCTTTTAAACGCCCAACCTCTGCAACCGTCCTTGTCTGCAGTCTATACTTTGTACTGCACAGGATGCTGACTGCCACCCAGCCAACTACCGTACTCCACGGGGCCCCATCTATATCATTCAACGTTCTCTCTACACGTTTAGAGGCCCGTCGTTCAAGCCATAGCAGTCCCGCTAGCACCTCACTAAAGCAGAGACTCCCTCCCAGATCATGGGATAGTCATATGCATGTCGTGGAACCTGAGCGGTTTCCTGTCTCCCCATCAGCGGTGTACAAGCCCACCCCGCATACGCTCGCGGAAGCACTCGCCTTTGAGTCTGGGCTAGGCGTGGAGAACCTGGTGCTTGTGCAGCCATCGATATATGGAGCCGATAACTCCTGCTTGCTCGCTGCATTGAAAAACCTCGGGCCCTCTCGCGGCAGAGGTGTCGTCGTCGTTGACCCAGCTACCGTTCAACAAGAGACATTGGATGAATGGGATTGCCTCGGAGTCCGTGGACTGAGAGTCAATCTCCAGTCTGTGGGCAAAGTGATGGATAAAGCCGAGCTCGAGGAAACCCTCCTGCGGCATGCTGAGATTGCCCGGCCATATAATTGGATCATTGAGATCTACCTCCCTCTCAAGATGGTCTCTATGATTGAGTCCATCCTCCCACGGCTCGGCGTACGCATCTGCATCGATCACTTTGGCAGCCCTGAGCTGCTCTCATCAGATGTAAAAGCCTCGTTCGATCCATACGAACTCCAAGGCTTTTCATCACTTATATCTTTGCTCCGTGCTGGCGGGACTTATGTTAAGGTCTCCGCACCTTACAGACTGAGCAAAGACCACCAGATGCGTGATTTAAAGGCCATGGCCAGTGAATTTTTGGCTGTTGCTCCTAATCGTGTGATTTATGCTACCGACTGGCCACATACCCGATTCTCTGGAGTGGATATCAGTCCCTTCACAGAGGCCTGCTTGGACTTATGTGCGTCCAAGCCAGGATTGGCGGAAAGACTGTTCCGCAGGAATACGGAGGAAATGCTCGGAGTTGTCTCGGAGTAATTGTTTTTGTTTTTGTTCTCTTTTTGTGGCGACATCATGCATATTATTTCCAGCATCCCCGCATTTGGAGCCGTGCTATCTATCCAGCGCTCTCAGGATATCATAATGACTCACGATTTGTTAAAATGCATACACCGCTTAGATTTCTTTGTTTAAAGGTTAATATGGATGCTCATTTACCTAGAATATCACCGTGGGTTCACCATGCGTCCCATTAGGTATTTCTTCAATTGAACAGACTGCTCGATACTCAATACATAAGCCCTACTAGGTTCTTACTTTTGAGCGATCATGTTTTATCCATGGATAGTATCAGGTTCTACTTAAGTATAGCCGAAGCAGAAGATGTACTTGTCTCGTCGACTCGTATACATTCAGGATGTCTGCCCAGTGGGCTTAAATGACATGGACCACAACCCCAGACTCGGACTCGTTTCATATACTGGCGGCATAGCAGTTGTGTTCAACTGAGCTTCATCCCTTCCAGAGCCAACTCAAATATCCGCCGCGTCCATGAAGATAACGTGCGAGGTACAGATCTTCTTGGGACCCTACAGATTGAGAACCTTGTTAGCAAAAGTAGTTTCAGTCTGATATTCATTTTAACTCACAATGGGGTAACAGCAGGCTGGTCGTGACTGATCCTCACACATCTGAGGTAGGTCAAGGGCATCACCTAGAAGAAATGGTGATTAGCAGGCTAGATACCCAAGGTCGGAAGATGTACATACAATCCATCGCTTCATTGGCCTTGGAGTTTCCACGGGCAGGCCCCAAGTCACGGCAGCAGTAGGGTGATTGGACCATGCCGGTGTCATCGGCCGCGAACTCGCAGTGCATGTTGATCTTTTTGGCCGACACCAGGGAGAGAGCGGCGGCGAAGACAAGGGCTGTGATACGCATTTTGGTGATTATGTTTCTGTAAAATGAGTGTGATTGAGAATGAACGATGGAAATGGTGTGCTCAGGAAGGTCGGCTCAGGTATAGGGTTGGGATGTTTACTTCGCAGGCCAAATCGAGGTTAATGAGACGAGACTGCAGGGCCAATCCAATGACTGTGCCTTGCTTCATACGCTGGCCAGCCTGGTAATTGTTTGCACTGCTTGTTTACCAGGTATGAGGGCTGCTCCTATGATCTCTTATTGGTTGTTGGGCGTTGCTGGCCTCTCCTTACATTCTTCGTTCTGTGAATGTGGAGGTTTATCAGCGCTGGGGCTCATAGGCGATAGGGACTGGTCTCTCAGGTTGGGAAGTTTAATGCTGTAGCTAGGGATAACACATTCAGGTAGATCATTATGTATTGAGGTTATGATGCCCTTGTAAAGGAGACTAAAGACCCTTGGGGCGAGGTGCTGTCAAGGGATACCGGCAACATTAATCACAGTTTTGCCTTAGGCAGCAACACATGTGAGATGTTGTGTACACATTTTGATATTCATATACGCTGTACTCTGTACCTTGCACATATACGGAGTTCCCCATACAAAATCACATGGAGTTAGGGCTTTGAAGCGACAAGTGTGCGCTGATGCAGGTCCCACGTGGGATGTTCGAGCCAGTCCACTTGTCGGAAACAATAACTATTAACCACACGGGCTCAAATGGACGCCTTTTGATGGTCAGAGGAAATATTGATATCCAATTTATATAGTATATAGTCTATACAACATCCCATTCTCTATCTTTACTCTACACTTTACACAGATCACGTTGAGTCAGGTGATGTTTTGTTGAGGCCCCAACGCTGTTACTCAGCAGATAAGATCACCTGCCCCCAGATTCCACTCTATACTCTCGACTCTCAGACCCCTCTCTTCACTTCCTCAAGTTGACCCCTGCTAAGGAGTACTACCTTGGAAATGAAATCCAACACATCCAAAGTCGACATGGAGCGCTCTGTCTACATCCCTCTGTGCTTCTGTCTGATCTCCTTCGCTGTTATCGCCTACAACCACTAGTCACCACGATAGCGCTAGCAGCGACCATCTAAGTATGGTCCTGGCGTTGATTGTTTGACATCCCTTCACTACATCCGGAAATCTACCCCTCCAGTTCATTCTCCTGCCACCTTATATGCGAGCCCAAGCCCAAGCCCCGCTTCTTTCAATCACCGAAGGCAAAACACCGAAAGACAGACCCCGCCACAGACAATGCAGACCAGCGATTGGCTTGAAACGACCTCCACCTCGACTGAGAGACCGCAACACTGTCAAAACTCATCAGAGGATGCAATAGTCTTCACAAATTCATCCAACTCTCAAATCACTGCCTCTCTCAACCCCTCCAGCCACTGTCCAAACATGCCCCAACATGATGTCGTTGACCCCACATCGGTGTCCAAACACTCGTTGTCCAGGCAATAAAGTGACCTGAACTTCTATGATCTATCCTGGCTTTTAGTCAAGATTCTCGGGTGGCTACCACCTAAATTCTAGCCTGCTGTTGGCAGGCATGGTTCATACATGGGCCTGGCATCCCTCCTACGAGGGATCTGTCACCGTCCCTGTGTTCTCCCGCAGTACGGAGTATTATCCATCGCACCCTCCCTTTGATATGTGTGGATGATCTTCCCCATATTATTGCTATATTTGTCTGGCTGTCCTGATTCAACACCATTCAACATTCAACATGTATCAGGCCTTCAACCCTGATGCTGAGTCTCTTTTCAATCTCTTTAGTTGTTACCGCGTGCTGGTCACGCCACATCACTCGCTGCATTTCCTTGCCTCTTATACCCCTGATATCCAGAATATGACTTTTATACCATAAACACCCAAAATACCCCACATGTAAACACGAAAGACTAGAACCTCGGCGATCACGTAATCTGCTGAGAAATCGCGGTGGAACCGTAAAGGGTGAACTTCCGGCAGAAACGCGCATTATCGAAGCCCGATATCGTCACCATATTCTTTTTCCGTCCCCGCTCACCTCAGCTGTACATAATTACCCCCCTCCATGCTCTCCCGCTCCCTCCAATCTTCCCGGATCAGCTTTCGAGCCTCTACCCTTCGATCTTCTATCGGAACCAACATTGGTCGTTTGACCGCGCAACGAACTCTGGCGACTCTTAACACATCCCGCCCAACACCGGACTCAATTGCTCCTAGCTCTCGACTTTCTACCATCTCTCGTCACTTTACCTCCGCAAACTCTCAGAACCAGCAAGCATCCAACATGGCTCCCGTGGAAACACAGCAGTATGACTACATCGTCGTCGGCGGTGGTAGTGGCGGTAGTGGCAGTGCCCGCCGCGCCGCTGGCTGGTATGGCAAGAAGACCTTGATTGTCGAAAGCGCACGTTCCGGTGGTACTTGCGTTAACGTGGGGTGAGTTGCATTCTGTCTTCAGCGCTGGTATATGCCCCTAACACTTTTCCGCCGCTAGATGTGTTCCCAAGAAGATGACCTGGAACTTTGCGACCATTAACGAGACCTTCGAAATTGGCAAGCACTACGGCTACGAGGTGCCCGAGAAGGTCAAGTTTGACTACAACCACTTTAAGACCACCCGTGACGCCGTCATCAAGCGTCTGAACGGCGCCTACGAGCGCAACTGGGGCCGCGAAGGAATCGACCTTGTTCAAGGTCGCGCTGGTTTCGTCGAGCCCAATGTCATCGAGGTCAAGCTGGCCGATGGCTCTGGCACTGCCCGCTACACTGCGCCGCACATCTTGCTGGCGACCGGTGGCCGCCCCAGCCTTCCTTCCGTCCCTGGTGCCGAGCACGGTATCACCAGCGACGGCTTCTTCGAAATCGAGGAATTGCCTCCTAAGATTGCCGTCGTCGGTGCTGGTTACATCGCCGTCGAGCTTGCCGGTGTCCTGAATGCTATTAACGTTGATACCCATATGTTCATTCGTGGTGAGAACTTCCTGCGCAAGTTCGATCCCATGATCCAGAAGACCATGACCGATCGCTACGAGGCTGCTGGTGTCACGCTTCACCGCAACCACGCTGGCTTCAAGGAGGTTCAGCTCATCCGTGACGGCAAGGGCAAGGACCGCCTGCTTAAGCTTATTGGCCACGATGGCTCTGAGATGGAGGTTAACGAGCTCCTCTGGGCTGTTGGTCGTGCCCCCGAGGTCGAGGACTTGAACTTGGACATTCCCGGCGTAAAGCTGAATGCCAGCGGCCACGTTGTGGTTGACGAGTACCAGAACACCACTGTCGAGGGTGTTTACGCTCTTGGTGATATGACCGGCCAAGCCGAGCTGACTCCAGGTACGTAATAGCTAATCCCTGGCTACCTTCCATCCTTATGTCATTGCCCTGATCACTGACACATTAAATAGTTGCCATTGCCGCCGGTCGTCAACTTGGCAGCCGTCTCTTCGGTCCCCCCGAGTTGAAGCACTCCAAGCTCTCCTACGAAAACATCCCTACCGTCGTCTTCTCCCACCCCGAAGTTGGCTGCGTGGGTCTCACCGAGCCCGAAGCCCGCCAGCGCTATGGCGATGACAAGATCAAGGTCTACCACACCAAGTTCACTGCCATGTTCTACGATGTTGGCCTGGCCCCCGAGGAGAAGGCCAAGAACCCCACTGAGATGAAGCTCATCTGTGCCGGTCCCCAGGAGAAGGTTGTCGGTCTGCACATCCTTGGTCTTGGAGTTGGCGAGATGCTGCAGGGCTTTGGTGTTGCTGTCAAGATGGGTGCTACCAAGCAGGACTTTGACAGCTGTGTTGCCATTCACCCCACCAGTGCTGAGGAGCTTGTCACTCTGCGTTAGGGTTTTTGACAGAACAATGTGAATTAGCACTAGAAAGTTTGTATCTACAATAATTGTGATATCATCCCTGTCATAGGAAGCTATTATCTCGTACAGAACACTTAGAGAAGACTAGAATGACGAAAAGCTCTCCCGAGGTCGGCTTTCGATATGTGGGGCTGCATTAGAGTTCGGCCTTGAACGTCATAAGAGGCCTGCAATGATCTCGAAATGATCTTGAAATGAACCCTTGCCTAGGGGCTTACCTAGGCAGATGTGCTAAGATCTGAATATTTAGCAATGACCTCGGAGAAAAGGTAGAAACTTAGACCATCGACATGAAGAAAGACTTGAGCCCCATATATGCACCACATTTTAGCTACAGCCCCGCATAGTCCCACATGGAGAAGAAAGCTTGAAAAGCGATCTCGCATGCCCCAGATTTCCCCTCGCACAAGCCCCCTCAATTGCTCCGTTGAAGGCCAAGGAGAACCTCAGACCATCTTCCTACCTCCGAAACAAAGCAACCATCATGACGAAGCTACACAGCGCACCTCCCTTCCGCGCAGAGCAGATGGGCTCCCTCCTGCGTCCCGACAACCTCCTCGCAATCCGCGAGAAGATAGCCCAAACCGGGATCTCCGAAGAAGAAGCAGGCCTCCCAATCGTCGAGCAAGAAGCAGTCCGCGAAGTAGTCAAGATGCAACAAGACCTAGGCTTCAAAGCCGTAACCTCAGGCGAGTACAACCGCACCCGATTCTGGGGTCTCATGTGGGACGAGTTCAATGGTAAGTCTTCCCCCCATCCCTCGACACTCAAAACACCTAACAAAAACCAGGAACAATCCGCCTTCAAGACGCCGAAGCATCTATGTTCCGCCTCTATCACCCAGACGTAGTCAGTCTGATTGAAAAAGACCGCAAAGTGATGCCCGGCGACTCTGTGATCGCAGGCTCCAAGCTGACGCACAATGGCGCAACAGCATCGAATCTGCACGAGCTCAAGCTCGTCCAGGCCTGTCTTCCACAGTCTGAATGGCACAATATCAAATTGACCATGATCACACCAGCCTGGTTCCACATGCGGTACAAGCAGGGACGTGCATATGCTGCATCTGCATATGCGAATGACGAAGAGTACTTTGCGGATGTGGCGAAGGTATACCGGGGTGAGTTGGGTGCGCTTTATGAGGCTGGACTGCGGAATGTGCAGTTTGATGATCCAGGTATGGCGTATTTCTGTTCTCAGGCTTTCAGACAGGGATGGGCTGAGGATGAGAGTAATACTGGGTCTGTGGATGATTTGCTTGATGCTTATATCAAGTTATACAATGATTCCTTGGCTGGGTTGCCTGAGGATCTGCATACTGGGATTCATCTTTGTCGGGGCAATTTCATTGGTGGGAGACACTTTTCGGAGGGGTCGTATGATGTTATTGCGAAGAAGTTGTTTGAGGACTTGAATGTTAACACGTTCTATTTGGAGTATGATACTGAGCGGGCTGGGGGTTTCGAGCCGTTGAGATTCTTGCCTAAGGATAAGAATGTGGTGGTTGGTGTGATTAGTACGAAGTTGCGGGAAATGGAGGACAAGGAGGCTGTTAAGCAGCGGATCTTCAAGGCTGCGGACTTTGTGGCTGAGGGGTCTGGTGAGAGTCGTGAGGAGGCCCTGAAGAGGGTTTGTGTCAGTCCCCAGTGTGGTTTCAGTACCCATGAGAGTGGGTATCCTCTTCTTGTTGAGCATCAGAAGAAGAAGATGACTCTCGTCAGGGAGGTTGCGGATGAGGTTTGGGGCCAGGCCTAGTGCGTTTCAGGTCACTTTCAACAAGGCACTCGATGTACATATTCAACATGAACTTAAGCAATTTAACAGGAAATCTACCAATAATTTGATCTTTAAAATAAATGAAATATGATTGACTCCACCTGAGCATAAACTGAATGTCTATGAAAATGTAATGCTCATGATCCGATATGCTTACAAGGCACGAGAATAGAGCGTCTGAAATGCATAAAAAACATAGCCCAAATGCAGATGTTTGATAGTAAATGTGTATGAGATGTGTATCAGTATGAAGATCGGGCGCAGCACGCAGCCAATTGAAATCCATAACCCACATATTCAGGGAAATTTGTCAAGATGATCACATATTACACGTTTTACATGGCCGATGTGACAGTGCAGCCGAGCTCCAGGTCCCAAGGGCCGGGTTAGCGGCGCATTGACCTGGGATCAAGAGGTATGCAAAGCGCCCTGAACGGCGCCTGCGCCGTAGAAAGTGTCCTCGGAGAAAATAGGAGGGGGGATACAAGAGTCGGAATCCCCGGGAAGTGACAAGCTCAGTCATCTTGAGAGGGAGCTTCAGCATCGCCCTCGGATGGGCTTGTGCCAACCTGGTCCAGCGCGACAGCATGCAGTGCTGGCTTCTTAGAAATGTTGAGTGTACCCTCCTCTCTAAGCTTGATTTGTCTTTGCACCCACTCGGCGACTTCTTTATCCTCTGTTATCGTGGATGAGGCGGCATCACCGGAGTCGGAATCTTCCGGTGGGGCGTCTTCAGCTGACTCGGTCGGGGGCTGCATGAGGGGTGCGAGCCAAGCGTGTCGAAGAAGCATGTCGTATGAAGGTCGACTTTTCGGGTTCTTGTCGAGACAGGCTCGGACGAATGCGTGGGCTTCCTCGGAGTAGCCTTCGGCAGGCAGTGTGGGAGGGTCTCCATGAACGATGGCCTGTATCCAAAAAAAAGAAAAAGATTAGAGCGATCACCGGGCGAAACGAAGTGGAAAACTCACGTGAAGCTGACTGAAGATGTTGTTAAAGGTTTCTGGGGGATATGGGTATCGGCCCATGGCGCATTCAATAACAGACAATCCCAGACTCCAAATGTCACTTTGTACACTGTATGTACCAGCACTAGGTGCGCCAGACTGCTGCATGCCACCTCCGGCGATTCTCTCGGGTGCCATATAACTCTGGCAGCCGATGTTCGTCTTTGCGATACTCGAAACGAGGTTTCCACTGACACCGAAGTCACAGATCTTGATCTGGCCCTTGCTGTTGACCAGAATGTTCGTGGGCTTCACGTCGCGATGGATGATGTTGTGGTCGTCCTTCAATGACTTCAATCCCATGATAGTGGAGAGGGTAACTTTTCGCAGGATGTTCTCAGAAACACCGCCCTCGTACAGTTTATCGATTGAGCCACCATCCATAAACTCAACGCACATGTATACCGCACCCTCTTGGAAGAATGCGCCGTAAAAATCGATGATGAAGGGGGAGAGACAGCGGTGTAGAATGTCCAACTCCATGATAATTTGTGCAAATTTGGCCTCATCAAGCTCCAAGCGGATTTCCTTCATGGCCATGACCACGCCAGATAGCTGGTTGGGCCCAGTCTCTGGGCTACCATCTTCAGCGGTTCGGCTCACGATGCCACCCAAGCCCTGTCCTGGCTTGCGGAGATGCGGGCGGCTGTGTCGAACTTTGTAAACGGTTCCATAATTTCCTTTGCCTAGCTCGTCGAGGCGATCAACTTCGTCCAAGGAGATCTTGAAGCTGTGGCCCGACGAAAACTCAACACCACCACCGTGTAGAATCGCCTTGTTTTTGAAATTCAACGTGCCTTCTTGCGTGTTGATAAATTCAGAGTACTTGCTGAAAGCAGACTCCCCAGTTTTCTCTTCTGGCTTTTGATCTGTCCCCGCGGCCGGGGTCGGCGGGCCCGTGACATCCGAGAGCTTGAGGCCCGGCTTCATGCGCTTCGCCGCTAGTCCACCGGGCGGCCTCGGAGAGGCTGGACCCGGAGAAGCCGCCGGAACAGTGGGGGAAGACGTCCAAGGCTGGGGATTGGGACGCGCGGTCGGAGGTAGTCGGCCAGCGAGTGCGCCGCCCGCCCCAGCCACTTGGGATGTGGGGATCTGCCCGGTCGACGCAGTATGCGGCAGCGGTGCGCCTTGTCGGGAAAGTGAGAAAGCCTTCATCTTGGCCATAATGTCCTGATTTAACCCCCCGGTCGCTTTGGAGCTCATCGCTGGTTGGGGGTGTGGTGAGGCTCCGGCGCCCCGCCGTGCAGCATTGATCTGCCCCAGATGTGTGGAGGAGGCCGAGAGGCCTCCTGCGTCGCGAGGAGGAAGTACGGAGGGACTGGATGTCTGGCGGTTCATGGTCGGGGATGTCTCGCCAGAGGCAGCCTCGTTTTCAGCGGCTGCCTCGGAGGCAAAATCTCGCGTATCAGCCATCGCGGGTGGACCGACACCAATGGCCGGAGTTATTGCTGTGATGATGCCGTATTGGCTTAGCTGCACCAGATGGCGCTTTAACAGAGTAGATATGCAGGCTGTAAAGATGGAGAGTGTGTGGGAGAGAGAGAAAGAGAGAAAGGAGGGGCAGAAGTCGGAATCGCAACGTGAAGTCACGGATCCACCACCGAAAACGTGGGGAAAGAGAAAGTCCCCCTGCAAAGGCTACGTAGGTTTCCTATTTTCTGCTCTCTTTTTCCCAGTTATAATCATGTTAAGGATTTCGCAATATAAACCAGATTGAACGGGCCCCCAGACCAACCAATCACACGCCCACCAAAAGCAGGTTTTCTTGCCGTGTTTCGCATATCTCATTTGCGTAGCAATCTTGGATATTTTACGAGACGTTAAGGCTCATTTTCATTGCCCTGTTTCTTCTCTTCTCTTTTTTTCACTATGGAGATTTGTCTACTGTGTACGGAAGGCAAGACAAGTAGGGATCACATAGTCTCAAATTACTGGACTCAAATTACCATGGTAATTCAGTGTGTTGTTCGAATCGGTCTTTTAGCTCCTATGAGGCATTCGACATCACATCCCTACTGAATATGATGAGCAACACTATAGTTAATCTGATTGTTATGGAACACACAAGTCTATCACTGATATACTGAAATTCAAGATCTATCTCTTCAAAAGTACATTCTAAAGTTAGCAACAGTCTTGCCTTGCAGAGGGGCAAATTGCCGCCTTTTGGCTCATCCTTTCACAACAACTCTCGCTCGACCCAGGTTGTAGGACAGGAAATAAGAACTCCCTTCCACTTCAGTCCGTTGAGATGCGACTCTGACACTGGGAATGTATACACCGGGGGTTCTATATGTGTGAGTGACATTCAAATTGACCATGGTGCTGGGTGCTCCAAAGTCCACTGGCACAAAGCTTGCATTCCCATGAAGATCCCACTCAACCGAGACAATCTTTCCAACACCTCGAAGCACCTCGATGGATGCTTGAAGAGTCACTGGGGATCCGACGTCTACCTCCGCGCGTGTGCCATTTTGAATTTTCAATCGAGCAACAGGTTGGATTCCCCCACGTTGATTGGCGGTGGATGGGACTTTGACCTGGCCGTTCTGAATCTTGTAAGTGGTAGCTGATGGAGGCTCGATTCCATCCTCCACCCAAGCGCTGAGATCGCGTAAGTGTTGCTCGAAAAGCCCGCTAAAGTCAATCAACCGATACTTCACGGCTTCCTGAACGGGTCCCATTTCATGATCGGCATTATCGCTGTAGTAAAGTCGGTATTGATCATGGAATCGGGTGCCAAGTGACTTTTGGACCTGTGTGCGGTACCAGTCTGCTTCCCAAGGGAAAGCTTTGTTGTTCATGAGGGTGTCCATAACAATCATCTTTCCGGTGATATTTCCAGTATTGGTTCCACCGCCACTGGCTGACTCCGCGAAGGTGGGAGCAGCGAGAACACTCCGCTGGGGATATCGAGGCTTGCCGTCTGCATCGCGAAGGTAGTCAAAGACATAGTATTCTTCACTCGTAGGGATCTCATGTCGATGGAAGGTGTGGAGTGAAAGGTACCACCGGTTGTCCACGTGAACTTTCACGTCCAGTTGAGAACGGTGCTGTTGTAGCCGGAGTAGATGGTGACTTTGCCCGAGTCAGGATCCATGTGTCCTGTGAATGCGCCTTTTTCCACCCCATTGCATTCGGATTGGATCGTCACGTCGTACCAATTGCGTCGAGGAGCTGCAGATGGCGATGCATTCAACACAATTTCCACTGGGATGTCTTCCGAGTCGCGATTCACCTCAAGAACGGTGGCGTTGAATTCAATCAAAGACGAACGAATCAGGTCACCAAGTTCGGATTCTTCCGTCCCCAGATACCCGGGCAGAGTCCAGAAGTCATCGACATAGGTAGGATCAGTGGTCTTCATTCCGACAGCCGCAGCTCGGAGAAGCTCATAAACCTGCGACCGGTTGCGACCTGTGCCCTCGAAGTCCTCCCAAACCGCCGGAGGCACACCCAACGCCGTGACTTCATCCCACACGGCGCGCTGTACTGGGTTCAGAATCTTTCTGGGATCGATGTTGCTTCCCGGGCGAACGGCGTCCTGGATCTCGCGAGAAACATTTCCAAACACAAATCCACCAAGTGCGGTGATGGAGGCGCCTGTTGGATCGGAGATCGGACTTCCCTGGATGAGAGGAACGCTGCCGTCCCAGACAGAGACAGTGTTTTCCATCGCTCCAACGGTCTTGAAAGAACCACCACTACCACCATATATGTAGCCGTAGATCTTGCGATGTGGCTGTTGGTAGAACTTCCGTGCGATTTTTCTGGATAGCTTCGCAACTGCCGCATCTGCCTGGTAGCCCCCAGTGCCAGCAACGTGCACAGAGTAACCGCCGGCCTCAGCCGTGAACCCGATTTCTCCAGGCCCTGCAATGGAAACCTGTGTTGGGAACACCATCTGGAAGAAACGACCTTTCCAGCCGTCGTAGGGCATATAGATATTGAACTCGATTCCCGTGCCATTGAAGTATCCCGAAACCTTGCGATGCTTGACAGGAGAGGATTCGTCGGTTTCATTGGTATAGACTGGAGTATGATAGATGGGATCAACGCAAAAGGGGTTGACTTGAATCGGCCCATTTTTAACGAGTGCAGTGCATAGGGTGTTGGTTGAGCCAATGGCACTGACCAACGAGCCCATGAACATCACCAGGGTTACCCTAATATTATAACTGATTAGCACATTGAATGTCATATCAAGGTCTTTTCTTTTTAAAGACACAAACCAGTGATACTTAGAAAGTATAATTTTGGAAACATAGTATCTTTCAAGTTGGCTCGAGCCATGGTGAAGATGGTATACTTGCAACGAATGTACTCAAGTATAGCCAACTTGGAATGTAGAACATTTCAGGGAATATTCATGGATGTCTGCTTTTTTATATTCATTCGTGGATGCCCTTAAATCATGATCGACGATTTTTATATATAGTACAAAAAGATTCCATAGTCTGAACCAAGGCAGTAAAATTGTTATCTTGTACTCCTGAGTTTTAAGGAAATTCTTCAGGGCTTGTTTCTACTCCACTTACGAATACGTGAAAATTACCAGAAGCGGTAAAGCGTACCCTGTGTGATCTGCAGTCTGAAGCCCACGCCCGTGACCATAGTGACACTACCATCTTCGATTCGGTATCAAACCGATTACCCTTTAACTTGGCATTTTCTGCGGAGGACTTTGCATCTAGAAAGATCAATAATAATACTTCGAAGTTCGGGAATCTTTAATGAAATTGCTATTTATATACATGGATCAAGAGTCATTTCTTGCTGTAACCCAAGTTGGCAACAAACGAAACATCGGGGGTCAAGACAATCACAATCCCAAATATTTAAACAGGCATCATGCGTGCCTGGCGTGACACCAACGGGATATCTGACATGTGATCCCCACTCATCAGAGGATCATGGAAAGCAGCAACTTTGCCCAACCGGCGGGCTTTCTTAATAAGAAGACCAGGGTGACAGACAGCCAAAACGAGCATAGAGAAGAACATGGGGAAGGCGTCAAAGAGGTAGATAAAAAGTTCCTTTTGATTGAGAGCGGAACTTTTACTCACCCCAAACTGAATAGTTCGAACAAGATTTCGAAGCATCAGAGCAGAACAGGCTGCATACAAAGCCCACATGTAACGCCTCCAATAAAGATCATTCATCGTCAGAATATCTGTAGGCGTATTATTGAGCCTTCGATGCAAGGTTGCTGCAATCCAAACAAAGAATGCAAACACGAACAGAGAAAAGATCAGACCTGCCAAAACGACTTTCTTGCCGATCGACATGAGATGTGCATCTCCGGTGACTTGAACACCAGCACCGCCAAGTTGTGTACAGAAAGTAAGTACATCGTTCAGAACGAAGATGACGGTTATCTTTTTCGGAGTCATGCTCACTAGATGCTCGGCGTTGAAGGAGCGGATGATTCGACCGAGAACCATGTATATTGTTGCGGCGATGAGTGGGGGTGAGCAAAGAATTAGCATCTCTTGAAGTGCCCACGAGCCAATTTCTGTTCTGTCTTCATGCGACCATGCCCGGCCGTAGTATCCGAATGATTCACCTAGATAAGATCATGTTAGTCGAGGCCTGGACTACCGGGAGCAGGGAGGAAGCGCACAAACACCCCCTAGAACGAGAGGTACGAAGTATGGAGCGCGATATGGAAACATCATGACCAGATGAACAACTGTTGCGATGCCAAATATGACTAGGAATGCGTACCCTGCTGTGGCGGAGGGAGTATATGGGTAGAAGTCAACATAAGGGTCAGACCCGTTGACGCCGGGGTGGAAGTCAATATCCATGATCAAAAGTTGGAGGTAATTGAAGTCAATTTCTCTGAATCGAAGCAGAGAAACTAAAGACCTTCCAAGCTTTATGAGCTGCTTAACTTAGTTTTGAAACCACCCTAAACGCCTTGATCCTCGACGATCTATTATCGTGGACGGATTAGGAAATTTAAGAACGGATACGATACTGCGCTATTGGCCCCACGTCGATCTGGGCCACAAATTATTTTCGCCAAATCTAAAGATAGACAAAGGTGATAATTTCGTGGCCACTGCTGGATGTTGTTAAATTTCAAGGTTTTGAAGGATAAATGGTGTCAAGAAAGTTAACCTCCACGACTATGTTCAGGGCAACACATATCCTCCATCAATGATAACATCGCTTCCAGTCATGTATGTCGACGCATCGCTGGCAAGATACAGGTACAAGCCCTTGATCTCCTTCACATGCCCCTGCCTTCCAAGCGACGACATACGATAAGCTTCCTGCAGGCAGTCAGGACCCGCTCCCATCTTGGTGTCGAAGAAGCCCGGCGAGACAATGTTGACCCGGGCAAAGTCGCGCCATTCACGAGCAAGGGACTTTCCAAAGTGAGTAACATAGGCTTTGGTTGCGTTGTAGACCGGCTGATCCACCGGAACGTTGACGACGTGGCCGCTCATACTGGAGGTGATGATCAGGTTGCCGTAGCCCTGTCTCGCGAATACCTCGCCAGCATATTTCGCGCAATAAACGATACCATCCACTGTGTTGAAATGAGTATACTTGTGAATATGAATATGGGAGCGGAGAGCATACCATTTACGGACATCTGCTTCCGATACTCGTCCAATGTCTGCTCCAAGATGGGCTTCGAAATGGCCATGCCTGTGTTCACAGTTAGCTGGATGTGGCACTACCATATGCGTGGAATAACCTACCTGCATTGGCAACAAAGACATCAATCTTACCAAAGTCTTGAGCGACCTTGGCTATCGTCTCCGAAACTTGAGTAGAGTCCGATACTGCACCCAGGACAAATTAGTATTGGGGCTCCAATACAATCAAAAGATCAATTCCATACCATCAACCTTGTAAGCGGAAGTCTTGATATTGTTTTCTTTGGCCAGAGTCTTTGCTTTCTCAATCGCAACATCATTTCTACTCGGGTCAGCCAATGGAAGGTTCCTCCATGGGAGAATTTGCAACTGACGAGTTATACCACAAGGCGACATCGGCACCAGCCTCAGCCATAGACTCCGCTACGGCATATCCAAGTCCATCCGCAGCACCTGTGATCACAACCACCTTCCCTTTCATTTGGAATTGTTGCAGAACATTGGTGGGAGTGTCCGGAAAGGGTCGCGGGAAGCCATCCCGAGCTGGGGCACAATCTTGGACGGACATAGACATTTTTGCTGGATAATATACTGGATGTTGTTTCAGCGCAGGAAGAAACAAAAGAGGATTATCTCCATCTTTTTAAATATATGGAGTAGTGTCATCGGCGCGGGGGAGACCCACCATCGGCTCAGTGCCCGCCGAGATGAACATGAGGGCTTGTCGTCATACTTTCACGTTGGAAAACAAGTAGAATTATTCGAAAATAATATTGACATCGAATGAAAAATAGATACCTGGAACAACGCAGTTCCATCTATTACGAGACAATTCTGTTGTTCGACAAAGAATACGTAACTTAGCGCGGGGATCATGCCTGAGGCCTCAAGGACCAGGGCAACTGTCACTTGATACCTTCTGGATTTCTTCTTTCAACTTCTCCCGTACTACTGGGCGATTAATATTCAGTAAGCGACTCCTATGACATTCCAACCAGTCATTGGGTATACTACGAATACAATTCCATGAGTTCATACAAACTCGACCTTGGCTCGGATTCTCCACTCCAAACTACCTCGGGCCTCTGTGGGCCGATAGTATCATGCACGACTCTCGCCGCAAAATCTTGTGAGCTCATGCAAAGCTACGCTGCGGAATCTGAGGACCGAAGTCGAGTGACAACATCGGACTCGTTGATTAAATTGTTGCAGGGAATTGTTCCACTATGCCCAAGTCCAAGCGCCCATCAATAGGGCCGCATGACGCCCGAGCGGTATGATCTCCGATCTGGTTTTGATAATCAGCCAACTGACAGGCAGTAGTGTACGGAATGCAGGGTGAGACCGATGCTGTTTGCCAATACCAGTGACTAACGATTGCATGCTGACATCTATAGAAACGCAAAACCAAGGTAAGGAGTTCAAGGCCACGGCAGTACTCATGCTGATACCCCACAAAGTGCTCCGGAAATCAACCGTGCTCTTATTGCACTCGGGTGAAAAAGGCCTGCATATTCGGCCCGCCTCCCTCTCGAACGCCATTGACAAGAAAGTGAGTGCTCACGTTGGTCGAGACTTTTGCTCCGCCCCGAGCTCATATAAGATAGAAACCTGGATGCAACGGAGCTCCGGTGTGCAGCTCTTGTCTCTTTGATACAGCGAATCGACCCCGATGTCGATATAGAAACCACGCTAGAAGAGATAACAAGCAATCGTGGCGTGGATATCGGAGTATTTGCTCCGACGTCTCAGGTATTGAGACCGGATACGGAGAATGATGCTATATCTGACCGGCTCGAATGGAACGAGCCATCCCTGACTTCCCCATCCGCGGTTCAAGATGTTCCACTGGATGGAATGGCCTCACTTCCAAGCAAGAGAGCAGAGTCGGGCTATCTTGGTGAGTATCGACCAGCGACCCCGATGAAATAAATTGCTGACTGAAAATAGGAAATACTTCGGGATCTAGCCTTCTCAGATCGATCTCAGATCTGATTCCACACAAGTACTCGAAATCTCGCCGTGGTCACGACGAGCAATCTTCTCTTGCAGAAACCGCTTCGATGGGAAGCCCTTCAGTACCAGTGAATCTTGCCGACACTGCTACCATCAACAGTCTCATTGATGCCTATTTCACATGGTATCATCCATCATATCCTATCTTGCACGAGAAGACATTTCGACACGAATACGAACACCGGCAACAGATTCATCCCCGATCAACGTGGCACTCGATATTCTTCCTTGTCTTAGCAATTGGACACTGGACCGTGACTGAAGACGCGGAGCAATCGCATTACTACACCGCTGCTCGCTCACGCATATCAATGCGTATGCTTGAGTCCGGTACCCTCCTGGCGGTTCAAGCGTTTCTTCTTATGGTATGGATGCAGCTTTATCGGGGCTGATGAATTGCAATTAGGCTAATATCACCACAGGGCAATTATCTACAAAAGCGCGACCGTCCTAATACAGGGTATAACTTTGTTGGAATAGCCTTTCGGATGGCGCTTGGTCTCGGGCTTCATCGCGAACCGCCCTCGGGAACATCAACTGCAAACAGATTGTTGAATGAGCGTCGAAGGGTGGTCTGGTGGGCTGTGTACTGTTTTGACAGTGGCTTCAGTTTCACAACCGGAAGGCCAATCATGCTCTCAGATTCCTTTATAGAGACCAAGCTTCCGCGGAACATAGATGACTCGGTAAGTATATTGGAATCTACCGAGCACATCACTGATACCTTTAGCAGAATTGTGAATTGGTTTCCGAACTCCCTCCTCCAACCGAACACCCAACCTCTTACTCGGCTATTATTGCACATTCTCGCTTGGCATCCATTGGGAATGTAGTTTTCAGCGAGATAATATCATCAACGAGCCAAAGCTCTTGGGATTTGAAGATCTCGCGATCCATCGACAACCAATTCAAAGCTTGGAAACTATCGCTGCCCTGTTATTTCACCGCTCCAAGTATCCCACATTGGTTCCAAGGCCCACGGGCAATAGTTGGATGGAAAGAGCAGAACCTACGCATGATGCTATGGTGGGGAAGCAAGCGACTATGCACTCTTCCATCAGATCACGAAGAAGCACAAAACATGTGTCACTTCACGGCAGTCGAAACAATCCAGGATATCTCGAATTTCTGCAGAGATAACATTGACATTCTTCACGCAGGTCTGAGCTGGTATGCAACGTATTTCATTTTCCAAGCAGCGGTCGTGCTCAGCATTCACCATCTCCGACCTACCCAGCCTGATCATACCGCCCTAGAGCATGGTAGCAATGAGCTATGGTTATCTTCCATCATACGATCCAGGGACTGTTTAGCTTCCCTGACCCAGCGCAACTCTGCGGCAACACGCTGTTTGGAAGTATTGGAGAGAATCGGAGATCAATTGCAACCATTAGAACACTCTTCAACCACAGCTCCACTTGACGCTCAAGTCGATTATCCCCCTGTACCGCTGCAGCAGGATGATGTGCCTGCCGAACTTGATATTCCATCGGCATTGATGGCAGTTGATCCAACCCTTCAGATGCTTTTTGAGGATACATCATGGGACAAGGGCCTATTCGAGGGCCTCAATGGGTTTCCAAGCACGGGCGAAGGGGAGGCATTTGATTATATGCCCTCCAATATCGATCAAAGCTGGCTAAGGTCTTTTGACAGCGCAAAATAATACACAGAATGTGTGCGATAAGCGAGAAATTGGTGATTATCTAGATTGATATACCCAAGGAAATTTTTTAATCCTCTGGTCGTCAGAATCGCAAGACATGCGAGTGACGAAGATGATGATCATATTGAGTTACCGTGTCCGTAAGGGTGCGGCCCCAAGTCATGTGACAAAGTTGCTCAGCGGGGCGCATCCATTGATTACTGCCGTTCCTGATTAGGCAAAAGTGAAGCCGTAAATGAGCATCCCCCCATCCCCCCATCCCCCCATCCCATCACCCTCGTCACTTTATCTTGAGTCTACCAGGTCTCTCTTCCTTGAAAAGAGGCTCGCTTAGTGACTTAGACTTGATCTCGGTCTTCAAAAGTCGAACTTCCCCAAAATGCAGTCGCTTATCAGCAGTGGCTGGTCAACGACACCTCGAATGTTGGGGACAGTACGTGACCGACCGTCCGCAACTCCCTATACAAATGAGCTAGCCGGTCTTCCGGTCGAGCTTTTATTATCAGCAACCGACTTCCTTACCGTGGATGATTGGATTTGCCTATCGCTCTGCAACCGCCGACTCTTCGCCATATACCACCGTCGATATAATTCCACCCAGCTGCCAAAAGAGATGAAACTGTCTGTTTTGGGCCGACTGGAACGAGATTTACCGCAATACTTCGTCTGTTATGATTGCTTGATTCTTCACAAGGATGACGGCTCCGGGTTCTTGGGTCTTTCGGATCCATTCACCCAGCAAAGCTGTCCTCTCCCATGCTACCCCAATAGCCCTATCAGATTGATATTACAATCAAACTATGGCACCAACTCTCTCCGCTCATTTAAATTCCTAGATATCCAGCTGGTCATGCGAAGATTCTATCTAGGAGATCCGTTTGGAACCAGCACTGAAGCGTTATCTTATACCCAAGTCAAGGTTGGATATGCTCGCCCTGAGATTACCTCGATCTTTTCCACCGACGCACAGATCTGCTCAGAGCAACCAGCTCTTTATTTCAGAAAACAGCATGTGAGGGTTGTTCCTAGTAACGAATGGCGACTACTGCCTGACAGATTCTGTTGTATGATTATTTGCAGGCACATGAAATATTCTCGCGACATAGTTACGAATCCCGTTATGATCGCCTATCGCAGCGGAGAGAAAAATTCCAGTTACGATCTTAACTGTCACTATTGCAATACCGATGCCCACATTGAAATCCGTGAGCATGGCTCTTGTGTGGCCCTGATCCTTACCACATGGGTTAATCTTGGCTCTGGTTTGACGCCCGATGATCGCCGATGGAAGATTCATAGTCATGATGGTTTTGGAATGAATTGCAATTCAACTGAGCTCAAGGACAGTCCACGGGTCTCTTTTGAGAATGCGTCGCCGTTGTCGTTGGAGGCATTGCTGTTGAGAAACCTTTCCTACATCCAGGACCAGCGATACAGGCAGATCATGCAACCAGCTCCTCCGCATCCGTATGACCGTGGAGACTGGGGCAACTGGTACTTGCCCAGTATACCCAGTTCGCGTAGTTCACCTAGTTGACCAAGTGAACCTGAGACATCGTCGAGGGCCAACCGGTGGAAGCAGCTTCTTTGGTTCTTGCCTACTTAGACTCCCGAGTTCCTTCCCACAGAATAATTCCAGGGACATTCACCTCTGTAGTCCAACTTCAATCTAGTTCTTCAATCAACAAAGCTTTTTATACCACAATGTCCTCCTGGTGTTTGATTGGCTCTGAGAGTCCAATCAACAGGTCAAGGTAGCTCTTACAATGAAGGTGACCCGGAAAGGCAACATCACGATACAAGAATGGATCCTCATCCAGACACGTCGCGACACTGATGTCAGACCGAGCCAGACAACGAAGACCACTCGATCTCCAGGGCCTGCTGAATTTGTGGATCGACCGTCCGAGCTATGGCAATCACTTGCTTGGGGCACGTCCATTTGGAGTACATCAGGTGTCTTTGCACACTACCGGGACAAAACACCAATTTTTCCCTCAGACTTTGTTCAGTACTGGTGTACCAACATAAACTGCTGTTCCAGTGACATAGAGCAAGAGCACGACCAAGACATCATGATGAGAGCCCCTCATTTCGCTCGAGTATTCGGGAAACCGCCGCAGTGACTCAGCTCGGCATAAAGTCTCGGGCTCGACGCACATTGAATTTGAGCGCTGATTTCTTCGGGAGTCTTTGAATTTTGGCCTTCTGACCGCCCAACTCGCCCGTACCGCAATCGTGCTCGGCCTAGAAGCCATCGCTGCGCTCGACCCATGATGCAAACGACACCAGTCCGTCATTTGACACGGAATGTGCGCATATCATCCCGTTTGCCCTTGCTTCTTGGACCACAGAGTCTGAAGAATATGCCAAAAGTATCATATGGACAAACCTGATTCGCCATTTCCCAACCATCCAGGCGATAAACTTCAACCGGGAGAATATCAACGATACTACAAATGCGAAGACCATGATACCTGATCTGCATCGGTCTTTTGGTCGGTTTGACTTTTCGCTTGAAGAGATCTCCCAGCCTCACAAATACCGCATCCCGATTCTCGCCCTCTGGGCTTGTAATTCGACTTTCGAGTCGAACCCTCAATCTCCCTACCGACATGCAGCAACATGCGGCATTCTGGGGCTAGTCCAGATGGTAATTCTCGTAAGTCATGCCTATATCCTATGTGCCTGAGGTGCACCGATATGTGGCTAGACACTCAATACATACAGGCCATTCTCCAATTGATATTGCCCGATGTTGCGGGTCTCTTCTCTTCTCAAACAGGTATGTCCCATGTCCCAAGCCGGGAAAGCACGTAGTAATAATGAAATTTTAGCCCTTCACAAGAGCGCCGAGGCGCCCACGGCGCCTCAGGTCCATTAGTCCACCTATATGTGAGGCGCGATGACAATCTTTTTCGGCTTTTACACAGTCTGGAACCAGACCATGACCTACATGCTCAACAAGGAGAAGTGGACGATCGAAAAGACCAATCTGGGGGCCCAAAAGGCCATATTTAAGGCCAAAAAAGCCGCATTGGAAAGACCAATGGCCGAAATGATCAGGGAGGAGGTGGCCCGGTTGGTCGATTTGAAACTCAAGCAGATCACCGACGACATCAGGCACCTGCAGGAGGTGACCATTGAGAGGGAATAGAGGGATTTGGGCCCTGACCCAAGGACTATGAACATGTATAACTTAGGCAGCAGAAGTCCAACCCATCAAATGAGTTACCGTCAGCAATGATTTACAGTAGAGCTACAGAAGTCTTCGATCTTGAGTACTTCGATCTCAGACCTACTGTTGAATAGTACCTGACAGAAAGCTTCAGAATTCAATCCGATATAATTGCGGAGCGAAGCGGAGCAATTTTATCTCCTCATTTTGTGTTAAACATTTGTGGCTTCTCCCATGCTATTGAAGTCGATTCATATCGAAGTTGTTATCAGGCATTGAGGCCTGAAGAGAAAGAAGCGAAATCAATTTTCATGTGGCCTCGGGGGCAACCATGACGAACACTCGAGCATGTGATTAGGAGCTTTAGAAACGAATCCCTGGATACTCAGTACTATGCTATTCTTAGTTGCATAAGCTATAAGCTAGTTCCGAGACCTTCCGAGGCCCCGAAACATGATCATGTAGAAAAATAGAGCCTAAGAATCCCTGGAAAGTAAGGTCTATCATTGTAACACCAAATGGCAAAGGTCCGGAATCTCCTAGTGATGCAATAGGAACATCACCAAGCCCTGTCACATATCTTTTTAGCCACACAGACATAGCGAGTATCCATGGTTATACGATCAAGATAGCTTCCATGGTTATAAAATGGCAAATAGCTATCTTTAAAAGCAACGGCTCTTCTCTACCCTTCCAGCCTCGGCCAAATCTACTAAGTAGTTTTACTTTCATACAAGTTTGACAAATCACTTGCGCTCCTAGAAATCATGAGAGTCGATGTTGCAGTTATGTTACTCGCCTCGTGTCTTGGAGTCCATGCACAATATGAAGAAGCATTGCCAAAAAAACCCACGTGTCCATACGACTCCAAACCTCCTCCAAGGTGGTTTTGGACAGGAGCTCCGCTTAGATGGATCCTGTCAAAGCCTTGACAGTATCTAGTATGCTTACTCGGCTTCTCTCATCTTATGAGAAAAATAAGCTAATGAGCACATCTAGCTCTCGGAATGCTGGATCAATCTACATTCATTGCGAGGCGCCCGCGAACAAGAAGAATATGTGTATACTTTACAGGTATGTAATGTACCTAGAAATAGCCACCGGGCCTACGTACCATAATTTGATGTGCTAATTTTAAAAAATCAGCGGAGACTACTGTCGAGATGAGCTGGTTCGATATGATCACACTCATCTTTATATGTTCGATGGATCGAGTGAGCGAGGAGAGAAGAGATATGTCGGTGGACTTGTAAGAACCATCAGATGCCAAGTCGTTGACAAGTCGGAGTCTCAACGAAAACTCAAATAAGCTGTCCTGGCGAGAGCTGCTCGGATAGTTCAGACTGCGAGAGCTATTTCGTTACAGCTCAATGTGTCTCGAGAAAATGTCAAAGAACCGGGGTAAGAGAGCAACCAAACTTATCTGGTAATAGTGAGGCTTGGTGGATTTGAGATGGATAATGTCTTTCAACTTTTAGGAGAATCCTACAGGCCTGGCAGAACTCAAAGCAGATTAGTTTCTTTCACGTTTCATTTATTCTAGGCCTCTTCTTCGGCGAATGGTTGATCCAAGTCACGTTCTTTCGGTTCTCCAATGGATATCATAACCTATTTACGGTGCACTCCTGAAGCAAGAGATTCCACCTGAGTGCTGAGTGGGTGTAGAATTAAAGGGTTACTGGAAAGGCGGCTATTTCTGACGCCAAAAGCGACCATTTTCGGCTTTGAGTTCAAAATTCCTCACTTATTATACGTAAGTCTCACAACTGGACACATAGCGAATACCGAGACCGTTCGGCAAACAGAGCCCGACTATAGGGCCAGAGTGCCCCGATGGAGATAACATCCCCTCTCCGAGATTCTCTTCGGGGAACAGTGTCCCGACAATAGAGGACATCTGATCTATTGACGAATGGAACGATTCTGGGGAAAGACCACCCGGAACCCCAGACCCCAGGTTTTGATCGCTTCCTGTGCCGCGCGTGGGCACTAGTGATTTGGTGTCTAGTATAAAGCGAAGGTTAAACCCGCTATGGCATGGTCAGAATATACTCATCTTTGTCTCACAGGTTTTATCTTTTTTACACTCATTTCCAGAATGGTCGCTCTTGAGAATGCATCGATGGGAGATATAAGTATATCATATGGTCCAGCAGGTAGGGTGAGCCATAATTCAACCTTGGAAGCAAAGCTCACATACTCTTTAGGAATCAAGGGTCTCATTAGGAGTCCTTTTATATTCTCACAAGCAATGTTTGCCAGTATCGGAGGTTTTCTTTACGGGTGAGTCGCTTATCTGATCTATATCGGGGTATCATACCATACTAACAAGTCGACAATCACAGCTATGACCAAGGCGTAATTTCTGGAATTCTGGTAATGAACAGCTTTGTAAGTTCCCATCATCACCATTTTGTGTCCACCACTCACCATTATTACAACCAGGGCAAGCAGTTCCCAAAACTTGCCGACGATGCAACGCTACAAGGGTGGATGGTGTCGATACTCACCCTCGGTGCGATGTTTGGAGCCTTCGCCAATGGCCCCATCGCTGACCGTTTTTCGAGACGCTGGTCAATCCTTTACGCCAACATCATCTTCCTCATTGGCTCAGCAATTCAAGCAGGTGCCCAAGATCTGCCTATGATCTTCATCTCCCGTTTTATCACAGGTGTATCTGTCGGCATGCTTTCTATGGTAGTGCCCTTATACCTGAGTGAAGTAGCACCGCCGGAGCTTCGTGGAAGTCTCGTCGCACTACAACAATTAGCCATTACATGTGGTATTATGTGTGCATTCTGGTTAGATTATGGGACACAGTATATCGGTGGGACTGGGGATGGTCAATCCCAAGCTGCTTGGAGATTCCCCCTGGCATTCCAATGCTTTCCTTCGTTGCTCTTGGCAATTGGCACTTTCTTTTTGCCATATAGTCCTCGTTGGTTGGTACAAGCAGGTGTGTGAAGCCTTTGCCCCCTCTCCTCCCTCCTCTCCATCCTCCCTCAAGCCTAGCATGGCATCATCGAAGCTCATCATTTCCTCCGTTAGATCGCGAGGAAGAGGCACATAATGTTCTTTGTCGGTTACGTCGAGTGCCGGAGTCGGATCCCCGAATCCGCCTCGAGCTCTTAGAGATCAAAGCAGTCAGCATGTTTGAGCAAGAAACAAGAGCCGCCAAATATCCTGACGTAAATGGAAAGATTCAGGTGGCACTTCAAGAGTACAAAGATCTGTTTGTTTTACCTCATCTCAACCGTCAGCTTCTCATTGCGTGTATGCTTCAATTCCTACAGCAATTTACAGGTACGTTTCCCCAACTGGGATCTAGCAAATTGCTAATAAGAATAGGTATCAATGCAGTTATATACTATGCTCCAATCATGTTTCGATCGGTATGTTGCTTAACACTTTGCCATCCCACCATCAATACTTGCTGACTTGCATCAAGATTGGCCTCAGTGGAGATTCAACTAGTCTTCTGGCAACTGGAGTTGTGGGAATTATCAATTTTGTCTTCACAATCCCCACAATCATGTTTATCGACAAGTAAGTAACTCAGAAATCAGGAACTTCGAGTGCTTTCATCTCATATCTAACTCTTGCTCAGATGGGGACGTCGAAAAATCCTGCTTTTAGGTGCAGCCGGAATGGGAATATCCCAATTGATAGTGGGTACCTTGTACGCCATCTACCAAGTTCGATGGGAAGCAAATCTCGGCGCGGGATGGGCAGCGGCCGTTTTCATTTGGATCTACATTGCCAACTTTGCCTACAGCATCGGTAAGTAGCCCACAGGTCATCTATGGATGATACAAAACTCTCCCCAAACATTTCACACATTGGCAGGTGGCTGATCAAGAAACTAGGATGCGTGAACTGAGTGATGCCATCAGAAATATTCCCCCCCTGCGTTCGTTCCAAGGGTGTGAGCATTGCCATTGGAACCAACTGGTTGACCAACGTAAGTGGTACCTGCTTGTAACTTTAGATCTCTCGTTTGATCTAATTGACATTTTACTGCAGTTCATTGTTGCATTGATTACTCCACGAATGCTGGAATCAATCTAATTCGGCACCTTCTACTTCTTTTTGGCCTTCTGTGTCATACTATTCGTTTGGGTCTATTTCTTGGTCCCAGAAACGAAAGGTGTGCCTATTGAGGAGATGGACAACTTGTTCGGAGGCAACCAAGGCCAAGAGGATTTGACACGCATGGTCAGCGTCCGGGCCCGACTAGGGTTTGCAGAAGACGAGGGAAATTTGAAGAAGGATATTGATGAGGATAACGCTACTGTGGAGGAAAGAGAGTAGGTATCATCTATTTAAGTATTTTTCCGAGTTACTTAACGCAATCAGAGGCCATTCTTCATCTATAGATATTATGAAAATTCGACTGATGGGAGGTCAAGCTTCGAAACAAACTTTAGAATACCAGAGATAGTGTTCAGTAGAGGATAGTTTGATGATAAATATGTCCCTGCAATTATAGATAATATGGATTTTCACTCCGTTTTCGCAAAGGAAATAAGAAGCGAAGGGAAAAGCGGGGGAAATTGATTACGTCGAAGTGTTGAGCTAACGAAGGCATATATAGTCAAAAGCGGCAAATTTTGAATGACCAGGAGTCTAAAGAACTCATAGGGCTCAACTTTAGAACTGCTATATAATTCCGTAAATTGGGTACAGAATTCTGCAATGAATCTGCAACATTGCTTCGAGGAGAGCAGAATTCCCAACATCCAATGAGATCCACGGCGTAAGCGCTAGTATCAAGTCGGAGATAGCGCAAGACGACGTTCTTGCCGAGGAGTATCATGCTGGCTGACAGATCACTAGCTGGAAACCCATTCTATCTCTCGTACGGAGTACATCATGGTCTCTCTTAACCCCAACCCTGATCGTAAAATCCTAGGCGATGATATTTATCTATATGAGCCCCGGGGGAAAGCCGACGCAGGTCCACCAGGCGATCCCAGCGCCCCGTCACTGGTGATCCTCTGCACTTGGGTTGGGGGGGCCACCCCCCGTCGAATCAACAAATACGTATCTCAATACCAAACCCTCTATCCAGCAGCCAGTGTTCTCGTCTTGACTTCCAATGTGCTCAACGTCGCATTCCGGCCCCTCAACATGGTCCGATCCAGACTGCAGCCAGCGTGCGATGCTATTCGACAAATATTAACAGAGGCAGCCGAGGGGGTTGCAGAGCCCGGAATATTACTCCACATGTTCTCACATGGTGGTGCAGTGACCGGCTGTCAGCTCGCCCTGGCAATGGAAGAAAGCGACGACCAGGGCGCGCCATTTCTCATCGGTCTACGATGTGTGATTTTGGACTGTTGTCCCGGAGACAATAGCCTCGACAAGTCTTATGGAGCAGCGCGTGTCGCGGTGCCTAACAATCCAGCGGCTCAGCTCTTAGGCAAGGCGCTGCTTTACCCAGCCATGTCAGTTGTTGTCGGGTTACAAAACGCAGGTTTCTTGCGCTCCGTACAGGAGCTTCGGGATCTGCTGAACGACACGAATACGTTTGGGTCAAGCCCTGGAAGGCTCTACATCTATACAAAAGATGACCCGGTGGTTGGCTGGACAGACGTTGAAGACCATATTGAAGAAGCTCGCATTTTGGGGCATCGTGTTGGGCAAGTTGCCTTTGAGCATGGGGCACATTGCGGGCTGATAATGGAGAACCCTGCTCGATACTGGGAGGCGGTTCGAAGATTCTGGAGTGATGAGGACATTGCAGATCTCGCTGTATCGGGCCCGGATCGATCGATTGTTCGCAGCCGTTTGTGAGACGTGGAATTAAAGTACAGACGTACAGACGCTTTTGCCCATGCCATTACCTCACTTTCCTAAATAACCCATGGCATCATGTCGGGATTTGGGACCAGTTGATCATGTTGCGAACATTGCATGAGCTGCTGATCTCGCGGCATTTGGTGACGAGGTCTTGCTCCGATCGATCGAGATATCTGCGTTGTCATTACACAGCACATAGTTGAGAATGTCCATTCCCGATGTCATCATTTCCTGATTTGATTGTAAGGATGAAGACCCATTTGTTCAACAGTTGTATATAGATGCAAGGATCTACTGTAGTGACACATCTGGAGAATGTCTCCGAAGAAGGGTTGTCCATTGCAACCACAAGAAAGGTGGCCTAGACCTTGGAAGACGTTGCTCATCTGACGAAGTTGTGGTGAGGTCATTCCCTGAGGTCAAAACCGCAAGATCTGTCTTGTATTGGGAGTATGACAGTGCATATGAATGCATATAATTGCCTTGATCGAGTACATGGGATCCCTTTTTGTGTTTTTCTGCATTGTTACACTCAAGTAGGGGGATTTTAGGGTAACACGGCGGTGCAGATCTTGTGCATACACCCCATTGCGTAACTTGCAGAATCATACTGCATCCTTCACACTGCCATTGGAGGCATATGGCAGAAGTTGACGTCTAGTCCTAAGGCAAAAGAGTTAGTAGAATAATTTTCGAAAAAGATCACGACAGATATCAATCCTATAAAAAGCTTAGGCAAACCCAGCAGCAAAAGACAAGAACTATATCACAAAGCAGGTATCAATACTATCAAAGAACTTCCACCGCTTATAAGTTTTAAAATTGACTCTCAAATCCACCATGCATCTTACCGAGGTCAGTCCCTACCTTCCTGCCAATTAACTTTGGACTGCAAGTTTCTTACCAACATGCTGTCTATATAGTACTTGTTTTACCGTCTCCACCAACTTGGAGTTCGATCTGTCTTCGGATGTCCCGGTGACTTCAATCTCACTTCTCTCGACCACCTGGAAACGTGCGGGCTCAATTGGGTTGGAAATACAAATGAACTCAATGCAGGCAAGTAGCCGAGCATATTTTTAGCTTGAGCAAGACCATCGAATCTGACCTTTCTTTCCATTAGGCTATGCAGCCGACGGGTATGCTCGCATCAGAGGAATTTCCGCGATAATGACAACACTTGGCGTTGGGGAGCTTTCTGCCATCAACGCTTTGGCTGGTTCAAGTGCAGAGTTGGTGCCCGTCATACACATTGTCGGCTATCCTTCCACGGAATCCCAGCGAAAGGGGCTGCCCATACACCATACTCTGGGGGATGGCGACTTTGAGCGATTCGCCAAGATGAGCGCTCAGATTTCGAGCGCGGTAGTCATTCTCAAGGACAGTTCAAATGCAACTAGAATCATTGATGAGACGATTCTAGAATGTTGTCGATCTAGCAAACCTGTTTATATCGGGTTACCGATGGATCTCGTTCGGGCAGAGGTGGATCCATCTCCGCTTGAGCACCCTCTAACTGCCGAGAAGCCTGCTCCCAACCCCATTGTGGAGGAAGAAAGCGCAGTGGATCTCATTCTGAGTCGCCTTTTGGCGGCCCAGAGTCCGGCTATTATTGTTGATAGCCTTGCCAACAAGCCACATATTTTGGAATCGACGAGGTCGTTCGTGGAAAGCTCGGGGTTGCCATGTTTCATTACGCCCATGGCCAAAGGGATCATCGATGAAACTCTGCCAAATTTCCGTGGCGTGTATGCAGACAAGGCCTCGCAACCTTTTGTCCTCGAGGATATTCAGAGTTGCGATTTGATCTTGAACATTGGACCACGTCCGACCGATATCAACACAGCCGGATTCCGGACTGACATGCCACATGTTGAGTCCATAAAATTCGAGCGCGGAAAAATAACACTGCGCTCCGAAGTTGTAGGACTCGACGCAAGTGGTGTCCTCTTTAAACTTGGTGATGCGCTCCACCGAGAAGGATTGGGGTCGTCGCCAGCCTCGACTGCTCCGCGCAAGCTCAGTCATACATCGGAAGACTCCGGGTCAGCATCTTCTTCAACACCTCCATCGAGCTTGGGGGGCGATTCGAGCCTTGATTTCCAAAGTCTTGTGTTTGACAAGTCTGCTCCATTGACACAAGAGTGGGCTTGGGAGCGGCTCAGCGCGTGGCTCAGAGAAGACGATATCATCGCTGCAGATGTTGGAACCTCCAGTTTTGGAAGTCTGTGGACCCGGTATCCACGCGGAGCAGTTCCGCTCACTCAGTTGTTGTGGTGCTCGATTGGGTATGCGGTTGGCGCTGCGGTGGGGGCTGCTCTCGCTGCACGAGAAGATAAGCATCAACCCAAGGGTCTGAAGCGTCGCACGATTCTTCTGACTGGCGATGGTAGTCTTCAGATGACCGCACAGGAAATCAGTACCATGGTTAGGCGCAAATTAGGGGTGATCATATTTGTGATCTGCAACGAGGGGTACACCATCGAGCGCCTGATCAACGGGCCGGAGGCAGAGTACAACGATATTCAGCCCTGGGATTATAAGCTCCTCCCAACTACCTTCGAGGCTGAACGTGGAAGTGCTCAGACTCATGCTATACACACCCAGTCCGAGTTGGACATGCTTCTCATGGATCCTTCATTCGGACCGGAACCTATTGATGACCCACCATTGCGACTGATTGAGCTGCATATGCCTAAGCTTGATGCGCCAGAGTCATTGCGTAGTACGATCGACGCCATAGTACGTAGGTGAGATACAAATTTCACGTCAGCGGTAGGGCTGAACGGCAAAACGTGCCAAGGTCGGGCAAAGCTTGACTAAAAAGCTTGGTCTCTTCACGTGGCCCAGTCCATGGTCCTCGCGAAGTTACCATTTTACTACTCGTACACGTGGATGACTAGGATACTCGTATTTAAATAAATATACTGTCTTCGCGATGATTATACATAAATGAAACGTAAGAGTGCCACCGATGTCATGCAAGTACAAGTAGCCCAAAGGACCTAAAGACCCGAACACCCGAGTAATTCAGCTCGCCCCACTGCGTAGAATCCGGCTGCCTGGGGTTACCCTATGAGAAGAAGGACATCGGTCCCTGAGATCCGTCCTCGGTTCTGGACTTTGGGATGGCTTGTTTGAGAAAATCTTAATAAAAGGAAAACACCAGGCCCCCCTGATTCTTCTGCATTTCCCATCCACTTGAGCACTTTTCCCTTCTCCAAACACTCTCTACTTCCATCATCTTCAAAATGTTCGGCTGGTTCAAATCTTCCAACGAATCCAAGCAGGAGCCCACCTGGGATGCCGCGACCATGACCATGGAGCAGCCTTCCACCTCCGAGGCCATGTCTTCCAACAACGTCGTTGTCCAGCAGCCTGTATGTTTTCCGCAGAGCATACGCTGATCCCAAGCTGACTTCATACTACAGAACCCCGAGGCCATGAAGATGGAACTCCGTGGTGGCGGTGAGGGTGGTGACATCTGCTGTGGAGTGTGAGTTGAACATGGTGAACACTACAAGAGTCCTGACATGCTGATGACTGTCTAGCTGCGCCGGTATTGCCTGCTTCGAGTGCTGCGAGTGCTGCTGCTAGAATGTTTCGAAATACAACTTGACGTGATTGGCGTTGGAACGGGCGTCGTGATGAAGCCCATGAAGAAAGCCATGCTTCTGGATATACCACACATGAGATTTTCCTTTAATTTATTCTTGAATTCAAATTTACATAAGTTTTTGATTCCATGGTTTGAAGATCTGCGACTGTCAGTATCACTATCCTAAAAAAAAAAAAACAAAGCCGTCGACCATTGACGCAAGTGCAAAACTCCGAATTCGAGGAGCCAGCTTCCCTTTCTTTGGGTCCCAATTTGAACATACAGCACTGTCAGCTTATAGCTGGCTCTTCATTGTTCCACCTTATAACCAAAGTATCTTTTTTCACTTTGCTCAGTTGGACTCTTCCTTCCTCCCTGCTCCCTTCTTCTTCTCTCTTTCCATATTCCTCTCACTTTCCTTATCTATCTCTCTTCCAATCATCACATAATCTACAATCCCAACCTTGAAACTCCAAACAAAGTCGAAACCAATTCAACATAGCACCTCCATCTCAGAAAAATCTTACAACCCAGAATACTGGAAAGTGACGGGGGTCTCGTATGTATATCGACGATAACTATGCTTTCCTACTGGAACTTATTGAAGATTCGGAGGCTACCGTGAGTCTTTCCTTCATATTACTTGCTGAGATTGACCATATCTAACTATCTTTGTAGTTCGACTTTGCGTCGATGGCTGTTCGACGAGGCGTCGGCAAAGACGCTGTCCGAATGCGTTACAGCAGGCTCCGCCAAAGAATTTACGACGTGACAACCGTTCAATCCAACAACGGCGACGAGAAAAAGACAGAAGTCGAACAGAAGAAGGAACAAACTATCGATGAGCCTTCAACCCAAGGCATGGAGGACAATGATTGTGCTCGGCACAGCCTGTGGAGTTCTCTGCAATCTATCACATCGTTTCAGGGTCGGCGCATATCCATTTGTACCTCTTTCAAGCGCTTAATCAGAAATGTATCGCTATAAACATCCCATGCATCCGTTGAAATCAACCACCGTTCTAAAACTTTAGAACTTCTAAGCTTGATCAGGAGAGTTATATCTGAATCTTCAGACTACCTATCTATAGATGATTCACTAGGAGCTATTCTGTAGTCTGTCTAAATTAATTTTACACCAATATGGCTGTCATTCCAATGTCTTCTTTCTAACTAAGACCCATTAGCTTAATTCAGACAAAGAGATTTAATCCTTTCTTCTCGATATAGTAACAAGCGCTACTTAGGTATCATGTTCCTTATCAACTCGTGGGGTATACGAGGTAATGCGTCAGATGTGGCTCGCAGGGGTATGCAGATATGAAAATCCAGTACCCAGCAGTTGAAAAGCTGCAATGATAACTGAGCAGGGCTCACTGATCCAATAATTCTCAAAATTCTATGATTAATACGAATTCAACGGAGAGTCAGCACAATGTTAGTAGAAAAAAGGCCTATAGATACCGATAAGCCGCTAACCGCAAAGGGAAATTGAGCTTGATCTGCGCGTCAACAACATCTTCAACGAGTATATATCCCAGCCATGCCACACCTGCGCAGGCAACCCAATCCCCGCAATCCGGTCCCTAGCCAAGACCCCAATACCACACCAGACCTACGAGCGCAGTACCACACCCCGCCAACGCGTCATCCAATCCCAAATCCACCCACCGGCCCAAATGCTTTCACACCCGAGGCCGCCCAAGCGGGACACCCAGCGGCGCGGATATATCCATTTGGAGTATTTGGCAGATCACCAGCTGAGATCCGGGCTTTGGCTATGGATGCTGATTTCGACGACGACTACGATCCCCGTGTAGGCGGGATGGCCGAGCCCGAGGACGACGAACCACCCAGCCCAGACGATTCATTTGACGTCGATCAAACGACAGAAGGTCAATTTGATGACTCTGATCTTGACGAACAGCAAGAAGATGGCGATGACGTATACGAGGAAGATGGGGACGAGGAAATGCAAGATCGCGGTACTGACCCTTTCCCCCGCAACGCGCCTCATAAACCAACTGCCAAAACTAGTGCTAACACATCTAAAGAGAAATCGGCAACCCCACTACCGCCTAATCTACGTGAGATCTCCTCACTGGCATCCTGGACAGTGTCAACCTCCAAACCAGGCTGCGGCGTCGCCGCCCTCCGCAATACCTCCCCATCCCAATACTGGCAATCCGACGGTCCACAACCACACACACTCACCCTCCACTTCTTCAAATTGGTAGCTGTCGTGCGCGTCCGCGTATATCTCGACTTCGAACTCGACGAAAGCTACACACCTACCAAGATGATCTTCGCCGCCGGCATGGGCGGGAACGACCTCGTGGAATTCGCAACCTGGGAAGGCGAAGCACCATGCGGATGGGTAGATATCCCACTCGAAGGTGTGGGTGGTCGAAATGGCGGATGGGTACGTGAAAAGGGCAATTCCCGAGCGCGGAACCGTGTTCTCTATCGGAACTGCGATGACCCTGGCCATGAACATGATGAAGAGTGTGAACCTGTGGATGAGGATAGTGAGGATGAGGATCCTTATTCTGGGAATGTGCTTAAGGCTATGGTGATTCAGATGCGGATTATGGAGAATCATCAGAATGGAAAGGATACGCATGTTCGTGGGTTCCAGGTTTTTGCTTGTGATGATAGTAGAAGGAAGATGGGGAATGCGCCTTCGGCTTCGGCTGATGATCGGCGGAGGCCGCATCATGATTTGAGGGGGATGGTGAATGAGGATGTTGAGGCTGGGTTGCCTGTTGGTTTGGAGGAGCCGGATTGGATGGGGGAGCCTGTTATTCGATAGAGTTTTTCATGTTTGGAAAAGTGATTAGCGAGAGGGAAGGCGTTTATGGGGCTGGTTTTCATGCCGATGGAGGTTTTGTTGGAGTTCAATGTTAATGTCTGTCTTCATGATACCCCAGTTCCAGTTACTTGCATGGCGAGTATATCATTAAGTATTTCTTGCTGCTCCAGTGAATCATATTGCATCTAAAACTGGGTATTCAATTTTTGTTGTTTTGTATGCTAGTCATATCTCATATAGAAACATTGGCCTTATTTGGGCGACTTGATATTTACTTGAGCAGCTTCTCAAGCTCGGCGGCAACGGCATCACCGACCTCGGTGGTCTTGGCTGAGCCGCCAATGTCGCCAGTGCGGACACCGGCCTCGATGACGTTGCTCACGGCAGTCTCGATCACGCGAGCGACATCGATCATGTTGAAAGAGTACTGCATCATCATAGCGATAGAGAGGATAGCAGCGACGGGGTTGACGATGCCCTTGCCGGAGATATCGGGGGCAGATCCTATCGATATCAGTTAGTCACATTCCCTCATGTCGAAAGCAAGATCGTGGAGGAAAAACACATACCATGAATAGGCTCGTAGATACCGTTAACACGGCTCTTGCCATCGGGGATACCACTCAGACTGGCACTGGGAAGCAGACCCAGAGAACCGGGAATAACACTGGCCTCGTCGCTAATGATATCACCGAACAGGTTGCTAGTAACAACAATACCGTTCAGCTTACGGGGATCCTTAATCATCAACATGGCGGCAGAGTCAATGAGGTGGTGACCAATGGAGACCTGGGGGTACTCCTTCTCCATAACCTCAGTGACGACCTTACGCCAGAGACGACTGGTAGCGAGGACATTGGCCTTGTCCAAGCTCCAAACAGGAAGGGGAGGGTTGTGCTGCAAAGCAAGGTTGGCAGCGAGGCGAATGATGCGCTCAATTTCGTGACGGGAGTAGGGCTCAGTGTCCATGGCGTATCCGGAGCCATCGTCCTCCTTGCGCTCACCAAAGTAGATACCACCAGTCAACTCACGGATGATGTTGAAGTCGACACCGCGGCAAATGTCGGCCTTGAGGGGGGAGCTCTCGACCAGCGAGGGAGCAGCGAAGTTGCAGGGACGCAGGTTGCCAAATGTGCCCATCTCCTTGCGGAGCTTGAGGATGCCCTGCTCGGGGCGGACGGAGCCAGTACCCCATTTCTATACGCGATGAGTATGTGGTTCTTGGTGGGATGTGGGATGGGTGGGGACGTACAGGTCCTCCGATGGCACCGAGAAGCACAGCATCGGCGTTCTTGGCGGCATTCAGGGCCTCATCGGTCAGGGGAGAACCGGTGGCATCGATGGAAGCCTGTTGAGTATCAGCGATTGAGCCCTGCGGGGAGATCAACAGTATAACTCACGCCACCAAGCAGGTGGTCCTGCAGGTTGAAGGTAACACCGCGCGCCTTCTCAACGACACGGAGAATCTAGAATGCAATGAGCATCTCAAACAAATTCATATAGCTGCAAAATTTACCTTGACAGCCTCGGCAGTAACCTATAGAATGTCAGTCCCCGAATTCTCTCAATTGACAAGGATTCCCGGCTTACCTCAGGACCACAGTGGTCACCACCGAAAACAACGACGTTGAAGGAAGACATTATGTAGATATAGAATATGGAAACTTGCAAGTTGAGTCAATTGGGAGAGCTTCGCCTTTATAAAAAGGGCGGGTGAATTCGACCCCGCCAGCTCCGAAATCGGCGCCGATGACATAAATCCAATCACGGGCACCGCTTATTCACGGGTTATACTTGTCTGCATTTACATCTACTTGAAGCTATATTCTTCTTTTGTGTCACAGCTTCCATGAGGTTCGACGAATCTTCGACAAATCCAAGGGGAACAAGGTAACGTGTAATGTACGGAGATCAGTGTTTCGAACAGGATAAGAGCTTCATGCATCGCCCAAACTTGCATTAAGAGGCTATGACCTCGGTTCGGGGCTAATTCCAACAGCAGACCAGCTCATATCACAGCTAAAATTGAGCGATCAGTCATCCAGAAGACTGCCGGTGTCGAAAATACAAGAGAAATGCATTAAATGATGTATGAAAACGTTAAAGATAAACGGAAACCGACAAAAGCGAAGAGAGGAACAAAAAGAAACAGACATAAGACCCGTCCAAAAAGAAAGAAGAAGAAGAGGGTAGGATGAGAAGAGAAAAAGACGAGCAAAGAAACACAACCCGCGTGTACTGTACAAGGTCCTAAAGCTGGACCATGTCAGGCCACTTATGACCCGCAGTCGTACCTAAGATGCTTATTGATAGGATCCAACTACCAGACCAACCTTTCCCCTAGGGAGAGCGTAGTAGCATAGGTAGCTGACCACTGGCACATCCCCGAAAACAGACCGTAGCTCCAAAGACATGCATGACAAGAAAGGAATCGGAGGCAGGGAGAAGACGTATATGCAGCCTAAACCTCCCGCGTTCGCTCCATTGTTTATTTCTTGTTGTTTCGGCGGGCCTTGAGGTCTCCCTCAGCCAGCCACTTGCTGGCATTCACCATCTGGACGACGTTGACAAACTGCTTGAACGCCATGACGGGGAAGGCAATGCCAGTGATGATCCATGGCCAGGTGCTCTCGAGCTTGTTGGCACGCGCCATCTCGAGGGCACCGGCGCTCCAAGGGCTGGAGAAGAGGCTGGCTGGCTCGGGATGGGCTGGGTTGCCGGGTTGAGCGGACGAGCCATCGGAGATAGGCTGTAGGAGAGCGGGCGACAGGATCGGGGATGAGAAGGACAGCAGGTATAGACCGATGAAGAAGGCCTCGTTCAGGGCACAGCAGACGAATAGCACAGCCTGAAATGAAAAGTAAACATTAGAGTTGAGTAAGCATCTAAAACGGCAGGTCTTATCGTACCTTGTTGGTATAGTACTGGTACATGATCCAGCTACGGGTGGGATCCACCTTCTTGTGGCTCTGGCTGGACCCTCCCATGCTCAGAGTAGCGTACATGTGCATGTAATGGCTAGCCATATCCAAACTGATGAGAGCCTGGAAGACGATAGACCAGCGGGGCCAGGCAGAGCTCAGGAAGACCAGGAGACACGCGGTGGTGCAACGGTCGGTGACCATGTCCAGCACCGCACCGAATGTGGTGGATTCGTTGAAATAACGAGCAGCATAACCGTCCAGCCCGTCCAGCAGACACGACACGGTGTAAAGGAAAGAGCATGTTCGGGGGTGGAGGGGCATGTAGTATAGGGAAGCGAAGGTCAACACGACTCGGGTGTAGCCTGGGATGGAGTCAGCTCTGGCGCTTGATACCGATTCGAATTCTCTTATCGAGTGACCGTACCAATGAGGTTAGGCGTGAATAGGAAGATGTTCTCCTTGGGCGCATCGCGCGCGGCGGATCTAGCTCTCTTGGAGGGGGAACGCTTGGAGGGCGTTGACACGGAGCCATTGCCGGGCGAGTCACTCTCCTCGGCGAGGGCAGCCTTTTGTCGTCGTGTGCGGGCGCTCATTTTGTGTGTGAGTTTGAAAGAATGGACTGATGATATTAAAAGATATAGGTCGGAGACCGGGAAGGAGTGTAGCCGGATGGAAGATAACCGGGGACCAAAGACACGTACGCTGTCAGCCTGGCAATTAAGGAGAAGGAAAAAAGAAACGTCCGATAAGCCGATAAGCCCGTTTGATTAACACGACGATCAGCACGTAAACTTGAAACGAAAGGAAAAAAAAAAAAAAAATCTCAAGCAAAACAGGGAGTTCCTGGCGGATTACTCGGAAGCTCCACGCGTGTCCACTTCACGTATACCTTCGTTTGTGGTGTGTTTTGCGCTCCGTACTCAATCTCACTGTCGACGTTTGAAGTATACAGAGTACCCACTAGACATTGATGATATTTGATGCCTGCATATTCACTTGTTTCCAAGGCTGTTACTCCGTATTCCTTTTATACATAATGTGAAGCTTCCAAATGTGGCTGATATTCGGTTGCTTGCTGCTTATAAACGATGATTATGTATACGATCAACAAAGGATAAAAACTATATACAGAACACAATCTTGATCTACTTCACGTCCGTGACCTGCGCGGGTTATCAGCGGCTTCTTGTCGGCGCCAATTACGAGACTCCCGAGTTCCCATGCTACCGACACCACCCTCTTGACGACGCTCCCAACCACCAAGGCGGAGGACAAGACAAGTAGCATTATCCCCTTCCCTGGTGACCTCGGTGGAGAAATTGACCACATCCCGTGCACCTTGCTCGGGAGTCTTGGATTCCTTGATGATATCGACAACTTCCTGGTCAAGGAGAGTGCCACTGACCCCATCGGACACCAAGACCAGGAACGAGAACTCCGCAGGACCGAGCTCGATGCGCTTGAGCTCTGGTTCCGCGGAGACACCGATGCGCTTGGAGTGAACATCACCAAAAGCGCGGGTATTTGCCAGTCCGCTCATGCGCTCCTCGCCGAAAGAATCTGTGACGAATGTTGCGGCGTACCGTCGGAGTCGGCTGGCCTCGATTGGTGAGGAGGGGTGGTGGTTTGATGTGACGGGAATGGCTTCACCCGTTTCAGTTGAGCAGAGAAGGATTCGAGTGTCACCCACATGGGCAACTAGAAGGCTCGAGGGGGCGATTGGATGCCAGAAAGGTGCCGGGGTTGGAGTTGAGATCATTGCAACACTCCCTGTACTGCCACCCTTGAAACGGGCACGTCCACCGATGTGAGGAGACCGTGTCATACTCGGTCTGTGAAAGATTTCGTCATCGTTCAAGGGTCGCTCGGCCCGTACTGGGTCATCCTCTTGCTTTGAGGCTTGCGCCTGGACGAAGTCTAGATCTGCGCGAAGGAAGGCGTATTCCACAACCTCTTCAACGGAAATGTGATCGGCGATGGCCGGATCAGTAGACTCAGTGCCATCGTACGCGAAGTGTGGCGGCTTGAAACGCTTAAAGTAGCCCCCAACGATCCGTCTCCAGGTCTGCACAAGGTATTTCTCGAGAGCTCCGATTCTCCGCCGGTCGCCTTCTTGCATGACCGGCAATTCGGTGGTGGCAGGGGGAACTGTAGCGCCAGGTCGCAGACTTGACTGTAGCTCGATATCCCGCGCGGCATTCTGAATGTACTCGTGCAGATAGTCCCTTAAGAAAGAGCTGCATTCCGTTCCGCCATGACCGTCGAAGACGCCAAAGTAAAAGACTTGTGGATCTCCACTCGCTGTTTCGGCCCCTCGCGATTCCCGGGGCTGGGCGACGGGGTCCTGTAAATTGCGCCGCTTGATCGTTACTGACGTAGGAGGACGTTTTGCGAAAGCCGGGATGTCAATGACGCCAGCTTGGTACGTGTCTTCATTGGCAGGTCGAGTACCGCGGGCAGTGACGGCGCCAAAGTGGTGTTTCGCGCTGCGAAGAGGAATCCGGACTACCGTTGTCTCGCGGTCGACTAAAGCTTGGAATGCCGCCGGAGACTGTGACGTATCCCCGACATGCGGTGTTGAGGCTCCGCGAGGGAGCTTGTGGAACGGTGAGGTCGGACCGCGGGGATCTGGGTGGAGAGAGGACGAGGGTAAATGTGTCACAAAATAGTCACGGAACTGAGGGTCCTTCCTTGCTGCCGACTGGGCCGGCTGAGTATAGTTTCGAGCTTGAAGGGCGAAGCCTAGATAGTGACGAGTTAGCGATAGGAGCTGGAGATAAGCACTGCAGCTCTCACTGTAACGGGTCAAGGCGTAGACCTTGCCTACACGCCTCGCTGAAAGGAGAGTCATTTGTCCATTGAGCGAAGTACAAAAGAAGTCGAAGTAGAAAGGGTGCGTGGGGGGAAACCAGCCCGTCGGCAGATAAGATACTTTGGTCCGGCACATCCTTTCCGTGGGATGGCTTTCCCTTAGATCTTTACGACAACTTCGTATACTTCTATATACCCCGTACACATGGACATTTTGACATTCTTGGATATTAGTATTCGAGATGCTAACTGCTATCTTCTTCAACTGTCTCTTCAAGTACGATTCCCCCGTACTAGCCATTTGACTTCCAAGGTGACGACATGACGATGCTGACCGACATTTGCATCAACGACATCGAAGAGATTATCTTGAGTGAACAGTCGAGGAAATAGACATCCATCCTCCAACGAGACCGAGACTTGCAGCTGACAGGTGTCTACCGGAGAGTCAATCTATGCCTGCATTAGTCAATCGATCGCACTTGACTCAGAACTGACAAACCTGTTGAATCGCTCGGAAAAGAAATCGTCGTCTTCTTGAGAGCAGTGACCAGCCTTACAGCCTTCACAGAGGTTCCTGTCATGAGGACCTTTGCTGTGACCGGAGAAAGCAGGCTTCACGACTTGCACTCCGCTCCATTTCTTGAGCCAATATACCACCCTCTCGGCATATGAATCATCTAGCAAGGGTCGACTGAGCCGCTTGCAAGATTTGCAGCGTTGGTGGTATACCCTTGCATTGTATCTTTGGCCAGAATATTCACGGATCGTGATGGCGATCATTTTACTTGACCACCCATTGGAGCTGCATGTTGAAGTATGGCACGTGAAGCGGCCCATGATATTTGAGTCCCGGTCATTGATGCAACCGATCTCGGTATCTTCGGAGTGGAATGTAAATTCAAGACCTGATTCAACCAGCAGACTTGATACCTCACTATGGAGAGCTTGATGCATAGACCATTTGGCGAAAGCCTTCTTCTTTCCACCCGGGGCCATCTCCGTGGTATCAAGGGTTTTGTGAAACAGCACGGGCTCTTGAGTTGTTTTCTGATTAGATCTTATTGATGTAGACGATTGACTAAAGGATGCTTTCTCGACAAATCCAGAGCAGCAGAGAGAAGCCTCTTGGCTAATGATGGTGATAGGGATGGAGAGAGCAGTTACAGGGAGTGGTTTGTGTTTCAGAATCACTTCCTTTTATACCATGGCTTTTGATGAGCATCGTGACACAACTGTTGAATAATCATTGCCTGTGAGCTCCAAACTTGCAAAAAGTAGCTTCGTGCGCGATGCATGCTTGACCCCTCTATCTGACAGGGAAGGGGGACTTACATGGAATTGAGGAATAGTGATGTTGTCTCCATCGCATATTCTATTCTTAATTGACCCTATACTTGCTGGAGGGGATACACTCTTGCACTCCAGACATTGTGGTGGACTTATATCCTCCCTGCAATTTGCACTTCTAGCTTTGATATAGTAATTCTAGAGCTTTGGAAGGGGCCTCTTGATGTGTTTCCCATATTAAATGACAGCTGTACATGCAATCAGCCTCTTCTATACATATTCCGTTTGCTCATTGACACTACAGGGTTGACTTGCAGGAGCTGCGCATCCTGGAGGGGCTACGATCACACATCAGTCAGAAGGCACAGACAACAAAGACATTTATACATGAGAATGTCACTACTTGGCTATCAATCCATTTTTTAGGCCATGGAGTATCCATTTTATGCACGGCAACTTTGACTCTTCAATCGTCGTGTTTAAGGCTCCAGGGCCTGAGTCATGATGTGTATGAGCCATGAAGACGAGCCTAGAACCATACCTGTAGACTTGAATAGGGAGGCACACTTGGTAACACAGCATCGCCCCTATGACGGAAATACTGATTTACTACTAGAAAAGTGCAAATACGCCATACCAGAGGCCAAAAGCTCAACAGAAACCAAGTTCCCTTTGAAAAGACTTCAATGAGTAATTTACATGCCCTGCCCAAGTGTGCATGGTATCAAGCCTCGATCCCTGGCTATATTGGCTTTACAAAGATTTGAGAATGGAAATTATGTTATGGGACTACATCAGGCAGGATTGAATTTGTCATGAGTTTCATTGAAGAAGAAGAAACTAAAGCGATGAGTATGCAACCAAATCACGCTGCTAAGAGTAAACTCCGAGTCGCCAGGACCCACGGGTGTGGCCTAAAAAAACAAGGGGGAAAATACGCTGACAGATGGACACCTACGGGGAGTAGTGTCGTCCAGTTATAACCAGGGGAGAGCACGGACAGTCATGGGGACCTGCTTGCAAAGAAGGTGCGTTAGATGTCATGATGGGGGTCATGAAAGGGACCCACACTCAGGGACGAGTTTAAATGGCCTTGGTCCGGGAGAAAAGGCTGCTGTAGACGGCATCAACGACGGGCTGGGCAGTGATTTGCTTTCCGCCGAAGAACCGGCCGTTGAGACCCTTGATGGCGTTCTCGCCGCCCTGGACGCGGTCGAACTTCAGGTAGATGTCTCCTTGGGAATTGGAATCTAGCGAGATGTGAACAACATGGCCATATTTCTGCTCGCACTCTCGGCGAACATCTTCCTCCAGCTCTTTGATCCAGCCCTCGGCAGTTTCCCTGTAGACAGAGGTTAGTAACTGCTTTTTGGAGGATGGTGGGCAATGAAACTTACTCAGCGGGGTCAAACATATTGCGAAGCAACACACATCGACTAGCCATATTGACGTTAACGGGAAGGGGCTTCGTCTCGGTCTTGGGTCGGAGCATCTTCTGCTTGTCATCAGGTTGGGGTTCATCTGTACGTGCAAGTTTGCGCATCAACGCGTCCCTAGAGTAGTTGTTGAAGTTGACACCGGCAACATCTGTATCATCGAGGGCACTGGCACCGCCACCCTTTTCGTTCTCACGTCCGCCGGCACGGTCGAAGTTGTTGGAGCCGCCGGCCTGGACGCCGCGGCCTCCCTGACCGGAGAATGAAGAGCCCTGGAAATTCTGCTGGGAGGTAGATTGGGATCCTGGGGTACGGTTCGTGTTCGACTCTGGGGTGAACTTATCATTGCCAAGACCAACTCGAATAGCGCGTCCAGCAAGTTCAAATCCGTTCATCTTCTCCAGCGCATCACGGGCCTGGTTAGGGTCACAGAACCTAAGAGATTGATTAGCATATGACCAACCACAAAAATGTTGGAATGAGTACTTACTGAACAAATGCATATCCTTTGCTGCGACCAGTTTCATCCTTCTGCAACTGGACAAATTCGAGATCACCGAAGGGTTCGAAGACATTCTGAAGATCGCTTTCGGTGATGCTGAAGTGGACATTTCCAACGTAGAGGCGATGGAAGGGAGCGGCGTGGTGATTGCCGGAGGTAGGTTCGGGGTTACGTGCTTGGCGGTTTTTCTCCGCTTCAGTCAGTTGCGCAATGATGGGGATTCCCAAGAGCTGCTGGCCAGTAAGCTGAATAGCGGCCTGAACGGATTCCTCGTTGCGGAATTCAACATATCCGACACTAGATGACGTTAGGAGATGGTCATGAGTAGAACTGTAAGAAAGACATACCCTTTGGAGCGTCCGCTGATACGATCTTTAACGATCTGGGCTTCCTTGACAGGGCCGACCTTTTCGAAGAAGGCCATGAGGTCCTTCGTGCGCAGACGAGCTGCAAGTTGCTGCACAAAGATAGTTCGACTATCACGTTCATCTTCATTAAGTTCGGGGGACTTTTCCTCACGGCGGGAAGGGGTTCCACGGCGCTCATCACGGCCACGACGGGGACGACGATCATCATCGCGGTCACGACGGCCAGGGCGGTAGTGGCGATCATTGTAGGGCGAGCGGGAGCGAGAGCGCACCCGACCTCCGCCGCGGTAAAAATCACCACCGGAGCGGTGATCATCACGGCGACGACGACGGTCAGATTCACGGCTACGACTCCGCTTTCGGCTCCGCTGGCTTCCATGGGCACTTCCATGCTCGCTTCGTGGGCTGGTCATCTCTTCATCAGCATCGTCTCGGTCGGGGCGTCGGCGGTCACGGCTGCGGTCACGATCGTTGCGGCGACGTCTATCGCGAGAACGATCACGGCGATCGTAATCGGGGTGTGCGCTGCCCTCACGCTCATCCTGTTTGGCAGAAGCCTCGGCGGGTGCGGCGGCGGCCGACTCAAGAAGAGCCTCAACATCGAATGCGGACATGATTTGTCGACTACAATCGAGAAGTTGTTTGTGGGGAGCTGGATCACTAGAGCCAGTAAGATAAGGCTGGAGGCAGAAGATGGCTTCGGATTTCGTGCCTGGGTTTGTTAAGAACGCGATCGTGATGTTGGCGTTGCTGGTGCAGTTTTCGCCTGTGAGGCGGTACGTACAGTTCCATGGTTGGATTTGAGAGCGAATATTCGGAATAACAAAGACCCGAAGCTAAATTGAGATAATCCGGATTCAGGCATCAAGACATCAAGGCATCGAGGTATCAAGGCATCAAGGCATCCAGCCTTGTGTGGATGGATCTACTGTTTCTACTGTACCAACCTTTTACTCTGTAGACGAACTAACAATATTTTGAGATGCAGATAACTACATCATTGCTTGGATTATGATTAATGATAATGTACACTAATAAGTGGTCATTGAATAAAGAAAGTCCCTTTTATCACTCAATCACCAAGCCCTGGAGACATGAAGGTGAACGAATTTGCACCAAAGTACTCCGTAGACCCTGACAAAACTCCAAACTCCACAGTTTCACATGAATTCAATAGTCCGAAGAGGAGTGAGTTGGTCATACTAGACATGAGATCATGAACGAGAACCAGTTGAAACCATCATGCATACAGTCATGGATATGCTCACTGGGCCTTAGCCCCCTTGGGAGGAGGAGTCACCAACTCGGTACCAAAGATTCGGTCCCAGAATCGACTGGTAACACCGAATCCATTTTCATAATCAGCGAAGTGATGCTCAAGGTGGTACTTCTTGAGACTCTGGTAGTATGAAGGGAGTCTGGAATGTGATGTCAGCTAGATGTCGCGAGGTCGGGTATGTGGAATAACTTACTTGCGATGGTGGAGGAAGTAATGGGTGAGATCATAGCAGATGTACCCGAATACTCCGCCGCAGAACACTGATACAGCGGCATACCAGTTGTAGAAGAAGACCGCATGGGCCAGCTTGTAGAACGGCGCAGCGAGAGCGACGAATAGGGTCGGTGGCATCACAAGACGGTATTTATCCATGGGAAGATAGTGGTGAATTCCGTGGAGCAAGAAGTGAAGAGTCAGGCCCACTCGGTTGTCAGGGAGCCAGCCATCAAGATGGAAGAGGAATCGGTGCATCAGGTACTCGATCAAGGTCCAAAGACACAGGCCGCCAGTGAAATAAGCAGCGGCAGTGGATGTACCTAGCCCGGCAGCTCCGACTGAAAGCAAGTAGAAGACTGGGGGCAGCCAGACAATAGGCACGACGTACCACGAAGTCTTGCTGAGAGGCTCGAGGAAGTTGCCAAACAGAGGGGCTGATTCGCCTCCTCGGTAGTGACGAGGCCGGTGGATCTGTTCAAGATAGAATTCCTTCGAGAAATTGCTCCTCCATAGTTGCATCAACAGCGGCTTGTTGAGATCCAGGAACTTGTGGGTCTTGAAATCTTGAGTGTAGTCCGTGTCAACCGACAGATCCTCCGCACGGGACATTCCAGTGGACGCATAGATGGGGCCATTCTCAGTCTCGGTCACAGTCTCCACGATGGTGGCTGTCTTTCCCGGCGTAGCCTCGCCAACAAATCCAATGTGATATTCGTCGAGAATTTCGTAGGCGGCCTCGGAGTGTTCGTGAGAGATCTCGTCCTTCAAGATTTCGGTTGTATCCTTGCCTCCGTATTCCAGAATTAGGTCTCCACCTCCAGGGTGCGCATCGAGGAAATCAGTCACATCGTACACGTTGCGCCCCAGAGTGATGTAGCATGAGTCCGCGGTGTTGTGGGATTGAACCTCGGCAGAGGTGAACGTCGGCAGTACCCTCCCAGGCATTGTAGCGAGAAGGAGATCGGAACGGGATATTCAGATAAAGAACCTGAAAGTTGACCAAAGGTTGAAGACGTGAAAAGTGCCCAAAGAATACCTAGGTAATAATTAAGGGGTGGCGTGACACAAAAACCAATCAGGGATCCGCCCGACTCCGGCAAAAAATCGAGTTTCCAAGTTTGGGTACGGGAGGTGGTAGTACTTGGTACTTAATTACACAGCGTAACTTATACTCTGTGCTTTGTACTCCGTACTTCGTATGTGATCAGGCCACCAAACTTCAATATGTTATATGAAGTAGAATACAAGACAAAAGAAGGTCATGCCACCACTGAATATTTTGTATCCCTCTATGATAGCCTATCCAATTGCCCCCAGTCTTGGAAGGCTATCCGATTTGCTGACCTCATCAGCCTCAATGCGGTTAGCGTGGTCATCACATACACTAAACCCGGATTGGCTAGAGCCGATGGAACTTGTTTACTCCGCCCTCCGTTGAGGCTAAGCTGTTAGTGTGAGAGCTCCTGGTTGACGATCTGCAGGGATTTGCCAATGACTAGAGTTTGACCGGGTTGAAGATCCTCGAAAATCTGTTATTCGATCATTCAATGAGTTGCGGGGAAATTGGGTTTTCTTCGGACTTATACACCACGAGGCTAAGGATGGAGACCTTGAAATGGAGTACGCCCAACGCCTCTCGGGGCATGTCTCCACCGAGGGAGAGTCTAGTGCCATCTTCCGCGGGCCCCAACAGACACAGACACAGACACGACACGAATTATTGGTCCTTCATCCTTCATTACCAAGGAGATTAGACACGCTAGTAGGTGGATATTTCACCCTATTCCCTGATTCTTGAAGCTGTGGAAAGCCTTCTCCCCTTGTCATATCTCTGGTATATCCAATCCATACTCCGACACGTATTCCGCCGCCATGTCAGCTGCAGAGGACTGGTCTCCTGAAAACCCCATACTGGCCTACCTGCAAACGATAGCCGCAACCAAAAAAACCCTCCCCTATGGACAACCCGTCGTCGCCTACCTCTCCCACAACTTCACCGACTCCGCTACGCTCCTGCGGCTGGCCGCAGAGCTCGGCCCCTACATCGCGATCTTGGAAATTGCAGCGGATTGTGTCGATGACTGGTCCAGCGACGTGATTGAACAACTCCAGCAACTATCAAGGGAACATGGCTTCTTGCTGTGGGAAGCAAGCAAGGTCCTAAACTCCATGGTGAATTTCATGGGCAGAGCGGACGCGCCAGTCGAGACGAGGCAGGCCTTGACGGATTTGATCAAGAAAACATACACCAGTGGTCCATTGAAAACAGCAACCTGGTCCAATCTAGCTACCTCTTGGGCCCCGGCAGTTCCTGTTGATCAGCAAGAAAACGACGTGTTAATTCCAACCTTGCGACTGGCGGCTCGCGAGGCCGTTGCCACAACGACGAAAACCATTCGAACGGAGATCTTCGCGGACGCCAATGACGACTCGTTAGCGGAAGAGGTGGAAATTACACCTCCCTTTGGGGAATCGAGTAGTGGATGGAAAGAGTTCAGCCCAGGGAATATGGGATCGGCACTACGGAAATCATCCACGATCTCAGTCACAACCGAAGAGGTCATTCCACAGCCACACTTGCAGGCAGATAATGGCGCACCAAACCTGCCGCTACTGGCTCGCAGCATAGCACTTTGTCTCCCCAGTGCTATCGAGACTGCCTTCACTCCCGAGTATCGCCAAAGTACGATTGTCGCCGCATGCGCCAATTCAGATTTCGTCATCGGCTTCGCAACTACCGAGCCGTTCTTTGTCAATCATCGAGGAACCGATATATTCGAGCTGGCACTGCTTGATGGCAATGGCAATGCCCAAGAAGGCATGGACTGTGCCAAACTCGCCACCTCACCATACGTCAGTGAACACCAGAGGTCTCTCGGTGTCTTCTCGCTTGTACCACCTGCTCTAGGCCAGGACTTTGAGCTTGATTCGACCTTCAAGCCCAGCGGGCTTCATTCATTCAACTTCAATTCGGAAACTCCAGCCTCTGTGCAATACCTGTTTCATATAACTGGGAAGGCCGTTGCGCTGAGGGAAAAGAATCGGCAAGAGCGTGAAGGTGACTCCTCGAGGGGAGAAGCACCGGAGGGTCCTAAGATCGTGCATATTCCAGCGGTTATCATTGCATAATACCACATAACAGCGCTTTTTGCTGTTCAGGCTGTATATAACTCCTTTTCTGTTGATTTTCGGGAGGTCAAAAATAACACTCAATCACTGTTGGTATTCTGAATCCAGCTATTTACTTGTGTATTGAACCTATTATTTTGCTATACGTACTCTACTCCGTATACTCCGTAACCAAAGCACTTTCCCGGCACCTCCCCGGAGGGCACGTGCCGATTAGTCATTACTGAGATCGAGCCTAAATTGACATTTTGAGGCATACATGTACCTCTGTTGACTTTGTTTTGTTGTAAATTTCAACATATTTCCGAAGTTGTCTCATTGTAACTGATATCTACCAGGCTGGAGTGCCCAGATGGGCGATCTCGATTCATAATCGAGGGCCTAAACCCGGCATTGCTTGAATTTGACCCACCAAGAGAGCATCTTGAACATCTTCCACGGTTCTTGACGCCAAACAATGCTTTGAGTACAAATGACCAACAATATTCAACTTCCTAGAAAATCCTGAGCTGGTTTTCGCATTGCTTCAGCGATTTGTTTCCATCTTGAGAGCTTTTAATCCATATACCGGGCTCAGAAACACGAACTTGCGAGCCATGAGCCCAGGTGGACAACACGAGATTGGTGGTCCAAGTGATCCCTCAGATAACTCGGCCTCATCAATCAAGACCATCACCCCAAACGGAGACCTGATTCTTGAGTACATTGCATCTAGTGACACTACGTCACCCGTTAGTCGCAAATGGCAGGTGGCAAGCCAGCTTCTTGCGTCCAACAGTCCATATTTCCAAGCATTGTTGGATCCTGCAAAATTCTCGGAGGGCAGGAAATTCAATTCTGAAAAACAAGCCTGGGATGAAGCCCAAGATCCCAACGTTGTCTCGCAGCATGCGCTGCCAACAGTCACACTACCTGGCATCCAGCCGACCATGATGTGCGGAGAAGATGCTATCGAATTATTCTTGCGGATTCTGTGCCTCGAGTCTACCGAAGAAGCGGAAACTGCGAATTTTGAAAATCGTCTGAAACTCCAGTCCACTTCCCTGGTTGCAAGGCTAATCGACCTTGCCGATTCATTCAATTCCCCCCGCATTGTGCAGCATATCCTGCGGCGGGTTGGATACTCGTATGGAAAGGGAAGATCTGCACCTCTTACCAAATTTAATTCTGCCCTATTGTCTAGCAAGGAAGACAGGATTCGGCAGATTATCTTTATATCCATCTTCCTAGGTGAAATTAGAGTCACAAGAGTTACCACCCACACCTTGATTATTATGGGCTCCAGATTCTGGGTGAATGGACTGGAAAGTCCAGAGAATGAAATCTTGCGCTGGAAATACTTGCCACATGGGCTTGAAGGTATGTCAGACTCTTCTTGAAGCTGAATACAAGAAGCTAAGTTTTTCAAACGCGCAGAGGAAATCTACCATCGACGTCAGTTGGTTCTGAACACAATAACCGACATACAGGCCCATTTCCTTCGTATGTATGGGGGAATGGAGGACTCGGAAAACACAAAGACAACTGCCAATAGAACGCTAGGCGCGGCATTCACAACATCTGCTCCTGCGCTTCTCCACTCTCGCCAATTTCAATGCAGAGGCGGATTCAACAATGCTAGCCAATGTGACCTTTTCCAACTAGGTCAGATGATCCGATTCTTTTCAGTGCGGGCAAAGACAATATTTCTGGGCTCGACATTGATAGATCCCGATTTCAGCGCGACTTCCGAGGATGAGCACACATTGAGTGAAAGCAAGAACGACCAGTCTCCCGGTCCACCCTCAGATATCACCGCTATCATTTCCTATCTCAAAAAATACCCCGACTATCCAATTGACGAGGCTCACACTGGGTGTGGTGTTCGACGTCGAATCATGCCCGCCTTGGAATGTGTTGAAAAATTTGCCTGGGATGATCGAGGCTTACTTGGAATTACACCTGAAACCCCCGCCTTTTCTGCATTGGATGTTTCCCCGTCATCGAACTGGACTCCATGGGCTGATTTAATGCACCGGAAACACTCTGTCGATATCGCTTTCGCGAGAGTCACCGCTGTCTACCACCCTTCTGCGCCATCGAAGAATGTTGGTCGGAACATGTCACAAGATGACCTTGCTCGGATGTTGTTTACTGCTGCGAAAAGAGATTGGAGTGCAGCTGGCGCCGTGTGAGAGTTGAGATTAGATCTATCTACACACTTGTTCCGTACATAGAGTACATTTTTCACATATAGATCCATGGATATACACCTCTTTCATCTGCTTAACGGACCTTCTCATCTCGAAACATCCATGGATGCTGTATAGAGAATTTGTACTGCTTTAATCTAAGCACTCATTGTAATATGTATAAGCATGGATGTCATAGCCCTGGATGGGTGCCTAAAAGCTGCAGGGTCTGCTAGACTGCTTTGAGGCCTCTGCCTAAGGCCTCAAAGCACCTGCTATTGCAGCATTACTGGGCCATCGTCAAGGTTGCCCAAACACCGAAGGCATCGAAAAAGAAAATTCTGCCTAGTTGATCCGAAGTGTTGATGAAATATCCCGACCCGGACATATCATTGCCGGAGTTGCAAATCGGGTAGCCCCTCGGAAATAACGTACTTACCCCTTTCGGACATATTTGCAAGTATAGCATCAGTCAAAGGTATAAATACCAGCCGATGAGTCGAATTAAGAACAGCAGATTCAAACAATTTATTCCAACATTGACTCAACATGACTCAACCCAACACCGAGCTCAAGACTCCGTTGTACTCCACGATGCAGCATATCTCTACCGAGAAGTCTCGTCAGTAAGTTGTGTTACTATTTATTCAGTTCAAAAGAGCCCTAAGCTCATGAGACTCACAGTGCAATCCCTGAGACACCCTGCCCTACCCATGGACCTAGCCAGGCTCCACTACTTGAATGTGAATTTCAAAAGCCACGATCACAAGAGATCATCAAGAACTTATCCATAGCTCTGAATGACCTTGGAGATCAGGATCAATGTCTGCGTTGTACGGTTGAGTCCATCTCAACTCTACTTACGACTCATGTTCGCGAAATGAGGGAGGCTAAGCGCAATGGAGAATGGACTAAAGAAGAGAGGAAGGGGATGAAAGCGGAGTTCAAAGCCGTTTTCAAGCCCATGAAGAAGGATATCAAGGCCCTGTGGAAAGCAAATTAGGATATTGGTTATTTGATTTCTAATTCTATATTTTACATTCTATGAGGCTCGGCTCATACGGCGCTGTTTGTACTTAAGTACTGGACTTGATAAGTATAGACCCCCGGGGCCTTTTTGTTTAGATGTCTGGACCACCTAGAGTGACCAAGATATGAACTCAAGTACTTGTAACCTTGGAATTTGTTATCAGCAGCTACCGTCAGCGCGCTAAGTTTGGGGTAAATGCTTCATGTATTTCCAAGGTTCTTCTAAAGTTGTTACTAAACTGATCCAGACCCAGCCTAGAATATCAAAGCTTGGCTTCCATTTTCAATATCAAGACAATACCTATAGGTTAACAGTTTTAATTAAGCATCCTTGGTAGTTGAGACGTCACAATTACAAAGTCTCTATGAATAAAACCTTGGAAAGCGCCGGGGAATTTTGAGAAAGCCGAAAGACGACATAATGATGTATTTCCCCCGAGAAAGGGACAACTCGAGAAAAATGCAATAAGACCGGTCTCGGCCATCTGTCTTACTTTAGAAATGCATATCTACCAAATGCTCTGGGTTGGGGCTATCTGAGCCCTAACATTCTGGGGTGAGGGTATTGATCCATGAAATCAAGGACCAGATGTTAGGTGAATTTATATCCATAGTGGCCAAGCGACAAGCGTCTGAATTATTCAGAGTATATTGTACATCATAGATGTAACAGATATCTGACAACGATATTTCAAACGAAGACGTACAATAGAAAGACACTACCTTTATTCAAGGATTGTATATCAGATACGTGCGTCGCACTTGCGCAGCAATCAGGAGTAACAAAGATGAATTTTCTCTATATTTCCTAAATGAGGCCAGGTGCATGATTTTCACTTTCTTTTGATGGCATGCATATGAAGCGACAGAAGAAAAGAACTTGTATACATATAACTGCAGATATTGTTTCCAATCTGATTCTGCGTTCGCTCGATTTCTTTTCAATTTGGGCTCTTTTCTTCAAAATCAGCGAAAAAGGTTGAAGCAATTCAGCAAACCGGGTCACCCCAGAAATATCCCATGTCAAGCTCCATATTTGGGCCAGATGGGAAGAACGAGCCAGTCAGCTGACCGGTAGCTGGGTCGTAAGGGAAACACTCATCGTAGGAGCTCTGATCTTTCTCCTGCTTGATGAATTGGTCGAGCAGATCGGGTGCCTCGATGCCGTAGGACTCATGCATGCCGGAAGGGGTGCTGGACTGATCCACCGGAGAACGGGCGATGGAATCAAGCTCTGCAGAAATGGCGTCCACAGCAACTGTTGCAGGAATTGCCTCCGAGGCATCGAATGCTACGTCATCTGCGGATGGATCTTCGGTCATGTCCGTAGATTCCACAGTATCAGGGACATTGAACAGAGAATCCGACTCTTCGTTGATGGGGAAGTCATTCACATTGATTCCAATATGTGGGGCCAATCGCCGAATGAAGCCGTCACAAAGTTTCCAAGCTCTTTCAGACGCCATGTTTGTCTTGGAGAGCGTCGAGAGCCAGTCTAGGGCTTTCTTCGCCGCTTTGGAGACCATCGTAGCCTTTTCGGGAACGTGCTGGGCTCGGTACGCCAGCTCGAGTAGGAGAACCGTGACTGCTTGCATGAGATAATGCAACGTGCACCACCATGGAGACATCTTATATAGCAGTGTCGCGTCCGGGGTATCCGGGAACAATGTGAGCATGTGGCACGCAGCCTCGACACAGTCTGCTGCGGCCTTGTTGCAGAATTCATACGTTTTGTCGTCTTCAGAAAGAGACTGGTCTAAACGACAGAGGCACGGTCGTGTGATTCCGATTTTAGTGCTGTAAAAGAGGAAAGCAACGCCCATGCGTTGACTGATGGGACATTGAGATGTCTGCGTTGAAGTAAAATCGTATGCCGCAGGAAGATTCATGAACCATGAATCAAGCTCGAGCATCAAACTCTGCATCGTAAACTCGGTGCTTGCCCATGGAGATTGAAGAGCTTCCGGACTGTAAAGCTTCACTGTCATTCGCTTGGAGATACTGGTTAATGAAGCCAGCTGCAGGAAGTAAAGTGAAGTACAGGGCGGGAGACTCTTCAAATACTCGACACGGCTTAGCTTTGCCTCGTCTTCAGCAGGCGCGTCATTCGAGTCGGAATCTGTCGTTGATTCAAGGTCGTCCATACTACTATTTGTCGGCATCCGTTCTGAGTTGCTGGAAGTGCGGAGTGCAGTGTTGCTTATGATGCGAGCCACTTCGTCCTTCTGGAAATCACTCTCATCGAAAGGAACTGGCATTGGTGTGGTGCAGGAACTATCATTGACACATGACGGACGTCCGGTCAAGATCGCCAGTAGATAGTCCAGTGTATACAATGACCACCACACCCGATAGCGGATCTCCTTGGAGCTATCCGGTATGCTGACACCCACATTTTGTAGGTGCAACCCGAGAGCCAGGGCCCCTCGAACTGCACTACCGGAAAGTTTCCAGGCCCTATAGAGAAAATAATGGTGAGCTGATATCCAAATAGTGCACTGCTTGTTGCTGTACCTGTTGATGTGCCCCAATGCATTGAGATAAAATGCGGTCAGTCCTTCAACTTGCAGCTGCTGAAGATCAGGATGATGTAGAATTTGGTCCTCCAAGCTCAAAGCTCGTGCCTTTGAGAAATACGATTGATGGTCATCGTCTTCTTCCCTCCAGTCGGCATTCGTCAATTGACCGAATCTTGCTGCGATGGCAAAGATCAGGTTGAGGATGGCGAGCCATTTGTTCCCCGGCTTGAGGGAAGGCTGACTGAAGAAGACTTGGAATTGAGGTACAAAGGTTGAGATTCCAATGATTGGGAATGAGGGATGCACCGATGTAAGATAGGCGTTCAGCAGATGCGTTGCTGTCTCTCGTGAGGGAACTCCATACATATCCGATGAATCTGCAGTGGGAATATCTAGGTCATCGAGATAATAGTTGAAAGCTACCACCCATGGGTCACTAGGAGTATCTGGCCGAGGCGTCAGGGTTGGAGAGGGAAGGCCATTATCTTCATCGGCGTTGGGCAGAGTTGCAGGCCAGGCTTCACATTCGATGTTGACCACTTTGCTGAGTTTTTGGAGCCAAGTGATTTCAGAGCTCTTGCCGATGAACCCTGTCGCTCGGGAAACTTCATCCCTGTTAAAGTCTTCTTCTGTGTGGTCTCCCGAATCTAGGGGACTTGCAGATAAAGATCGAGAGGGTGGCGGCTCGGAGCCTGCGTTTCGTGTGGCCTTCGATTCTCCAGCTGCTGCAATGGACGCTTTCGAATTCAGTGTCAGATTTGGTGCAGATTCCTGATTGGTATTAGGCGAGCCCTTGCTGCTGAATAGTGATTGAGTTCCATACCGCTGCTAGGGCGATGTTCACCAAGTGTTCATCAGAAACACCAAAGCGATTGCTTAACTTGCTGATGACATCCTCGTAGGCCTGCACTTTGGCTGATAGACTTGCCAGTTGCCTATATTGAGTGGTTCCAGAGGTCAATTCTTACACCGAGCTTAACCAATTGAATGCATACCGTTTGGACTTCTCTCTCTTCCCATCTGTATAGCAGCAGATGATCCCAGCCTCTCGGCAGTTTCGACAACCGGACTTATCTCCGGTACACTTTGTCTTCCGTTGTCGACACGACTCACATGCTCGGCGAACATGTCGTCGATGAAATCTGCCTGGGGAAGTGAAAGCAGACTCAGTCCCTTCCGCCAGGCGTGGGATGGCCATTTTCTTGGATGTCACTTGAGAATCACCGCTTTCAAGATGAGACACTGGATTATCCTATATATTCGAGATCAGATAACCCTCCTGGCTCGGTCATCAAATGATTTCACACTTACCACACTTGCCAACTGATTACACGTTTCTGCATCAGCATAAGATAATTTAAAGAGGCTCTGCTGATCCCCCCACGAAGGAAAAGGGATGTTACTCATTATGAGCCGAGATAAACCGGGTTGCTGAAGATAGTCACTCTGCGTTAACGCAAACAATTGCTGTGAAGGTCCTGGAGTCACTTACGTAGGGGTGTGGATGGAGTCCCTGTGAATATCCGGAAGCATTGAATATAGTTCCGAGATGACGATATCAGTGAGCTCTTTCACAGATGCTTGTCAGATTCAAGATATGGTGTAGAATAATCAGAAGGCCAATGGGTTTTATAAAAGACCCCAGGATTTGACCCATAAGAAGCATAACTCGGGGAAAGAAGAGAGAGGGGTTCGGATTTAGAGCACCGCAGACTACACTGCGAAGTGTCAAGCAGAAATGACATCCATGGTCAATTAGGGTTATTCGTAAACGCGCAGAAATGGCCACCGTTCGCCGAACTAGGTATAGCTATCAAGTCGTTTGCCTCCGGCCCTACTAAGGGGCGAGGCAAACGTTCAACGTTTCCATGAGCAAACCTATCTTATTTTGGTTATTGATCACGCTATTTTGCCATCAACCAAACAGCCGCGGTGGACCTGTATCTGGTCATATAGAAGAGACTGGGGTATTGGTTTAACCAGTGGGTTACTACCTCTGGTGGTGCTCTTGTTAACAGTCCCCCAGGGCTGGGTTTCGGTTGTTGGAACCGACTGGCTCTGGAATCCGATGCAGCCGACCAAGGGCCTCGTTTTTAATATAGGGGGTTAGTATATCCTCTGAGCTGTATCTCTGAAATCTCACCTAGGGCTCGGACAGATCCCTTAAGTTCTTTGCACCGAAGTAAACCATGAACCGTATGAACTTTCACAGCCCTGAACGAGCCACCTTGAGCAAATTGAAACGATAAAGAAGATCTTAGCTGTGTTCAGAAGTCGGCAGTACCTCGTGGGCCAGACCCGACACTCGAAGTCAATCTGACGTGTTTAAGTGGCGGCACACACCTTGGTGTGGTTCGTCCCTGGTTGGCGCCCAGTGCTAAAAAAAAACTGTTTTGGGAAGACAAGCCGCGAGGTGCGAGGCACGGAAAGCTTGACGGCAATTCTCATCAGAATTTCCCGCTGTTGTTGGCTGGGACTCAATTAAGACGACATTACGTTGGGATGATTGTACTGGTGTTGTGTGTAGGTCAGGCTGAACGACTCACAATGATGGCTTGGGGGGCTTGTTTACCCGCATTGGGCGGGCCATAAGGAAAGGACTACTTGGATGCCCAGTCGCAGGTGTGAAGGACGAGACATGCCTGAGTAGTCCTGCATCGTAGAAGTTTTAGATAAATTCGCAAAATCAGATTGGCTTGACACGATCTTGGAAAAAAAAATTAATGAACACAATCCGGACATCATTAGGAACTCTATACAGTAGCCCAACTCCATTTTTACTCAATCAGGAAATTCTCCGCGACGCTGCGAATATCCTTTGAGAATGCAGTGCTTTCACCATCCATGTCCAACATAGCGACATTGCTCACATCAACATCCACGAATGGCTTAGTCTTCGTGAAGCGAACGCTCATGGGGAAGAATTCATTCTCATCAGAGTCGGTTGCCTCAAATTCAAAGCTGCCAGATGCGTTCGACTCATCCACAGCTCCCAGGTTCCAATCCAGGCTGTCGCCGGAAACCTCGTACACCGCATCAAAGCTAGATACTGCAGGCTCTGATGAGCCGTATGGAATGGTGACAACAACATCACGGAGGCTGTCTTCACCAGTAAGCTCGTACTCCACGGTAACAGTGGTCGAGTCAGATCCCTTGTTTACCCATACGGTGAATGTGATGGGAAGAATATCAGCATTGTCGGCTGAGCTAGCCACACGCCACCGGAGAACGCCGATCGAGTTGTTGGCGGGGAATCGCTTGGAAGTATCCTTCAGTTGGATTGTGGAAGACTCGGCGAAGAGCGCTTTGTCGACGTTGGGGTGAGTCCGGAACTGTGCACCGTGTGTGGGAACAGCCTGGCAGTCAAGTCGAAGCTTGGTAAATGAGGGATCGGAGATGCGGAGTTGCAGGTCACCCTTAACCTCAAAGGACTTCAAAGCTCCCTCGCGAGTGAGTGTGGCCGAGATGGTCTCGGCAATTGTGAGTTGAATGGGTTCCCGGTCTGGGTTGAGAGATTGGCGCGCCGAGGAAATATCTTGCACGGGGGATGGAGCTTGTGGAGCCACCAATGGGGTATCCTCTTCGATTTCAGGGCCCATATCGCCTCGAACCTTCTCGTAAATATCGGTTGCTTTAGACTTCTTGCCTAGTTGCATACCCTTGCCACGGGTGGGAATAGGCCTAATAATCCAATCAGTCAGCATAGGTTTCCACTGAACCAAATTGCAGTTTCAATGCACATACTTAGCGAACGACTTCTTCTTCTCAGCTTCGTATGAGTCGTAGGTATCAGGCACAGATGGGCGCGCTGGGGGTGTGTAGACAGGGTAGGAAGGAGCTCTAGGAGCCGCAGTTCGACCTGAGCGAGCTGCATCTTTGCGCTGCATCTCCAGTTGCTTCGCCTTGCGCTTGCGCTCTTCGCTGGCCTCCAACTCCTTGTTCTATCGATGTGTTAGCCAAAGCACAGGCCGCTGTGTGAGCCTAAACATACCCGTTCAATGATTTCCTGGATTCTCTCCTCGTGACTCTCCATTTCCAGGAAGGTCTTGATCTGGGACAGGGAGAGATTCTCGCGGTATCCCAAGGTCACCAGTTCATCGAATGCACTGAGAAGTTCAAAGGCATTGCGGAGAATCTCCCGCTCGTCCAGGCTCTTGCAGATACTAGTAGTCACTTGCGCAAACAAGTGAAGACTGTCAATGTCTTGTAGGATGTTCGATTGGCGGTTGGTGATGAGGATAATGTACAGCTCGTCGAGTGGCTGGTACACGAAGCGCACGTTGTCCTGCTCCACGGTGGTGTGTTGGGTTCCGGAGTCTGCAAGCTTGGGGAAAGACGCAAGTAGCGCTTCAATTCGGGATCGGGAAATCTCGCGGAATTGACGCGAGAGAACCGCTTTACCTCCGCGGGTACATATCGACGCTGCCAGAACGACCTGTGGTGTTTTGATCAGTCGAGTGCCACTGTAGATTGAGGAAGCAACTTACCATTTTGACTAAACTAGCGCAGACTTGAGGCAATGACAGAAGTGAAGACAATGAAGAAAGGGATAGCGAGAGTCGTGGGGTAAAGTTGATGGTTGACAACGGATAGGGAGCTACTCTGTTCACTTCAGCGGTTGGCCCGTGCATCGGATTCGCTTAGTCGTAACAGAGACACTTTCCTTTCACTTCGTCTCTCACTTCACACCACCCTCACTTACACTCGCCCCATCGAATACCTTCTTGTGATCCAAACCCACACAGTTTGGGTATCTCTGACAACTCTCTTCTTTTTCCTTTTCCTTCGACTCTAACCTTCACTGCAACCGCTTTCATGGAATCTTGCCGCTAAATTTCTCAACACGAACCCCGACCCTTCAAAGCGCACCTTTACGCGTTTACTTGCTATGACAACAACCGACTCTTTGACACAATCAATGATGGAAGTTCCTGCTATGGATGACTCCATGGAGATGGCCTCGCCCTACTTGGGACAGGCTGATGACTTTGACATTGACATTGACCTTATGGAGGACCACGCCTCCAATATGGACAGCGACATGATGGGAGCAGATGAGTTTTCTCAGCCCCAAGACGCAAATGACGACGCGATCCTTGATGCCGACATGGCCGATGAACCTTCGGAAGGCTCTATGGTGGACGCCGACAATTTGGTGTCAGAAGACAACGATATCGACGTGCAATCTGAGGAAGAGCCTTTCGAGGCAGAAATGACTGAGGGTGACCAGGCTGAGAATGGCGCCCCTGAAGTTCCGATCATCGATGTTTCCGATTTCCATCCTGCAACCGAAACGACCAACGGAGATAGCCTCAACCCTACCGAGGAAGAGCCAGCCTTGGTGGAGCAGCCTTTGCCGGTAGTAACGGAAGATCTCAGTGCCCAGGCAGAGCCTACGCAGGTTCAAAGTGAAGCTCCGGTGCCCGCTCAACACAAGGTCGATGAGCAAACCGAGGACAAGGGTCACCAAGTTGAGCCAAGCATATCCGATGATGATGAGCTTGCCGGGCCACCATCTGAAACACTTGACCTCGCTGCAACCCACGATGATTTTGAAAAGCAGGAGCCTACCGCGGAGGCTAACGAAACAGTTCAACCTTCTGCTGCGAAATCGAATGACTCGCAAGAGCACCTTGCGGACAATGAGGCACTTGCCTCTGCGGAAATTGCCCAAGCCCCTGCTAGTACACAGGGAGAGGTGCAGTCTGTACTGGAGGTAAAACAGCATGGCGCAGGTGACGCTCAATCTCTTCACCAGGAAACAGCATCCCATGAAACCCTTCATCCTGTGAAGATCATCTACCAAGAGAATGAGATCGCTCTTTTCCCTCCCCTCGAGGGTGACTCGGCCGAGACCTTTTTCCTTCATGATGAAGATGTGGCCTACGAGAGTGTTGCTCAGTTGTTCAAGGCCTTGCGTCAGGTTCTCCAGGGCAATGTCGCGGACAATGAGGTCTTGATCATCGATATCGACACTCTTGGTATTCAAATGACAGAGGTAAGCTCACATTTCGAGAGTGCGAATATGTCCTCTGTACTAACAGCTATCTAGGACTCTTTCCACACATCCCAGGTTACCCTGCACCAAGTCGTGGACCTTTATCTTAGGCTATGTCGGAACGATGGAGCCAATGACCCTGATGCCCTCTATCTTACATTGAGCAGCAAACGTGCCTTCCCAGCTGAAATTGCGGATCTGCTAGATGCTGCCAACGACGGCAAGAGTCTGTCCGAAATTCATCCCTGGGATGAATATGACGAGGCTGAACCCGCCTCCGAAGTAGATCACGGACATGAACACGAGGCCGAAGAGCAGGAAGATGAAGCTTACTACACGACTGAAGCTGAGCAGAAACTTTCAGTTGCCGAGGACCAACTATCTGAAAAGCCCGAAGACGAACAGATATCAGCCGCTCCTCCTTCCCCGCCAAGACAGGTGCAAGATTCTGAGGCTTTTTCAGAGAGCCATGACTTTTCAGCTCGAGAAGAGCATGACACAAACGAATCAGGCGTCGGGGCTGCTGACGAGCCTCGACCACTTTCTGCTCACTCTCACTTGAATGAGCAAGATAAGGCCCAGGAAGGCCAAGATCAAGGCCAAGGCGATCTTCATGAAGAAAACGACGAGCATTACGAATCAGAGGGCCAGCGCAGCGAGTCTACTGCTACAGTGAATGCGGCTCCCGGTGAAACTGACGTGGCAGAAGATGCGCGCGATGGGCAAACCGAGGAATTCGACGAAAATGCCCGCGGAGAAGATCCTGACTACGATGAGCTTGGTCCAGACTATTATGAAGATGAAGAACTCGTCATCGATCATCCAGTAGCTTCTCACGAAGCTTCCCGTGAGGGAGAGTCTTCTAGTCACACCGAGGGCGGTGATGCGGAGCAACAAATATCCCAGGCACCCATCCTTGATAAACAGGACGAGAATGAGCCAGATAAAACGCCAGCGGATGCAGCCAACTTGGTAGAGCCCTTCCCCAACGAGGAAACTGGAAAGGACGATGAGCAGACGGCATCTACACTTGACAGCGAGTTCCAAAACGCCGCTGAAGCCAAGGAGCAGACACCAGAGCCAAGGGATGACTTGCTTGGAATTGCAGTAGACCTGATGCAGACCCCCGCGAAAGACGACGCACAAGATGCGTTTGATCACTTCGACGACCTAGACTACGACGAACACGAAAAGGAACTTGCTGCCCCTGCTTCAGTTGGCAGTCAGGATGCCAACCAAGAATTCGATGAGAATGAGTTTGGCGATTATGACACCAATTTTGATGACACAGAGGCTGCAGAGCCTGGTGAAACAGGTCCTTCCTTTGCGGAGTCTCAATCCAACGATAACGGGACGACCAAACGGTCCCGCGACGAGGAAGATGACTGGGATGTTGAGAACACCACTTTGGATGCCAAACGTCGCCGGCCATCGTAAATTCACATCTCACGCCCAATCTCTCCACCCTTAACCCACTTCCAACCCTTCTTCAAGCTTTGGGGCCAGTGCATTCGAAACCTTGACGACTTCTTTCGCCTGGTCCATCTACCCCGACCTACTACTAATCATACTTGCCAGCGACGAGCTCGACCGACTGATGGAATGTCTCAGACGGTTTGGTCACTAATTAATAACAGGTATGTTCGAGCCCCTTTCCCCCATTGTCCGCACGCCCACCCGTTCCCATGACGGGTGTCTCGTCGCCATCTATCGTATCACATCCCCGCCCATCTGGACCAATCTTCAGTTGTGCACGAAAAATTTCCCGTCTTATCCTTTCTGTGCTCCTTTTTTGCTGCTATTTGAGATACCACTTCGGCCTTCGGCCCAAACCTGTGTTCGGTGTTGATAGGTCTCCATTTGGGTCATGAATTCATACCCCATGGGACCTGGCGTATTGGCGCGATGAGTTAGTCCCCGCGTGTTTTAGGGTTTCATCAATATGAGTATTGTTCTAAAGTTCCAAAAGTTGTGGCCCCGGCAGTTGTACTGTGTCCTGAAAGTAGCCAAGCAATTCATGGATTTTCTCTGGAATTGACTTTGAATGGAAAAGGCAAAGCTATTCGTAACTTTAGAAATAAATACCTAAATACCTATCAGGACACGTAGTAAAATTGCTTTAGTTGCCGAATCTCACTGTGTCAGTAATCCATCTTAGATCTCTAATGTAATTTTCCACCTTTGAGACATATCTGGGGATGGCCCTATGTATAGTAACACATGCTGCATTCGGACCGAGACGAGATTAAACGACGATCTTCGCCACATTTCAGGGTCCAACGGATTCTGATACGACAGACGCAACCAGAAAGACACTTGCAGGCCTGCAGAACTATGTTGGAATTACAGGTGGTTTCACACAGTTAACTATACGAGTACATAGTACTCGTAGTTAGAGTACTCCGTACAATCTCAGTATTTATAGAACATGGGGAACTACGCTCGGATCAACCAATATTCTAGACCTTCCGGAGCACTCGGACTCAAAGAAAAAAAAGGGTGAAATTGAGAAGTGAAATGAGAGGGTTACCTAAAAAGACTTGGAAATTTGGTCGCTCAGCCGGTGCTCTTACGCGTCCGATCGGCCAGGCTTGAAACCGGAACCCCACCGCACGGCAACACCTTCCATCACTTCATCCTCCCTTGCTCATCCTACATTGCAGAATCCCCGGGCTGGCTCGTTTTCTGTTTGGCCATTCTTCGCCTTCGCTCGCCCTGCCTACTTGTGCCTGTACCTGTGCCTACTTGTGCCTAGCTGTGCCTAGCCGTACCTACAGTCCTTCCACCCCGAGTCTTTCACTCGTTCTCCAATCCATTGCCAGTGCTGGAGGTCTTTCGACAATAGGAGCATTCGGCTCCTAGAACAGTTTTCGCGTCAACATGCTTCCAGACAAGTAAGATTCCGCTGTGTCTCTGGAATTGGCCCAGAGGGCAAACCGACCAGATCTGACCTTGCGCGCTGTCTTTAGATATGTCGGGCTAATTTTAGCCATCGTTTCCACCATGGCGATCGGTACGAGCTTCGTTATTACAAAAAAGGTCGGTCTACCGCAAATCCGAAGGCGAGCGATGAGACCAGGGTGGTCTGGGCGACGGCCCCGGCACTGCGATCTTCATCAACCGACCAAAGAAGGATCGGAGCGCAATTGCTAACTTCTGCTAGGGTTTGATGCAAGCCTCCGAACGACATGGATTTGAAGGAGAGGGATTCTCATACCTCAAGAGCCCTGTGTGGTGGGGTGGCATTGTGACACGTATGGAATCCCACGGTTAGACTGAACATTGGGACCTGGCATAGGCTAACAGATGGACAGTGGCCCTCGGTGAAGTCGCCAACTTTGCCGCATACGCCTTTGCGCCCGCGATTTTGGTTACGCCATTAGGCGCACTCAGTGTTTTGATCGGGTAGGTATCCCAATTGCGAGTCTGCGACGTCGAATTTCCATAGCTAACCACATATACAGTGCGGTTTTGAGCTCGTACTTCCTCAACGAAATCCTCGGAGTGTTAGGAAAATTAGGCTGTGCGCTGTGTTTGTTGGGATCGGTCGTGATCGTCCTCCATGCGCCTCCAGACAAGCAGGTGGACACCGTTAATGAGATTCTTGGATATGCTGTCCAACCCGGATTCTTGTTCTATTGCTTGACTGTTGCGGTTTTCTCGACTGTGATGATCTACCGGGTTGCGCCAGTCTATGGCAAGAAGAACCCGCTCATCTACATCTCGATCTGCTCCACCGTTGGATCGGTCTCTGTCATGTCTGTCAAGGCCTTTGGTATCGCTCTCAAGCTTACTCTGGGAGGAAACAACCAATTTGTGCATGCATCTACCTATGTGTTTGCCATTGTGACTGGGTTCTGCATTCTCACCCAGATGAACTACTTCAACAAGGCGTTGAACTCCTTCTCCACCTCGATGTGAGCCAAAATCTCCTCGGAGACCGATTGTCTATCGCTAACCAAAGATCTCTAAAAGTGTGAACCCCCTTTACTATGTTACCTTTACCACCGCGACCCTTTGCGCCTCCTTCATCCTGTTCAAGGGATTCAATACCACGGACGCCGTCAACACGATATCCCTGCTCTGTGGATTCCTGATTATCTTCACAGGTGTCTACCTGCTGAACCTGTCACGCCATGACCCAGACGGACACTCGATGGTGAATTCCAAGCTTGATGAGGATGGAGTGCCGACGGATGGACTCACGAGCTTCCAGACCCGGCGTTCCATGCAGTCTCGCCGAAGCTCCTCGAGTATCTATTTCAACGGCCATGGCGACCGAGAGGGACTCATGCATTCATATGATGCCGAGAGCGGGATCGGCATGAACGACTTGACGGAAGCAAATGAAGGGGAGCCAGGTCCGACGTTCCCGCACACCGAGACACAAACCGCGATGCACACGAAGCGGAACAGTCAGCTTTGAGCTTGAGGTCCGATATAATGAGGCATATGGCATGATTTCATTTTTCATCTTTGACTACTCGCAAGCTACAGGCTTGATACTTGTATTATTACTCGACGAAAATGCCAGAGTTGCACTGTAACTCGGGCTCATCAGGCACTGGAAATGTCTGTATGAATGACTGGATATGACTCTGGGTTTCTATGCGATTTTCATTTCTTTTTCATCTTTTTCATTTTTTCAATTTTCTTTGTTTCGGTGATTTGGCATGGCGAGGCCTGTAAGGAATGTATATACAACAGGTGCAAGTTTCCTTTTTTTTTTGCCGAATAGATAGTATCGGTGGGGCAGATGATGTATTTGGTCACCCGGTTATGTCCATCCCCGACACTTCAATTCAAGTTTCCTTCTCTTCACCTTTGTATAGTCCGGCCTTCACTCGGTCTTACCGCGACATGCCTTTGTGGCGCAAGTTGGCTATTGTTGCCGCCGTCGATGGCTTGGTACTACATGCCGGTGCCAACGGACCGAACAATGGGAGCAACAATGAAGCTTCCTCCATTCGCATTGACTACAAGACGAACAAAATCACCGCTCTGCCTACATATGCCTCGGACTCCCTCGGAAGAGACGCCCTAGAAGCCTACGGTCTCGTGGGTAGGTGATCTAGGCCAAAGCTGCGGGGCAAAAAACAAAGATGCTAACGCAGGCGCAACCCTGCTTTAGGTCTTCTATCTGTCGCTTCATACTCATTCCTTGTTTCCATCACCCAGCGACAGGAGGTAGCGAATATTCAAGGCCGTCCAGTCTACGCAGTGACAAAGGTCGCAATCATCCCCGTCTCCTCACAAGAAGATGCCGGCCGCGCAATCTCCCAGGCTAGGAAGGATACTTCCCAGAATGAAGTGAATGTGGAGCCGTCTTCTGATGAGGATGACGTTCCCGATAATGAAACAGACAGAGCGGAAGCCGAGGCGGAGATCGCGAGCGTCCCCGCATCACCCGTCCGCGATACTAAACATGTCCGTGGAATCAGCGTCGGCAGTATCGCGGAAGATGTGATTGGGAAGAGAGTTCGATTTGGTCGATTTGCGGCAAACTGGCTGTCGCGCAAAAACCTTGGCTTGCCTCAGCCAGGGGCTCTAGGACAGGACATGCCAGAGTCCCCAATCGAGGAAGCTCCCAGCCCGTCAGATGATGATACTGACGGCAAGGGTGAGGCTACGAAAGAAGGCCCAACAACTGATGCTGGGACCCAAAGCGAGGAACAGCCTAAATCCGCCCAAGCTGCAGATCTGCTGCCGAAGCTTCTTCGCTACACAAAGTTGCTATTTGCATCGCATAATTTCTTCTTTGCCTATGATTATGATCTAACGCGTTCTTTAAATACCCAGGAAGCTCGTAAAGATCAGCTTCCTCTCCACAAAGTTGTGGATCCTTCAGTATGTTTCAAGGGATTCGGTTTATATTTTCGCAACTATATGCTGACCTATTTGCAGTATTTCTGGAACAGACATTTGATGCATACATTCATTGATGACGGTGCACATGGTTTTGTTTTACCTTTAATCCAGGGCTTTGTTGGCCAACGCGAATTCACAATCGCTAGTGCTACCCCGAAGCCATCTGCACAATCTCCAGAGGAACTAGCTGGAGGTCGGATTCTCGGCGAAAAAACCGAGGCCGAAGATGCTGCACTTGACTCTAGCAAACATGATTATCTTTTAACACTCATCTCTCGACGTTCTGTCAACCGGCCTGGTCTCCGTTACCTGCGCCGTGGTGTCGATGATGAGGGTAACACAGCCAACACGGTTGAAACCGAACAGATTCTCTCGGTGCCAGACTGGAGTCCATCTCATGCTGCCTATTCATACTTGCAGGTCAGAGGCTCTATCCCTCTGTACTTCTCTCAATCGCCCTATGCGTTGAAGCCTGTTCCTGTGCTTCATCACTCTGCCGATACGAATCTTCTTGCTTTTAGCCGACATTTCCGAGACATGAGTCGTCGATACGGAAAGATCCAGGCCGTTTCTCTCATTGACAAATTGGCTGGTGAGCTAAAGCTGGGAGAGCAATATGAGAGATATACCGAGTCATTCAATAATGCCGGTGGTATCGATGGCAGCCCATTGCAGCTGGAATGGTTCGAATTCCACCGTGAGTGCAGAGGAATGAAATTCGAAAACGTTTCTCGCCTTGTCGACCGTCTCAAAGATACATTGAATGAATTCTGCTACACCATCGTTGCAGATAGCGATGTCTTGCAGACGCAGAAGGGAATTATTAGGACTAATTGTATGGACTGTCTTGACCGCACCGGTGTTGCACAGTGTGCCTTTGGACAATGGGCCCTTGAACGTCAGCTTGAGAATGAAGGCATTGACATCGACCTGGGCGGCGATTCTTCTACACAGTGGTTCAACACTCTCTGGGCCGACAACGGGGATGCTATTTCCAAGCAATACTCATCCACGGCAGCCTTGAAGGGCGATTACACTCGCACACGCAAGCGTGATTACAGAGGCGCCCTGAACGACCTGGGTCTTACCCTCTCCCGATACTACAACAACATAGTCAACGACTTCTTCTCCCAGGCTTGTATCGACTACCTCCTGGGTAATGTGTCAACTCAAGTCTTCGATGAATTCGCCATTCAGCTTCAGACAACCGACCCCGGAATCTCGGTTCAAAAGCTCCGCCAAAATGCCATCGACACAAGCTGCAAGATCGTCATCAGCAGCCCCTCTGAAGAATTCCTCGGTGGCTGGACAATGCTCACACCTCGCCAACCAAACACCCTTCGCACATTGCCTTTCGAGGAATCCGTTCTTCTACTTACAGACGCAGCGGTATATAGCTGTCGATTTGACTGGGAAACAGACAAGGTCCTTTCCTTCGAACGCATCGATCTTCGCTCAGTCTCTCGCATTCACTATGGAACATACATCACCTCCATCCTCACAGACAGCCAAGCAAACGAAGCAAGCAACGTTGGCCTCGTCCTTGTCTATCGAGATGGTGACATCAACACCTTACGAGTGAATACCCGCTCCCTCCAAAGTGACGTCGATCTAAGCACACTTGAGACCACAGCCAGCACAAACAGTGAATGGGACCTTGTCTCCTGGCTGCGTGGCAGCAAACCATCCACTACACGCTTCATGGCTTTCAAAGGGCTGCCATTGTCCAATTCCACAGCTAGCCCAAGACTGGGTCCCACTGGTGGGACTGTTAGAGAAATGGACCGCGTCCGTTCTATCTGCTTAGACATTGAGCGTGCCATGCTTGCAGGACAGGGCCGTGCTGGTGATGTCCCTTCTGCTGTTGAGCAGTCTGATATTATCTCTTTGGCTGATGCCAAGAAACGCACTGGATGGCTGGAGTATCTTGTGTACGACATCAAAAAGATGGTCTGGGCCTGATCTGCCGGAGAACGCCGGTCTTGTCGTGTCACTCTACATGTCTTGTCACTTTGCTTGTTTTGTCACTTTGTGTTGTTCTCGCGTCGCGTTCATTGCGGAGTAGATACTGCTTCCCTGTGTACAAAGTGAATGGATGAGTACAGGGCGGTCATGATGCTATACCAACCCATGGTATCCCCCAATCTTCACAGTTGCAAGATATCTATACGACATGTCAGTTACATCATAAGACTGCACCAAGGATGCAGCGACATGGTAGTAATGGTGAAATGGGATCTTGATCAATCAGCTCGGAGACATCAATCTTGATACAATTCGTGGGCAACAACTTGTCTATGCATACATATAGCCGAACTGCACTTTCACTCTGCGTATCTTTGCGCAGCTTTGCAGGCTGCCAGCCCTGGAGGTGCTAGCTCCTCAAAGTGACTGTTTCACTCTTGTGTCGTCCCTGGAATTTAGGGATCTTAATTCAGAGTACCATTGCGTAATTAATATGGCTGTTGTCCGCTAGTACTCCACGTTGTGACTTCTTCACCCTGCTCTCTCTTCAAGCCCTAGTCGTGTTGTTTTTGATATGAAGTACCCTTGCGTAACTTTACGTGGTAGCTATACGCTACTATACCTCAATGTGAAATCTTCGTTCTTTTTTCTTTCTCACTTTTTTCCAAGTACTCTTGCGTAAGTTAACGTGGGAGCTGCCCGCCATCACTCCTCATCGTGACTTCTGCACCTCCACTTCATCAACTCTGGCTCTGGGTACCGTTGCGTGTCTTTACATGAGAGTGACCCGCCATACCTGCTCGAAGTGAACTACTGAAGTCCTCAAGAGATTCTTGGCCTGAAGTACATATCACATGTACCGTTGCGTCAGATAACTTGGAAGCCACCCGCTACAACTCCTCATCGTGACCTTGTTGACTTTGTTGACTTCTTCAAACCGCCTTCACTGCCACCCTATAACATTTGGACCATGAGTCGATTCCACTTAGGGATCTAGGTATAATCAACAGGAAAGACTAACACCGAAACAATACCAGTTGGAAGGTTGAGCGTTGAACGTCGAGGAACTACAGGGTTCCTTATGCCCTTGACACACCGCCTACTATATTGACTGATCTCTTTTTTTCTGCCGCCGTCCCTACACCCCTCAGTGCCCTGGTGATCTCCGGTTGTCTTTTTACGACCTTCCTTGGTGCTGTCCTCTCTTCACTCCCAATTCCCCGCACTCGCATTAGCGGAACATCTCAAGTGGTCCGGCAATCTTGGTGGACGCTTTGATCACCGATCTGGGGAAACCAAAGGGGTCCCGTTCCCACACTCTCGGCGGGGCTTTTGTGCCACTCGCACTTTCGACTTTCACTGTCGCAGATCCTCTCACAGCGCAACAAGATGGATTGGCAACCCGAAGAGGAGGCATTGAGCAATCTAGCTCGCTTCCTACGCGACTCGCTCGCCGGTGGAAACAATCCCGCCCGAGCTAAAGCTGAGCAGGTAATCACCCTGGCCGTTTTTTTGTGCTCTGTCACCTGCAACCTTGTTACGGATGTCATACAGACATGATCAGACCTGGGAGCTAACCGTCGTGTTTTTTTTGACCGCAGATGCTCGCACAGGCGACTTCCTCGCCCGACTACATCAATTACATCACATACATATTCTCTCATCCTCAATCTCCCCCATCGGCAGGGATTCACGTCAATGAATACCCTACCGTTCGCTTTGCCGCTGGCACAAATATCAAGACCAAGATCTCACTCGCTTATAGCATGATAAATCCTCAGAGTCTTGCCTACGTCAAGACCGCAACTCTGCATACCTTGCGCGACACCGACCGCAATGTTTCAAGAACCGCCGGTAGCATCATCACTGAGTTGGTCACTCGCGGGGGCTTACTTGCATGGCCCGAAATCGTCAACGAGCTCTTGTGCCTCGTCGGCAATGCCTCTGGAAACGTCCCTATGCCGGTTCGGGAGTCTGCTATGGACGCTCTTCTGAAGGTCTGTGAGGATAACCGTCGGGTCCTGGACAAAGATTATTCGGGTCAGCGTCCTCTTGACACCATTATTCCCAGTCTTCTCCAGTTTGCCTCTATTGAGAGCCCCAAAATTCGGTCCGCTGCTCTTACCACCATCCACATCTTTCTCCCCTACGGGCCCCAGGCCTTGATGTCATCGCTTGACCAGTTCCTTTCAACATTATTCAGTCTATCCAGCGATCCAAACCCCAGTGTTCGGCAAATGGTGTGTCAATCGTTCTCTCAGCTCGTGGAATTCGCGCCAGAGAAGTTAGCCCCCCACATGGAAGGGCTCGTCAGCTACATCATCATGCAGCAGCAATCCCAGGATGACCCAGAGCTTGCGCTAGACGCAGCTGAATTCTGGATCGGAGCGGGAGAGCAGCAGCGCTTGAAAGACGACTTGGCACCATACATGCCTAAGATCATCCCGGTCCTCCTGCAGAACATGATTTATGACGAGGAGGAAGTCGCTCGATTGATGGAAGAACAGGATGATGCCGAAACTGAGGATCGTGCCGAAGATCTTCGACCTCAATTCGCCAAGTCCAAGGGCGATCGTCTGAACACCTCGCGCCCCGGTGACCAAACAGCCGCCCCCCAGGAGCAACAGCCCGAGGATGACTCGGATCTCAGCGATGGTGAGATTGAAGACTCAGAATTCGGAGATGATCCTTCCGGCAACTGGACTTTGCGGAAGTGCTCCGCTGCTGCACTTGACGTTTTCTCCAACGTGTACCACCGCCCCGTGTTTGAGATCCTTCTGCCATATCTTATGGAAACCTTGCGCCACGATCAGTGGCCTAACCGCGAAGCCGCTGTCCTTACCCTTGGTGCCGTGGCAGATGGCTGCATGGATGCAGTCACTCCCCACCTTCCCCAGCTTGTACCCTATCTGATCTCCCTTCTCAGCGACACACAGCCCGTCGTTCGCCAAATCACATGTTGGTGTCTGGCTCGTTACTCCGGCTGGGCTGCACACCTCCGCGACCCGGCTGAAAAGGCGCAATTCTTTGAACCCATGATGGAGGGCATCCTTCACCGCATGCTCGATAACAACAAGAAGGTCCAAGAAGCCGCTGCTTCCGCTTTCGCTAGCTTGGAGGAGAAGGCGGATGAAAATTTGGTGCCCTACTGCGAACCTATTCTGCGCCAGTTCGTTGCATGCTTCGGAAAGTACAAAGACCGCAACATGTACATTCTGTATGATTGTGTGCAAACACTCGCTGAGTGTGTTATGAGCGAGTTGGCCAAGCCCCACCTGGTGGAGATTCTTATGCCTGCTCTCATCGGTCGTTACAACTCCGTTACCGATGATTCTCGAGAACTATTCCCCTTGCTAGAATGCCTTGGATATGTGGCAGCTGCTTATGGCGATGTCTTTGCCCAATTCGCCCCTCACCTTTTCTCTCGGTGCCGAACAATCATCTACGATAACCTGAAGGCCTCTGTCCAATCAGCCAGCAACGCCGCTTTCGATGAACCGGACAAGGACTTCCTTGTCACCAGCATCGACCTCTTGAGTGCTATCATCCAAGCTATTGACCCGCAAAAGAGCGGCGAGCTAGTTGCCACCTCAAAACCGCACTTCTTCGAGCTCCTCTGCTACTGTATGGAGGATGCCAACTACGAAGTCCGCCAATCTACCTACGCACTGCTCGGCGATTGCGCGATCAGCATCTTCCCCCAGCTGAAGACTTTCATCCCCAGCATTATCCCAATCCTGATCAAGCAGCTTGACCTGGATCTGATTCGCGATGACGATCGTCATACTGGTTTCAGTGTTTTGAACAACGCCTGCTGGTCATTGGGAGAAATCGCCGTTCACGAGGACTCTTCTCTTGGTCCCTATGTTGAGCAGTTGTACCAAGGACTGATCACTATCATCAGCAACGAGGAGATCATCGACTCAGTGAACGAGAACGCAGCTATTGCGTTGGGCCGCCTCGGCTTCTGCTGTGCTGAGCAGACTGCTCCTCATCTCGGCGAATTCTCGGCTGCCTTCCTGAAGTCAATGGACAAGGTTGACTTCACTCGGGAGAAGGCCTCGGCCTTCCTTGGCTTCAATCAAATCGTCATGAAGAACCCTCAAGCAATGGAGTCAAGCTTACTGGATTACTTCACCGCCATTTCCTCCTTCCCTGCCCGCTCCTTGGCCCAAGAGGAGTACCGAGACATCCAGGTCTCGTTCCAGCAGGTAAGAATATGCTCCGTCCGTCATAATTGAACTTTACTAACATTCTCTTCCAGGTCCTCCAGGGATACAAGGCATTGATTCCTAACTTCGGGGATTTCCTCGGCCAGCTGCCCCCAGCTGTGGCTCAGACTCTGCGCACGGTGTATCAGATCTAAGCTGATCTCACTTCAGATGTGGCTTAGATCTGCCTGTGATACTCACTTCGCCTTGAGCCACACGGGGTCAGCTGGCAGGAGGTGTATGGGAAGGTGGGTTGGAAAGGGTCATCTTCCGGTTGAGAGGTCAGAGTAATAGTAAGAGGGGGAAATGGGGGAAAACCATGACAAGGAGCAATCTGCGATTTAGCTGTTTCTTATGTTACATCTCATGATTGCATGACCTGAAATGACTTCCTTTTTTTTTGTTTTGCTTTCCCTCCCTTGGTACGTATCCTGCATTTTATTGTGCATATCATGAAGTCGGGGCTCCCGGGTAGTGTTTTTATCTTCCTTTTTTTTCTCAGCGCTGGTTAAGGGAGGCTTTCTTCCTTGTGGCATAACCATATCCCCCCCTTTAGATAGATACCTAGATAGATAGATCTCAATGAGATCTCAAACCCGAATTCTTTGAACTATAGTCTTGACACTAACTGAGAATTCACCCAGACGGGTTCCCAGTTCTTACTTAAGTATGGGGACACTCACATCATGCTCAGGGCGATGGTTGATCAATACTGAAGTATTTGGAAGACCGACTGAAATACCCAATTGCATTTAGATGTTTGGACATATTCATACATCTTGTTTCAAAATGTCTAGACATTTGATACTGACCTGCTTACTGGCGTGTCACCGTGGCATCTCGTGGGTTCATAGCCATGGGGCCCTGGTCGGCCATGGCATATTGAAAGTTACTTAAGTACTTCATACTTATCTCCCCAGTGGCATGATTTGATTGCATGAGAGCTCTTGAGGAGACATCATATTACAGGATAGCATGGGAATTTTTTCTTTAATGAGAGTATTGATTCGAAAGGGTTGGCTCATTCTGTTGCTATGGATGGGGTCTTGAGCCATCATCGCCTACGACATTCGAATAAGCAATGAAATGTGCTTTCAGCATATTCATAGCAAAATTCTAGTGGCTAGCGAGTCCATATTCAAAAAGTGGCCCACACCATTCTGTTGAGGGTGGGTTTGACCCAGTGAACTAGGACTCAACTACAATCCGCATTCAAGTACTCCGTATCATATGCACTGTTTCCACTTTCAATCTTGAACAAGTAGGATCAAATCTTTGTCCTATAACTAGCATATGAATGCCGTGAAACAAGATCCCTTGCATTTATAAATTCTGGTGTGCGTGCCTATGTTGAGGCCTGCAGTAGAATAGGGCTGGGCGTTGGGTATACCTAGACCAGTATCTCCGCGGACAAGATGTCATTGTTTTCACCTGTAGACCTTAGTGAGAAACTTGCCCACTTGAGCAGTCAACATGTTCCACTTCATCAAGACAAAGGGGCAAGGGCCCAAACACTCGGCCGTTCACTCATATGAATCCTCAGCGACACCCTCAAGGCAATTCCTCGTGCAAATGCACGAAACTCCGGCTCTCGCTTAATTGGCGCGTTATAAATGAAAGTCGGCAACCAAAGCCTCAGACAACGCCGCGCCCCCACCGATTGGCCGCTTGGACCAAAATGGCCCGGATACCAAGACGCGAGCCTTTCCTTTAACTACCTTTTTTCACGAACGGGGCGCCTCTGTGCCCGCCGTCTTGAACCCCACTCCTGCCCACATTAATCAAAGGAGAGTATACCTGGCGCCGGGTGAAAGGTACCTAGAAGTAGTGTCCGGCAATGTGGCTCTTGTTTTACCAACCTGGGTAAGACCGGTGCGCCCTGGCTTGCATCGGCACAGTCATTTCCAACGGGCTATGCCTACTAGGGCTTGCAGATAGACTGACCGGGGCTATTGTAGACATGGTACCTGGGCGATCTTCGTTAGTGCTGGGGTATGGAGTGGACCGGGCCTTAACTTGGACGCCGAAATCGGTTTGCTTCGCGCCTTTTTTTGTTGCCTGATGGGGCATGCGGATACTGTAATTCTGCTCGCGTTACGACCCGTGCGGACGGAGGACGGAGTACCCAGGCGATCTCCGACTGACAGCCCTGGATTGTGAGACGGAGCGGCTGAAGGTCTTAATGTTTGAAATCGCCGGCTTATCCCTAGTCTCGGCCGCATTTCTCCGATTTTGGACAGTGTCAGGGTCGGAACTTGGGCCTCGATCACTATTCACGTGCATAGTATATTGTCAGCTGCAAGAGAGGCTTTGGACTATTTATTGGAAACACATGTTCCAAGGTTTTGCATTCTGACAACTATCCCGTGTGGATCTAGACACTCTAAAAACATTCCATGAAGCGCAAGTGCCCATCTTCATTTTTGATACAAGCGCCCAAATTCACCTCGCCTTCCCGTGAGGTTCCAATTCCATCATCAAGCTGTGCGCGTAGCATCGGCTCATTGGAGGGTCCCTCCAGTTGTAAATCAATATCGGAGGAGTGGGTGGAAAAGCCGGTGCATCCCCAGGCAAATTGTCCTGGAGGTTATCAGTTCAGTGATTCCAGAATTGATTGTACTTAGTACAAGCGAATAACCGAGGAAAGACATAAGGGTGAAACTCAATCGCGGTTGATGACTGAGAACCATGCATACCTTTCTTCGTTCCTAGGAACTCGTCCAGGTCTAGTTCTGAGTAGGTTGCTTCCCCAGAAAGCCGACGACAATAAGCAGTGAGGACGTGTCCATCCTTGAGCTTGATGTCCATGGATGATTTGTGGAAGCCCATTTTTGAGAGATTGAATAACTGGTTCAATATAAGCTGGGAGGCCTGACAGCGATAGTTGGCAGTCTGTTGTCTTCCAAGGTTTTCAGTTTGGGCTCGAGTGCCAACTGAATATACCAAGCGTATGTGTTAATTCACGCGAAAGCAGACCAGAGATCTTGCAAAGGCCGATGATGGTCTAGTCTTGCAAGTTTACATGACGAGAGGAAGAAAGGAAGAAAAGAGCTCAGATGATCGATGTATTCTCTAAAACGGTGGTTCATTTGCCTCTTGCCTCCAGAAATCTTGCCTCTAATGACATGTATATAGCGCAGAGCTTGCGTTCCAGGTATTTGCACTGGGGTAGTGGAATCCAGGGCTGTGTCATAATTTTCTCATTATGACATTTGTCGGCTAGGGGTTTCTACACAGCACAGAGGTTGAAGATGCCCGAGCCAGCTTCCTCATGATGATCTCATGCCCGAACGGTGCGCTGTCTTACAGTATGCCTTCGGGCACTCAGTCGGGACATAATTATAGTCTCAGTGAGGTGGCTTGGGAAACAAAGTTGCCGCTAACGGCTTTAATTGGGAAGCATATGGGAACATGTATTACTGGAAATAGATCCAAGGTTGTTATTTGGGGGCTGAGTTTTACGTACATGTCCAGAAAGTCATTTAGATTGCCGTGCAGTCAATGTGGAGTTGCAGATGACCCAACGGCCTTAGGCCTAGGAGTTATAGTTGGCGATCTCGTGCTGATCTAGGTTCCACTGGTCTAGGATGGCCCCTAGAGTCTTTTTAGGCCATCTTTTCTCCTATTTGCCTATATTCCGGAACCATAGGTTCTGTGGATCACGCGAACTAGTATGGGCTATGCTAAAGGCATCCAAGGGAATAGGGATAAAGTTAAAGAATGTACAAGGCTCGGTACTTTTGGCCCCCAACTGCTTCTAACCTTTTTGGGGGTTATGTCGCGACAAGCGAGACCAATCAGTGTTGATTGGATAGATCTGATTTCCTCTCGATCTGCGGAGAAGAAAAAAAAAGATTTAACAATTCAAAATTAGTTGAACTTCCCCCGAACATTTCCGGATCTACAGATTCCAGGAAAGCAGTAGAACGTAATTACTAGTAGTAGTATGTAGAGAGTATTTTCTTATCCTTGTACTCCAACGTACTAAATAAAATGTCCCAAACCGTGCGGTGCCACGTGTGAGAGTCATCATCGTCATCGACCGGGATATCCATAGTTCAAAAGAGTAAAATAGTGGAAAATAGGGGAAAATAGAGGAAAATAAGAGGACAAGACAGGGAGAAAAAGGGAATTCGACTGCAGAGAGCCACACCGACTTTAGACACATGTCTCCCCGGAAAACGTGGTCTGTCAGATCGATCTAGCGGTGTCACAACACTGAGTTTCAGGTCCGTTCTTGGACTACACTGAGTACAAGGACTCCGTACATTGTTACAGAAAACGAAGTATGTAACTAGATCTCGCCCCCGTTCGGGCTAGAGTGCATGATCCTCTGATAGGACGTTCTTTTGCCTCCCCTATACCCTGCAGCTATGAGCCCATCCCGTTGCGAATAGCTGATCTCACGACTTGTTCTTTTACCCTTGCCTAGACAATGGGGGTACCAGGGGTCCATTTTCCCATTCGGGTCCTGTTGACGTCGCACATTTTTCAGGCTTCTGTCTACTACAATTTCCAGCCCAGTGGTAAGTTTGGATAGGGAGCGAAGCTTCCGTCAGCCTGTGCGATAGGTCTTGCGAAAGATGAACGCGAGTCCAAAGGGAATTAAGATGTGGATGCTGTGATCCCGGGAGAGTGGTCTTACACCCCCTGATTGCGGACTAACCCGCCAGTCTGCGTTGCCTCCAATATTTAGGGGTCCCAGCTGGAGGATTTTCTTTTCTTTTCAAATCGAAGGAACTTGGGGAATACTTGTAGGGACCGAGGGATCTAGGAAGTACAATAGAGTAGAGAATCCATCTAAATTCGGGAGTCTTTACCGAGTTTAATCCTTTCCATCTGACTCACAGACGGGTAGAGACGGCCGACTTCCGCCTGTCAGGATAAGCTCCTTAGCGAGCAGAGTGGACTGCCCTGCACCAGTGAGCGGAGAGCCTGACGCGTCTAACATAGCACTGCGATTGACACCTTCATTTGCCCAACGTGGCTAAAGGTGTTTGACAGCGATCCACAATCCAGGGTCCTCCAGATCTAGGATCGGTCTGAGGACTTTTGATTTTTAATTTCCTTTCAATACAGACCTCCCAGTTTCTGGGGTCTGTCCACATTATGGCCCCTGCAGGGTCTTGGCTCAAATGAAAAGGACGAAAACAGGCGAGAAAGAATATCTACCTATGGGGCACGGAATACCAATCTGTGGAAGCATTACAGTCAGCATCTAGGCCCACTGAAAAGGCGCAGGAAAGTATTTCCAGTGATTGGCAAGCCTACCAGGGCCTCAACAGAGAGAAATAGAGTATAATCCGTTGAGACTAAACCCATCGAGGCAGCTGTATAAGCTTCGTCAATTGGTGCTATTCTAGACCTGTATGGTATTATTGTCTGGGAAATCGATGAATTTCCTTAATTTCTGCTTATTTTTCTTATTTTTCTCTCTCTTTTTTTATTTCTTATTTTTTTATATTATTCTATCTATTATTTCCCTTCTCTTGGCTCTTTTCCCCCCCCCTGTACCCAGAGGCTCAAAATACCGATCGTCACTGGAATAAGAATTACCTTTAGTGGACTCTAAGAGGATCACTTCTTTTCTCTTTCTCTCCACTTGACCTTCACAAATTTCCTGCTTCTTGGAACTCTTAAGGGCATACGTGCCCATTCTAAAGTTCTTTGTCTATAATTCACCCCGCAATCTCGTCAAAATGGTCGGTCCAGGCGGTGGTCCACCACGCAAGAGCCACACCAAGTCCCGTAACGGCTGCAAAACGTGCAAGAGGAGGCATATTAGATGCGACGAAACGTTCCCACAATGGTGCGTTGACCATCTCTCCAGGTCTTGCGCCGGCTAACCCTATCTAGTCGCAACTGTACAAAGCACAACTGCCGCTGTGACTACCAGGACACAACGGCAGCCCAAGGTGCGAGTCCACCACCCCGTGGTCCGGACCTCCTCATGTCGCCAGAGATCGAAGTGGAAATTGAGAACTGGCACCGAACGGGTATCCCGCCATATCCTGAGCTGCTGCAGTGTCCACGCTCCGGGTGGACTGGACTGTCGCGCGTGGATTTGCGCTTGATTCATCATATTATTGGACTTTCCATCGACCTACACCGTCGTGGATTGAGTACTTGTACCCTCTGGGCTCAGAAAATGCCCAAGTGAGTAATTCACCCGGGTAATCTATGTTGGGTTGGTGCTGACAGGCCTTCAGTTTCCTTGCTATTGCGTTGGGTAGCGATTTCGTGATGAGCGCAGTCCTGGGCTTGTCTGCGTTTCATCTTGCTTTCTTGACCCGGGACCCAGATACGAAACAGTTGGCGTTTCGCCACAAAGTGACTGCTCTCCAAGGGCTGCAGACTGCCCTTGGGTCTTTTTCAAAAGATAACTGTGATGCAATCCTTGCAGCATCCGTCCTTTTGTCATGGCAAGCGACAGAACAGTGAGTGGCCTGTTTCGATATCACAAAAGTCATCGACTAACCTCTCAGTCAAAATTGGTCATCGCTACAGCATGGCATTTCAAGTGTCCTCGAGTCCATGCACCCTTATTGGAAGCAAGAATCGGACCTTGCGCAGTTTATAGAAGCCCAGCGAACGCTAAGCACCAGGGATCTTTCGATGGCCGGAGCCTACCAGCCTCTCGAGGAGGATATTATGCATCTAGAGCAAACCATTCAAGCCCTACAACTCGCCCAGAAACGGGTATCCCACAACATTGAGCACTCCCAACGCCTAGGGGAACTCATCGATTTCACTCGACATTTCCGAGAAGACTTCCCAAACCAAACACCCGAGCAATCATTTGAGCGCATTCAGATTCTCCGCCGCTGGCTCTTCTGGCTCCCGCCATCCATGCTACGAAGTGGTGATTCGGACATCAGCGCTCTCCCAATTCTCGCCCAATTCTATGCCATCGGCATCTCCCTCGATATCTTCTTCCCGGAATTAGGCGGCGCATACATCGGTGCTCCAACAGTCGAGCCCATCGAAGAAATCTACCGCATCATCGCCACCCACAGCGCCAACGACCCCTTCAACGCTGACCTTCGTCTCGCCATGACCCTAATGGACCTGCCACGCGGAATCGTCGCCCGCTACCGCAGCCGTCTTCCATGGTCTCCTCGTTCATCTATCGACCAATACTCCCCAGGCCCGCCCAGTCCATACCACCATACTCTGCATGAATACCCCCTCGTCGCATCTTCCCCCGCTTCCGCTTCGCCCTCATACGCCGCTTATACGCCACCTTTGCAATCTCCTCCAGCCGTCACAGTTGCTAATTCCCCGTTCCAACTACAAGATGGTTACGTTTCCACGGCACCTTCCTCTCTATACCCGCCGTCACCACATCTACTGGACGCTCATAATGCGCACCTCGGACTCTCAGATTTAGGTCATGGACATACTCATCCAGCCTCGATTCCTCAGTCATCAGCATATACTCCACCATACGGTGGCGATGTGCTGTGCACTGATATGCCCCGAGCAGATGGCTCACTAGGTCTTAACATGGAGGTCTATTCGCAGACACATCCATTTGAGATCCCGGGCATGGTTGCCCCCGCCTCGCTCTGGGCATGAGCAGGGCTTCAACTTGAACAAAATGAAAACAAAAATAAAAAACACTGGGATATTTGGACGACCACTCCGCACCGGAGGGTCAATTTGGTTTCTGGCTATTGGGTACCAGAGGGAGAATGAAGACTTGGAATACTCTCATCTCTCAAATACAGGGGCTACGGAGTTGGATATCTACGCTACTTCGGGATAATCGTTGGTTCGAATGCTTTGGGTTTATACTCGATTCTTTTATCTTGGTTCGGACAGTTTGCGTTTGTTGAGCATGAGCGTTGATTTCTAGTAAGCTTGATGTGCTTAATTGCAGGGACAAGTTACTTGATCTTAATTTTGATTTTATATATACCCAGATCTATGGATTTTCTTGTCATGATGACACCCTTTACTTCCAAAGTTTGTAAGGAGATGAATCTACATATCATCTTCGCTTATTACCTGTACCTACTACACCTGCCTGGGGCGTGGACCAGCCCTACTTAGGCAGAGAATGTCTATGGGAACACCTGAGCAATCATGCCAACTCGTTCCCTTCTAAAAGAAACCACGCGAAAAGCCGAGGAAGCATGTGTCCTTCCTACAATATCACAACCTCTTACAGCCATGAGAAGAGCAGAACAAACCTTCTAAAGATAGAAACAACCCCGCGATGCCAAATTCTGCAATGAGCAGCCTCAAGAAAACACACCTGCAGTACGTCACACCGATCGACAGGAACATATTACAGAAAAAACCCCGGAACTAAGAATAGACATACTATACGATATGGAGACCCCAGAGAAAATTAAAGTACAGATTCGAGTTTCTAATTGGCAGCTCGCAGAGGCTGGTCTCCAGAGCTCGTATTCGGCCGCTATCTTGGCTTCCCCAGATCTGTCCGAACCATGTATCGTGCTAAGACGGATTGGGATGTCTGATGAATTCAGGGATCGGTAAGGGTTGTTTGTCAAAGATTGGAGTATTTTGGGGGCTAGGGTGATATTCACGGGTCTTATTGTCTTATGGTATTGTGCCAAGGTGGTCGTTTCTCACTTAGATTGTAGCCCTATGTACTGTACTCCGTACACGGTATGGAGTACTTAGGTACTGACGCTCAATTATTTTTGGTAACCGGCTCGCATTCCTCTCAGCCGCAAGGATTTTGTAGTGCATATTGAGGATTCTATTCACTCTTTTTTACGGGTGAGGCGGTTGTGCTAGATTAGGATCGACAACCACGGGTCTATTATTATCCCAGCTGTCCTTTTGGTATATTCGCTTCTTGGGCATGTCATCTTATCACACTTAGCGTTGGAGGTCTATGCATGTTCGCTTCACCGGTAACTATTAGACAATTGGCCCCCAAATAAAGATGCGCGTCTTCGATAGCACTCTGGACTTAGTGAGTTCTTGAGCCCATCACTCCTGAAGTCCTTGAATAGAGATGGGTTATCTTTCGAATATTTGTCAATATCATTCCTTAATTGTGCAAGTAATACTTCAGTAATAACAGTGACGGTAACACTGCCGTCTCGGGAAGCGATCGGCTCCCGGATTCCAGGGTGAGTTAGTCACCCTAGAGGCTACTCCTCTTTCTTTCTTCTTCTTTTCCCCGTTCTTTTCGATGAGAGAATACCATCTAGTCGTCATCATTCTGATTCCTGTAGACGAATTCTCTATCAGGAAGCCGTTTCTCTGCGTTGCTTTCTTCACTCGCCTGTTTGGTTGGTTGGGTAGCTGAAGGCTATTACCACCTCGAGCTACAACAACTACGCGCCGTCTTAGCGCCCACCTCGAGCTCAACGCGCAAAAGACCACGGTTTCCCTTATGAGAATAATCATGGTCTTTTGTCTGTTCAAAAAAAAAAAAAAAATGATATGTCCCTTGCATATTTTAGCTCTTTCCCGTTACAATGGGCCTATGCCATATAAGAGCTCGTCTTTCTTTGCCATCCATAACGCCCCCAGAGAGCAAGACGTAGGAATTCCCAAAGTTTCATCACGCATCAGACTGGTGTATTATTTCCTTTTGAACCCTGGATCCAGAGATTTGTAGTTCTGTGAACCTGACGGCTATTTAGCTATCAGCACTACCCATAGTTTCTGCTACCATGGTTATTCCTCAGGCACTGTCTCGCGAGTCAAGTCCCTTACACAGTAATCAAAGAACCATACATACGTCTCCCGAAAGAGTTCATTGCAAGGCTGATCACAATTGATCTTCATCCAACTTATTGATCACGAGTTCTGACTTCCATTCATATCAAACCGGCTCTTCCCAAGTCAAGCTGTTTGGCTTTTTCTACTATGACTATACTCAAATATTTTCCTGTTCTATAATGCACTCCAGCACAATAATTGGTTTAATGCGGCCTCTTTTAATTTCCCCATGCTGTTCTCACTTAGCCAACCACTTAATTGGTCTGCTCGGTGAAAAACGCAAAACATTTCATTTCAATACTTTCGCGCGGAGGATTATCGACATGCTTGGGATCAACAAAGGCAGAGTGGAGCAACGTTACGCTGGAGGCAACACCACTACTCAACTGCTTGAAGATGAGCGGTTCATCTGGCTGCTGGTCACTCAGATAATACCATTCATGTTTTTCGTTGAAAATTGGCACCCCAAATTCGAAAACCTGCCCGGCAATGACCCTACGATCTGGAAAAATGTCCGACGCTGGGTCAACAGACCTCCAATCACAAACTGCAAGAGGATCCCTTTGAATTGGCTTTATTGGCCTCCAGACATTGACAACAACAAAGCGACAGCTCATGAGCCGCGCCATCTTATCTTCTTTTATGATATCCTTCAGAACATGCCGGCAAGACGCATGCGTGATATCCGAGTGAACACCATGGGAAGGAGAATTTGGGGTGCTCATTTTGGTTCCATTTTGATTGCCCTCGAACCTCGAGCGAGTGAGGTAGACAACGACTTCAGATGCACCGGTTCTGTTAAACGAAGTCAGCGAGTGGGATTCGTTTATCGCCGCATCTTTCATCAAGGTGATAGTGGCACTCTTACATTTCCTTAACTAGGTCTTCCGTAGCGGGCTGAACGATTTCCTTGATTTGAATTTGGTCATTCCAATCTGTAGCCACATCAATGTGATGCTTGACAAATTGAAAGCCTTGGACATTCAAGGTGAACTCATCTTCTTTCCCGCGAATGTCCTTGATTACAACTTCTCTCACATCCGTGAGGCCCTCTCGCTGAGCATTTCGCCGTTCAGCCTCGGGTATATCGGAATCAATTGGTTTTAGACATTCTTAGACATTCGCGTCCAGAAGGTATCAGATAGTTGAGTGTTGTATAAACATCACGGCCCTCTGTCACCGGGGTCTCGATCTGTGGTTCGGGAGAAGTGGCCATGCTGATGAACGAGGGGGTAGTAAAGAAAGTCAATGGCTAATTTGCTTCGATAAAAGCCTCTAAGGAATAATAATTGAAGAAGGTTCATTTGGATCTCTTATATAACATTTGCGTGAATAAATAGCTCATTCTTGCTGTCGGCCTGGGCTCGGGTTCGGGTTCGGGCTCGGGTTCGTATTCGCAATAGAACAAGATCAGGGATTCGCTTGTTGTGACCCAAAAAGAAATTTCAACCCAAAGTTGGGATCCACTCGCTTTGACATCAATCGTTACAGTACATACATAGCTATTATGGGCTGTGAAAGCAGGTTTGGGATTCTCACCAAGGTTGATATCTTTCTTTCTCAGTTGGAGCTCTGGGCCCACATCAACCTCCCTGTATAAAAAGCAGATGAACTCCCAATTACCGACACATTGAGTTTCTATTCAACCTAAGCATTCATTGCAAGAACCCATCCTTCGAAACCTCCAAGCCCACATTGATTCTTTCAGCAAATCCGCCTCCCAAGACCGCTTCCTCGACGTACGCAGGGAGTCATCAGCATGTCCGCCAAAAGTATTGCTATCCTTGGGTGCGGAGGCATGGGTTTGGCAATCGCTCGACGTCTTGGTGTTTCTCGACGTCTATGTGTTGCCGACTACTCAAATGAAATTCTCTTAGAAGCCCAGGAAGCTTTAACAAACGAGGGTTACATAGTTGAAACATACCAGGTGGATGTGTCCGACTATGATTCTGTCAGCCGCTTTGCTCAGGCAGCAGCTTCTCATGGACCCATCGAAGCAATTATCCACACCGCTGGCTTGTCACCGTCGGTCAACTGTGCCCAGAAGATTCTTGACATTAATCTACTGGGCACAGCCAATGCTCTTGATGCCTTCTTGGGGGTAGCACAGACCGGAACAAGCATGGTTTGCATCGCCAGTATGGCCGGTCACATGGGATCGGGATTACCTTCGGAGCTAGAGCATCATCTCGCGACAACGCCTAGGGGTCAATTGTTAGATCACGTCGCTCTATACATTGATGAAGACGATCCCGAAGGTCCTGCGCGGGCCTATGGTCTGTCAAAACGTGGAAATTTACTACGCGTTCAGGCTTCATCTAAAGCATGGGGTCGCATTGGGGGGAGAGTGAATTCGGTTAGCCCCGGGGTCATATCTACAGGAGCTGGGCGTCAGGAGATCAAGGGCCCAGCTGGGAAGTTCATCGCTCTCAGTCCGGCTGGTCGAGTTGGAACGCCGCAGGACATTGTGAATGCTGTCTCATTCTTGGTCAGTTCAGAGTCCTCGTTTATTACAGGCAATGACATCCTCGTGGATGGTGGGGTCGTCTCATCATTGCGATGGGACACCCTGAAAGCCTGAACGTGAGCTGATACTGATAATTAATCTTGGGAGTGACTGTTGACGGTTTGAGGAAAGGTTTTGTGGGTGACCCAGATCGGTCGTGTCAGACATCAAGACAGGTGCCAAGGAGAGTCTCGGGACTATATTGTGATATCGCTCTTAGCCATTCTTACGCGTGCAGAGAGGGTCCACGCATGAGCTGCTCTAAAAAGCCGAATGATCATTTCTGTATTCGGAGCACTACTGGATCTTCAATCTTTGGATTCAATCAAAGTTCTTTACTGCGACCACTTGAGCAGAATATTATCTATGTATAGAAGCAACCATATGCCTTGTTCTAAAGTTATCGGTGAACCACTTGAGCAGAAGGTATAGTTCGTCGGGAAATTGCTTTAACCTTAGTTCTTTGAGTGAGGCGATAATAGTGTTATATCACAAGAGTTCAGCCAGTTGTAATCTGTATAGAGCTTGAATCACCTGGCGTACCTACTCTTTCTTGAACTCGCCCAACTCCTCGAATCCTGTTGATTGGCTTATACACACCAGTCGAGTATCAACCACCGCTTTCAAGCAGACAGTAATGTAGTTAATTTTCTCAATGAGAAGCTTGCGCTTGATCGCTATGCCTAGGAATACACACATAGATTCAGAGCGCGTCACTGGCGAGTAAGCAGGGTCAAAACCAACCCTTGATCTCTGTCGATTACCGCAAACAAACCAGCGCGTCGTGAAGCGAGTGATATTGCCTGTGAAGCTTGCTTTCACATGGCTGCTTGCTTCCACATGCTTTCTTTCCATGTGTTTGCTTACTTCTATGTGTTTCCATGTTTGCTTGCTCTCAGCTACTAGAGCCAGCTCTCTCCATAGCTCCACAGTCTTCTTCTTCTTACTTCTGCATCACTTATCTTTTACCTAAGTTGAACCTTCTTCTTTGAAGCCTTGGACAGAGTCTATTCATAATTGTCAATACTACATCCATGGATGTATGTAGCAATCGAGTGTTGTATGTGCAACAAGAGCAATCCAACGCTCTGTCCGCTTTGGGCAGATGATAAGGGGTCATGTGACACAGAGATATCCACGTGACAATGACATAGCCGCCCGTTTTGGGAATCAAAGCACCGTTTTGAAGAGCTCAACATAAACACCCACACCCACTTCAACCAACCGCAGTATTCCCAAGTCAAAATGGCTGATGCAGGTGGATGGAGCACAATTGAGTCAGATGAGGTACTACCACTACAATGAACACTCATGAACCAATCGATTGACACAACACAGGGCTTGTTCACCTCTCTGATCGAGACACTCGGCGTCAAAGACACCCAATTCGAAGAACTCATCTCTCTAGATGCAGACACAATCCGCTCACTTGGGTAAGCAATTAACCAACCCAGCACCAACCCCCAACCCAAAGCTCCATCCTCCAAACCCACCAAAGCAAAACCTAACACCCAACAGATCCGTATACGGCGTGATCTTCCTCTTCAAATGGACCCGCGAAGCAGCCGGAGCTCGAGCCGAAGCCCCCCTCGACGGAACCTACGACACAGAAGCAACAGACAAGCTCTTCTTCGCCGCACAGACAATCCAGAATGCCTGCGGAACACAAGCAATCCTATCAGTGATTCTGAACCATGATAACCCACCCGCTCCACTGCCGGCAATCAGTCTCGGAAACGAACTCTCATCATTCAAAGAATTCACCACTGGATTTCCGCCTGAACTGCGCGGCGAAGCACTCTCCAACAGCGAGGCGATCCGGTCTGCGCACAATAGCTTTGCGCGAGCTAGTCCTTTCGCGGATGAAACGGCCCGGCCTGATGATGGGGAGGGAGCGGATGTTTATCATTTCATTGCTTATACGCCTGTTAATGGGCAGTTGTATGAGTTGGATGGATTGCAGCCGCATCCTATTAGTCATGGGGCTTGTGATACGGGGTCGTTCCCGGAGAAGGTGATTGAGGTGTTGCAGCGGAGAATTGCGCGGTATCCGGCTGGGGAGACGCATTTTAACCTCATGGCTGCTGTGAGGGATCCTCGTGGGAGGGCGCGGGAGATTGGGGATGTGGAGACACTTGAGAGGGAGGAGAGGAAGAGGGCTGCTTGGCAGTGGGAGAATACCTTGCGGAGGTGCAACTTTGTTGGGTTTATTGGGGAGGTTATGAAGGGGGTTGTTGGGGGGAAGGTTAAGAATGGACAGCTTGCATATGATGAGTGGGTTGAGGGTGCGAAGAAGGAGACGCGGAAGAAGCTTGAGATGAGACGGTAGAGGTTTTATTCGTATTTTGTCTTTGGCAGTTTGCGGATTTATTCGCTTGTGGCAATTTTCAGATACCCTTTTTGAGATGACCGAAATGAAATCAGGATGGGATATGGTATTCGAAGATCATGTTGAAAACTCCAACGCTATAGCGTACTAAATACATAGGTGTGATATATCACCAATCCGACGCAGTCCATTTCGTACGTACTGACGTCCACACCGTAACTCGTGAGTCATGTTGATGTGCTTGTGTATGAACAGTCTTTGTCAGTATTATCACTGTTCCTCTCTTCCATGTTTTTAGTATTCAACAAGTCGAGAGCGAATATGTTCCACCAGGGGGGCAGGCAGTTCCTCTGCTTTGATCAAGTTCAATGCGAGCAGATCAGACCAGAAGAACATTGCGCGGTCCTGGGCATAAGCCAAGTAGTCAAAGTCCCCTTCTTCATCGGCGTCCTCGTTGGCAGATGGCTTCTTCTCTTCACCATTGCCGTTCTTTTCGGCTTCGCCTGACCCATTCTCAGCAGCAAGTGCCTCTGCAATGCCTTCCTCCATACCAGGCACCTTGGCTTGAACAATACCCCATGCGATCCATTGGGCAGAGCCCATTACTCGCCATATCCGAGTTTGCTGCATGAGGAATCGCACTTCCTTGTCGTGTTCATCCTCAATTGAAATTTCATTCTGTGAGACTGATGGTCCATCTGACCCTTCATCCAGGTCGAGTGGTGCGATTGCCGCAGACGCACGAGCACGAATGGTTGGTGTGGCCAGGGGAGAAACAGTTCCAGTGGCACCGGGATGGTGGGTCAAGTAGGTTGAGACGAACTGGTATTGCTGGTCTGGTTTGGGGTAAGCCCGGTTGTTGCAGGCCCAGGAGCGTTCTTCGTCGTGATAGTTGTAGCACCACTCGGTCTTTTGAAGTTAGCATTTTTGGAGTGGTATGTGTGAATTGATGAACTTACAAAGTGGTTGGCGAACTCGAATCCAGGTGTGTTGGCGGATGAATATTCGAAGTCGATCACGACCAGCTGCTTATGTTCGTTGGCAGGCAAAAGGAGGGGTGATTGTGTGGCAGGCTCCATGCGAAGCAAGTTGCCATATTGCGTCTGGGAAGATGTTAGCAAGATAGTGACACATTTCAAAAGAGTAGAACACTTACATCATTGTGAGCGAAGACCAGCTGTCGCTTGATCTCGGCCATACCACCGGAGGTAGAAATCAACCAGATGCGGTAGTTCTCCACGGCTTTGCGGAACACATCCCATGGCACGCCGCAGACGTAGCCGCGACGGCGCCATGGCTCTGTTGCGGCCTTGGCCTCGTTTTGAGGGGACTCGAGCTCCTTGTCCAGCCAGGTAGTCACTTGTTCACATCGGTCTACCCACTTGTCCCAGTTCTTGAAGATCATAGGTCCACCTTCACGCTCTTCATCGAGAAGTGTGATGCCCTCGTGCAACTCTCTCATGCGCTTGGCAACCTGCTTGGCTGTTTCCGGCATGCGCAGCTCCTTGTGTGTAAGGGGGCGAGCCTCAAAGTACTCTTCGAAGCGACCATTGAGGAAGGTTCCTAAGATGCGAGGTCCGATGTTCTTCTTTCCCAGGCGACGAAGGATTTGTAGTTCCTTCTCTCGGTCAATCAGGTGGTCGACTTGGGGGCCGTAGATACGTAGCAAGAGTTTCCTATATTCCAATTAGTTTGTTTCCCAGGATAGAAGTAACCAGGTTGAGACTCACGGTGGGGGTTTCCTCGAAACTAGAGTGTTGCTGTCGGTCTTGGGAGGAGGCAGGTTCTTTGGTGGTTCGACTACATACACAGCGTTGGTAAGAGCACCGCTGAGACGTACCACCTCGATATCTCCAGCAAGTTCCGCGGGGACCTTGCGCCAGCCCTTCAGCTGCAATGTGTGGACGAGGCGGACGATTTCAGTCTTGAAAATCATCCAGGCCTCTGCCTCCTTGGTTTGCTTCACGCTGGCGCTAGAGTCGGTGTTCTCTTCTACTGCACCGCCACCGGTGTAGGCAAGTGTCTTCGTGTTGTCCAGGTAAGCTTCCACGCCTGGTGGGGGTGCCTCGGCGTCTGTCAATTCAGACTCGGAGGCGGAACCCCTCCGCAGGCCCTTGAGACGACGTCGAGATTGCTTTTTGACTGGTTGTCGGTGGGTCGATTCCGGGCGGGTAGTCGCATATTGGAGGAGGATCTTCTCCAATTTATCCAGAGAAAATGAGCTCTCTGAGGAGGAGGGACTCGAGCTAGGTTTTTCTAAGGGAACGTCTGATACCGGCGCGTCGTCTTCAGGTGGTGCATAGGATGTGGCTTCGGACTTGCGGGCTTTACGATTTTGCCGCCTGGTCTTCTCATGATGAAGCCATTCGTACACTTGGTTGAGCAGTCCCTGCTGAGGGTCTTCTTTCAAATTGGATTGATCTTGATCTTCATCGTGCTTTGCACTTGATTGACCGTCCAAAGAAGGCATGGTGGGTGGTTGTTGAAAGGTAGTTTGCGCGATGGGCTTTTGGGTCATTGAGGCCCAATCTTGTTTCAGATATGTTGCGTCAGGCGGACTGACAACTGGTTCACTTGCGCGCAAAGCTTTGGGCACAGAATTGGCGTCTAAGCCTCTTCCCGTAGATGCGTCTGTTGGGTATTAGTTATTTTTTGGTTCGAGAGAAGGCGCAAGAGTTTCGCAAGGTTCGCATGGGGTGCTGGGGCGAGGGTCAAGTCGCCTCCAATAGGAATTGGATTACAAGCACGAGGGAACACAAGACATTCTTATATGGGACGGAGAATAACGCACAACGCAACAGGTGGATTCCTTTACTACACGAGAGCCGCACAAAAGAGGTGGAAAGGAGCATCCTACCTGGTATTTGAAACCGGGAGCCGTTCTCGGAGCCACGAGCACACCGCGATACGGGCGCTTATCTTTGGGGCACGCGACCAATTTGTGAGAGGCGATTTCACACACCAAAAGACAGATAGCGCGTGTACCAGTCGAGATGAGTCCAGAGACAGAAAGGAGAAAGCGAAGTGGGGGAAAATAAATGGACCCCTAAACCACGGGTTGACAAGCGAACGGAAACGTCCCAGCGGGCTGTGGATGTGTGGTCCCTGGATCCCAACTCGGACCCGAATGACGAAATCTGGGGAAATGTTCTGACACCGATCAATTGACAGTAACAATATCTGCGCAACAATTACCAGACAGACTGTCAAACCGACCTGCTTTTAATCGCGGGGATGTCAATTGTCAAAAAAAAAAAAGTGGCGAAAAGGCGATTGCTTATCACTCAGGTGACCGTTTTGGGAGCCTCGCAAATTGGGCATCCACAATGCACTGACCAATCACATGTCAACCAGTCCGTACCCCTGAGACGAGCGAAGGGAAGCTTTTCTTTTGGCTGCGAACGGATTGGGCAATGTGTCACACCACACTCGATAAGGGACTTTCCTGAGATTCCCACACCGCAATGTTGCATTGTTGCAATCTGATACAGTACGCCATTCGGGCGCCATCCTCCGTACGAGTACAGGGGGCTTCTGGGGCTTCTGAACTGGTATCCTCGTGAGCGGAGCAACCGTGGGGACTCGTTTGATACTGGCCCCGTATACGAAGTATGGCATGTGGAGGCTTGGCGCATCGGTATCTTCGGGGGTCTTGGTCTTTTTATTTCACGTCGACATACTGTACGCAGTAAATGGCACAGGCACGAGGTTGAAGTTGGATGGAGGGGAAGGGTGCATTCCAGGGTTCGCTAGGCATGGCATTAAATTACCGTATTGGCCGTATTGTTACCAGGTGGCTTGCAGTTATCAGCTTCTAAGTCAACATATGCGATAGGTGCATCTGGTATTCATTCACATCCAAGGCGACCCTTGCTGCCCGTACACTGCATTTATTCGGCTGTGCTCCGTGATCAGAGACATTTCCATATCTATAGATGTCACATGGGCATCCAAGTGGCCATAGCAGGCTAGATGCTAAAGTAGAACACCGCCTCCGGTCACACAGGACTAACAGCCTTTCGCTTCTCGATTCTATTTATCGAACTTGAAAGGATGAGCTCTCAGGGCTAACCCAGTGTGTCAGAGGTTCATCTCACTCCTCAAAAGTGGAAGCAAGACCGATCTTTCCGAAACCACACATCTCCCCTCTGCGTTTGAGAGATAGGCCGCGAGGTGTAGCCGATTCTCCCGTCTCCCATCGTCATTAACATTAGACAATACATTGAATGTAGCAATCCGGTTCGCGGCGTCCGGGTATCTCCCCGGCCCTGCCAGCACACCTATCAACGATTCAGCCCGGTCCAGCCCCACGAGATCCTCTTCGATGACAATAATCGTCGCAATAAGATCTACTACTGGAGCGCACATGCATAGACCCTGCACAGGCGGGGAATCTAATAAAAATGACAACGCCTGGCGACGCAGCTTAGGGTTCCGACATTTGAGCGCTGTGATGAAGAGGGGCAGGAAAACCCCCATCTCAAACATGAACCCGGGCTGGCTGCCATCCAAGGTGCGGGTCGCATTTAGAGCCTTGGGCGCATATTGTAGAATTTGGGTGAACTCTGCTTCATAGTTATCATAGGGCATCTCGTTAAAAGCAAGGGATGTTTGCGTTTCGATCCATATGCTGAGATAGGTCATCATAAGGAGAGAGGTCGGGCCATCGGAATTTTGTGGGGATGGGCAGGGCGCTGGGTTATGTGCGGATATCATAGAGATAAAAGACGTATGCCAGGCCATCAGACGATCCTTCAAGTGCCGTTGTCGATTTTGAATTGGGGAAGATGGTTCAGGGATGTGGCCTTCAACCAATTGTTCCAGACTATCCTTGACATGTTTGTTCAGGATCTTCCACCCCGCAACGAGGCCAACCAGCGTATTCCTGGCTTCAATGATTGACATGAAGGGTTTGCGCATGTTTGCATAATCTGTCGCCCACAAGTCGCACAATGCGCCGTCCGTTGAGATAAGAAATTGCGCCCTCAAGCGATGAAAGATAGAGCTGGTAGTAGCCATCATAAATTCAAGCTCTGTACCAGACGCTGGACAGCGTGTCACTTCGGCCAATAGCTGCATACCTTGTGTATACAGTGCAACCGCAGCCGATCTGTGACCTTGAAGTAGCTCGATGGCAATGAAGAGGATACAGGTTATGGTCGATATGGTGACATCGGCAACACCTCGATGAATGCGTTGTTGCAAAGCCGACAATGAGCGCGAGTACCATACCAATGCCTCACGGTGGTAGGCATGCCGCACATCAGCCGGGCTATAGAGGAGAGAAAACGGAGACGAGTCGCTGATTGGAGGCCGCTCATATAAAGCGCTCAGTGAAATGACTGCATCCCATACAGCTGGCTCCAGTCGACAAATCTGCAAGACGGCTCCGTTCCAAAAAGTAGGATCGATGATACCTGCAAGAGCTGGTCCTGCTCGATGAAAATAGAATTCAAAAGCGCGACGTTCCCTTTGGCCTGAGTGGAACTGTGGAAATGGAGAAACCAGAGCCTTTTGGGGTCGCAGGGCGCTGTATGTACACTGTCGGCCAGTACTAGTGCATTTCACACAATGTGGCTTTTCCTCGCTGCAGCGTATACGACGAATTCTATAATCACTTAGCTGGTTTCTTAAATGGACTCTGGAGCGCAGACTGACTTGCAAGTATCGCACCCTGTTTTCGACTTAGTACTGCCAATTCTTCCTGACCTTGGCGGCGAAGGCATAGCCAGGAAGCATTTGTGTCAGCTGATACATCAAATTCCCTTGATGCCTACTGCCTCTTCTCGCTGTAGTGCAGCAGTGATTGATGCATAAGCACAACGATGATCCCGCCCTGAGAATTCAGTGGGGCTTGATGCCTGAGGCCGACACATTACTCATACTGTATGTGAGCCCTGGAGATCCATCCAAAGACCATCTCCTAATGTCGAAAAGGACCAGATGGGCGGACAAATCGTATGTATGAGAGCCTCTCTGGGAGTATTCCAAAATGCAAGTAAGTCGATGTTAATGTGAAAGTGATAACGGGTAGGGCTATACAACACTTGGATACGGCATGTTCCGAAGGAGATACGAGTACGGAGTCTGAAGCCCCCTTGAATTTTAGCCAACAAGATGTCTAATTGGACATTAGTGCCCCGGTGTCATTGTATGCAAACGTCCCTCTTCGAGCCTCTTCGAACCTTCTCGAGGGCTTTGGGGTGGAGGTTATCTCGACTGTTTTCAGCGTTCTTTGGCCTAAATTCAAGCCTAGATCTGGCGGAATTCGATACACCCGCCGATGAAATCATAAGTATCAAGATGGTTGTGAAGGTTGTTATGCATTTAATCCGATACGAGTCATGTGCTTTGTTACCTTGTCAGGTACAAATGTTTTGACTTGGTGGAACATGGCAAACAGAAAAGCATACGTCATCGGCTTAGCGGGACACGCGCTTCACCAGGTGCGGATGGGCATGATATCCCTCAAAAGAATCGCTTCGCTGTAAGTTGATGTCTCTTGGGTGCAAGTTCAGAGGTCGCAACAATAACTGTAGTATTCCTTACGAGTAGAAGAGAGCCCATGAGAAATGTAGCCGAAATTGACATGCGTAAGAGTGGATGCTGGGGGCCTCATAATCGAAGTGGACACGGAAAAGACTTTATTCGCGTACTGATGGATCCGAACCAAGGGCTAGCGGGATTAAAGTGGGGCCACCTCCGGCATGGCGCGTGCAAACCCCTGGGTCGAACCAATCGTATTCAGGTCCACTCGGTACGAGGTACGTACCACTCCAGGGCTGAAGACTTAGTACGAGTACGAATATCTGATGTACGAAATCTGATTTGTGTCTCTCTCATAGTTGATGTTTGATAATGATGGTAGGAAGATAGAAAAGGGACACAATCGACCGCAAATGGTTGAAAGTCTGAGATTCCCTCGGAAATGCCGGATTGGGTGTGCCAAGAAGCCCCGAGGGCAGCGGAAGGGGGAACATCTTATCTCCCAGTGACGCAGGCGGGGCCATCAAAGCCAATGAAACCAGAGCCGGTGAGCGGCAGTAAAACACTGGCCTCGTATGGGTGTCTTCACGGGACTTGTCCTGGAAGTTGAACAACTTTTGTCCACTCGACAAGACCTGGAGAATCCAAAGCACCCAACTCCATAACACAACATGTCCCAGTAGTGACTGACTAGTCTACCTACTACCACCCAGCGCTGTCTTATATACACCATCATGTTGAGCGGAATTCTGGGGTGGTTTTTCCTCCTTTTCGAGCCCCTCGCCGACAACTACGTCCCTCTCATCCAACCCCAAGAGCGCCTTCTACCCAAAAACCAACCATGGGGACAAATCATCACAGGCGTGTATGGTCGGCCCCCATTGTTAAAGATCCATGACCGCAATGGGCTAGTCAGTTGGAGTTTCCACCGTAAGGACGTTAAGCAGGACCTTCCACCGGACATGCATAAATGTCTTTACGCCAGGGCCAACGACGCCACAGAAGTCAAATGGATGAATAACGGCACCAGTGTCGGAGCCGTCTATAGTGATCTCGCCCTCGTCATCAACCACACCCCGGACAACCCCGCCACCGACAAACTGATCACTTTTGCACTTTGTAGAAGAAACGATTTTCTCTGGAATGCACACACCCTCGAGCCGCTACCGGGCCATCGTCTCGCGGTGGGGACAACTCGCCAGCGACCCTGGGATGGGATCCTCGTTTATAATGCCAGTGCCTCTCAGCCTTTGATGGCCAACCCTCCCATCCTCCAAAACATTACTGGTCTCCGCGCCATCCACGGGTTGATCTGGGACGAGCAGGGTCAAATGCTCTGGGCTGCTGGGACAGATGCTGCGGCCGATGGCTCCGATCCGGTGCCGGCATACGGCACCATCATCGGATACCCGTGGAATAACGATACCGGTCTGCTTGAGAAGGATGATCGCTTCATCTATAAGCTAGACGAAGCCAATCGGATTGAAGCAGAATGGGGCAAGGGATACTCCTGGTGGGCCGGTTTACACGACCTGGTACCTGTTCCTGGAGAGCGGAAGTTCCTTGTTTCCGAGGATCGTGGTCTCCATGAATTTGACATCGAGAAGGGTGAATACACAGCGCACTATGAGGAGGTCACCGATAAGTATATGCCAGGGTTTGAGGTCACTACCAATGACCGCCATGGCTACACGAATGACACATGGGAGGAATTGCCGCAGTCCGACTTGAAAAGCTTCAATTTGGCCCCCGATGGGAGTTATATATATGTTCAATCGCTGTGGACCAAATTTCGTGGCTTCCATGTAAGCTTGGTGGTCGATGGGTTGCGTCGCAAAATCAATATCGGTGATGAAATATACCGGTCACGGTGGTTTGGAAATATTGATGGCTGGCCGAAACCTTAGGCCAGTTCCTGGGCTGTTTTCTTTGTTTAATAATGAGTTGTATAGATACCTGCACATACCGAATTTATACCAGCGGATGTTGTTTACCGACCGAGAATATGCGCCCAGTCACCTGTGGCCTCCGGCTCTTTCCTTTTGTCACACGTCATTTGGGCACAGACACGATTCGGCCAAGGCTTGGTGAAAGGCACACACCGTGGGAGCAAGAGGCTTTGAATGCCTTGTCGGGGTCTTTCTTGGAGTCAACGATAGAATGTGGTTTCATCGTGCTCATAGCACGATACAGCTATCGAGATGCCTCCGTGACATGGTGGCTGATGACTTATGACGACTCGGTCTCAGCACACCACAGGTTTGGTGAATTTGAAGGACAAAAGCATCCTGTCAACTATACTCCTGGGGGATGTTGACATTGTGGGGCTTGGTTGATCGAGTGCCAAGGATGTGAATGATCGTGGTTTGAGATTTGAACTTTCTCCATGCGGTAAGCATTCACAGCCTTTGAGTAGAGTGCACAGGTTGCAAATTCTTATACTCATCTCAAAATAGGCCTTTTCTGATTTCTTGATTGCTCGAGGATGGTCATGTCAAACTGACGAGGCTTCCCGAGCTAATGGCTGCGATGACAGGGATTGTACTCTGTGGCACCAATCATGTTGCGACCGGCGTTCATTAATTTTGCAGAGCCTCCTGAGGAACGATATCGTATGCGCATATCAAACGGGAGAATTGGAGTATCTCACTCCGAAAGGAGAGATTAAATGTCAAAGAAAGGAGCAAAATAGTCAGATGAGGGTGAAGTGAATGGTGACGCGGTCGGATTCTTGACGCTGATTTCACTTTTATTTCCTTCTGGGCTGGTGTTGCCGCTCTCTTCAACTATAGTATCCAAATGCCTGGAAAGCTTTCAGGGATACAAATAAATTGATGCTGATCATGTAATGCGGAGCAGGAGTATGTGAAACATGCGAAGGATTCCAAGGTGAGAAGGATGACCACATGACCATGGCATTTCTTGGGCCCTTAAAGGGCTATGGAGTACTTGATACAATACTTGATGAAATTCAATATGCAAGCCATTTGGAAATTGGGCAATAGAACAAGACAGTACGGAGTACTCCACAGGGAGTATGGGGTACGAGTGGCGAGTATATCAAAAAAACAATTGTCGTACAGGAGTTTCCAAGCGAGCAAACAAATAATTATGCAGCGGCGAACTCCAGCTCAGCTGAAGCCTCAAAGACCCTACGGTGAGCACCCATGCAGATGTGGCTTCTGACACCCCGGATCGAGATCTGCACAGCCGACTCCCGATCTATCATACGGAGCCCAAAAACACATGCACTCCTCACGCCAAGATACTTGGAATCCAATCCCAATCCAAGTGGAGAAACAGAGTGAAACCTCATCACTTAAATTCGCAGACCGCGTTTTGAGACCCCGAAGTTATATTTAGGGGTCTTCAGTGGCATCATAACCTTGGAATTCCTGTTATAAAAGACCCTGATCTTCCGATCCTCTCTTTAATTGCACTGTCAATCAATTCTACAATTCTCCAATATCCAAAATGAAGTTCACTGTCCCCATTCTTGCTTCTCTGGTAGCTACCAGCACCGCTCTCTTCGACAAGGACCAGCGTACGCCATGGAACCCCCTCCGTCGACCCACCTAATTGGAAAACTGACATTCTGGATACTATCACAGCCTGGGGCAAGCGCGACTACTCCTGTGTCAATGTCTACCAGGGTATTAATGACGGCTCGACCGTCACCGCTGGTCAAACCATCAAGGTCCGCTTCGACCGGAAGCCTACCGCTCGCTGCGCAGACCCCCTGAACAAGTACCCCGGTGACGACTACAGCGTGTGGCTGTACAACAACCCTGTCCGGGACCGTGACAACATTCACTTCGACCAGTCGATCAAGATCACCAGCGGCATTAAGGAGAAGGCAGGTGCCGTGGATGTTACTATCCCCAAGAACCTGCCCGAGGTAAAGGATGGTTCCGTCTGGTACTTGAGAGTTCAGACTTCTTTGTCGACTGCTCCTCAGGTATGTTAAATATTTTCGCTCCGATTCCCTTTGCAGAGAGAACTTTCCGACTCCAAAGCTGGCTATTGTTGCTTCTGGGTGGTTGCAGGTGCTGATTTTATGCAGATGCCCTCTCTGTTCAACGCTGCCGGACCGTTTACCGTCGCAAAGGCCTAGATCGATTTTGAATCTGGATTCTGATCTTGCCTATGCGGAAGTTGGTACAGCCTAGATTGATTCATTCAATGATCATACTACCTTCGTGTGTATATAGCAGGTATTCAACCAAACTTAACTATAAATAAAGTTGGACAAATTTGGCCTGTTTTTGTATTCATGACTCGTGAATTTGATTTGTTCTTAAATAGATCTACCGAAATCAAGGTTCATTCAAAAGAGGCCGAGCCGATTGCTTCGGCATTAGAAGCAAATAATGCCACTACCCCGAACCTAGTCCCGGTAGGAGACACTGAAGATCTTATAGCCACTGGCGATATCAGCCCCACGACTAAGTACACTCAGAACTCCCTGGCCGTCAATATCAATGTACTGCTTTGGGCCTGCGAACTGCAAAGTATAGCCTTGGCTAGGTCCCAGGAAGGAGATGTGCACTTGTGCTGCACTTGCACTCTGGCTCTTTGGAAGCAGGGCCCCATCCGAACCAATCCAGCGACCGTCAAGTGCGCTCGATATGGTGAAGACTTGACTCTCCTCATTTTCGTTGTAATGTACGATCCAACGCTGGGACTTGGCGTTGTGTCGAGAGGTTGCAGGGCTGGTCGTGAGTTTGTCTGTTTTGCCAGTGTTTGTGATAGCCAGGCCATCTTTCTCGAATGTCAAGTATCGGCCCTCTGTGAGATATCCAATCACCTCTTTATAACCCTCTTCAAACCACAATGAGTTGGTATCCGTGATATCTTGTTCTCCGTACGGTACGGGAGGTCTTGTCTGGGCGTGGCGAGATTGGCAATTGGAGGTCCCCACATAATCACCCTTTGAGTTAGTATCTGGGGTCGCAGCATCGGGGATGTGAGGCAATGAGTAGTCGGGGTGGTCGAAGTCAAGTGCGTTGACAAGGTTTGACATGTGTTTACGCCTCCATGAGACCATCTGATCAGTGCGGATGCCACTGTACCCTCTGGCTGTGAGCCATTCTTCAACGAAGAGGATCTGAGAATTGTGATCTGCCCTCTCTGTGAAGACGCGGTTTCCTCGTGTCCATGGAGAAATCATGTAGAAGGGTACTCGGAATCCTGGACCGACGAAAATGTCCGAGAACATACCCAACGGGTCTTCCATCCAATCACCCGGGGTGTCTCTTGGGGAGTGGAAAGGAGTAACGTGGTCACCAAAGCCACCTGTCTCGTCGTAGCTGATCATCAAAAGAGTCGAGTTGTATTTGGGGCTGTTAGTCACAGCGTCGACAACCTTCTTCTGAAGCCAGGCCCCGTCCTTTGGCATGTATGGTGGGTGTTCGGAGAGCTCAGCGGGGCCGACAATAAAGCTGACCTCTGGTAGTGTGCCGTCGGTAGCAGCCTTGTAGAAGGCATCGAGGCCGACAAATGATGTTCCCTTCTTGGCAAGAGGGCTATCCTTTGTCGCATTTTGGAATTGTTCAAACCAAGCCAAAGGGTTGTCATCGAAGTTGTTCTTATCTTGGTAGAGCTGCCATGAGACTCCAGCTTCTTCGTAGAAGTCGTAGACTGTCTTCCACTTCAGCGGGTAGCAGTTGATCCCATTGTCATCACAGCCTTTAGGTTGCGATTAGTTGAAGATAACTTGATTTGGGGGAAGACCAAAGAAAATGACCTGGAAATGACCCGCAAATGGCACGTACCTGGAACCTCATTGTTGTCAATATAAACACCCCCCTGATCCTTGTTTTGAGGGCTGCCGGGGACATTGATCGAGCCACTGACCAAAGTGACTCGGTTTGGGTTGGTAGCAGTGATTTGACTCTCCTGTCTCAAATTAACTCAATTTCCTCGCAAGGTTGAATTTGGAACATGCCTGATACATGTCTCCCGCCGTCCAACCATCAGCAATCGCATATTGCACGGGGATATCTTGTCGCTTCAAGTAGCCCCAGCTCCAAGGAGTGTTCTTGGTGACCCAGTGATTGTTTGAGCCATTATTCAAAGACTGCTGATTCTCCTTGTAGCCATTGCTTCCTGCAGTCAAGCACTGGATAGCGTCATGCCAATCTCCACCTTGTTGGCCCAAATACCATGGCAACAAAGTCTTGGTCTTGTTGGATTGAGCAGGCTCAACGACTCTAATCAAAATGTCAAACCTGATCAAGATGCGAATTCTCGTCCCACTTACTGGTGCCAAACCGTGTTGCCGTCCGGGTTGACTTGGACGTTGGGATCATTGAACCCCCTAACTCCAGCCATTGTACCGAAATACTTTGCTGCAGTTAGCACAAGTTCAACGATGAGTGCTACTGGGAGGAGCTCACCGTGTCCCACGACCTATTCTCCTGCATGAAGATGACGACATGCTCGATGTCTTTCAAGGATCCAGCGAAAGCTGAACCCGCGAGGAAGCTCGCCGAAGCGATAACCGAGAGCAAACTAAAGCCCATATCGGATGATATTCCCAACAAGTATGAACTTAGAAGTAGTATAACTTGGGATGTACTACCTATTATACTTAAGTATCCCAGACCGAGAGTTTCACTGTTACATCAGAAAAGTACATTTATTCTCAAGCTCCTACATGTACAGATACACCCGTGGACAGATCGGAGCGCAGGGATAGGTGCCAACCTAGAATGTAGCATGTCGATCAGATGTTCTTCACTGTTTTGAGGTCTCAACGTCCAATCTGATATCTCGGTGGATCCACGTGCAGATCTGCACTTCGCTTTCAGATGTTACTCTTGTCAAACACCCCAATTCTTTGTCAATACTACAATAGTTAGCTATTAGAATGGATTATATACATCGTCGCTCTGATTGACCCGAACGAGGCACGTGGGTTGCATGGCATTTCTGCAAGGTCGCAAGCGAGACAAGTCCCCCTTTGAGGAGCAAGGGTGCCATGAAGTCATATCTCGGACTTTTTTGTTCTCCGACTGGAATCATACTCTCGACATGTTGTTGAGAGAGAAGTTCGTCTCAACCCTCGTTTGCTGTTTGGGTAGATAGACCCTCGCTCCCGAGCCTCTCTCTCCTTCCTTCCTTCCTTTTCTCCCCGCAGAATCGATCATTTCAGTCCGTCTCTTTCTTTCTCTCGCCCTGTTGGCCTCAACACATATTAATGATATGTCATCGCTAAAACAACCCTTGGTTGACCGACTGTGAGGCAAGCTCGGACTGTCGGCACTTCGAAATCACCCGGCTTTCACCCGATGTCCAAAGTGCAGCGGCCATGGCCGCTAGTGGGCTGCTCATTGGTCGCTTGCATTTTGATTGCGCTAGTATACTTGCTTCAACTGACCCCGACCCCTCCGGGTCCCCTGGATGTGCCTGAGCATCATCCGAACGATGAGCGCGTTACTCGCCCGCGGATCGAGCTTCATCCGGAGGATCATATCTACAGGACACCAGTGACACAACATTTGAGTTGGCGAGTCACCTCTGAATACCGCCGGCCGGATGGTGTCTTGAAGCGCGTTTGTCTCGTCAATGGTCAGTTCAGCGAACGTTCGGTTTAAGCGCTGCCGAGAGCTGACTGGACATTGTTGATATAGGCCTTTTTCCTGGACCAACGATTGAGGCGCGATCTGGCGATACATTAATTATCACTGTGGCTAATGACTTGCCAGAAGATTCGATCGCTCTTCATTGGCATGGCCTCTCTGTGACCAGTAGGCATTTTCCTCCGACATCAAATTGAGCGTGGTCGCTCACTTCTACAGATGACATGGATGGGGCAGCAGGTGTATCCCAAAGTCCAATTGCGCCTGGGAAGCAGTTTGTCTATAATATGACAATCACCCCCGATCATAGCGGCACCTTCTGGTATCATGCCCACTCAGGAGTCTCGCGGGCAGATGGCCTTTATGGCGGGTTGATTGTTCATGCTCCAGCTTCCAAAGCAACCGTTAGAGGCTTATACCCTAGAGCTCTCGGTGAAGAAGCCTCTTCTTATGACAAAGAGCTATTGTTATTGATCGGGGACTGGTACCATCGATCTGCAAAGGACGTTTTGGATTGGTACACAGATCCTGGGAATTTTGGAAACGAGGTAAGATACAGATTGCAAATTCGGGAACATAAATCACCTCTAATATAAACGACAGCCTGTTCCTGACTCTCTTTTGATCCACGGGGTGGGGCGTTTTGCATGCGAAATGGCAGTTGCTGCAAGACCAGTCGACTGCGTCGCTCAGTCAACAAACATTTCCTTTGGCTCCGATCCTCAACGGAAACTCCGAATTCGCGTGGTGAACACAGGGTAGGTGACTTCACTAGATGCCCGTGAGATATTGACTAACTGGTCTCTTTCTTCAAGAGCTCTTGTTGGGTTTGATCTCCAATTCATTCACCACAGGGTTGATCTGTTACAGATAGATAGCGTTGATGTTAAACGCCCAACAGACCAAACCATCAATTCTCTCGGTACTCTTTACCCTGGACAGCGCATGGACTTTGTTCTATGGCCGACACAAGATACCGGGCATCATTCTCCGATGGCAGTTCGTTTGAATCAAGAGTATGTCCTATTTCACGGCGCGTTCCCATAACTAAAACTTCGCTGATATTTGACCAGGTGCTTCAAGTATGCCAATCCGGCACTAACTCCAAATCAAAGCTTTTCTCTTCATTCCAAATCTCCTTCCATGCCAACAGTTGCAACAGAATCCACAGTCAAAATCCATCATTTGGACATCCAAGAAGTGCCATCTGCGCCCTCAATAATCCAAGCCATTCCCCCTACCGCACAACAAACACATGTTGTGTACACCAAAATCCAAAAGATGGCTCGACATTCGAACAAGCCTTTCGGCTACTTCAACCAAACAACATGGAGACAACAGCAAGACCCTCCTGTCCCATTGACTTATCTCCCACGAAGCAAGTGGGATAAGAACCAGCTAGCGATATCCACAGGCTCAACTCCTACATGGATAGACTTCGTCATCAACAACCTAGATGAGGGATCTCACCCGTTCCATCTAGTAAGGCTTTCACTTTGCTTAAAAGGCACTCTACTGACTTCAAGTTCTCCAGCACGGTCACAGCTTCTACATTCTAGCAACACATCAATCCGAATACGGCTGGGGCTCATACAACCCCTTCGTCGACAAAGTTCCTCCCCATCTATCCTCAGACTCAGCCTCAGTCCTACAAGCTGGAGCTGATTCAGCTGGCTTAAATATTGATGATCCTCTAACAGTTCCGTATGATCTGTCTCGAGCCGCGTTGCGTGATACTGTACAAATCCCCAGTCGGGGCTATGCAGTGCTTCGGTTTAGAGCTGACAATCCTGGAGTTTGGCTTTTGCATTGCCACATTCTCTGGCATTCTGTGACTGGCATGGCTATGCTTATCGACGTTCAGGGCAATCCAGCAGGTCTGGTTGCGCATAACGCGTCGCCATCGCGGTGAGACAAATATATCCTGATTTCTGATGTACATACTTGGAGTAGCGTGCTCTATACAAACAACATGTTTCTCTATTCACCTTTTACCCAGTTTGAGTCCATCCAGCGTACCTTCCAAGGTTCTCAAGTTTATTCGATCGTCGAAAACAACCTAGTCAATGTCTCCAGTTGAAATTCCTCCAAGAATTCCACCGGCGCCCAACAGTATTTCTGCGGTGGACCCTTCAAGAAGCCATTTGCAATAGCCTGTTTCAAGGTAATAGGGTCTTTGAGCTTCCAAAGCGTAAGAATCTCATAGCCATAGCCGGCATTCTTCAAGCCTGTATTGAACTCTGCATTCCCGATTCTGCCATCGTCGGGCACTTCTCCCGGACGCTTGCCATGCGATATTTGAGCGACATATTCAAAGCTCTGGATAGGACTGGAGGTGTAAAACCAGATACGTTGAATGCTTTGCGGTAGCAGGTAGCTTCGATATTCGTGGTTCTTGGTACGCAAGGCGATGTTTTGGATGTGCTCGGGTTTGATACTCATGAAGATGTCTGTGGTTGATTTTGGCATGGGTGTGGATGTCTTGCTGTGAGACATGATTGTTTTCTGCGAGAATTGCTGGAGGAACGAAGAAGTTTTGAACACTCAAGTTGAAGAGTAGAAGAGAAGATGTTTGAATGGAAAGAGCGGTGAAATGAGGTTAATTTAAATATGCAATTTGTTGCCATAAGACCACTTCTCAATCCATTTAAACCAAACCCAAGTTCTATATACATTATCATTTCCAGGTCCTCCATTTCCATATTAACATCGATGACAGCGCTGTACCAAGGAACTCTACGCCACAAATACAATAGCAGCACCGAGAGCCATCGCCAGAGCAGAGACACCAAGCGAAGCAGTCAGCCCATCCCAAGATGCTCTCGAGCCTACTCTACCGGCAGCATTCGAGGTAGACGTAAAAGTAGCCGTACCAGTAGCACCCAATGCCAAGTCCGATTGATGATGAATGAGGAAAATCATAGGCACTCCTGCTATGCCAGTAAGCGTAGCAAGAACCTCAGTCTCAGTGATATCACGAGTGGATGTGGAACTAGAATACGAAGTCGAAGAGCCATCTTCCCAGCTCGTTTCCGTAGTTGTGGCATCCGTATACGTTGTTTGAACCGAGCCCACGTCGTAATGTATCCATGTGTAAGCCTCACAGCCAGAGGTTGGCTTTTCAGAAAGCACGGAATAGCATCCACCACCATAATTTGCTGTCATCGAGCTAAGTGGTTCGGGTCAGTATATAACTCCTATCGTCGAAGGTATGAGACTTACCTCGGACAACACATAGCCAGGGTTTGGCTGGGCTCCAGTGCACTGACTAGTGCAGTCTGCGGGAAGTACAGGTCGGTTCTCCCTGTGTTGAGGGAGGGCTTTGCAATACCCGAGAGACTGATTGAGCTGTGGGCATCACGAGTGGCTGCTCCGACGGTAGCCCAGCCGGAAGGGCAGTGCAGGCCGGGAGAGTAGTAAGATGCATAGCCATAATATCTTTCATCCCACGTGGTGAATGGGAATGTGGTCGCCACAGTTGGCAGACATGAGTCATCGAATTGTTGGTTACATTTGGATTCATACTCAATCTGAGGGTATCCAGACTGCATTTTCATGAGTACCTTGTACGGCTCCTGGGAGCAGCTCGCGGGCTCGGTGAATGTTGTTGTCAAAGGGCCGAGATTCCCAGCAGTCCATAATCCATCAGATGCTGAGATAGTAGGCATTTTGGGTATATTCCAAGATTATACTTGAGTACTCTTAGGGTCAAACTTCAGGTTGGTTAAGAAAATGGATGTGATCCTCTGTATAAAAGAAAGAAGCAGGCGGGGGCCGTGAAAAAACCAACCCGCTTGAGCAGTACTAGCAACTAGGGCATCCAAAGAAGGCTTAAACTAGTTTGAGTGGTGGAGATGCAACATCCTCAGAGCCTCTCTCATCGCATACTAAAGAGCTTGGCGGGGGCCAATGTCTTCTAGTGTGTTAACCCAAAAAATGTACCCTGCATTAAGAACCCTGTTAATCTACTGGAAATTGCGGCCCCCGGGGCCAAGTGGGACTACTCTGAATTAGCGTCACTATATCCGTAATGACCTAAGATACTTAAGTAGATAAAGATATGGAATTTCAATATGGAATATGGAGGAACGGAGTAGCCGCAGTAGGTATAAATAAGAGAGCGGAGTTAATGCTGGGCCCAATGTTATTAATGCCAATGCTACCCCTAGCGAGAGGAGACAAGATCATGGAAAGCATAGCTTCACTGTTCAAGTTGATACAGATACAAAAGGTGTTTACGAAGAGGCGGCAGCCCACTCGACGACCTCCAAGGCGCACATGACCAGCACGAGAGTGGAGGGCAGGATCCTGATTGGAGCGGGTTAGCCATGCATAACAAGGGGGAAAACTGAGAGATGACACATACCAGACAACGTAGCTCTGGAACAGGAGCTTCGACATAGCGCCCACAAAGACGTTATTGATCTGGCAGATCTGCGCCAGCTGCAAAGCCGACGGCGCGCCAGTGAGCAAGAAGCAAACGATCACGAAGATTGGGTCGTCGAGGATACTGATAGGCACGTACTTTGCCATAAGCGCCAGAAGTGGGGCCATGATGATAGTGGGAAGCAGCATGCGCGCAACCAATGACGCGATGATCAATTTGCGCTCCTCGTTGGGATGCTCAATATCGACCAACGCCTCCTTGGGAATCGTGTTGCGCGCAAGGTTGGCACCCAACACCACTAGAATCAGGGGTACAGCAACTTGTCCATTCTGGTCGATAGCGCGAGTTACAGAGTTGCGAACGAAGGTGCCCTCATCGAAGAACAGCCGTTGAAGTTCGGGAACGGAAGCAATGACAATCGACACGAGCATGGCCCACAGAGGCGGGTTCATGAAGTCCCAGAGACCATTGCAGAAGCGACGCATCGCGCTTGTGACCGAGGCCAGTCCTTTCTGCACCTTTGTAGGGAGACGCGCATGCAGCGCTTTGACTTTCTTCTCGCGCCAGCGGTTGAGACGGTCTCGCGATTTGCGAAGAGATGCTTTGAAGCGCTGGAAGCGAGTTTGCTCTGCTTCTTGGACCTGCCGAGCCGTGTTTTCCACGTCGGGGAACTGGAGGATCTCGCCCTGGGTGCTTTGGCGCGCCAGGAACGGGCCAGTGGGGGGCGGGCCAATCACTGATGGGGTATCGTCTGAGTCCGGGTAGTCCGAAGCGGTGGAAAGCTTGGAATAGGAGTACGCGCGTGTGGAAACGGGGGTTTGGTCGCCAGAGTGGAAGCGATCACTTTGTGTGTGATGCGCGCGGTGGAGATCGTCTGAGCTGCGCGTTCGGACGAGGGGTTCATCTGGGTCCGTCTGATCTGGGTTGTCGCTGTAACGCGCTTGGCCCTGTTCAATGATAGACTGACCGGTCTCATCACGCTCTGCTTCTTCCAGGTATCGGTCCTTGGGAGCTAGGAGAACGTGGTAACCCCAACTCCAACGCACGAGCTGACCCAGTTGCTGGAAGATGAGGAGGTATAGGATTCCGCGTGCGGCGACTTCATCGTCATTATCATTAGGGATTCGGTCCCAATGGAGGCCCTTGAGGGTTTGCGAGAGTGACACAACGAGAGAAATGGGAAGGGAGTTTGAGTTTCCGAAGACCTTTTCAGTTTATCATTAGCACCAATCACCGAGAGGGAGGGCGTATCACTTACCGCCATGGCAGCCACGAAATTGGACTGGCGCTTCTTGAAGCGGCAGCATTTTGTCACAACGAACGAGCAGAAGTATGACACGAAGGTCTGTACAATGAAGATGACGGGGATGATTGCCAAATCGGTCAGCTTCTCAGCAGTCAACTGAGAACCCAATTTTGTGAAGACTATTGATGGAAGTCAGCTAAACCGATCCCGGAAAGATCTGCCTTGGGTGCCCAGGCTCTGCGGGAAGAACATACTCAGGCAGGGAGTGAACAAGGTCACATTGAGATTTGCCACTAGCTTCTGCGCATCGGCGTCGAACATGCCCGTACGAGCAGCAATGTAGCCAGGAAGACTAACACAGACGACCTCCAGCACAGCTTCAAAAACGAGCAGGACTAGGTGAAGGAATGGCGGGTGGCTCTCATGGGCGCTTGCCATGAAGGAGCGGTTGAAGCCCATAGGGGCTTGGGCATTGACATTTTGAAATGACCGAGGAGAGTTAAAAATGGCCATGGGCAGAATAAGTGTCTGTAGAGAACTCCCAGAAGTCCCAAGATGGTGGGAAAAGGGAGAATGACATGGGCGATGAGCACGTTGATAGTTCCTTGGATCTCGAAAGTCGCCTTATCTCCACACTGCTTGGCATACCAGTTTCATACCGTACTATACTCTCTACTTCGTACTCTTGACTATGCATACTAAAATGATACATCTAGATATGTGCTACACCGTCTATTCAATTACAATAGTCTCAATTATCCTGCATCTTGAAAAAAAACAAAACAAAACAAGGAATTCAAGCTTCTGCCAGTGACGCGTTGTGGTGATATCACGCCAAGCCGCAGATTAGGCTCGACTGGCCCGATTGGGAACGGGTATACTTAATCTCCGTATACTTCGATACTCTATACTCTATACTCTCTACTGTCTACTGTCTACTGTCTACTCTGCTATACTCGACATGGTCTAAGATATGAGCTGATATTCCTCTCGCTCTACTAAATTGCTAGTGATTATGATATTTTCGGGACCTGCGAGGGTCACTGGTATATTACAGAAAGACAAACGGGACGCAAGTGGTCAGGTCGCCGCAGGAGGCTGTGCAACTTCATGTGCTTCACGCGTCACCCACAAAGCCGAGTTTTTCGCCGACCTTGATGCGTTGACCCTTTTCAATATTCCAGGTCCAGCCATCACTCGGCGCATCGTCCGGCCAGCCGGCATCGACAGGCTTGCGAGTACCTAACGGAGCCTCAAACACGAGCACAATTGAACTTCCGAGCTGGAATCCACCCATTTCCTCGCCGCGCTGCAGGGGGTGGCCGCCAAGGGTGCGGCTAGCGTGGCGATAAGTCGCCTCGACAAAACCGGGATATTGTTCACCCCGCTTAGTAGCCAAGGCCGCTGCCAAGTCCGCAGCGGTATCCGTCAGAAGGCTGTTGGTACGTAGTTCCGAATCAAAGTTGATTTTGATGGAGCCTACATTGGTCGCTCCGACCGGTGTGTAACTGAAGAATCCCCATCGCCACCTGCCGAGGAGGGCGACTCGTTCGTTGAGAGTAAACAATCCAGGGAGGTGTCTTTGCAGGTAAGGTGAGACAGAATACAGCTCACCGGCAAAGTGACGACGGCTTTCAACAACCCAGGGAGCGGGGGAGTGGAACCGATGGTAGTCACCAGGAGCGAGGTAGATCACGACATAGAACAAGGCATGGTTAGCCGCAGTCTTGGGAGCGTACCACGGTGTACCATCGCCACGAGCCAGCTCTTCCTGAACTTGGATTTCCGAGGTAGCCTTGGATGCAGTTGAGGCATCCAATGACGCAAGGCGCTTGGGCGCATCGGTTTCACCTGAGAGCAGGGTCGGGAGCGTGTAGGAAATACCATTCACGCGCGCGAACTCCTCATGAGCAGACATATTCTCGACATCCTTTTGTGTTTCCGCCTCACCCTTATCGGCCAACCGGTTGCTGTGGTCAGCGTGTTCAGGCGTGGCCGAACCCAGGAGAGCATCCAGACTGTATGTCATTCCCTTGACCTGTTCCACCTCGCCGCGTTCAATCATACCAAACTGCAGAATTCGGCCGTCGGAAGGTGCCAACAGGGCGTGCGGGTTGGGGTCCAAAGGTCGAACACCGGGCTTCAGCTTGCGATAGAAGAATGCGGCCAGGTTCGGGTACGTGTGCAGATCGGGTTCGGCGACCTCTTCGAGGTTGACGCCAAAGACCCAGGAGTAGAGCTTAAATCCAGGTACTCGGAAGTAGTAAGGAAGTTCGATTTCGTTGAAGCGGCCCCATAGTCGCGACATGGCTTTCAGGGGCAGAGTAGACATGATCTGGACATGCCAGGGACCAGACAGCGAGATTCGTGGACGACGCGGTGGCCGTTTCCCCTCCTCCCATTCATCTCCAGCGGCTTCGCGAGCCAGACGATCGCGTTCCGCACGCTGTGACTTGTAGAAACTCAGCAGTCCGAGAAGGCCGATGCCGAGTCCAACGGGAATAGGGTACCATTCGACCTTTGTGTTGCGCAAGGCAAAGCGTAACCTCGAGCCGAATCCTCCTTTGTTTTCATTATTGTCCTTGTTATACTGTCGCCATGATTTGGACGAAAATTGGCGCAGACTGGGGTGACGGGCGGTGGCCCGGAACGACAGAATCTCCATCGACACAGCCCCTGTCCGTAGGCGAGCAGGAGGACAGCGAAGGATCGGAGTGGTGAAGAGGCACTTGGCCATAATGTTTAAACCATTTGGCGACGCTAACTCCCTAAGCTTTGAGCGTTTTTTTCCGAACTGGGGATCTGAGCCTACCGACTCACCGCTCTGGCAGAATGGCACGTGGAGATGCGAATGTCGAAGGGCCGTTGCTTCGTTGCTTTTGTGTACTTCCTTCCACTTGTTTGTTCTGTTGAATCTCGGTGTTGCTTTAGCTCTGTTTGTCTGCTGATATCTTGCGTTACTGCAAATCCTGCATCCGTCCGAATTGGACCCCACGGCTACAGGCATACCTCTTATCGGTTGATGCCAGATATCGGAATCTAGATCGAGTCCACCATTGCAGCCCGACCTACAGGTTCATTTGGAGAGTTTATAACCTCGAGTTCCACTTTTGGGGAAACCCCACTAATTAGGAACCGACGGAGTGAATCGCGGTGTACGCCCGTGTCAACGTTGCACATACCACGATAACGCAATTCGGCATCGACAACGCGCAAGTCACAGCGCCTCGACGACAGCCTTCCTAAAATCGGGCTTGTTTCATCGTTGGATCATATTACGTGACCCTTAAAAGTCAAAGGTCTATTCTGTAATGGCATCAATGGAGACCTCATCTTTACCCCAGCCTGCGACGGGAGAACCGCGCAATGCGATAACCCTTCACATTCTATGCCAGACTTTACCACCTCCAAATCGCTTCACCATCCATAATGTTTCACTTTCGACAACAATTGCCCAGCTGAAAGAGCGGATTGAACAGGCGTTTCCTGGGAATCCTCGGGCATCGACTCAGAGACTGATATACCGAGGAAAGCCCCTCAGGGTCGAGGATGCCGTACTAAGTGCAATAATATCAATAGGAGAGGTAGGTGTTCAATCGTCCATTCATCAAATGAAAATCGTCCTAATCAAACCCCAATATGCAGGAGTTTAATGGCAGTGAAAGTATACATCTGGTCTTGCCACCCGAGCCCCCAAAAATGGAGAAATCTCCAGTGGCCTCAGGCACCTCGCAGGCTTCTCAGATCGCAGAGGAGTTGACTCAAAGCTCTACTCAAACATCCGGGACGACTACCCAGTCTGGCACACATCCATCGGTGGCGCCAGCAAATGCTCCGTCTGCCCATAGCTTTGTCAGGCCTGCCCTTGGCAGTGCGACTCCTCCATACACCACCATTCAACAGATCATTAACAACTCATCGCCGGCTCTATCTGGAACCAACAACCAATCCCCGGACGCTGATGGCGCAGACTTCTCGCATCGCGTGCGGGTAATGCGCCGCCATATTGAACTGATAGAACAGCAATTAGACCATCTCACTCTTCCACCCATGGCACACATCATTTCCGTGCGAACTCAGCTTCTTGAAATCCAAGACGCACGCTACGAGAGACGCCTTCCTGTCCCTGGGGTCGCCGAGTTGGTAGGACGTATCTTCAACGCCCAGCAACGAGCTCGTCTCCTGGACTCCGCCATGATGCAGCGGTCCTCTCAAGTCAACCCAAGTGAATCAGTGAATGCTTCGGGCTCGGTCGAAAGAGGAGCAGAAAACTCTCCTCCGCTTTACATGTTATCTTCACCTACCGGAGACCAAAGCATCATTTTCACACCAAACGCCATCAACGCCCAGTCACCTGCAGTGCAGCCGACTTTGCCCACCCGCACAGCGGCAGGTGATCCAGCTGCAGCGCATCAACCCCCCAACGCAGCCGCCGTGCAAAACGCTGTGCGTCACGCGATGCTCAATCAACAACGTCGAGGCAACAACATCGAACACAACGGTCTAGCGCGACACATGCGCCGCATCTGGCTCTTCACCCGACTTTGGTTCTTCTGTTATTTGACCAGTGCCCCCGGAACCTGGAGAAGATACATCTTCGTCAGCCTAGCGCTACTGGCCTCCTTTTTATCAGAGACCGACATCCCACAGCAATTCCTTCGATCAGTGATAGCACCTGCTCAGCGTCATCTGGAAAGTCTGGCACATGCCGGCGGGCCATTAGATCCATCCGCAACGGCAACAAACGGGGCTCCGGGGTTAGGTCTATGGGAGCAAATCCGCCGCCTAGAGCGGTCTATCGTGCTCCTCGTTGCTAGTCTAATTCCCGGGCTTGGGGAGCGCCAGGTTCAGGCTCGACATGCTGCTGAGCGGGCACGTGAGGTTGCGGAACAGGAGCGTGCGGAACAGGAGCGTGTGCAGCAGGAAGCGGCGGTGGCACCAGAACACCCTGAGCAGAACGAGCAGAATGAGCAGAATGATGAGTCTGGTCTTCCTGATGCAGCGCCTGTTGTGGATTCAGGCACAGGAGATAATTCCGGCAATGTGCGGGTGGAATGAATTCTCTTCGCTAGTTGGGAACCCATGTGGCAGTCTGATTCTCTATGCTTTCTTCTGCGTATAGCTAGCATTCGTCAGGATAGTTAGGCTCAATTCAAAGTTTAAAATACCTACCACTCTGATGCAAGATCTCCGCATTTCAATTCCGGCTCCGGGGGGGTTGGAGGGGTTATCTACCGCAAGACACTGTTGGAACGCCTCTATGAACTGCTAGTGTTGTGGGTATGTATATTCCAACTCGTTTGCCCAGGTGGGCACATGCCCTAGTGCTGAACAATAGCACACCTGTAGACGCAGAGTTGAATCAATCATTAATGGTAGAAGCATCAGGCATCGATCAATTCAGTCCTTACGAGATAATGCTATTGTTGTATATAGTCTTTCGTAGATGAATAGGATTCAAGAACTATAGGTGGATAGGATTCGAGAACGATTTAGGTTTGATTCAGGTTTGATTCAGGGCTGGAGAACAATTCAGACTTGGGTGTAGAAGATCTTAGGGATACACAAGTAGTATTGAAGCACCTTGAAGGTTCTTAGAGATGGTAAGAAGTAGGTGCGTAAAGGTGGTACTGTGTGCGTGGCTATAAGACAGTGTGACGTGAGTTATGAGATTAGATTACTTCTAAGTTGTGGTAGGGGAGTATGTGTCATGTGATTGATTGATGAGAGTATTATATACGAGTATACTATTATATAGGATTAGGTGAAAGTGTAGCATGTGTCACGTGATGGGTGTCCCATGATTGGTGCGTGGAAAGTTTGCAGCTAGTCCCAAATAGGGAATCCTTGGTGTGCCCTGTGATTGGTGCGTTGGTATTTTGAAGCTAGTCCTGAATAGGAACCCCTCCAGGTATATAAGCGGGCTCGGCGAAACTTTTCTCCGAACTTCTTTTTTTCCCCACTTCTCTTTGTCTTATGGCTTAGATCAAGTGTAGTTCGCTGATCATCGGTTTAATCGCCGACAAGCTGCCTACGGGTAGTATCCGATTATCCTTATCTTTGCACCTCGTTCCTTGGCCTCTGTGCTTGCACATGTCTTGGGACACAGTGTCACTGGGCTTACACTACCCCCGGTCGACGCAACTTTCATTTTCATCAATTGTCCGGCTTGTTCGGGTGTTTGGAGAAGGTGTTCCTTTTACTATCACACTCACCATCATCATCCCTACTGACTCTCATTACCATCATCATCACTACTAATCATCATCACTATTAATCATCATCACTACTTATCATCATCATTACTTCCAAGGTTATCATCATCGCCCACTCTGACTCTCTTAAATCCACGCACTGCCACGCACTAGCTACCAGATTGAAGTACCATGATTGCCAGTCCTATGATAGTCCTTTTCATCCTCTTGTAGGATTTATTTATTACCAGCTCTCTAACCAAGTAAGACTGTTCAGCACATCATGATCGGTAGACTCATATTAAGGCTGACACACGGTCTATCTGCCATTTCATGTACCTGAAGAGAACTAGGGTCTATTATGATTCATGAGTATCATGGCATGTCTCGTATCCGTGATGCTGTTGGATGTCTCTCAACACTCGTAATATGCTATACATGATGATGAATACCAAACTACTTAGCCTAGCTTGCGGCCTTCACGCAGTCCACAAGACGTAAGCCTCCACCCAGAGCTACACACTCAAGTGATACCAGGCTGCCCCGAGTCCTTGAAGCTGTCGCCACCTGTACGGCCGCCTCACAGCTTCGTAGTAGCCGTAGTCGCTGTAGTGCCCGTAGTCGCAGGAGCCTCCGATGATGGCCCCATGGGACCCGATTGGAAGTTCTCCTCGCCGTCAAAGTGCCTGCGAGTCGTGTCAGTTCCAGTCTGGTCACAGAATCAAAACACCGATGCACTAACCATCCACGCTCAGCACCTCCACTCAGGAAACTGCAGTCGCCATTCCCAACACAGTCCCATCCACCGCCGACTCCGCGCCCCCTCCACCGCGGCACAGACCCCAACGAACGAACCAGTCTGGTCCCCTCGGCCAAAGAAGCTTCCTGACTGCCCTCCTGATAACCGGCCGCCGCACCCCTACGCTTGAACGTACTCAGACCAGCCGTGAAAACATTGAAGTCCTCCTCCGAGCTATCGTCTGGCATACGACCCGTCAGAACACGGCCCATGGCAATGAGCGGCGCAGCATGCGCGCAGATCAACACCGCTTTACTAGTCCTTTGCTCTACAGGCAATGTCTCCTCCAGGGCAGATACCTCAGCATCAACATCAGCAACAATACCCTCGAGCGCCGTCGCAACACGATCATGAAGCTGACCTATCGTCTCACCCCGCCTAGATGGAACAAGCAGTGGTTCGCGGCTGAGACTATCCGCCGAAAGAAGCGTGGGAAAGTGCTTTGACATTTCATCCACTGTCGGATGAGAGGGATGATCAAAGAAATTGGTTGCGCCGAACCATTCCCTATCCCGAATTAGCAAAGCCCTCAGCTTGGAATGAGTGTCACTCACGCAAGTCCATTCTCGAGCCTCACATCGAACTGCACATGCCGGTCAATCAAGCCTAGGCCACCCTGACTACCGTTATTTTCTCCAGACTCGTGAATCCTCTTCAGCTCTTCGACTGTTGGCTGGATGGTCTGCAGACAGCGGTAGAAGGGACTTGAATAGACTCTGAATGGCTTCGGATGAAATTGAGCATCGGCAATATGTGCAGCAAGCTCGTGCGACTGGCGCACACCATGCGAGGTCAGCGCTGGATCTGCAGGGTTCCCTGTCGGCGTGGGGAATTGGGCTCTGTATGTTCCCGTGCGGAAATCGATGGTCCAGTTGAGCCGATGCTGCTACTGTTAGTGTTGGACTTGGCCTTGTCAACAATGACATACCCCATGGCGTGTCAGGTAAATTGTGTCCAACGGCATGGCAATTGCACCTGGTATTCCGTACTGAACGAACTATCTACTGCTTCGTTGCGGGGGAAGGGCAGAATACAATCCCGCGGCTATGGGCGGTGAGCTGCTACCTCGGCCGAGGTCTACCATTACGTACCGATACAAGTGAAAATGATGTTGCGGACCAGAATCATCTAGCATTGAGATACGAGCGCATGTACTCTGCAAACTATTAAGTGCGAAACGGGGGTATTTTGTTCGCTACATCCAGATTACATTCCCAGGGCCAGCCCAGTATACCAACGCCATGCAAAACCAGCCACAAAGCAAGAACTTTTTCAATTCTTTTTTAGAACTCCATCTAGTAGAAGAAGCCGAGGAGCTTGCCAGCAACGTGCTTGCGGCGAGCCTCCTCGTGGTCCATGATACCAGCGGAGGTGGTCAGGACGACGTAACCGAACTGACGGGAGGGAAGGAGCTGAGTAGCCCACTTCTCGAGGTCACGGAGCTGGACGGGGTAGCGGGGGTTGATGACACCACACTTGTTGAGGCTGGATAGGGGATTAGCAAGGTGTGCTGGCAGAGATTTTTGGTGGATACATACCGGCCGTTAAGCTGGATAACGATCTTGCCGGAGCGGTGGTCATCGACCTCCTCGAACTCGCCGATGTAGCCTGTAAGAAAAAATATCAGTATGTTGCGGAAATTTAAAAGTCGTCAAATACTGAAAAAGCAATAATAGCGCTTTGAAAACGTGTAAGATCTCCGCAGTCAATATATCGGGCACTTAAAAGGCAGACGTCGTAGGTGATTGAGACCGGCCGCCTAGTTATCAGCCCGAATGGCTTGTGACAAAACTTCTCAAGACAGGTGATAGAAGAAAAAGTAATGAAAAAAAGAAAAAAGAAAAAGAAACGCAAGGAAAAAACACAGTATTGACGAAAATTCATCACAAGCAAACGTACCGTGCTTCTGCATGACAGCAAGGAACTTGACGATGACCTTGGAGGAAGGACGGATGAGGACCTGGCGCTTGCCGGCCTTCTCGGCGTTGTTCATGGCGTTGAGCGCATCGTTGAGGACGGAAGTCTTGACCATTTTGGCGGTTAAGGAATCGAGATTCTCAAATCGTTTGGATAGAAAGAAAGATTATGAGGTATCTGTAGGACGAATGCAACAGAAAGCACCCCATTCCGATTCAACGGAACGACAGGGTGGTTCCGAAGCACAATAAGTCAGCCACCACTAGTCTCGAGCGTAAAGAGTGCCCCTTTTTGCATTGCAAGGAGTTCTTCAGCCCGTGCCGAGTTGGGGGATGCGTATCATCTTGGCTTCCTGGACCGCAGTTCCTGAGAATTATCTATAATTCTGGCATTGGAAGCAATCTAGACAAGATGATTGCACCCCCAGACTAGCCGAGAGGCTGTGATTGAGGGGGGGGGATAAAAAAAACATACCTCGAAGGATGGTCGACGATGGATGAAGCGGAGGAAGAGTTTGCGGGTCAGCAAAAGTTTCACTGTGCTGGAGTAATATTAGTCAGCGGAGCGGAAACCCTACCACACCGCCTAGTTTGATTCTGCTGCATTTCCTTAGGGTTATCTGACCGCTGACCGATTCGGCAAATTGTCTTGGCAGTCACGACTTGACGGTTGATCGAGTACGGAGTAGATCCTCATTGACTTTTTTTTGACTAAGTTAGTAATTATATGACAGTGACATTGATTACACGGCATTTTTTTGTATCTGGAAAAGCTGGAGGCATACGGGTAATTTTGCATGGAGTACGAGTTCATTCTTTAACTCCTACCCTCAGATTTGGCTTGCAATACCCGAGTTTCCCTCCAGCTATGCCTAGGTAGTCTTTAATGACTGAAGGTCATCTAAAGTATAGTGATTACCTAGGTACGTGTCAATAAGTCACACAGGTACAGCGTGTCCAAGGGGCATGATGTACCACAGTGATCAGACAGCCTTGTAAAGACAGTAAAGTCATGCTACACTCAAGAAACCGTCGTACAACGGACAAATAGATAAACGTCCATAATTACTGGTTGCTACTGCCGTTCCTACTGCTACTACCACTACTGCTACCGGTATTGAAACATCCACCATTCACTTCTTCCACCTCTAGGTGGTCTTCAAGGGTTGTGTTATACATAATTCTCCAACAATGGGAACGGTCGTGGGCAGGGTCGAAACATATACGAAGGGTGGGTGGAATCAGGAGGAGCTTTTCATGACAATGGCTTTTTTCTGGTAGTGTGACATGAGGGGGAGGGATACATGAATAGGGAGGGGGCGTGAGGGGGGTACATGGATGGGGAGGGTGAGACATGGGGGGAGGGGTTACATGAATTCTTGGGCTACATGAGGATGCTATAAAATGCGGGTGTGGGGTCTTGTCTAATTAAAAACAACGTAGAAAAGGGTGGGAAGGGGAAGTGGTGAGGGCTGTCTCAAGAAAAAGAAATGGGACAGGGTCATGGGAAAGGCAAAGGGTAACTGGCTTTCATTCGAACATGTGTCATCAGGGAAGTGAGAACCAGCAAAGGGTTGAGAGAGCGAAGTTCACAATCAAACAGGAGAGGGGAACCTGGGCTGGGAATAAAGGGGAGAGGGAGTTTGGGGCAGACGGCAAAGAGCCTGTTTCAAGTCGTCGACAGAGTCGACAGCTCATCTGCATAAACCGATGACGCCATGGGGGTGCGGAGGTCAGTCTGCCCTGGTACCATTTTCAACAAGGGCGTTGGGAATCAGACCAATAGCCCCGGACTTGGTGGCATGTGCTTTCAAAGTTGAGGTCGAAGCTTTTTTTAAATCAATGATGAGACGCATTGATTGCTTTTAAGACATGCCAGCACCCATGTTGATCTGGCGCTTGACCTGCTCACGGGTCCAGCGGGCAGTCTCGATCGTGCGCTCGCTGTACTGTCTGGTGGTGCGAGTTTCGCGCACGAGAGCAGTGACCCAGTCATTGCGGAAGTGGTGGGCGAGCTCACCGTTGGGGAAAGCATCAGCAAGATCACTGTTGACAAACGTTAGTCTGAGCCTAAGGTAGTGGGTTGAGGTCATGCTTACCCAATGACACCCATGGCAGAACGCATGAGGCCCTCGCTACGGTTGCTCTCTGTGGAGATGATGTGCAGAAGGTGGAAGATGGACTCAACGAAAGGCTGGAGCTGGGTGACTGCAAGATGATTAGCTCAGAGGAAGGGGCAGGTAAAAGGTAGAGTAACTTACTGGAAGGAGTTCCCTTGTAAGACAGAAGAATACCACCCCAGGCATCCATGATACCCTCACGGAGAGAGACAATGTAGTCAACCATTTCGTATGGAAGGTCAGAGCTTGTGGTGACGCTAGATGCCTGCTGGAGGACCTGGCCGACAACCGCCAAGTAGGTATCGAAGTTGGTGCCAATGGCCTGGGCAATATCACCGAAAGTCTCGAGAATTGCAGGCTTGAGCTGGTTGGTAGATGCCTGTTTTGGTCAAGTCAGCAACTGTAAGATGGAGAGATTATAGAGACAATAACATACCGAAAGAGTCTTGAGCAACAGGTTCATGAAGGTGTCGCAGTATGGCTGAACCTTCTCGTTCAAGGCACGAGCAATGTCACTGACGAGTCCGATGGCCATGGCGCAGAGACCAGGCTCGTCTTGGTTACCAAGAGCATTGCACAGGAATGGGCTGAAAGATTCCATGTACTTAATGAAGTCATCCTCGAGGGCGCTGGCGATAGCACCAACGGTGGCAAAGACCACATCGGGCACACTGGACTTGGCACCAAGGGTGCTCAGGACCTGGAGAAGGACGCTCATGATGCGATCCGCTTGGGGCTTGATCTCACCCTCGAAGCGCTGGACAATGGCCAGAATCACACTGATCAAGCTGGTCTGCATTTCCTCGAGAAGCATCCGGTCCTCGGGGCTGACAACCTGCTGTTGCATGGGAACAGTGTGCTCCAGACGCTGAAGGATGACATCGGAGAGAGTGGCAACCATGGGTAGGCTGTCGTTGGCAGAGTTCATAACGAAGGAGTTAAGAACTTCGTAACCAGCGGTACGGAGCTGGTTGTCGGCGTCTTGTCTGCATAGCTGTTAGATCAAAGGAAATTGTGGTGGGGGGCTTGGAGCAATAATAACATACCGCTCGGTGACTGCAAGTAGGGACTTCACACTGTCCTCAAAGTGCTTCGACAGAGGGTTAGTCTGCGAGCCATCGTCACCGGCAAAGCGGTCTGCGACGTTCATAAGAGCCCAGCAGCAGGAGCTGGCGATCTTGGGGGAGTTGGCAAGGCCGTTGAAAAGGCAAGAGATGAGAGGCTGAAGGTGGACCTCGGGGTCAAGGACCTCGGGGCAGCAGTCGCACACACGACCAAGAGCATAGGCGGTCGAGTCACGAACGGAGATAGAGCTGTCCTCCATCATGCCGAGCAGCACGGAAAGAGCCTGCTTGATAAGAGGCTCCAACACACTGGGCTCAGGGCCCTCCATAATAGCACCGAAAGCAGCCACAGCGGCATCACGACGGTGCCAGTCCTCGTTACGGATGTTCTCCTCGACAAAGCTCACGACGGGCGGAATGACATCGCCCTGGACACATTGGGCGTATAGCTGCATAGCCTGGTAGGCAGCGCGGGACACGTTGTACTCATCATCGCCGGCATCTTCGTCCTGGCGACACATGGACTGCAACAGAACGGGGACAACTTCGCGGGTAGCGACGCGGGCGAAACCGAAGAAAGGACGAGCCTCGACACCGTCTTGCTGGGCCTAGAGAAACAGAAAGTTAGCACACATTTACAAACACTGCGGGATTCGCGGAATTCTCACCTCAGCGTTATCATCCTCGATGGCAATCTCCTCCTCGCACACAGTGCACCAGAACTCAATAGCAAGCTTGGCCACTTCTTCCTCCTCGCTCTTCATACCCATAATGCTCAGGCCGAAGAGAGCCTTCTCCATGTAGAAGCGCATTTTCTCGTAGTAAGAGCCCATGATGCGGTTCAGGCAGCCGAATGCACCAGCCTGCACGCGAACCTCATCGGCTTGTGTGGCCTCGCAGACAACCTGCATAATGTAGTTGCGCTCTCCCTCGTTGTCCATGTTGGTTCGCACGAAGTCGACGGCATCACTGAGGGCGGCAATAGCGGCAAAACGAACCTCCATGTTCGGCTCCTCGCGCCGGGCACCCTGAACGACTGCGGTAAGGATGGCATTGGAGTGTTGTGTGAGGCTTGCGCGAAGGTCTGGATCTTGAGACTCGCAAATGTAACCGATAGCAGTCAAGGAAGACTGCTTGAGGGCATCGTTTCCGCTGGCCACATTTTGGACAAGAACGCCCATCAACTCGGGCCACTCATTGCGTGGCAGCTCGATCGCAGCAATGGAAACGATCAAGTTGGCAGCAGCAGCTCCAGCGCGAACATTGGAGGACTGCAGGGTCTTCAGCGCAAGCTCCTTGACCTGGGTCTTGGTCTCAGGGCTGATGCTCTGGGCCCAGCGAAGCTGAACCTCCCGCAACTTAGCCTGATCCCGGAAAGTGAAAGCGTTCTTCAAGGCGAGACCCGCAGCGACACGGATGTGAGCGGGGCTGCTCTCGTTGGCGAGTTCTTGACCGAGGGTAATAAGGTAGGCAGCCTATCCAACAAAGGCGGTGTTAGCACCGTCAGGCAAAATGGTCCTGGTCGTATAGGGAGATAAGGGATACATACGAAGTCGACCTCCGCGGCGTGTGCGAGTTGTTGTTCGGCATTAGTACGCTCGGCCGCATCAGGCGCGAGGGTGCTCTGCAACACCTGACGGGCATCCATGGTGTGCAAAGAAAAGGATGTGGTGGGGGAGAGAGGAGAGGGAAAAAAAAAAGTGTAAAAAAGTGAAATCGAGAAAAGATTAGCAAAGAAAGAGGGCGAAGTGCTCTAGGCCAGGATCAGTCGGTTTGAACACAGGCACCACGATGGCAGTGGGAAGTATTTGGGAGTGGGAGGAAGGGAGTGTTTTTGTGGATATGACGAGGCGGCATGCACTAGGTCTTTCCGCGACAAGAGGCACAGAGAGGAAAAGGTGCCTGGAGTGCACGCCCAATATTTCAACACACTACGGCGAAAAGAGGGATTTCAGGAGATGGGAAATCGGTGTTGAGAGAGATGTGAAGAGACTAAAATGCAGATTCGAAAGCCAGAAAGACCACAATGGGTGAGGTTCTACGGGGGTGGCCCTCTGATTGGCTGCTCTCGGAGTGGTTAGTCATTAGTCACGTGATACGTGGCCTTAGGCTCCTTGCTCCCTCCCGCGTATTATTGGACTCCCCAATGGCCCATGAATGTCAAGGCGAAGATTGGACATTAATACCGGGGTTAACATGGTCTGTTTAGCAGAGTCTATACTTATCTACGTTCTCCTTTCTCGTTGGTGGTCGGGAAATGCACGATTCAATTATGAGCTTGAGTTCGCCTCTTGCATATCACGTGACCTGACATACTGACGATCCACGCCTTGGCCTACACCTCCTTTTGTCAAGCCATACAGTTCAGTCTTCCTCTTTTCTAGTTGAATGATGCATTATTCGAGGCCAAAGACTGTCAGGTATCAGACTCGAACATATGATTAAAATGCCTATAAACTTGATTCACATGGAGGGGTTGCCCCTCCATTTCTTTTGCTTATTTTGATTTTTCTTCTTAAAGAATTGGTCAGCCTGTGGCCCCAGCGACCGATTCCACAGTGGGGTACGAGAATCCTCTAGAAAGGAGAGAAAAGGAAAAAATGTCCTAGGTTAGGGCTCCGTTGTTATTCTCGTTTGTTCCAAGGTTGTTTTCATGTAGAGAAGGGGAAATTTCTGACAGGTCTTGTACATATATACATTTACACCTAACAATATGATAGGTGTTTCCAATCGGGCTAAGATCAAGCGCTAGCTTCTTATGCAAAGCACAGATAGTACTAGAAGGGTCCTCAAAGGCTTTAAGTTGTACACAATGTACGGGATACTACGGAGAACCCCGTATCAATACTTGATCCTGAAGTCTTTGTCGTAGATATACGGGGTACATTTTCTTTTTTCTAAAGTTTGATCAAAGGCTTGAATTTGTAGTACTGAACTTTGGAATTACTTCTTTGGTTTTTTGCACGGGTAGCACTTGAGCATCTCTCAAGAAACTCGTAGTACTCCGTACATCGTGGAGTACACACATAAGACCAACACGCCCTCAACATAACTTCAGGACCACTTGGGTTTGTAGCTCAACCCTAAGGTTCACCAAGCTTGAATCACCTGGGCATCTCGTCCAACTCAAGCTCACCAAACATACCTAACATCGTCGACGGAGTGCAACCTTAGAAACGAAATGACTATCCACCCGACTTCAGTGCTTGGGACGATTCACCATCTACAGATATTGTTTGTTCGTTCGATGCCTTGGAATTTATTTCAACGCGGGCTTGAGAATTGCTTTCCAAATTAAAACCTAGAAAAAAAAACCATTGGAATACTGCTCAAATGCTCAAGTGTGAGTAGTTTCCAACCTACTTCTAAAGTTAGTACTTCCGCATATATATCACCTACTCCGCACAGCCCAGATGCATTGGACTCGGGCTGCAGCCCTGGTAAAACTCAGAAAGGCAAACGACCAACCCTAGTAGTTCAAGTATTAGCATTCAAATCAGTATAATATCCTCGGAGCTGTATCCAGATTCCTGAGGCGGTTCCGAGAATTTCGGGTGGCGCAGTCCATTTCACCCTGGTCTGAGATCGCGGAGCCGATCACATTCGCCACATCGGACAAGCCCTGAAGTCCGACAGTGTATATAAACCACCTGGGCATATAGCATTATCCCATCAGCACTTAAGTAACTCACAATAAATCCAGTGTTCTGAAGGCCAAGCTGACTACCACAATGAGCTCCCCAACCCTTATCTTCATACATGGCTCCTGGCACCAACCAACATGCTACGACCCAATAATCAAACTCATTGAAGCCCAGCAAACATCCAAATGCATATCAATCGCCCTCCCCTCAACAACAGGCAACCCATCCGCAACATTCAAAGATGATCTCGACGTCGCCCGCGAAGCCATATCCAACGAGATCGACCATGAACGCAACGTAGTAATCATCGCACATTCCTACGGCGGCATGGTCGGCAACAGCGCGATAAAGGGATTCGCGCACAGCCAATCCACAAAAGGCCGCGTCCTGGGCTTGATCCTCATAGCATCCGGCTTTACATTAACCGGGCTTACATTCATGGATCCATTCCTGGGCCACCCGCCTCCTGCCTGGCGCGTGAATACCGAAACGGGCTTTGCGGAGCTGGTCGCTTCACCGCGGGAATTGTTTTATCATGATTTGCCCAGGGAGGAGGCTGAGTTTTGGGTTTCGCAGCTTACGAGCCAGAGTTTGAAGGCTTTGTTTGAGGGTGGTGAATATACTTATGCTGGTTGGAAAGATGTGCCGACTTGGTATATTGGGACTGTGGAGGATCGGGGGATTCCGGTGCTTGCGCAGCGGCTGGGGGTTGGAATGGCGAGAGAAATGGGAGGAAATGTTGAGCATCGTGAGTTGCAGACTAGTCACTCGCCGTTCTTGAGTCAGCCTGAGGCGACAGTGGAGATCATCCTTGAGGCTGTTGGGGCTTTCACGGGGGCGCCACAGAAGAATGAACCGGTCGCTGGACGTCGTGGTGCGATGCTTCCGACTCTGCCGAGAGCTACACTCTGGCAGCCCTTCACTTGGTTCAAGTTTGGACTTCCTTTAGCCCTGGGTCATGTTATAGGGAGGGGAATTCTCGTGTTTAGATGGGGGAGGAGATTGTGGAGGTCGAGGTTTGGTCTTCGCAGTCTATGATCAGAGAGCGAAACCGAGAAGAATAATGACCTGGTATTAATTTAACTGGAATGCAAATACTCATAATGGAAGACTCAAGTGTGAATGCTTCATCGTAAAGCCATGACGCTGGTTCAATTTCAATCGCTATCCATCACTTCCTCCTGCTCATCATTAGAGTACTCATCCTCTACTTCTTCTAATTCCTCTTCCTCCTCTTCTGCCTCTATAGCAGCATCAAGATCCAGAACCTCGTAGCGCATGGCATCCCCATACAGAACGCAAACAGCACGTCTCCCTTTTCGCCCGTTGACATCAACATGGACGGGTCTCGCTTTAGGTCCATGAGCAGCGAACAGATGTTTGAGAGCACCTTCCCAAGGACTACCGTCTGAGATGTCCAATTCTGTGACCGGAACTGCTGGTTTTGGGGAAGATGGAATGCTGGTGGTCTCGGTGTATATGAGGGTTGGAGCTGGGGGCTCATCCAGATCTTGTTGACGGGCAGAGATAGGTTGGAAGGGGATATTAAGGAGGTGGGAGAGGCCATCTATTCAGTTTGTTAGCTTGGACTCGTGTTCGATTTGCGTTTGCCTGTGACCTACCGCTGTTTCGCCAGAGGATCATGATCGTGTCGTCGTTCACGAATTGGAGTTGCCGCACCTCGCCATTTTCGAGGTTTAGAATTGCGACAGATGTGCTTCGTGTTGAGCTGACTCCGCCCACCGAGTCTATAACGACGCGATAGAGATACACTGAGACTGTTAGAAAGTATGTAATCAATGATGATGTTCATAACTCACCCTGGTGTTTTGAGGTAGTAGATTTGGTAGCAATGTAGATGGTGCAGGGTTTGCCTTCAAGCAGATCCTGTGTCACAAGTCAGTAAGAGAATAGATGGCGAATGCAGTCAGACATACCTCGTAGCAGACAGTGACATCAATCATTTGCTGGTCGCAGTCAGAGTGGAGTGTAAGAGGCGACCGGTGGAGAATGCCTCTTCGCTGAGTTAAAGCGATCTCTTCGAAGACCTTTTCGAACTGCACCTCCATGCGTTTGGTCAAATCATTGAGTTTGGGTGACTGGATCGAGGTGCCGTCCTCTCCCTTTTCTCGAGCCAGGCGCTGTTGTTGAAGAAGCGATTTGAATGTATCATAGAAAGACCGGTCATGGCCATCAGGCATCCATTGACCAGCTGGAGGAGCAGGGGGCGGGACAACCCCCATCATAGGAAGTTGTCGAATGAAATTGCGGAGTGCACTTTTAGTCAAAGCCCCGGTAATGTATTTCACAGTTGGGGGGACGTCGAAGAGATCCCTCTTTTCCTGCAACTCTTCCAAGGTTTGTGACAAAGGTTCGCTATTGAGGATATGGATTTCGTGACGAAGCCATCTAGCGAAAGAATTGAATTGATCCAACTCCTCGTTGGCGTGATTGAGGATACGATGCGCCAGAATGTGGAGACAGTCTAGTGTCTCCACGATGGCATTCAGCTTGGTCGTGTCCAGTCCGAGAACATCGCTTAATTTGTGGAACTTGGAAAGCCCGACCAATCGACCGAGGAGCACTTGACTGCGCTCTAAGGCTGGGAGTAGACATTCGTGTGTTAGTCGACGGATGTTCTCGTAGCCGCCTGCAACGGCCTTGTCCCATCTCTTGTGGCCCTGTGTCGTTCGTTAGTCTCACATCTCCCCAAAGCCGCAGAGCGAACCTACTCTCTCCCCAACAATATCCACCAGGAACTCCTTCATTGGCTCATAGCAATGACCGGTGACCACAAGGTGATAGAAAGCAGTAATGAAATCACATTGGCATTTCTCTTGCAAGTCCTCGTTGACACTGCGTAAAAAGCGAGCCGGAAGCTCCTGGGCATTCTTCCACTCAAGCTCAATTTGGCGCTGAACTTGGCCAATGTAACGAAGCAAATTCTGTAGCTGAGTCGTCTTTGACGCAAGAAGAGACAGATACCGCCCCGACTTGGTTATGAAGCGGAGGTCCATTGTTACTAGCTCCAGGGGCCCGCGATCATTGCCCCTGGCAGGTGATGCCAGCAGAGCATGCGTTGAGCTGAGGGGATGAGATGCATGTCGCAAGATACGACAGGAATCAGGAACACCGGGAGAGCTACCCACGGGGAAGGATCCAATCTCGAAGCAATTGAAGATGCGCAGGTGAACGGTGCCATCGTCAAAACCGACAGAGATCACATCGACCGAGTCACCAGTGTCCTTCGTAGAATGAAATATGGCATCGATGGACGCCCGGGAGCTAAAGACGTCATCCTCACCTCCTGTTGTAGGGAGTGTGGTGAGCTTGGGCAAAGAACTTTCGATATCCAACAAGGCAAGTTCCCTAGGCAGATCCACCTTGAGGACGGCTGCCGCCTTTGAGGGATAAACACCGGGCGCCAAAAGATCCTCAATAGAGACCTGACCAGCAGAGTCGAGCAAATGGCGCTGTGCGGTCTTGCTGTCGGTGAAATTGATACTCCACCCCACGGAAGTTGGCTTGGGAATTAACTCCTGCCCTTCAGCCAAGCGAGATGGTTCACCCTGTGTCTGATAAACAGGATAGTGATTGACCGTCTTCCCACTGTAAGAACTGATGATGCGGAGCGTGCAGTCTCCACACGCGACAGCGAGCAAACGACCTACACCATGTCAGTGAGCTCACAAACCAAGCCACGAAAGCCAAAACAGCCAATTAAATGGTGCTTGTCAAGTACGCCAACAGAGAGCGGGTTTTCTAACTCACCATTCCCCTTCCACGCCATCCCTCTGATCTCGCCGTCCTCTTCATCCTCGCCTAGGTAGGGATCACCACCGAAGGAGCCTCCAAATACGCGCTGCCCATTCAGTCGGAAGACGCGCAGTTCTTCATCCTCGGTCGCTAGCGCAATCAGGTCCATCGTGGGACAGTACGCCATGGTTTGCGCCTTGCATTTTGCGGGGAGAGTCTTCTCCCCCACGGGGGTTAATTGGGGGCCCTCTTCTGCCATAATAAATTTGGTTCAGATTAATATTTCAGCCCATGCTGTGAATTGAAATGGCTAGGAGTGAGGTGTGAAGCTGTTGATTTGCGGGTGGATGCAGGGATTCTTGGCGCGTCTCTTTTGGTTTGGCGCCAACCGCAGGAACGCCCTGGTCAACTGGTGAGTGATGGTCTTTTGTTTTTATTTATATATTTTTTATTTGCTTAGAGAATCGCATATACACAACCAAGTAAGCAATGAAATGCTAGTCCTTCAGTGAATTATGCACTAAAGTAATGTCCCAGAAGGCTTAGTGAGTAAAATGTTACTGGATGTTCCTCTACGTAGAGAGAAACATTGTCATAGACCATTGATTATGTCCTCTGTAGATACCTGGGCATAGAGAAAGAAACCAGGAAGGCTATCTGGATAGGATCCTGCTCTGGACTTTGAAGAAGAAAAACAGCAGACCCAAGAAGACCACCGACTCAGCTCATCCAGCCCGAGGCACGCGTTTGTTTAGATCGCAAGCATATCGACCCTGTCCTTCAGCAGATTAATTTGACAAAACAGGTCACTAGCCTCATTCGAGGTGATAGTAGCAGCAACGACAGCTCGGCCAACGCCACATGCTCGCCCAAGCGCAATCTTGCTCGGGACATAGACATATGAAATGTTCTTTTCTTCGCAGAGGAGTGGGAGATGCATGACGATAGCGATGGGTACGGCATCAGCGGCCAGAATGACTAGCTCAGAGGTAAGACGTCGGATGGCTTTGGCGACTATAGAGAGCATGTTAATATGATCCATTCACGAGGATGCAGAAGTGAAACTTACCCTCGTTGGCACCTCGCCTGACTTGTCTGTAGTGAGTGCATTGCTGCAACACGGTGAGAATGTCCTGCGTCAGAGCCGGATCGGCCATCGGCCATGCTGAGCAAAATGTCAGTAGGCGAGATTGAGCTAGAGGTGAATGATCTTACCGATCTCGCTGTGGTTCATGATCGAAGACTGCATTGAGGAAAGGGCGCTCTTTCAAATGGAAGAAGTCGGGTATTGCAAGCTTTGTAGTAGAAGTAGAAGTAGAAGAAGTAGAAGTAGAAGTGAAAGTGGAAAGAGAGGAAGAGAAGGAAGCAGGGTGGATGGGGAGATTGCCTTTCACCCATGTGCCTCGCAATACTGACCTCCCATCTTCCAACGAGGTTTGAGCCCATCACTACTCGTCTGCTTGGACAGAGAGGAGTGATGAGCTAGTAGTCAAGTATGATTGATAGATTACAACAAGATATCATAGGTTTAATACACACAACGACATGCAAAATTACTAGGAACCTTGGAATAGACAGACTACATCTGCCAATGCCAACAAGCAACCACTCGCGCCAGCAGACTTACTCTCGAAAGACCAGATGATATACCTAAAAGCGAATGTGAAGATTTATCTATGTACAAGCTAGATGATACAAGGGCAGAAACCAAAAGCCCAATCCCGCGACCAGCGCCAGGGATCCAAGAATAAAAATACGAGATAGGGGAATCCGAATCCCCTATCAGAATGGAGTTCCATCCATCTCAGACTGAATCATATTCTTCAGATAACTGAGTTCATCCATCATCTCCTGCATAGTAGCATTGTGCTGGAAGGAGGCATTGCTGCGACGAGAGCGGATGCGCTCAAGGGAAGCCTCGCTCACCTTCCGCTCTGTCTCGGACAGCTTACGAGGGGTACCGATGTCCTTGGGGATATGGGGGATCATCACGGGCGAGTCGACGGGGCTGTGTGACATCGAAAGGTTTTCCATGGACTCGAGGGCGCTGAATAGAGCCGCATGGCGCTTAGGGTTGCTTTCTACTTCGTCCATGCCTTCGATGCCGAGTCCGGTGTCGATGCCTGGGGTGGAGAGAGAGACGGTGAGTTCCGGAAGGGAGACGTTCCATGGGGAAATGTCTGCTGAGGCGGAATTGGGAGAAGAGGGCTTGGAGTAGACGGTTAGGTGGGGGGTGTTGGGGTCGGTGTTTGTTGCGCCATCGCCGGACTGCGATAAGTCTGGTGTTTTCCAGCGTTCGTCAGACGATTCGTCGTCATGGTGGTTGAAAGTCGAGGTTGACGTTGTCGATTCACGGGGGTTATACTCCGTTTCAGTGTCAGTGCTCCATTCGGAGAAACGGCTTCGCTCGGGTATGAAGCGGGAATGGGTAGAATCTTCTTCCGTTGAGACGGTCATGCTGGAGAAATAACTGCGTGGGACCTCGCCATCCATTGCTTTGTCTCTTTCGTCAATGGCACGAACTGCCTCATCCATGACCGAGGATGGGGTATTGGGGAGGGTCGGAAGCCTCTTCTCCTTCTTGTTCTCTCTGGTGAATGCGGCCGTGGGCGTAGGCAAGTCACTGTTGCTTGCGATGTCCTTGAGCGCCTCCCGCATGGCAGGGGTTTCATCCAATGCCGCATTCTTGAGAGGTCCTGGGCCTCGAGAAGGGCCGGGTTGGCGGGGCTCAGGCCGAGTCTGCACGGTGAGAAGGCGCCCTGGCGCTGTGTCTCCAGCCGCGCCTTTCATGGCGCGGCGACTTTGAATCGTGGAGGGACCGATGGCGGGTCCGGGCTTGTTGGGAGAGGCGGCGGAGGATGGAATGGCAATTCCAGCGTTGACCTTGATCCCAGGAACATCGCGGCGCTTCTCGCTAGACTCTCCTTGCTGCGGCGAAGCCCTTAGACTATTCGCCCAGGTTGCTTCGAGCTTTCTGTCCGCCTCTGTTGGCTGTCTCAGAGCAGCCATAAGAGCCCGGGCTCTCGGGGGAGACATCGAGCGTGAATCTTTCTTATGCCCCTTGCGAGTCGCACTGTACGGCTGAGATGCACTTCTGTGGATTCCACTTATTGGAGATTTGCTGGAAGACTGCCCTGGGCTCGGAATGCGGCGGACCGATGCAGAGGTCTGAAGTCGCACATGTTGGGGTTGGGGCTGGGGTGGTGGTTTGCGCGGGTTCATGAACTTGTCTTCTGGGTTCATGGTTCGCAGGTGCTCTGATGTCTGGGAGCCACCACTCGCTGAGCGCGTGTGCGTCCGACTATCAGGCAAAATGATAGGAACATTCAAAATATTCACAGGCTGCCCTGGGAGCAGAGGGCACATGGTAGTGATTGCCTCTGCCTCGTTGAAGTACTCAATATCGTCATCCAGCAAATACTGTTCAATTGTTAGCTCCGTGTCTGGCAGGTAAGCCATATCGAGACTCACGTAGTACCAGTAAGTGCCACCCATCTTCAACCCTCCTGTTCGCCATTCAGTCTTGTCGGGCCCATCCCCGATCATGTCGGTGAAAGTGTGACATCCCCTCCAGTGACCTGGCCCAACTCGACTATCTCTTTCCATGGCATATTTTCTTGAAAAGTTGTCCCATGATCCAAGCAATTTGACCGAGCGGACCTCGGGCTTGGTGATTCTGAGCAGTCAGCAGCCGAAACCAGACACCAGGCGAATCATGAAACTCACAGTAAAAAAGTCATGAGGGTGGTCGATATCATAGCAGGTTGTGGTAACAGAAATAGAAACAGAGTCGCTCAACGAACTTCAAACAGTCAAAGGAAGATACGTGAATGGATCAGCGAAAGACAATGCACGGCAATGCAAGATTGACAAATGAAACCAATTGGGAAAAATGCAAAGAAAATCCAAAATTTGAAAGACGGAACCCCAAACACGCAGATGCAAAGCAAAAAGCACGGTCTATAGATGAAGACCAGAATCGAGGCGCAATGGCAGGATCATATAACACTGCAGCGCAATGCCTTGTGGACCAGCCCAGACAACCAACTCCACAAAGGCGGTTCTATAATTGCAGCTGAAAGAACGGTGCCTGTTTCAGGATTGGTGTGACAGGTCTAAGAATACAACGATCGAAGGTTCGTTTCAAGATTCCATGCCGTGGCAGTGGCTTCACGCAACAGTCAAATCGGCCGACGCCGATGCTTCAGGAACCGCGACGGGTCAATTTCCACCACCTGCAGGGCGACAAGGCTGGCCAATGGGAGGACGGGATGAAGCGCCAGCCACTCGGGTTGCTGTCGGCGTAGGGGGCTCGCCCACGGTGATTTGTTGACTCGGAGATATAGTGGTGAAACAGGGGGACCAGGCGCCCTGGTTGTAGAGAAAAGAGAAAAGAGAGAAGGGGGGCGAGTTGGCGGGTTTTTTTTTCTCGTGAAGGGGATCGGCGCGGGGATGGCTATGATGCCGATCACAAATTGGCGGTGATGGAACTAGTCAATCCAAGGTCAGTCCACTGCTCCTCATCCAAGGCAATTGATGATCGCAGCTCACGGAGTAGACGGAAGCGATAGGTCAGGTATGGCAAGGAGAGAAGAAAATGTGAGGTCAAATTGACATTTGCGATGTGGCTTGCCCTCCTCCACTTGTACCAGCCATAGTTCGTCGATCCCCACGCAAGGTGCAGAAGTGTTTTTCCGTAAGTAGAATTTACATACAACTTTAGAAGTTATTTTGATAATTATCAAACAACTATATTCAAATGTTAACTACTCTGTATTTAGTGTCTACTTAGGTATTCCATAGTATTTTGTTATTTAGCTGAGCATTTCAATGTGAAGCAGAGCAAACCCCGAACCTTGGAACGATACAAGTACCGGGATGCAACGGTCCGATGTATACATTCATATATACTTAAGTAGATTGTCGGATATTTTTATCTTATTATAGATCATTTAACTCGTGTTTCACAATGAAATTAACCTCAAATTGTGGCTGAAGCCCAGAGTATACAGGTATTGTGGTACTCTAATGATGCTCAATTTAGGGTGCGTTCTAGCGTCAACTAGGTTTTTAGTTCCTAGCAAAACACATGAACTCCCATGGATGATTGACGAGTTGCTGTTCAATGACACCATTTGTTTTTACATCCATGAACCCGATTACACACTTACCTTTCGGCTGATGATTTCTAAAGTTGTTTTCATGATGTAAGATAGAAGAAGTGTAGTCGCACTTGCCATTCTAGCTCCTGCCATCCTAGAAACCCCCAAACAGTGAATCCTGTTTGGAAACTAAACATCCCACTAACATCCATGTTTCCAAAAGCTGCGCATCAGCAACAACTCAGGAGTAGATCGAACGAGCCAAAAGACCCGCTCGAGTGGGCTAACGATCGCATCTGCATCGAAGGCGATGAAACCTCACTTCGCCCGCGAGCAACTGGCCGAAAAGAAAGGACCATTCAATACGTCCTTTTCCTTTCAAAGACTTTTCCCACGTCAAAACTCAAGTCGATGAGTTCCTGGAAAATGAACTCGAACCATTCGAACACGGCAGGCTTGGCTGCTGTTTTGGATGCTTATCGAATCAGTTCCAAATGCACCAGGTATGTCAACCTAAGCTATATCGATGATCACTTGAGCTTCTTTACTAACATAAGATAGCTACGTGCGCACATAAGAATCCCCGAGAGATATGGGGGCGACCCAAGCATCACCCACGAAATCTGGGTCTGTAATGACACGGGGAGCACGAGCCTTGTCATATTCGACACGGATCTGGTAGCACTGAATTTCAACATGGCCCTTCATGCTCAGGCTCTTCGGGGCTCAGTCCAAGTTAACACTGCCAATGGCTAAGAGCGATACCGAAGAATGAACCCCATGAGCCTTCCACGCCCAGCGCGCGCGCCGCGCTCAACCCGTGGGAGACCGAGTGGGAGGCCCAGCAGCCCCAGCAAACCGAGCAGGTCGCGCACGCGGACATGACGACCGCCCTCCAGCGCCTGCTCGGCCGGCCGGCCGCCCTGGCGGCCTCCAGGGCGCGGCCTTGGACGCGATCCAGGGACGGCGCAGTCCTTGGTCGCCGTGATGCCCACTGGCGGCGGAAAGAGTCTGCTGTTCCTGCTCCCCGCCCTCCTCGCGCCCACCGGGATCACCGTGGTCGTCGTGCCGTTGCTCGCACTCCGCACCGACCTGGCCCGCCGCTGCGCGGTCGCGCAGATCGACTGCACCGATATCTTCGCGATTGCAGAAGTGAGAACCATGTATCGTGGTAAAGAGACGACCTGAGATTTTTTCTTTTTGGTAAGAGACCTGCGAAATTGTCGCTTGGATATCTCATCCAAACGATGAACTTCCAACGAGAGGATATCAACAATACTTCAAATGCAATGACCATGTCAACTGATTACCATCAAAACTTTGGTCTGTTTGACTTTTCGTTTATATCACATGAAATCGAAAATGAGACGAGGCGTGATACCGTTCGACCTTTGATCCTTATCTTTCAGGATCACACGGGTGTTTTCATTGTGTAAGTTTCCTCGCTTGGTGTATCCCGTTCTTCTCCCATTAGTAGCAGCCAGCGTGATTGAAGTATACTGACAATAGTTCATAGGGGCCAGACGGGCTCAGGACCCAATAGTTGAAATTGGCGACCCGGTCATCGGTCTTTTGGTCGGGTTGACTTTTCGTTTGAAGAGACCTCCCAGCCTCACAGATACCTCCGTCCAAGAAGAAGGTACGTATAAGAAACCTAGCAAAGCCTGATTTCTTCTCGACTTCAAGTTTGTGGCTTCATCATCTGCGTGCCCGTTCGTAGGTGAAATTATGCGGTTACTATCTCATCCACTGGGTTGATTCCCCATCTGCTTGCCTGTTCCCCCTGAGCATTCCCATTTTGACTGATTTCGAGATAGGAGGAAAACCCCACCCAAAAGAAGGGGCAAAAATCGGCCAAGGCCGATAAACCAAAGTCCTCCTCTGGAGGCATAAAAAAGTCCTCACAACGAGGCAAGAAGAACTCTCAAAGAGGCAACGTAAGTCCTGCTCGCCTTTCATTCCTATCCTCGTCTTATCCGAAGAGCTACTACTGTGGTGTCTACTTATATTGTCTCCACAAACCCCATACTCTGCATCACAATTCCCATTCGAAAATGCCCTGAATGGATCAATGCCTGCAATTTGTTCACGGGTCACTCCGTTTGATACTTGTGGAGCCCTGCATGTCCACAGCATGACCCTCTTTTCCCTCCAATACTCATGATCAACTTATGACTTGATATCTGGAATTATACTAACTCATTATACCAGCGTCCCAGCCCGGCCGACTGGGTAGATGAGGTAAGATCATCAGATCTCATCTCACCTTCGACCTCTTACCCTTACATTCCCCGGTCCATGCCCTATCGTGATTCGACATGATCCGGATCCGCATCCCTCGCGGGGAGGAGGAAACCACTCAGGATGGGGGCACTGTCGAGGAGAAGGAGGGGAGGCCCCACAATAGCCTTCGCACTGTATTCTTATAGATTGAAGCGATCTTGAATGGACAATCATATGGGCTGTTGCGAGTTGCTACTTACTAAACCACCACAGCACTTGCAAGAGACCCGTATGATCTTTGACTGAAGCTAAGCGGCCGGAGTATCCAAGTACTTAGTGTAAGCTGTAAATGGTCTGGGCTACATGTACAAGTGCCTGGGTTAGGGCGCTAGTGCCAAACCGTTTTTAGTTTATAACGACACATCCATGAATGCCCATGATTGGCGAAGTTGCCGACATAAAGAGTGGGAACACCGATTATCCTCTCCTGAAGTCTCCACCAGGGCGGCTCCTAAGATTACATCGAAGTGCCAGTTTCAGCTTGGATCTACACGGTTGCAGTGGTTCTTGAACATGAAATTAAACGGTAGACTTCTTCCTCCGTATTTCTAGGGCTACTCCAAGGGCTCTTTTGAAGTATTTCCAATGTCGACTAACTAATATATTTCTTATAAATCTAAAGTCTCTGTCGATCTAACCTCTTGTTTACAGCCCCCAGCACCGTCTTCAAAATCCCATCACTATTCAAGGGCACTCCATCCCGCATCCAAGGAATTGTATCCACAATATCCCGCATTTGTATCCCCGTCCTCAAATCATCATCCAATTGCTGCAAAAAGTCCCTCGCCCGGGCATCATTCCCAATTTGAAAGAACTGAATCCCAACCTGCCACGGGATCGCGTCACAAGTAGGTCCATCTAACTTCCGAGCCGTTTTAATAATCACACCCTCCGCATCGTCTGTGAATTCACCATCGGTAATAGTAATAATATTCATCGGCTTAACAAGCACATCCGGATCGACGTAGCCGCGTGCTTTCTTCGCGGTATGCATTGTCTCCACGCGACGCAGGTACGGGTCGAGGATATCCGACAGTCGCGTTCCGACCATTGTGCTACCACTTGGTCGGACAGTGTTGAAGATCTCTTGGACTTGGCGCGCTGTGGTGATGTGTTGGTATCCATCTACGCCGGGCTGGTAGCTTGGTTGACGCCAGGTGGATTGGCGGTCTCTGGGGGATGAGCGGCGGTGGTTGAGGAAGTAGATGTCTATTCCGTCGCTGTCGTACTGGGTGCAGATGGGTGCGATGACGGCAATGGCATCGGCTGCTTCTCTCCATCTAGGTCCTTGCATGCTGGAGCTGTCATCGACTAGGAATACGGTGTCGAAGTCGCGGAGGAAGGCATATTGTGACTCGTCGGGCTCGGCGCTGCTGATTTCGATGGTGGGGATTGGAATAGCTCGTGCTGTGTAGGGTGGTGGGCGCTCTTGTGTAACCTCTGTGATTGACCTTCTATCTGATGAATGTGTAGATGTGCTTCCGGATAGAGCTTTGAGGGCCTTGAGGGCTTTGCGTTCCTTGCGCTGCTTTGAGGAAAATGAGTACCATGATGTGCCCATGATGAATATGATCTTTTGGTTGTGTTTTAGAGAATAATTGTCTGATTCTCACTTCTGAATTATATCTGATTTGGAACAAAGGAACTCGAGCCAACACCAACTGCCTTTATATTCCTGAAACTGCGTGACCTTGAGTCATGAAACTGCGTATACAAAGAATCCATGTGGCCCTATGGAACAAGGCGCACTAGGGCAAATCAAACAAAGTCCAACCCAGGGCCCAACAGTACCTGTCACACATAGTCAGGCTGCATATGCCCATGCGCGACATTCTCAAGGCAGATTTCCCCTCCTCGGCAGCCCTATAGTGCAGTTCACGAAGCGCGACCGGGGCGGGGAGTAATAAAGAGTCATCCTGCATTTTGTTGGAAAGATAGCCAATGGGATAAGTGTATTTTGGTCTCATTGTAATTTCATAAGTTGTTAAGGCTGTACACCTGTACAGGGCTGTGTTGGCTCAGCCCCGCATTTGGGCGCAGCGCTCATTTCCTATATCTTTTTCCTTGCGAACGAATCGGGTGCCCGCCTGGCTAGTTTGGTTTTCTAGAAACTCATTGGAGTATTAAGCTTGAGATGAAAGATGCTCGTCTTTCATGTACTGTGTTCGTAATATGATGGCATAGGGTTGATGGGGCCTGTGAGATTCTGAGTTATAGCCACTACAAAGCCCCTCTCACCTGCTCCATTATCTTTTACAGTTCGTTAGTGCGCGTATATGCGCCAGGATATCTCCAAAATTTCTCAGGTAGAAATTACATGGTCTGTCAATCAGCCTGAGGCAGTGCCTGGGTGATAGAACCATGCCTCAAAACTTAGAGTAATGCGAATTTATACGCCCTGTGATACGAGCATGCGCCATCTTTGTGTCCTGAAGTCATCTCCAAATCCTTCGCTATTTGGCCATTGATGAATCGATGTCCAGACTGGTTGAGTCACTTGAGTGTGATGAGCCCCTGGCCAATTTGCATCCTGAATGTGATAGTTGGTAACACCTGGGCACCAAACCTTGGCAGTTGGGCTAGCTCCGAACCCCCAATTACAGCAGTACATAACCGCCATAAGACCACATCGTATTTTTTCATATTATATAACTGGAAAGAGGATAGCACAAATTTTGGATGAACAGCAAAAACAGGGATTGACGCTGTTGGGTTGCAGGGAGATTAAACAAATATTATTAAATATGTACAGAATGCCCGAGCACTATACATCCGAGGCAGGAATGTCTTTGAAACAAGAATTCATGGGCGGAGCTGGAAGTCGTCTCGTCAGATCGGGCGCATCAGAGTTGGTAGCGAGTGGATCTTCTTCCTCTGTCACAAAATGCAAGACACCAGGATCAGCCGCAACAATATCGGCAACGGCAAGGGCCTGATCAAGGCCCATCGTTCGTCCAATCATCTGCAGACACTTTATAACCCACCGACGGAGCCCATGGTCAGGACTTTCAACAATGCCAGCAACGAAAAGAGGCCAGATAAGCACCAATCCCCCAATATAACTCTCTGGTGGCGGAAGGTTGGGTTCTCTGTTTGCCTGGTGGGCGTTAAAGTGGAATGGGACACCGCGACAGATTTCCACCGCCAAACGCCTGATGGTTGATCTAAGCGTTTTGCATTGAATACGGAATTCATCCGATAATGAGGTTAGAGAGGTTCTGTCGGAGATTTTACGGACGTGGGAGAGAATGATTTCGCTGACAATAATCCGGGCACTGCGGTACTGGTTCCATGAGTTGCAGACCCAGAGGTTGGGATATACATGATATTGGTCGTCGTAAGGAGAGATGCCTCGGAAGCGCCGTTGGAAGACAAAGTCGAAGGGTGATTTGGTATTGGTTGCGTAGTTGAACTCTGGGGGAAGGGAGGCTAGCCAGGCAATTAAGTCGGCTTCAATTGCTGACGCTGCCGAGATGATTTCTTGTTCATCGGTATATGCATCGGCTCGGATATCTGCGCGAAGGTTCGACAACTTTCCAATTATCATAATAAGGCGGTTTCCATGGGCCTCTGCTGGTCGGAGAAACATGGCGATCTTTGTGCATTCAAGAAGTGATTGAGGTACTCGGGCGTCTCGCTGTAAGCAACTGATAATCTACTAGCGTGTTAATTGGGGCAATTTAACAGCAGGTGGTAATACCCACTACTTGATAGCGCAGGTGCAGGAATAGTCTCAGTCCAGTCTCGGTCTTGAGTTGGTCGGTTCCTCTTATATCAAGCAAAGCTGTTGCGCCATTGATATGGTTTGTCCAACTGTCAATATCTTCTGGGGCTCTTGATGTAACGACCTAAAATATGGTCAACAACCATTCCCGGGCCCAATTGATGAAACTTCTTACTTCATAAATGGCTAGCAGCACGACGGCTCCTAATGTCTGATTCGTTTTTGCTTCCTCCACATCAGACAAAGCGGAGTTGAGCAATCTCAAAGCGGATCCATACTCCCTGTGGGCCACATCTTTCAGACTCGGCAATTGACGTACTCGGGAGAGCATGGCCGTCGCAGTAGCGACCACACTAGCCTGCATGGCCTTCTGACTTGCAGGACCCCCAGTCCGGAGCAAGAACTTGGTGACCAAATCACTCGACCAAAACGTGCCGGGCATGCAATTGGATCGCATGAAATAACAAATGGCTTCATATTTAGTCGAGTCAATATCCCGTGGCGGTTGAACCTCCAATGGACGCCCCCCTAGCTTTTGCACCAGGTAGGCGTGCTGTGGATCGGAACTGAAATCCAAGGGGTCCACCTCACCAGGAGTGCGCCTAGGCCGCACAGGATTCCCTTCTGGGGATGCTGTGCGAGGGGAACGCTCTGGCCGTTTCTGCTTAGCTCCGGCTGCAGCCTTTCGGACTACCGATTTGCTTTCGTCACGGAACATCAGTGATAGCTGATCCCGGTATCCGGGGCAGTCCCGCTTGGCCCTGGTACATTGCGAACAGGCCGGTTGCACCTGGTCGCACCGGATCTTCCTAGATCTGCACTCTCCACATCCTTTGCTTGGCTTGCCACAATAAACCATTTCGAGGTAATATGTACAATGTCAAGTCTGCGGAAGAAGATGATATGTAAGATGCTTGGGGGCCTAGGCCACGCTTAACCGAATCCGGTATGCTCTGCGACCCCAAACTTCGATCTGTCGATCATTCAACTTACTCATCTTCGAGGCCCGTAGACTTATCTATATTCAAAAGAACGACCAATTTGAATATCTTGATTGATTTGAATCTGCTGCAAACTTGAACCTTAGAAAGCCCTGGAGTAACCCGTCGTGGCATCACACCGGACTGACCCGGCCAAGCTCTGGCCACGATAACCTCGGAAAAGACTCAAACGCACTTACATCCTAATACAATCACCTCGACAACTTCTTGGCTTGGAAATTAAACCACGCGCTTCGGAAGTATACTGTTGACGGACATTGATTTAAAGCCGAGAGACTACTCACGCCCGCGGAAACACCAGAAAGATGAAAAGGGTACGGAGTAGTTGTCAATTGAGATAACTTCTACCAAAACGCTTGGATGATTAAAGATTGTAAGAATAACCAGCAGCGAAAAGCACTTTCAGGACGGCATCTATCTACTCGGGTCGTTTTGATGGTGGGTCGATCACGGTATCGGTTTGCGCAACACGCTTTCTCTTGCCCCGCGAACGTCTGTCTGAGTCTGAGTCTTGTTGCACAGCTCCACCAGTGCCATCATCGTGCCATTCACTGAACTCCCACTGTATTGAAGTCGACTGATCATCGCTAATTCCCATGCCACGCCGTGAGCGCATCAGACGACCCAGACGACTACCTTCCATCATTTCTTCGAACCAGGGAATTCCGCCGGTTCGGCCGCGCTGGAGGCTGCGTGAAATATCTGGAAGGTCTGTAGGGTCTTCGAAGGATGGGACAATGACCGAAGAAGAACCGGGTTGGGCGGGTGTCAGATCCGAGGTTGAGACACCGGCATGAGGGGCATCTTCCTCAAAGTCATCGGGAAGCAGGCCGAGATCATCAAGTGCGCGCTGGTCTTCTACGTGAAGGCTACCCAGTGCGATGGACATAAATTCAGATTCATGGTGTGGCTCTTCCGTCCAGAATGTCAGAGGTGTGCCACAGAAGCCACAGAACACGCGCTGGGTTTTGGGCGCATGGCGGGGTGAGAAAGTGCGACGGATAGTAAAGTGTGATTCATCCTCATAGAAAGACTGGGTAGAAGACTGGTACCAGTCCAGAGGCACGCGCAGCCATGCGGAGAGAGGAGTGCCGTGGAATCGACCTATAGTAGATGTTAGCCGGGAGATCGACAAGCTCGGCTTAGATTTCCTCACGGTTGTCTCGGCTGCTGTCAAAGTACACCTCCGCATGGTCCGTCACATCGTCCGGAATGTTTATTTGGTATTCATTACGACCACAAGAGCATGAGCCACGCAGCGGCTCGCAGGCCATGGTGGTACAAGAAGTCCCGTGGCACCGGTGGCCTGGACGGGGTTATAGATGTGCTCGTGGAGGCTTTCAAGGCTTGGCGACCAGAGAGATCTGTCTGATCGAACTTTTGATCGAGGTGTCGCAAGGTCGTGTGGTTTAATAAGTAGGAATTGATTTCCACACGAGCATGGAAAAAAAAAGAAGTGAACGACAAAGAAAAGCAAGGCGTGTTCGGTGGACCCTCTCTATGACGTTTAGGATGTGCCAAGACCCGATTTCCTGGCCTGCGCTTTACTCCGCAATGCCTTATCGCTTCCTATCGCTCTTCCTTTTCAACTTCTTCCTCTGTCGCATGCTAAATAAGAGCTTGATCAACTACACTTCCCTATCCAATATTTGTACTACAAATTCAACAGCACCGGGAACATACAACGCAGATACCGGACCCACATACTCCCCGCAGGCGCGCTCTCAGTTCCTTCTAGAATCCTCCAGTCACCAACCGCCACAATGAATGCAGAAGATGAGCACGATCGGTCATCGTCGACACCGAATGGCACCTCCAAACAAGGGTCCACCCAGGACAAAGATAAGCCTCGTCTGACCGACCAAGAAAAGAAGAGCAACCATATTGCCTCGGAGCAAAAGCGGCGCGCCGCCATTCGTGAGGGCTTCGATCGCCTGACAGAACTGGTGCCCGGGTTGGAGGGTCAGGGCCGAAGTGAGAGCATTGTTCTGCAGAAAACGGTGGATTTCATCCACGTGAAGCTTCAAGAGCGCCACGATCTCATCGCAGAGATCGAAAGCAAAGGTGGTCGCGTGGATGACTCTCACCGTCCAACATGATAATCGCATCCTTTCAGTCTCTGTCTCCCCCTCAATACGCTTGTGCTACTACCCCTGACACCCCCCGCTGGCGGTTTTGGGGTGTTTGGGGGTAGCATACATTTGCCGAGGTCCGCAGGCCCAACCCTCAAATTTTGGACCACATGGTCTCTTTTTCCCTTCGCCCACACCACGAAGTTCTTTCCTTTCGTCTTATCACTCACCGCTGTATTACGAATGGCACGTTCGAAATGATCAATTGTGGGGCTTTTCTCGTCTTCCAGAATATCCTGTCTTCACATACGATTTGATGCTCACCACCTATCGCACTGCATTTATTCGACTCAATTGCCGTCACAGGGCTGCTACGCTATTGTATTTCTTGTCTCTATCTTCACTTTCTGTTCTTATTGTACATTGAATCTTTTCTGGGTCTGGTTTGTTTCTGTTGGGTACCAGAATGTACATGGTCATGGTTGTTGCTGCGAAGCAACTGGGGCGTTCTTCCCACTGGATGGTTAATTTGAAATTGAGCCCTCTTTCATTGAATGAGCCGGATCCTCGTTCCTAGGCAAATTCGCCCCCCAAGTCGGACGTATTTGACTTCCGATCACCGTACTTAGCATCACGTGGATGATTATCGATGCCATCTTGGTGGGCACAGTCTACCGTAGACTGACCGCCTCCGATTGGAGAACACGATATTCACTCGGAGCTAACTGGGAGGGGAAAGTTGACGTACCCTGCCGAGATCCTTCACATTTGCATTCACCCGAGCAATTGATACTACCTCGTGTCGGTGTCGCATTCAAGACCGGTGCATAATTTCATCTCACATTGATCAATCACACATTGGTTAAGAACCAATTCCCCCGCATTGCATCCATCCTACAAAAGCTCGAAGCAAAACACCAGACCAACGTCATAGCAATCCACCATGGAAGACTCCAAAAAGGCGCTCCTTTCACAAATGGAAGACTTCACCACTGCATCCGATCCACCCCCAGCCTACGACCAGCCAACCACCAAGCCAAACCGCGGGGCACCACTACCACGCCCACCACCCCTCAATCTACCCGCACTGAACAACCTCCGCAACAAGCGCGTAATCCTCGCCTCACAATCCCCCCGCCGCAAACAAATCCTCTCATTCCTAGGCCTCCCCAACCTAGAAATCATCCCCTCAAAGGCAGAAGAAGACCTCCCCAAAAGCCTCGGCCCCTTCGAATACGTCCTAGCAACAGCACAAAAGAAAGCCCAAGCAGTCTACGAACAAGAAATCAACAACGAAACCCAAGGCGAACCAGCCCTCATCCTAGCAGCCGACACAATCATCGTAGACCCCACTTCCGGCTCAATCCTCGAAAAACCACGCTCAGAAGCACACCACGTCTCCATGCTCCGCTCCCTCCGCGATATCCGCGACCACAAAGTCTACACTGCGCTCGTGGCTATGGCGCCTTTGGCTAGTGCCCGGGATCCGGGGTATGCTATGGAGACGACGGTTGAGGAGACGGATGTGCGGTTCGATGGTGAGGTGACGGATGAGTTGATTCTGGCTTATGTGCGGACGCGCGAGGGTGCGGATAAAGCTGGTGGGTATGGGTTGCAGGGGCTTGGGAGTATTCTTGTTGAGAAGGTGGATGGGAGTTATGATAATGTTATTGGGTTGCCGCTTAAGGCGACGCTGAAGTTGATTGAGACGGTTATGGCGAAGGCGGATGATGAAGAGGATATGTTTTCCGATGGAGAGGAGGAGGATTTAGAATAGATGGCGCATTGTTGGAGTTGTGATATCGGAGTACGGAGTAGAGTGGGTCGTATTGATCTATCTCCCGGACTTCCACGTTTTACATCACCTGGGTATATTTTGATATTGCATCATGACTTCTGTGAAGTTGAACATAGCGAAATATACATTCAGAAGCATACCTAACACAAGGTACAGGAGTGTCTAAAAATTACCATTCATCCAGAAGTTTCTCGAGATCAACCAGTTTCTAGCTATAAAACGCAATCCATGGATCAAGCTAGGTAGACTTGAAAAGATCGAATAGGTACGGCGAGAATAACACTCAACAGCCTTGGAAGCCAATACATCCATGGAGAACACCAGGTCAAATTATCTTGTCGTACAAGGGTTATATTCCGTAATTTTCTCTAGCTCAGAAACAACCTTGAACATGAATCTGACACCACTCAAATCGGGCAGGAAGACAAATAGGAAAAAAAAAGTATGAACATATACAGAGGCACAGAACGCCTGGATAATCCAGAACCAATTGGGTCAAAAAAAGGGAATTGGAAAGAGAACACGTCTGAAAGGGAAAATGAATGCTCTATGCAGTCCAAATGCGACGCAGGGCCTCGGTGATACCAACGTCGTTGGTCTCGAACTCGTAGAGGCCAACGGCAGTGGTGAGAGTGAACGCACGCAGGAGCCAGTTGCACAGGCTGCGGAACTTGGGCACACGGGAGGGAGGGAAGTAGTCGACGATGGCGGCCCTGGTAGATGTTAGGATGGCTGGTTGAGTTGTGATTTGGGAAAGCCTTACTGGAATCCGATGTGGGAGTGGGCGACGATCAGAGAGCACAGGACGGCGTCCATGACGGGGTTGAGGGAGCCGGCGGCGAAAGGAGCGATGGTGAGAGGGATGAGGCCGACGGAGACCAGTCTGTTATAGAATTAGTTTGAGGGTTCTTGGTGGGCTTTCTCTGCCATTTCGGAGTTGTCGGAAGGAGTTGAATGTGTCGGTATTGGTTGCGCGATAGGATAATACGGACCTCTCAAAAGACCAGTGGTAGCTGCCGTGGGTGGGGTGGGTTTCGGGGACGGGGGCAGGGTCGTTCACTATTTGGAGTGTTAAAACCGAGATTCTGACAGCAGCTGATAATCGCGTTTCGGCAAAGCATCGCTCAAGCTAAGAAAATGACGGGTGTCGTCTAGATCCACAGGATCCCCCGCGATTTCTTGCATAATGCTGCCGAAAAAGACAATCGGACCGGGGAAAGGCGCGGATATCACATACTGGTACCCTGGACAGACTCTGTAGTTTCGACATGTTAGCAAACTGTCCCTCAAAATTACCCGGAGTTTCGCTCCGCTAGCACATTGCGTTTAAGCCAGTTGGCAGGGCCTCTACTTACGGGGCAGAGGAGGCAGGATCTGCTTCTTCGCGGAGGCGTGGAAGGCGACGGTCTGCGAAACGCCGACATTCTTGCAGAAGGGCGACCGGGGGGCCGCAAGGGTTTGCCGCAGCAGGGAAGAACGCGCGAATGAAGCCATTGTGAGAGGAGAGTGTGGTTAGAGAGACAGTGAACACAAACGGATGAAGTTGAAGACCTCGGGAGTCCGACTCGGTATGTCATCCTTTTACGGGAGCCGTGATTGGTCGACGGGCCTCCGCCCAGCCGACATTGGCCGACGCGAGAAACATTTAGCCCTGCGACTTGTTCGTCTGTCTACTTGTCTACTCTATTGATACATACTATTTGATTTGACTATTGTTCAATCATGTTTGGAATATTCTCTTGGTATTTGCGATTTATGTTTATTTGCTATTTCAACCGGCCTGATCACTACCAATCTGTAGGACTCTAACCGAGGTATTGCATACCATGTCACTTCCAGTGCTTTGAACGAAAAAGTTATTACGCCAATCTCATTATATCATCAGTCTCGTGAAGCGCTTAGAACTTCAGGACGGCCTTGCCCATGTTCTTGCCGTGGAAGATACCAACCAGGCCCTCGGCAGCGTTGTCGATGCCAACGGTCTCGTGGATGAGAACCTTGAAGGAGCCATCCTTGATCCACTTCTGCACGTTCTCCTGGTGCTCCTTGGTGTAGACATCACCCATGCCCTTGTCACCGACAATGAAGCCGCGCATGTCAATACGCTTGACAAGGATGTTGTGGATGTTCTTGATGGGGTAAGGAGCAGAGTTGTACTGGGAGATGAGACCGCAAACAACGATACGACCGAAGTTGTTCATGGCATCGAGAGCAGCCTCGAAGTGCTCACCGCCGACATTCTCGTAGTAGATGTCAATGCCCTCAGGGGCAAGACGGGCAAGGGCAGCAGCAGGCTTCTCAGTCTTGTAGTTGAAGCCCTCGAAGCCCAGAGTCTCGGTAATGTACTTGAGCTTCTCGTCGGAGCCAACGGATCCAATGACGCGGAGACCCTCGTGCTTAGCGAGCTGGCCAACCAGCTGGCCAACGGCACCGCTGGCAGCGGAGACGAAGATGGTCTCGCCCTTCTTGGGCTTACCGATCTCGTACAGGGAAGAGTATGCGGTCAGACCGGGCATGCCGAGGGGACCGAGGAAGACACGGATGTCCTCGAGACCGAGAGGGTTCTCGAGCTTGCGGATGCGGATGAGCTCCTTCTCGCCGACGGCGACGAACTCCTGGACGGCGACGTGGCCGATGATCAGGTCGCCCTCCTTGTAGTTGGCGTTGTTGGAGCGGACGATCTTTCCGACGGTGGCGCTCTCGATGGGCTTGTTGAGGTCGAAGGCGGAAGCGTACGACTTGGTCTCAGCGGGACGCATGCGGCCACGCATGTAAGGGTCGAAGCTGGTGTAGAGGGACTGGAGGACGACACCGTTGTCGGGTGCGGCAACGTTGGCGTCATAGGAGGCAGCCTCAATGGTCAGGTCCTCCCCGGGCTTGGGGTATCCCTGGGGGATCTGCTTGAAAACGAGAGCCTTGTTGGACATTGTGAATGGTATGAGGAGTATGAGGATTAATGGAAATGAGCCGAAGCTTCGGGGGAGCAAAAAGCTCTTTATATGACGATAGAGCTCTTGAAGCGGGGCATGCCGAGGAACATTCCATCTCAACACTTTTTTATTTTTATTTTATTCGAATTATTAGAAAGCAGTCCCGGAGAAGGTTCTCAAGAGGGTCATGAAGAGTTTCAAGGGCTCCACTTGCTATACATTCTTTTGCAGCTTAACTTGTGTTCTGACATGCATAAGCCCGATTGTGCACCCCTGCAATATGCTTCCAAACAGAGATCGAATGGGCTTCGGTGGCAATGGATCAAGTTTAGAAAAAAACTGTGGAGACCGGATGAATTGAAGGCTGCTCAGGCCGACGGGGAACCCCGTTCTAGGTAAGAGGACCGCTCCTCGGCAGAGGACAAAAATCGAAAAAAATTCACTGGGGAACTTGTTCGCATTGGGATGATTGTTAAGCACGGAGGTGTTTACCGGTTTGGCTCACGGGCCGACTTTTAAGGTCTGTTATAGATCTTGACCTCACCGACTTTAGTGCTTTAGTGTTACTCTAAGCCGAGGTATAAACCGGGTATCAAATAAGCATATATTGTAGATCGGATGAGTATTCTAATATCGTATGAAGTCATGGCAACATGCAAATTCTGCAAGGATTATGCATTACATATGCGCTGTCATCGCCGGAAATGGAATGCAAAGACAAAGCTCACAAAACGGAACAAAAACATGAAGGTATAAAAATACTAAAACTAAAATGACCCAAGTGGCCTAAATCAAGTGGCTCATGCCTTGCCAGCCACTGCGCCTGGTGCCTTGTCAAGGAAATAGTGCTTGCCCTTGATCATCTTGACCATGAAGCTGAAAGGAACAATACCAAAGACCTGGCCGGTACCGCCAGATTCACCAATAGGGACAACCATCATAATGCTGTCGCCCTGCGCATAGGTCTTGATAGCAGCCCCGCCCACAATCTCAGCCTTGAGGTTGGCGGCGGCCACTTGCGCCTGCTCCACGGCCTTGAAGCTGAGACGCATGGAGTTATTGGTGATATCACCGGCCGCGAAGATGGGCAGATTGGTGCCGTCGGTGGACTGGACGCGCATCTCCTTGCTCACAGTCACCCAACCGTCCCGATCAAGGAGCTGAGCCGGGATGAAGCTGTTGTTGGGCGTCACACCGGTGGTGGGGATATAAAGATCCGCAGAGAGCTTATCTCCACCTTCCAGGTTGACTGTCCAGTTGGCGCCATGCTCGACTGGGGCCTCGACGCCTGCGACTCGCTTCGAGGTCAAGACCTTGACCTTCTTGTGCTCCAGCATCTTTCGTGCCGCTGAGCTGGCAGAGGGCTTGAGCATGGGCAGCACACGATCGGTAGCCGAGACGATCGTAATGGAGACTTTGCCTGCATTGCCACTTTGTTCCGCGACCTCAGCAAGCTCACCTGCCAACTCGATACCGATGGGTCCTGCGCCACCAATGACGATCTCCTTCGCTTCAGCGATGTGTCCCTGCGCCGCCTTGATCAAACGCTCCATATCATCATGGTTTGACTGCTTGAATGGGATCGGGGTGCCAGTGAGCGAGCCGTCCGTGGCAGATGTAGTGCTGCCCGATGCGATAACCAGGTAGTCGTACGGCAGGATCTTGGCATCGCCCTCGTTAGGCCTCACGCTGACTGTCTTGGCGGTGGTCTCAATAGCAGTTGCAGTGCCAGGAATAAACTCGAAAGCATCGGCTCGGTAGCTTGCGAAGGCATCCTTGATCGGAAGCAAGTATTGGTCGGGGCGGAAAGCAGTTGGCTTTGCGACGATGCGTGGGGCGGCGATATTCCAATAGAAGCTGGTGGAGGGGTTGATCAGGGTCACTTTCGCATCGGGCACATCACGGAGGACGGAGTGAGCAATATGGAGGCCTGCGAAGGAGCCTCCAATGACGACAATATTGATAGGTGCCATGTTGTGGAGAAGTTTGGGTGGGGAAAAGTTGTTTTTGTTTTTTTTGCAAGGGACGGCTTGTCTTATATGTCGATTTCCAAGGTTCCCCTACAACGCAGAGTCTGCTATCAGGCTCGAAGGATTTGTTTATAAAAGTTCAAGGTTGGTCAGCACTGTTTTTGTATTTCTAATGACTTCGTGGCTTGGAGCGGTTGGGATGTTGAGTCTGATTGGTTGCTTTGCGTTGGCGGGCCAAGGGTCTGGGCTGTTGGTGTTTGGCATGTTTGTTCACTTCATATACAGCCCTGATTCCCTTGAAGCTGCCCAACTTCATTTAGTAATTTGACTACACACATTGACTGATGTACCACTTAGAGAGATGGAAAGAGAGATAAAGAGATAGGAGAAGGGAGAGGGATGAGACATCGAGAGGAAAGGAGAGAAATACAGAGAAAAAGAGTTCAAGTACCGTCTACCGGGAGGAAACGGCCAAGCATGCTCAGGAAGAGGAAACTTTGGAAGAGGATGAGAGGACATAGACAGATAGAGGCCCTTAGGCAATAGGCCTGCCCATTCACGAAATATGAAACTCTTTGGGTCCTCAATGGAATTCCCACTGCATTCGCGTAGATTGAAGCCGAGTCCACGGGCCTTGGATGGATGATGATACGGGCTGTACTTAAGTAGAGCCCCTTTGACTACCACTTTCGCTTCCCCAAACAACACTCCGGAAGTTGCAAGCTGTAAAAGACCAGCCTGACTTTGTATCACACGGCGATGATGAGGGAGAAGTGTCATGAGGCGGTGTATAAATCTGATTTCGTCAAACATCCACCATGGATGCATTTATACCAAGGAAGCGGGCCCGACACTCTGTTAGAATTTTCTACATTTGTTGTCGGGAAGATAGCCACAGCACGCAAAGTGTTCATGAAACAGTCATTCTTCCCTGAGCATCTTCCTCAAACATAAAAAATGCCTCTTTCATTATTTCATCGAAGCTCACCCAAGTTGACCAATCCTCTGGGCCAAGCAGACATTATATCTGACGAAATTATACCTGGCGACAAGGACAAGATTGAAGTCGAACTGGAACGAAATGGGAATTTCAACGCTCTCCAACGCTATCGATATGTGACACACTGGAAATACATCGTGCGTCCCGATACTGCGCCAGGGCGTCTTGACACAGAGGAGGATCTCCGGGAAGTCGTCCAGGAAGAGATGTCCATTAAGAATGGCACTGTTACGCCGGAAACCGAGGAGAGGCTCCGTGTCCTTAATGCTCAATACTGGCATTTATCTCAACAGTGGTGGAGTTCACGTTCAGGTCTATCGCATGGACAACTGAGGGCCTTTACTCTATGGCGGTCACAAAGTGACTGGTATATGCACCCGAGCCTCGTGGAATGCTGTACAGATCGACAAGGATGCTGTGCTCGTGGATGCGGCTGCTGTACCAATCGTAAGGTTGATCCATCACGCAGCCTTGGTATTGGACATTGTACAGTTGAATGTGCATGTTGCCAAAAAGCGAGAGGCTTTGAAGTGTCCCCTGACGAGAAGAAGAAGCTGAAAGCACAGTTAAAAATCGAGATTCCAGAAACGGACTTCTACACGACCAGAATGAAGCTAGTCTCAATCTGGGGCCTATGTGCTAATGATTGGGGGGACAAACATGATACGATGATCGATGCTCCGCCGAGCTACGGCCAGATTGAGAAGGGCAGGACAGGTCTGATGAAACGGCTCCAGGAAAAGATCCAAAAGTGAATTCTGTTGTGTTTAGCATGAGTGACTGATGTTTCCGTATTCTCATCGTTATGTTTGTGTTCTTTTAACCGGACCTGTGGATGGCACCTGGGCAATGAACTGATTTTTGTTGTTTGAGAGGTGGTGCCTTGAGCACTGGAGCTTGTCGTGTCTCCTCAATACGGAGTGCAATTATCTATAGATGTTGAGATCGCAGAATAGATAAATACTCCCTTTCAAGGTTCTGAGCCTAACGTAATCTTAGGAGCCGTACTTAATAGGGACAATTTTAACTGGGGCCAAGTCAAAAAAAAAAAAAAAAAAAAAAAAAAAAAAAAAAAAAAAAAAAAAAAAAAAAAAAAAAAAAAAAAAAAAAAAAAAA